AGAGCGACTTCGTCGCCGATTATATGCCTGATTATTGCGACGATCCGAGTTGTCCTGGCCGGTCCGTTCACGACGTTGATTTGTCTCAATTTTATTTGCCAATTCGTGCCGCATAGCAACACTAATTATTTCATTCCAGCTGCTCTTCTATCGCCTCAGTGCAGACTGCAACTCGTCACGCAATCCATTCCACAGCTTATCAATCCGTTGGCGCTTACTCGAAGCGCCGACGATCCTGAACAACATATCCAATTTATGGGCATACTCCGAGACAAGCATGCCACCTTGCCTGAAGTTCTCAAGCTTCTTTCTCTGTTTGAGACGGAAATCCGGTGGAAAGCACCAGTTGAATAATTCACGAAGGAAGTTGGGAAGATCCCATTCATGAACATTTAGAGCTACCATTGTACTATAGAAGCTTCTAGCCTTTCCGCCCAAAAAGTGGCCACATTTGATGACTTGGTCTTCTTCCGGGATACCTGCTTCCTTACAATACTGTTCGAAGTCCTGTACAAACTGCATGTATTTATCAATATTCTCATCACCATAGTACTTGCTCGGTTCAGTTGGGTTAGGCTGACGATAAACGGTACGTGTCGATACAGCCTTTCCCGCGATATCGGGAACAACAGGCCCCGAAATCTTTGGCGGCTGGCGGTTGGTAGGCGGGAAATGAGGTCCTCTTGGTAAATCCTCATCATCCGAGGAATCACTATCAAATGGGTCATTCCCCCCACCTCCACCTCCCTGTCGAGCAAAGAACTGCCCGAGTACGCTATCTTGTGGGAGTTGATTAGCTGGTTTTAGCGCTTCGGCTCTAGCCGCGTGGGTGCGCGCTTGTTGGCCGACCTTAGTGATGGCGCGTTCGAGTCCTCTTGACATGGGAGTGGTTGATATCCCGCGTGTTGGAGCAGGAGTCGTCTCATTGGCTTGTACTGGCTGTTCTGGGGTTTCTCTATTGTTCTGCGCGGATGCGGTTTGGAAGCTAGCCTTTATTTTCTCACGTAACGCTTTTGTGTGCTCCTTGGCCTTCTGATACTCAGCACGTAAATCTACATACTGATGTTCAGCTGGTTCCTCATGAGTTTCTTCACTTATCTGATGTGTGACTTCTTGCCCATTCTCGAGGACATCTTCCAGCATGACTTGCTGTGTGTGAATGTCTAGCTCATCTTCGGGGATATCAACGTTTCCCCAGTTCGTTGGGTCGATTCCTTTCCCCTTCGACGCGGTCGAAGGCCCATGTCTCGGTATTTCCTCGGTGTTGCTATCAATAGCCCTTCTGCGATCCTTTTCGCTACGGACTGCTCGCAGAATTCTTTCTACGCCATCTCGCGTCTCGACGACAGCTTCTATGGCCATACGCAGTTCGTCTGACACATTTTCATTATTTTGGTACCTAGTAACTGCATCTGAGCTATAACTTCGACGAACAGGCCTCGCTGCAGCAGCTCTGTTCGGACTCACATGCCTTCGGTCGTTTCGACCTCGGCTTTCGTCATTGTCCTCTCGTTGGTCAGCTTGACCACGTGGACGTTCCTCGGGGACCCGATTCCCGAGTCGCTCCTCATCGCCAATGGCGACGGAGTCCTGCTCTAATCGAGCAAGCCCTTGCGGGGCTGATGAGCGCACTGGCTCCCGGGTCGACGAAGGGTTTTCAGTCGTGCTGCTCGTACCCTTCGCCTTCGCACGAGTAATCCTCGTTGCCATCCTAATATAGAGTAGTGAGTTCGCAAATATAGAGTCGACGACGCACCTGGGAATCCTTGGGTGATCAAGCCAAGGGGTATCCGACGATGGTGTCGACGACGAAGAGCGGGTTAGAGTGGTTGTAGTCGAGTAGAGTAGTGTCGAGCGTCGATGTCAAAAATATGTGACGGGGCGCTGAGATAAGCGAGTCCCGGCACACGAGAGCCTCAAAGACAGGGTAAGACGATGTATTCAAGACTGACTACTCTACGATCTACCTACGTCCTTATATACTGTATTGGTTATCTTATCAGTTATCTGGTGTAGATACTTATGTAATCCTAATCCGTTCCATTAGGACTGCACTAAGAATACTCAATCACTCTCAGATGAGAAATAAAAAATATCGACTGCCGACTGCCGACGGCGGCAACTCTGTAAGATTGTTCAAGAAAGTTTCAAGGATTGTATTCACTTTCAAGGGGTACGTATCAACGAGGAAGAGTGAAATAAAGAGTTATGAATAAGCAGCAACAGCAGTCGCGAAAGCAGCGTCGATGGAGCTCTTAATCGACGTAGCGGTCGGGACTAGGTCGGTCTAACATCGTAAGTAAATCGTATAAGAATCCCATCCTGAAACGAGAGGGAAAGAGCTTACAGGCGCTGTGGAGATTAGAGCAGCTTCAAAGGCGAAAGTGCTCGCATTCAAGTTGATTAAATCCTGTTTCACAAGTGCCGGGATCCCGCCGATGGGGAGGGCGGCGAAAGCGGCCTTCTTGGCGACTACCTGCGTCAGGGCGTCCAAAATCGTAGGTTCGAAGGCTTGGACGGCGGAGAGGACGGACTGCCCGTCAGACTCAGAGATGGGGAGGGGGACAGCCTGTCAAGGTGATGAATAATGCGTAGATGCTGATAATAGTATACACATGAAGACTGCTTACCTGGACGTCGGCTGTGCCTTGGTTTATAGAGGTAACCAAATTTGTCGCGTCGTTGTGAATAGCCTTAATGAACTCAAAAATGAGAAAATTTTAAAGGCTAGAGGTGAATCGGCCCGATCGACGTGGTTGGACGACGCACCAAAGCACTAGTAAGGGACCCTCCAGTGTTCGGGAAGGCCTTGATTGCATTGTCTAAAGTTGTAGTCTGGCTCGAGATCGTAGCAATATCGCTCAACACAGTGGCGACAGTTACAGCGAGGGCGACGCCAGTGAAGGAGAGAATGACGGGAAAAGCGGCTTGGAACTTCATTATCACTGGATAAGACTGTGGGTTGTTTCGAGAGGGTTATTCTGGTCCTCCATCCAAGACCTCACCTCAAATTTATAGCAATCCCCCCTTGCTGAGAGCGTTCGCCTCAGTTCCTAGTCCCTAGTCAGGTGCGCCATCCAGAAAATAACACCTGTGATATCTAAAAATATCCCAACTCATTCCATGAGAGCGGGAAGCGTTAGCTCCCGTTGGGCGGGGGAATGCCGTAGGAATCCAAATGGTTCTGAGAACAAGGAATAGAGTTGGAAATAGCCGCATCATTCGTGGAAGCGAACGCATGTTGTAAGGGTGGTCAGATGGGGACGCAAGGAAGGATGAAGATACTCGCATGATTAGCGGCTTGAACGGAGAGAAGATTGAAGCAACGACCTGATACTCCCCCAGACTCGGATGAGGAGGGCGACCAGAATAGTAATTGCCTTACCTGATTAGCACGCGGTAGATCCCGTTGAGGGCGAATACAGGGGCTACACACCATTCGGTTTCTGGTCACTTGATACTTGACATGGAATGTCACGTTGCTTCCGAATACCCTGTCATTCATTCATGATTCGCGTCAGGATAAAAATAGAGCGGCCTCCTCGCTCTGGTGGGTCATGCAGCGTATCCACGAAAGAGTCAGAAAGAACTATTCTGGACGCGATAGCTTCTCCGCGGAAGGAGGACTTGACACTAACAAGAAGGGGGTTTTATCCAACGGAGTGACCCACTGAGATGTGGGATTTTTGACGGTTCAAGTATTTCTGGTCGGATTGCGGGTATAGTGCCAAAAATACGGACAGTGGAGGCCGCGGCGTCAGCTTGTTCTTTTCCATACATCGAAACAAAACTTATGGAGCTCCCAAAGGAAAGGACGTAAGTACTGGCCTGGTGGGTCGCTTCGTCTTTCCACGGCACAAGGGTTTACACCACTTAAAGAAACGTTGGCACTTGGGTACCGCTAAATGGATCACACAAAGACCAGTGGACTGGAAACAAGCCATGCTCATGGCGCAAGGAAAATGGCCGTCTGTTCAAAAGGAAGAAATCTAATTTTACGAGGTTTTTCCTCGACAAATACTTGGAAATATGAACGACTATCTAGACATAAACCGCCAAAGCAGCTTTGAAAGCATCATCAGCTTCGGTCCTGACCTGGGCGGCGTCCGGCTTCTGGTCGGTCTGAGAAATGCAATATAAATGTTAGTTGCAGACGAAAGAGAAAGGGGAGACCAACTGACAGGAATGACTAAAGTGAACTGATCCTCGAAGCCGGTAGTGGCCCTGCTCAAGTTGACCAAATCAACCCTCACGACGGAAGGGATATTGCCTAGTGCAAGGGCAGCGAAGGCAGCGTGCTTTGCGATAAGCGCCTTCGAACAATCCACAATGGCGCTTGCCAAGGCCCTGATGGCAACCAAGAGGGTCACTCCATCTGCCTCAGAAATCGGGGTTGGGACGCCCTAGAAAGAAAGACGCTCAGAATGACGCATATGACGACGTGAGGCGCCAAAATTATTTGCCTTCAAGTCGGTGGTGGCCTCATTAATGGGGGCGACGAGCCCCGCTGCTTCGGTGTGAAGAGCCTAATGGAAGTGAAGCACAGGTTATCTCAGCATCGATGCTAAATCGTACAGCTCGTAGGGCATACCAGAGCATCCTGGAGCTTTCCCCCTGTGTTCGGGAAAGCCTTGACGCGAGAAGTCAGGACGGTGACGCCCGCCTTGAGGTTGTTGATGTCGGACACAACGACGGCGACAGTGGCTGCGAGAGAAACGCTAGCGAAGGAAAGGAGAAAGATGAAGGCAGATTGGAACTTCATGATTCTCGATGGCTGCAGAGATGGTCCCAGAGGTAAATCGAGTGTAGTCGGGTCTGGGTGGAAACGGAGAAAACCTACCCTGGCTTTATAGAAATGAGAGTGAAACTTCTTTCACTCGATGAAGGAATTGCCATGCCGCCGATGAGCGTCCAGCACGGAAGAAAGTGCCGTTCTGAGCGCTGCATAGTGCCGGGTAATTCAGGAATAAGCTTGGACGCGTGATTGATGACTCCCTGAATTGCGACTAGAGCGACTACGCCAAATACAACCGTGTGGTGGCGAAATTCTATCAGTGGCAGAGAAAGCGATTCATTTTATTGTTGATATATTGATACATCACCAATTTAAATCGATTCGAGCGCCGAGTTTCCGTTGCGCCGCCTAGATAAGGAAAGGAATATGCTAGCCTTGTGAACGAAAGAAGAGAATTCAGTGTACTGTTTACCAGCTTTGTCGCATCGCAGCCTTCCGAGTCTTGAGCTTAAAATAAGAGCAGTTTCGGGGCCAGGGGGAGGGTGCCTTCGGCCTCGTCGGGCAGCTGAAGTACGGCAGAAGTGGAACGAGAAGCGACTGTGGCGCACATGTGGCACTCCCTGATGGGGATCATCACCAACGGGGAATGCTTCCTGCTTGAAGCTTGAAGTTCAGCGGGGATCGAGCATATGAATAGTCCGAGAAGACCGTGGAATAATCTGGGTTCTCTTGTGGGATCATGAAGCAAATGGTGCGTTAAGTGACTCACCGACTGATAGCAAGGCAACGACAGAGCACGAGCAAGTGTACTTATAATGAAGCAGGTATTTCAGGTCAGGTCAAGGTTCCGCATCGAGTGAACTTGAATGAGTCTGAGAGGTCAGACAGCGCGCCTACGCCGAGTATTTCGAAGCCGTAGGGCGCAGTCCTGCGTAGAATGCACTCAGAGACTGCGGCGCCAAACTAAGACCAATAATCAGCGAGAGGTACAACGACGAAAATCAACTAGCGCACCGATGCATCCGGATCCTCGAGAATCTCGTCTCGACACACCTGGAAAAATCAGTATTCTGATTCTTGCAAGGGCCCATTGTTACAAATGCTTCGAAGCAGTCGAGTCCACGCGTTGCAAGGCGGCAGTCTACCTACACTATTGACTTTTTCTGCTTTGAGGATATAACCGTTCACGTCGGTGCACTTCATTTCTATAAGCGAACACCGATGTGAACCAGCCGATGTGAACCAGCCGATGTGAACTAGCCACGCGCAGCGAGGCGGACCGAGAGTAAGGTAAGAACGCCACAATGGGGCACGCTCTCCCTCTGGACGATGCTGCATAAGTAGGTCGAGCTTGTCAAGGTATCTGGGCGATGCGTGGACTTTCTTGATGGTCTAAGGGATAAGGAATAGGGGAAATGCGGAAGAGAGGGAGTGCATACCTCGTTGACGTCCGTCCCAGAGAGCATCTCGTGCAGTGAGGCCTGAAAAAATTCGGATAATGGACTGAGAGACCGACTGCTGCTGGCCCACGATGGACAAGAGATACGATGCATTTGCTATATTCAGTAAGTACGTAAATTTGAAGAGCATATGCTGGGAAATTTGGGATTAAATAACAATAACATGCAATGAATGAGAGAACAACTTACCTTTGGCGATACACTACAAGCCCTGTAAGAACGAAGGCCGTAATGGATATGCTTGTCCTTGGAAAGTGTTGAGGTTATACAGTCAACTCGATGCGCGCCACCCACTCCTCCTTCTCTCTGTTTGTCCATGTATTCACATACCTGTATTTAAACTTCTTTCGCCCTTTTCCGTACCTCAGTTGTCCCTTCACACACTGAGGTACGGTACTTCTTCCTTTCTCTGTGACACTGTACTTATTCATTTTACCTAGCGCGTTACACTTCGTTTAGGTACTATTGACAATTAAGTTGTCCCTTCACACACTGAGCGCGTTACGCTTCGTTTAGATTCCAACAGAAAGCAGCTCCGATCGGTCACAGTTATACCAGTAGCGGGGCTGCGGTAGCTCAGGTGGCACTATTGTGGACTTACCCCCAGGCTTGCGTTGAGCTCTCGAGTTCGATTCTTGCTGGTTGCATGGATAAACACACTTTAGACACCATGTGACTTTTCCACGCCCCCGGATGACACCGTCTGGGCCTCTGTATTAGGGAGCGACTACGTCTCGCGTGTTCTAGACCCAAGGGTCTGGAGTGACCGTACCTATGCATGCTCACATAATGATATCAGGGTCACCTGGTTCTCCTTAGTCATCAAAAAAATGACTATGCCAGGAAGGGAAATAGGGAGCCAAGGGACAAGGTTGTGTGGATCTGCTGCTATGCGGCGAGACAGCTAGAGCCGACCCTTCAGGACAAGGTTCACATGATCTGCTGGAGCCTGCTGGGCGTTTCAGTGCGCTGACTTCCCAGAGTACGTAAAGCAAACCAGCGAGACGGCTAGAGCTGACCCCGAGGTGTTAATACCAAAGTACTGGAGGATGGGAGTGAAACTACACAAAACGGCTAAAGTCGTCTCCTAACACGGACTGCCAAAGAACTGCGTGGCATGTGAATGATGGAACAAACCCAAACCCATAGGGAGGTTGTGTTGGATGCCGGTCACACGAACGGCTGCTTTCGGGAGCTAGGGTGTTACTATGTGCGAATATATGCGATCTTATGCTTAGGTATATCGAAGCCCTGATTAGTGTAAATAGTTACGGGATGTCATGATAATTGGTATGATCACGGACACTTAGGGTATTACTTAGGTCACGCCGCTGATAGCCCGAGGATTGGATGTTCCCTTACGGTCATGTACGGAATGATCCTCATAAATCAATAAAGAACCACATTCAAGTTATACCAGTAGCTATCCAAGGCAGGTTAGATTGTGATAGCATTTAGCATAGTTGATACTCTCAAGGATCGAGTGGTGTAGAAAATATGCCCCAGAAGGCTAATCGATGGTGTATTGAACGTTATTCTTTGGGTTTCCGTGTAGGCTCATCAAAACCCCACCACGTGAACGTGAGTGGGGCTTATAACAAGGTAGGGGTTTCATCAGGGCAGTGCAAAGTTTGGCACTCTAGACGCAATAGCACAAGAACGACTACACCCCGTCCTTAGGTTTATCATGAGACCACCTTTCATAATGTCTTCTCTCCCGTTTTATGATTTTTACAGAAATTAATCCATTTTATTTATCCTTAAAATTGACGCTGAAGTCGACAAGTCAGATTTTGTAGTCTTTTGCCTTTTAGTTGCCGGTGTCACAGTAGGTCACAGCGTGGGACAGCCCGTCAAATGGCATCTAATCTTGCCTCATCCCCGTATCACTCTTGTTCTGCCCCATGACAGTCTCTTTGTATGCCTCCGAATTCATGGCGGTAAATGGTAACAAACCCTTGCGTAGTTCGGGAGAGGTGATGAGAGAGCGGCAAAGGGTGCAGGCACGAAGTGCCTGCTGTCGTGTTAAGAAATAGAAGATGATCTTGTCGAAGTCGGACAGATTTTGCGGTGCTTGAGGGAGAAAAGTCGAGTATTCCATCGGTCTAACCCACTGCGCCAGGTTTGGCCGGTCGGAGCACAAGTCTATGCCATAGAACGGTCGTGATTCTCCCATCCCGAGTGTCGTGTAGATGATCTCAAATGTTTGGGTAGAGCATGTCGTGGTGAGTGCTAACCATGGTACCTCCGTTCCGACAATGATCTTGAGTGCTGCCAGCTCGCCATAGTCTTTCCTGAACTCATCCTTCCAGGCCTCAATGACATGTGCTTCGTCTACGACCATCGCGACAAGCTTGCGTCGAAATTCTTCGGTGCGAAAAAGTTGCTTGAAACGATTACTTCGCAGCAAGCACTCGGGTGAGGCATAGCAGAGCCTATATTGGCCCTCTTTGAGGCAAGTAAACACTTTGTTGTCCTTGTTGTCTTTGTTGATTTCCACTGCTGTTAGATTGATCTTATCAATCCCATTTGCACGCACAACTGTGTTTGAGAGAGGACAATCACAATCCCTGGAAAACCTGCAAGTTCTGCTGCGAGAGCCAGAAGTCCAAAAACCAGAGATTTCCCAGCACCGGTCCCAGCAATACCAATTGCATCATGGCCTTCAAGGACCTTTCTTGCCAGCTTCATCTGCCAGTTCTTTGTATCATGGCCGTTTATCTCCTGTGATGTCTCCTTGAGCAAGTGAAGAGGTACAGTTCGACCGATCCATGGCCATGGCTCAACTCTGCAAACCACAAGATCCATCCCTGCTCGTACCCCAGGCTTCTTTCGACATCGAGGAGTAGTAAATGAGCTTGATGGACTGTTTAGTGTGAGGTTTCCGAGTGGAAGTCTTGAGACAGAGGTGAAACTGGCAGTGCCTCCGGAATTGGTACTCTGAGGAGTGGGACTAGGATGATTTCTGAGTGATGTGGATTGGTTGAATACACTCGCATTTTCGTCTTGAAGAGCTGAGGGATCCATGCAAAGACGGGAATGTCGGCGCAACTCCTGTCTTGCACAAATTATTTGTCTGTCACACTCTGAGTCCGGTAAATAAACATGTCTAATGGATTTCAATAAGGTCTACAAATCAAATAACCTACAACGGGTAAGAGCGATATCCATGGCACGGGGACAAGACCGAAATGCACCTATATTTGTCCTCGTACTTCCTAGCCATCCCGAATCATTCCATTTCCCATTATTGCGTGGCCCTGGATGCCCCAAAGCGCAGTCAGGGGGTGTCCAGGCGCTACGGGATTGCAGAATATGGCACGGGGGGCGATCTAGCCATAAACATAGGAAGGGGTGTTGTCCACTTCGGGGCACCGACGTCCCAAGGCGCCTGGATTTGCGTCAGTGCCGTACATTTCGGGAAAAAGAGGGCTGTGTAGAGTGAGTAGAGGGCTAGTCTCGTACCAAGATCGTCCACGTGTGGACGGTCTTGGACTAAAGTCGGTCACTGATCAAGACAGTGCAAGGCATCACGTACACTACATTTGATTTGTAGACCTTATTGAAATCCATTAGACATGTTTATTTACCGGACTCAGAGTGTGACAGACAAATAATTTGTGCAAGACAGGAGTTGCGCCGACATTCCCGTCTTTGCATGGATCCCTCAGCTCTTCAAGACGAAAATGCGAGTGTATTCAACCAATCCACATCACTCAGAAATCATCCTAGTCCCACTCCTCAGAGTACCAATTCCGGAGGCACTGCCAGTTTCACCTCTGTCTCAAGACTTCCACTCGGAAACCTCACACTAAACAGTCCATCAAGCTCATTTACTACTCCTCGATGTCGAAAGAAGCCTGGGGTACGAGCAGGGATGGATCTTGTGGTTTGCAGAGTTGAGCCATGGCCATGGATCGGTCGAACTGTACCTCTTCACTTGCTCAAGGAGACATCACAGGAGATAAACAGCCATGATACAAAGAACTGGCAGATGAAGCTGGCAAGAAAGGTCCTTGAAGGCCATGATGCAATTGGTATTGCTGGGACCGGTGCTGGGAAATCTCTGGTTTTTGGACTTCTGGCTCTCGCAGCAGAACTTGCAGGTTTTCCAGGGATTGTGATTGTCCTCTCTCAAACACAGTTGTGCGTGCAAATGGGATTGATAAGATCAATCTAACAGCAGTGGAAATCAACAAAGACAACAAGGACAACAAAGTGTTTACTTGCCTCAAAGAGGGCCAATATAGGCTCTGCTATGCCTCACCCGAGTGCTTGCTGCGAAGTAATCGTTTCAAGCAACTTTTTTGCACCGAAGAATTTCGACACAAGCTTGTCGCAATGGTCATAGACGAAGCACATGTCATTGAGGCCTGGAAGGATGAGTTCAGGAAAGACTATGGCGAGCTGGCAGCACTCAAGATCATTGTCGGAACGGAGGTACCATGGTTAGCACTCACCACGACATGCTCTACCCAAACATTTGAGATCATCTACACGACACTCGGGATGGGAGAATCACGACCGTTCTATGGCATAGACTTGTGCTCCGACCGGCCAAACCTGGCGCAGTGGGTTAGACCGATGGAATACTCGAAAATCTCGATGGCCAACTTACTTGCTTTTCTCCCTCAAGCACCGCAAAATCTGTCCGACTTCGACAAGATCATCTTCTATTTCTTAACACGACAGCAGGCACTTCGTGCCTGCACCCTCTGCTGCTCTCTCATCACCTCTCCCGAACTACGCAAGGGTTTGTTACCATTTACCGCCATGAATTCGGAGGCATACAAAGAGACTGTCATGGGGCAGAACAAGAGTGATACGGGGATGAGGCAAGATTAGATGCCATTTGACGGGCTGTCCCACGCTGTGACCTACTGTGACACCGGCAACTAAAAGGCAAAAGACTACAAAATCTGACTTGTCGACTTCAGCGTCAATTTTAAGGATAAATAAAATGGATTAATTTCTGTAAAAATCATAAAACGGGAGAGAAGACACTATGAAAGGTGGTCTCATGATAAACCTAAGGACGGGGTGTAGTCGTTCTTGTGCTATTACGTCTAGAGTGCCAAACTTTGCACTGCCCTGATGAAACCCCTACCTTGTTATAAGCCCCACTCACGTTCACGTGGTGGGGTTTTGATGAGCCTAAGTAGAGGGCAGATGACGCGTAAAGAGACGCGAACTTGCAAGGTTCAAGTTCTAAACATTTTAGTGCGAGTTATAAACGTTCTTGTGGTTTGATTGTGGTTGGTGGCAGAGTCCGAATTTGAAACTCAGTTAAGTTCAAACTTCGAAAGTCTGACACTCCCTCTTCTATGATCCATCTCGAAGCGTGCGCTCATTGTGCGTCATTGCCCAGCAGCCTCTAGGTCATCCCTACTGGCTGGGGGTCATCCGCGCTTACCTCGACAAGCTTGTCCATAAACAAGCAGTCTCGCAGTGGGCTGTCAAGTCGTCCCATTGGCGAGGAGGCCCGATCTCTTTACAATCATTTGAGTGTGTCCTCGTACCATGTATGCACAACACCGCGCGTGTAGGGATCAAGTTCGTCGAAGTATTCCAGTGAGAGTATTGTGCACTTTCTTGATGATCTAAGGATGAATGAGATCAGGGCTGTTGCCAGCTGGAGAAGAAACAAAAGTGCAAGATGCACACCCTGTCAACATTTGCGCCTGAGCTTCTCAGGGAGTGAGGACTGGAGAGACAGTTGCATGAAGGCAAAACTAGATTTTAGCAGCGTTCAGGGGACTTCACAAGGGATTGCGAGGGAGAAAATATGATTTAAATGTCCCAGAGGGAAGTAAAGGACTTGTCGATGGTGTATTGGAAATTATCTTCTGGGTTTGCGCGCAGGCCAACCCTGAACCACATTGGTGGTTTGTCCATAATATCCTCAGCTTTTCCAAAGAGTTCCCGAACATCATCCCAAAGCTCTGTGTCCTTGATAACCTTCTCAATGGCCTCTTGCGTGAGGTTGCACATGAAGCGTACCAGAAGGTACTGATCATTGACCCCAGTAAGCGGCGGACGGAAAGAGAATCTACAATGGGTAAGACCGATGCGCATGGTGAGCAAACAAGACAGAAACACTGTTACACACCCGTGTCTCTCTTCATACTTTCTCTCCATTTCGGAGCCCATCCATTTCTCCAGTATGGCGTGGCCCTGGATGGCAAGCAAACAGCCTGGATCGTGTCGAGGCGCTACATGGTCACAAAATTTGACGCGGGACGACCTAGCCATATGCATAGGACGGAGTAGCGTAGTTGTTTACTTCGGGGCACGAACGACGGTAGACGCCTGGTTTTTCTTCAGTGCCATACATTTCGGGGAAAAGGTGGCTGCATGGAGTGAGTAGAGAGAATGTGACGCGTAATCGACGCGTAATAAGGTTAGAAACTTACAGAGTCCAGGACATTCCGACGCGAGTGAGTGGTTGATTGCAGGATGTTGGAGTCCGAATTTGAAACTCAGCCAGTCCAGCGCACGAGTCTGAGCCCCTGTCTTATAGCTAGTAGAAAACCACCGTAGCCAGCTGCTGGCATCGTTATCAATGCCTCTATATCTTGCTAACATGGTATGCCTACAAGAGATTGCGAGGCATGCCATTGTATGCACTCCCCAACTTGAACGACAGCGGCGTCAAGCATCAGATGTCCCAGATCTATCAGTTGGACCAGCGGATCAAAACCAGTCATCATCGTGAAGCATTACAGCAGGCCATTCGTCTGCAGCCGAGGCTCTCAGGAATGCCAACAACAAAACACGCAGCAGAGCATCATCCGGTCGGAAGCACACAAAAGTTTTCTTATCGTGTAGAGCTGCAATTTACTTACACATTGTCCTCTCTAAGGATATTTGACAACCGATCAAGTCCGTGCAGCCAGATTCTTCTCCTTGATGAACACTGACGCGACCAACCCACACGCAGCCAGGGCTACCGAGAACCAGAATGTGACATGGATCGCATCCTCATACGACGTACGGACGACAGCCCGCGTGTAGGGGTCGAGCTCGTCGAGATACTTCAGGGATTCGCGGACTTTCTTGATGATCTGGAAGGAACTAAGCCTGCGACGCAAAGCATGATAGGAAGCACGAGGCACGAACCTCGTCGACGTCTGCTCCTGACAGCTTCCCGCGCAGTGAGGACTGCAGAGACATTTGCACGAGCGTGCTGCCCACGGAGAGGCCAACCACAGACCCAAGAGAGCGGAAGAGGTACGATACTAAGATTTGTTTTGTTAGAACCAGCACAGGGATTTGGAGAGCATCTGGGATTACCTGCAGTCGCGATAGCTTGGTCCGCTTGTCCTGCATTCGCGATCAAGGAGATGAGACTCGTCGTAATGCCACTCCCTGAAATGCGAAGTCAGAACCTAATGGGATACGATGAATGCGCAAAAGACTTACCGTTACCGATACTAGATATCACCAGACCTAAAGAGCAGAGGTCAGCCTGTGCCTTTCGCTTCATAGAAAGCAGCTCTTACCGATAGCAATCCCAGCTATCGAAGTGATCACAACTCCAGACGTCAGTGTCACAAGGGCTGAGCCTACGAAGAGGGCGACATAACCAAGGACAGTGATAACATAAAACTTCCCCGTCGCCTGGATGATCAGCCCTCCCGCCACCGACCCGCTGACCGCACCCACGACACAAAGAATAAGCCACAGGCCGGCCTGCGACGCCGTCTGCGCCTGCACCGCTTGGAAGTACAGCGAGATATGGAACAACATCGTGAACGATCCCGCAATCCCGAAAAAGTTCACGAGATAGCTCGCGATTAGCGACCGGTTGACGATGATCCTCTTCGGCGCGAACGGCTCGGTCGCGAATTCCATCTCGACGAACACGAAGACGGTAAAGGCGACAGCGAAGGCGGAGAGGGAGGCAATGGTGAGCTGGTCGGACCACCCAACATTCCCGCCACGGTCGAGCCCGAAGAGCAGGCAGAAGACCGCGACGACAAGGGAGATCGCGCCCCCGAAGTCGATGCGCTTGAGGTTGGTCATGAAGTCGCCGGTCTCTTTCTTGGGGAGTTGGAGGGCGAGAGATACAGCCAGGATTGCAACGACTGTGATAGGCACTTGGATGAGGAAGGCCCTGCCGAGAGATTAGCTTGGATGAATACCATGAAAAAATTCACACACCAGCGCCAGCCGATTGTGTCTGCGAGATAGCCTCCCAGCGACGCTCCTACGCTATTCCCAGTTGCGAATACGATGTTAAGAACTCCTATAATTTCGGATCAGGTTCTGCAAGCAAAAGCAGTCAGTGACGAATCGTACCCTGCCATGTTCCTCGTTCGCGAAGAGGAACGACATCCGACATAATGATGCTGACGATCCTGCATCGTGCCGAAGATTGTCAACGTCCTAGCCTATGACCAAGAGAGTTGTTGAGCATACGTTTGCATCCCTCCACCACCAATCCCAGCGAATGCCCTGCTAGCCACCAATTCAGTCATATTTCTGGAGAGTCCGCATAGAAGGCAGCCGATAGCGAAGATGGTATATGCGAAGAGCAAGCAGCTCTTTCGCCCGAATATGTCGCTGAGTTTGCCATAGAGCGGTCTATGCCTTCTGTTAGCCAGCCCCCGTCAAGAATACGAGATAACCCACTGGAAACTTGTAATGGTAAGAAGATAAGACGTCGCAATCCAGCTGGTATTGTGCAACTCGTTCAGGTCGCTTCCGATGGAGGCATATGCTGGACGGAATGAGCGCGTCAGCAAACCCAGACCATCAGTCATTCACAAGGTCAAAATTGGGCACTAGGAAGCAACTCGGAAAGTTCAAGTCTGCCGACGATTCTCCCTCTGCGCGTGCTATTCCGTCCAACTGCCCAAGTACCCTGACTGTATCACCTTCTCTTGAACAGGCATGAGGGCACCCTCCAACATCAACTCGAGAGAGTGCCTTGTCGGTTCAACCTGCTTGGGATCTCCAAATCAAAGCCTGAGCTAACGAAGCTGCAAAACCACCAGCCTGCGGTAGCGATGGACCTTGAAGAAAAGCAGGCGATGGCGGGTGTGGATGCAAGACGCAAAGCAATATGAAGCTCACAAGAGACGATGATGGTCTGGTCCATTGCACACAGAAATATCCCGACCGCCATTGGTATCACCTATTATTTGTGCAGCACTATGACGCTTATCTCTGAACGTGTTACACTCACAAAAACAAGATGTGATTTCTTCGGTGGTTCTTCCCCACCATGCTCGCTATCACAAACCGTGTAGTTTGGCTGGGTGTTTTCCCGGAGCAGCGGTGTCGTTTCCTCCGACATTTTGAGACTTGCTCCAGGTAGTAAGGAGGGATATTAGAGATATAGTAGGCGCAATATGGCAAGGCGCATTGCACAATTTGGGAGAAACTGAGAGCCAGGTAATAACCGGCCCGGAGTTTGTTGAATGAGGGGCGTGGGAGATTTCTCGGCATAGTCTCTGAGCCGGCTAAACTTTTAACTACTTCCTTCATCTCTCAACGTACACGTCGAAGTTCATTCATTTTTCGTCCCGAGTCAAATGTGAACCTAGACGATAGTATTGGAGGAATTCACTTTGTTTTCCCGTTTTGCATACATGCCGAAATGACATTTCTCTCATGTCTGAAAACTCATTTGCCTCCAAATTGCAACTCTTACACTTGGTTCCGCCTCAAGGAGGCAGGTGTGTATGTATTCGTATCTGGCGTATTACTTCTCTACTTACTGAACTATGGTCAAATACAGTCAAAAATATAGGGCCAAATCAGGGCCTCAGTACCACGATTCTTGAACTCCACTGTCGAACTGTGGTCTCTTGTGTTGACGACCAACAAAATTCGATGCTGTCGCCGTCTCGTTTGATATCTCTGTCCTTCTGGGTTGTCAGCTTGTCCGCGATAGAGGGCATTTTTGTCCAATCAACACCTGGCGATCCGGTATTTGATATCCACGATATGCGGATTTACACAGTTCAGGCGCCTGTTCCGTTGGTGCTCTATGTAGCAAGCCCCTACCTCGACCGATAGGAACGCTCCCGCATTCGCCTTTGCGAGTGGTAAGCGTGCTGAATTCTATCGAACATCGCCTAGGTGAGTCGCACCGCCCCTTGCGAAAATGATTGATGGACGAATACGTGGTCGCCTTCAGGGACTGTGAACCTGGTACTCGCAGCGGGGTACTTACCAGCACCGACTGGTGCTTCGTTCGCCGTCGGTCCGCGTTACAGACCCTCATCAATATGCCTCATCGCTGGTGGCCATTCAACCATCAATTCCTGTAGCCACTAACAAATGGAAGCAAGACTTGAGTTCAACTGCCTTGGACCATTCTCCGGTGCATCTCCTCCGAGATCTCCTCCGTCTCCGTTGGCTTCCCCGACTGCTGTTCAACAGTCTCTTTTCTTTACCACTGACTTTCGCAGATCACTTATTTCAGCTCGAATTCCGACATCTCGGTTCTATGACAACATATTCTCTCTAATCCATTGGTTTCTTCTCTGAAATTCGACATGCAGGTTTTTTCTCTTTCTCCGAGACCTTGATCACCCTCCGTCCGCAGATCAATTTTCAGCAAAGCGTAGCCTGTCATCAAGTTTACTCACCCTGCCATCTCCATCAACTCTAGTTTGATCCAACTTTCTTCTGCTCCTCTGGCGTCAAGAATCATGATCCTGACGTGGCCGGTCGACTGTATTTTCAAGCGGAACGAAGATGGCAGCTCTGACATAAGGGTCTACCCAGTCTTATCCAAATGGCGACCGTGGAGTCTCGCGTGGGAGAACCCAACGACATTTCCTGAGACTTCCTTTTTCTATGAATGGATAGTTAGGTGATGCATTTGGGCTTTCTAAGACCTATATCTTGGAACTATGATTCCTCCGCGAATGTGCTATTCGATTGGTCCGTGGCCGAAGAAGCATCATTTCGCAAGCCACTGCGATTCAAATATCTCTGTGATCAGATTCTGGTCGTTTCTCTCTGCCGTCTCCTCTCCCTTCTCTCTTCACTGCCTCTCCCGACCGATCCTCCCCCCCACTTTCACCTATACTATTCGACTGGATGAGCCGATCTTTTGTCGCGCCCATCTGAAACCGGCGTTTCAGGCTTTGAAGAGCAAACTTGAACGATGGGCATACCGTTAACGGTTCCTCAGGACCTCTTAGGCAGCGGTTCGTGCTTTTTCCATTCATTCGTCACAGAATCTCTCCCTCTCACGTACCCTTGACGCCTAGACACCGACGCCCGGCCAGTCAACTGGGATGCCGTGCATGCTTTCTTCGCGTTGAACCTAATATCCGGGTTCGGCCTGGTCATTGTGCTCCTCACAGCAATATTCAGCAGCAAAGTGAAGCGAATGCCAACATGGTACAACTTCTGCGCCTCCTGGGTGCTTTCGTGCTTCTCCTACTCCCTCCTGTTCTTCGCGCGACAACATAAGCTTCCCCATCCGAATTTCCAGCTATGTTATATCCAGACCGGGCTCATCTACGCCCTCCCTCCGACGTAAGTCTTTCCGTGTGCACCTCGCCTGATACAGTATCTCAGTTCCTGCCATCTGATAGGACGAGCTGTACAACCCTCGCGCTCCTCGTACAGGTATGTTATATTTAAGTCGCGTCTTTCTTCTATCATCTGATGACATCATGCCTCATATAGCTACTTATGAGTTTTCCGGAGTCGAAGTCGCAAATGCCTACGAAGACGTCTATACGAACATCATGTCTGGTAAGGGATCCTGTCTCACGAAGTTAGACATGAAAACCCAGCTTAATATCTTGTGCCTTAGCTCCTCATCGGTCCATACACAATTTTCATTGTCCTTTTTATTGGCGTTGCATTAGTGGGTTGTCGAACATTCGGAGTCAGATACATTTGTGCTGACTCCGATGCACAGTATACCAGCCAAGATCCTATCTCATTACTGAATGACCGTCGCACGTACTGTCATTCCAGCAATAGTTCCTGGTACGGTGGAGCTGACAGTGCACACTAAGAAGAGTAGACTAATCTATCTCAGGTCCCGTATCGCATATGCGGTTGTCGCTACCGTGTCGGTCGCGAGCGTGCTCGTTCAGTGTGAGTTCTTCCCCTCTCCTAGTCCTCTGCATTCCCAACTAAATTGACGCGCTCGCCCCCAGCCAACCTTGCCCTCCGTCTATATATGAACCCGCAGATTATGCGGCAGAACTCGCACTCGGTTGCCACGATGCTTCGGGTTCTTGTTTTCGCCCTTCTTGGTGTCGTAATGGCCATGTATGCTTTCAACCTCTTGACCATACTCGCATCCGAGCACTCACTCTGCCTTTGACCTCAGTGTGGCAATCGTATTCGCCATCACAGGCGAGCAGGACCTCCCTCTCGATATCGTTCTTTCTATCAGTAAGCACAAGTCCATAGTGCTTGCTTCCATCTGCCAAACTCACAACCCGTTGTCATCTTCCAGTTCCATTCCTTGCCCTCCTAGTATTCGGAACTCAAAAGGTAGGCCCTTCTTTTGTCCATCACTCTTCTCCCAAGTTGACGAACCGTGGCATTGCAACAGGACTTGATTCAGGCTTGGCTTTTCTGGAAACAGCCTCATTCTAGAGCAGAAGAACGCGAGTCCCGGATTTTTGGTCCTCGGGAGTCGCAAGTGGTCAATGTGTAAATAAGCGAAATAGTGAACGAATGGAATATCTCTGTATGAATAGAACGAATGTGGATGTCTTTTCTAGTTCTCTACCAACACAGCTCTCGTTGAGGTTCCTGCCCAGCAAGAACAGAGCGGGGTAGAGCTTCGAGATTTTGACCTTCATCAAAGCTCCAAAACCTCGGTTTGATGGTCTAGTGAACGCCTGTTATCTTTTCTACACGCACCTTCCATCTTGCAATGACCGCAGCTCAGGGCCATGGTACACGAATGGATGGAACTCTTTGATTGTTGGGAGACTGGTCGCATGCAGTCGAAAGGATACGGGAAGGTCCTGCAGCCGCGATGCTCTAGGAATTTTAAAAGCGAGTACTTCCTAAAAGACCGTCAGCGTTTAACAAAAGCAAGAAAATCATCCAATTCAACCTATCATATAATTAGGAAAGTGGCGAGGTATTCCCTCTGCGTATAAGCAGGCACCGTCGCGTCTTGTGAAAACTTGCGCTCCAATTCTCCTCTCGTCTTCGCCCTCTCTGGCACACGATAAAACACCTTCGTCACATGAATCGCCTCAAGCTTCTTCGTCGAGTATGTCCGATCGCCAAAGTCGGCAAAGCAGTACTAAACGAATTGTTGCGCTTATTCTTTGGCGTTGTCGAAAGACTTGACTGCGCCTGTAGGGCTCTCTGAATGATGTACGTCAAGAGTGTCTTCTTCTTCGGGCTTTCAGCCGATGAAAGCGACGGGGATACCGCCCATAGTTTCTACTTGGAAGTAAAATTTAGGGAAATGGGGCCTGACTTCGTCTGAAAATCGTGTCTCGGCCTACGCCCGAGCTCCCCGGCTCGGCGCCAAAGGTTCATGAACCGCCAGGATGTCGATGTCAGGCCTTGTTAACGACGCCCTCTGCTCCGTTCCTCAAATCGCTCAGAAGATCTTGGAGGCGTTTACGCAACTTTTTGACGAGCTCATCGTCATCTGCGAATGGAGGCGGCTGTCCGATGATTTCCCAATCAATCGACTGGCGATAGTTGAGGGAGACGGTCTGCTTACGAGTTGGTCCAGGAGATACTAGATAAATGTGGTGAGAATCAACGAGGGCACAAGGGAAGTTGGAAATACCTCTGCTTCATCTATTGTCTGCACCAAGAAAAAGGATGGGGGATCTAGCTGGCTTCAGCAACTGGTACGAGTACTCACAAGAACGATGGGTCCTCTGCGTTGAATCATCAAAGACTTAGCAAGGTGAATAGTCTGACTCGAGACACACCTATTCATATCTAGGAGATCTACAAACAATACAAGGAGTCGCGCTGTCGAGGAATAGATAACACCTGGGATGATGACGGGCGAATATCTCATTCGGAATTATCCGGGGTTCAAGTAAACTAGCGTCCAGAATAAAATCGGTCTAGTCCAACTGTCAAATAAGTCCACGGTTAGGTGTGTGGCAACTATTAAGGGATCGTGAAGTCGCAAAGAAAGAACGAATTATGGTATACAACAAGTCCGAAGAGTCCGTCCTCAAGGCCTCAAGCTCCATCGCTCGAGGCACTATAAAAGTATGCACTTGTCATTCTTTTCGTTGGTCCTTGGGCCACTGAAGTCCATTCTCGGTTTACAGATACCAGATTTGATTTGCATTTCCGTCGGTGCACTGCCAGGTCTGAATCTGGTTTCCGTTCGTCAGAATGCCATCCGTCAAGTCCATACATAACCCTATCGCAGAGCCAGACAATGTAAATTATCAGTCAATTGCACGAACAGTCAACGCACCTTGTCCTTCGAGCGCAATACGGCTGTCGTCGGTGAAGTACCACTGCTGCGCAGGCAGATTGTCGTAACACTGCCAGATCTTCAGACCGACACCGTTTCCTGGCGCTGTACGAAGAATAAGCAATGGAGTAACGGGCATTTCGGACACGATAGGGGGGAAGGGGGAGAAATGGACGTACTAGAGCCAGCATCAAGGCAGAAGTTGGTTCCTGCGAGTTGGACTTTCGTGCTGCCGCGATTGAGGAACCAGCGTTGCGCGGGGGTTTGGTTGCAGTCGTAGCTGAAACGAATGTGAGTGAAACAGTGTATGGGTAGGAAAGAAAGACAGACATCTGAACCGGTGTTCCATTCGCGAAGTTGGCTCCGCGGACGTCGAGGCACTTGTCCATATTGTCGTTGGGATGGATCATGGTGCCTTGATTAGGGAAACTTCCTGTAGGGCAGAACCTTGCGCACCAGAAAGTCAGAATAACATGAGGTTTAGTGACGAGAGTAGGACGTACGTGATGTCAAACGTGGTGTTTGCGATGGGGCAGCGATAGTATGGAGGGGGTGGTGCGGTTGAAGCGGGAGCCGGGAAGCGCGTAGGTGGTTGCGGGAAGGCTAAAGGACACCCAGCCTCGCCGCATTCGATAGTCTGACAGAACCCCATCCTCTGTGCCGGTGTGAGCGAAGCGGCCAAAGTGAAAGTGAAAGTGACATACTGAGGGACGATCACGAGGTGTTATTTGCAACCCAACGTTGATATGGTCGGGATCGACGACCATGTAATAGAAGTCCTGAACCGACAGCATCAGCTACGAACGGCGATGAACAGAAACAAAGACAGAAGACGTACATCAGCGAAGCCAGCACGCGACGTACCGATACCACTGGGATTGCCGCCATTCGCATCAGTATAGAAGAAGCCCGCCCCGAGGGACATGGATTTCGTAGTATCCCCCCTGCTCGGGATCGAGCCTTCGAAGTTGCCAGCGATGTAGAGGTTGACAGCGCTCGGGCACTGGTTGTGGATGGTATATTGCCGCGTGTCCTGGCGAGACACAAGTGGGGACGCCCGAAGGGACACGGCAAGTAATAGCGCAAGTAGTAAGCTCAACATGGTGCTGAAAGGAGTTGCGTAGCAAAAAATGGTAGGGTCAAGCCACTCTTGCAGTCCTTATAAGCAATTCCAGTTCAGGAACGCCGACAATCCTTGTCAGACGTGGAACGCCCTCGAGAAGAACAGGCAGTGGATAGACATCGTGCCGGGCATTACGCGTGCACACCGACGAGTTCCAGAGCACCTCGGGTCGGGCTCTCGGAGGTAGACGTCTCGAGATCCGCGAACACCTAAATTTCATTCCGCGATGTGTATCAGTGACATCAGTGAAAGCCCATCTCCATGTCGAGTCACTGAAGCCCGGATTTGAGCCCCTCGGTCAGAATGAAGCAGAAAGGCATAGACACGGTAGGTCGCTGACGGTTGTGGTTGGAAGTCAAGCTTGAGTCAGGGGGCCGGAGTTCAAAGGGATGGATGCCGGTGATTGCCGGAAGTGGACAGGATCCGGCCAGCGTGGGCCGCGAGCTCTATTTGTCACTGAATGAAGGAAGCCATAAAAATCCAAGAAGTTGTATGGTCTTTTCCTGGAATCTGAACTCCAGAATCGAAACGATACGGCCTGAAAATGCCGGATGATCAACATTTGGCCAGTGAACATTCTGATCCTTTCTGGATCAACGAACCTACAGAATGCTGCGCGCTATCATATATGCTTTTGTGAACGTATTCACGAGGAATCCCATGCGGAAGTGTCGTGAGTTCCGAAAGACACGGTTGAACAGGCATCCCCTGCCCGACAGGCCCTGATGCATGATGGGCCAGAACATAGTCTCGTTCAATACGTGCGAGAATGGGACTGACAACTCTTATCTCATCCCTGTACAACTCTGAATACCGTACTGGCCTTCTGCCTTTAGTTCGGGCGAATGATTTAAATCGGGAAAGTGCGCCACACCACTCACTCTGTCCGATGTCACGCAACTAGCGAGCAACTGGTACTTGATGCCTTGGGTAAAAATATATTGAACTGGAGGTCGTGGATTTAAACTAAACTTGAGAGGGATCTCGGACTGTCCTGAGGCAACGACACCAGTAACTATCTCAGACAAGTCAGAGTAGAGTCAATATTCAAGAAGGTAAACCAAACTCAGCCAATCACAGCACCAGGAAGGACTCGCGTCTTGCCATCTGCGCCGTAAGAATCTACAAATGCGCTCGGAGAAAACTTGTGCTCAAACTCTCCTTTCGTCTTGACCATGCTCGGCATATGGAAAAACTCTGGATGCACAACAATATCGCCCAGCTCCTTCGAAGAGTAAGTCCGACCGCTAAGAACCACAAAGCAGCAGACGAATTGGTGGGTTTGCTCTTCGAGATCGTCATAACGAACGACGCCGACCAGTATGCCAATTTTTGCTTCGACGATGCGGAGGAGAGACTTGATTTCACCTCTAGGATTGTCGGCGACGCTGTAGATGTCAAGAGCGTCTTCTTCGAGTTCGTAACCGATGAAAATGACTGGGGTACCGCCCATGCTTCTACTTGGATGCGGAAAAAGGCTACCTGATCATGAATATCCACTTAAGATAATAAGATAACGACTTAGGCGTAGGTCGCAGATAGAGTGGACTCCAACCTTCAGTATTTCATTGGACATGCCTCTGTTTCATCCATGGTCTGCACCAATGAAAAGTCGATATGAGGATGGGGAATCCCGCTTCAGCCACCATTGCAACTGCTTACAAGTACGACAGGTCCTCTGCGTTGAATGGTCAGAGATTCTCACAACGGACATCTCATCCGCGAGACGCACCATTTCATATCTAGTGGTGTACAAATTTAAATAAGTAACAAATGGAAAGATCACGGTAGCTGCTCGTCATAGATTTGGACGGGCATACAATTTCATTCGGAATGATCTGGGGTGACTAGTGACTACTGAAGTAGGGAGGATAAATGTGCAGAACGAAGCACAGTCTTGTCATGATTGTGACGACAGAAAGAGCGAATTATAGTGTACAAGAAGTCCGAATAGTCCGAATAGTCCGACCCCAAGCTCCGCCGCTCGAGGGATAACAAAAAATACACATACAATTATTTTGGTTCGTTGGTTTACAGAGTCCAGATTTGATTCGTGTTTCCGTCGGTGCACTGCCAAGTCTGGACCTGGTTTCCGTTGGTCAGAATGCCGTTGGTCAAATCCGTGCACAACCCTTGTCCTTCGAGCGCAATACGGTTATCGTCGGTGTAGTACCACTGCTGCGCAGGCAGGTTGTCGTAGCATTGCCAGATCTTGAGACCTACGCCGTTTCCTGGGGCTTTTCCGAGAAGGAATATGATCAGTAACGGATCTTGTCGGGGAGAAAGGAACAGACTTACAGGTTCCAGCGTCAAGGCAGAAGTTTGTTTCTGCGAGTTGGACTTTCGTGCTGCCGCGGTTCAAGACCCAGCGCTGTGCGGGGGTTTGGTTACAGTCGTAGCTATCAGAAATACATGTGAACAAGAGTAACAGACAAATAGAGAAAGAGCACACATTTGAACGGGGGTTCCGTTCGCGAAATCAGCTCCGCGGACGTCAAGGCACTTGTTGGTGTTGCCGTTGGGATGGATGGTGGAGCCTTGGATAGGGAAACTTCCGTCAGGGCAGAACCTTGATTGTCGTGAAGTCAGAGTTCGGTCGCATTTTAGTCACAAGAATCGAACGTACGTGATGTCGAACGTGGTGTTTAATATAGGGCAGCGATAATATGGAGGGATCGGTGCAGTTTCAGCGACGGCGGGGAAGCGTGTTGGTGGTTGTGGGAATGCAGAAGGGCATCCGGTCTCGCCACAGGAGATGGCCTCGCAGAATCCAAGCCACTGTGCAAGCTGTCAGCAAGGTGATCATGAGATAAATCAGGAGGGCATACTGTGGGACGGCCTCGTGGCGCTACTTGCAATCCAACATTGATGCGCTGTGGATCGACCACCATGTAGTAGAAGTCCTGAACCGACATCATTAGAATCATGCAAGGCGGAAACGAACAAAAAGAAAACGTACGTCAGGGAAGAAGCCGGCCCGCGATGTGCCTTCACCGTTAGCATTGCCACCATTTGCGTCAGTGTAGAAGAAGCCTGCCCCAAGGCTGAGGAATTTCGTGGTATTGCCTTGACTGGGAAGGGATCCTTCGAGATTGCCAGCGATGTAGAGGTTGACGGCGGCCGGGCATTTGTTGTAGATGATGTATTGCCGTGTGTTCAACTGGCGAGTAACTAGCGGGGACGCCAGAAGGGGTACGGCAAATAGCAGTGAGAGTAGTGAGCTTAACATAGCGTGTAAGTGTTGGTGTGCAGCACGAAATGCTGGGGTCCTGATCGGTCGAGGGTCCTTATAAGTGATTTCCGTTCAGGTCCACCGACAATCCTTGTCAGAGGTAGAATGCCCTCGAGAAGAGTAGGCAGTGGATAGCCATCGCGCTAAGCATTTTGCGCACACACGTCGCCGCGTTCCAGAGGCTCTTCGGTGGAGTTCTCGGTGGTTGTCGTGAGATCCGGGAGCGGCCCTCCACCTAAATTTCATCTTCATGTGTGCGTGATGCATATCAGTGAAGTCATTGGACAGCACACGAGTGTCGACTTGGTGGAACCCATGATTATGTGGCAAACGACGAAAGGACCAGAAGCCTTCATTCAACGATTTTGAATTGTAAATTCATAAGAGGTGGTGGTTGAGAGGCAAGAAGCGGGGCGGAGTGGGCTTTGAGAGGGACAGCCGGTAATTGCCGGAGGTCCAGACCAGCTGTCATGTGACATGCCGCTTGAGGCACTCGCCCCCCGGTTCAGTCAGACCCGTCTCGCATGGCAGGGCTTGGGATTCTGCGGCCGGAAATTCACCATTTCCCCCTGCTGGACTCAGAACAACAATTCATCGCAGAGGCTCCCCAGAATCTAGGCGACGCTGCGACGCAGCCAAGACGCGGCCTGAAAACTCCGAAGGATCGAAGGCAATAATCTCTTAGCATAGCCCAATACTCTATGCCATGAAAAGTTTCGAGTCCATGATCTCCAGAATAGGTTGTATTTTATGGGTAATCGTAGACAGAAGCTCAGGAAATTCTAAAAAAACCGGCTATACAAACGTCTCTTGCTCGACTGAGGGTCAACGTTCAATAGTCCTGCCATCTAGGATAATCCTGGTTGTAACGAGTTTTACGACAGTGTATACAATATTTGGGGAGACTAATTTATGAGCCGACCGAACCATGTGAGAGCTCTGAGTACTACACTACCTTTGTGCCTTCAATTCCGGCGAACGGGTTAAATCCGGAAATTGCGCCACATTATTCGCTCTCCGTCTGATGTCATGCGACTAGCGAATGTACCTCACTAGCACTGCTGAATGAAATTCTCAACATAGAAAAATTTGAATGCTCGTATCATCATCAAAATTACATGAACAAATCTGTAAATATTTCGTAAACGTCTTTTCCTCTATAGATAATTCCGTGCAAGATCCTATAAAGCGTACTCAAACCAAGCAGAGCGGTCTCCCAGGCCCGGTTTTTCTTGGGCAATCGTACTATTCCTCCGAGTTTCCGCTTTCTTCTTGTTCTGATCCCACAGGTACCATGTGTTGAGGCCGCTGATGACGACCATCAACACCGAAAATGCAAGCAGAACGCGCGTGGCGAGGATGTATCGCGGAGCGGCGGAAAGGGACCCTAGAAGCCAGGTCGCTAGAATCCCGCCCGAGTTGGTCATTATGAACCCGATTGCGATAGCGGTCGCACGACGCGTGTGAGGTGTCGCATTGTTCGCGCTCCACGTCGAGAGCGTCGCGGCTGCGAGGTAGGTGCCAGGGATGGAGAAGAACAAGGAGGCATATTGGATGTGATGCTTGGCGGAACCTGTCGAGGTGATAAGCTTTCATTCGAAAAATTAGCTTTGTGAACATACCAAGGAACATTCCAAAGCCGATTACGCAAAGAAGCGTAGAAAACATGGACGTAAATCCACGACATCGATAACGATCGGATATGTAAGCGCCAATCATCGTCACTTCAATCGACACGGGTATCACGTCAGACATCGGAGTATTCATGTAATAGGACGGAAATGAACTCACGGAAAAATGCTACCGCGAAAGGTGGAACACTCATAAGCTGAGCTCGAGACGCAGTGTACCCGAGTCCTTGCACAATCGAGGGCGTGAAGCTGATGACGAGTTAGATACAGAGTGGTGATAGGAGGGGAGAAGAACGCACTATGCTAGACCGTACAGGACGGTACCTAAGCAAGTCAAATTAGCAGTAGTCAGTCGGGACTAGCCTCGGTAGAACGGAAAAGACGCTCACCATCGAAGAAGAACACAATAGCCAGCATCCAGACCTGAGGAAGCGTGAACGCCATGCCGACTTCTCGCCAGCTGAACCTGTCACTCGCTTCATTCTTCGCCGTCGCGCCATCTTCTCTAAGCTTCGTAATGACATAATCCTTCTCCGCCTGGCTGAAGAAGCGCGCGTGGGCGGGAGAGCGGGGCAGAAGCGCGAACGAAATGAGGCCGAAGGCGAAGGTGACAAGCCCTTCGAGAATAAAAATCCAAGCCCAGCCAGGCCGGTGTCCGATCCCATTCATGTTAATTATTCCGAACGCAAGCAACCCAGAGAAGGCACCCGACACTGAAGCGGCCGAGAAAAAGGCAGATATCCTGAGAATGGTCTTGAAATCAATTTCGGCGTCAGAGAAATAGCGTCATACCTCCATTGCAGACGCTGGCGAGGGTAGAAGAAGGACAAGTAGAGCACGAGTCCAGGGAAGACACCCCCTATTCAGGATAAATGACCGGTAGGTAGTCGAGCCTCGAGAAGAGTAACTCTTCCTTACCTTCAAGAAGGCCCAAGAAGAAACGACACGCCAAAAGGCCATGGTAAGTGCGAACGACGCCTAAGGTTATCCAAAATTCTTAGTACTCCGCGGTTCGAGGAACGTAACAGTGGCAACTTGCCTTGGAGGGTCGTTACGATTCCCCACAGGGTCAGCATTGTCGGTAGCATTAAGTCCGGGCCCACAATCTATTCGTCGCCAGTCAGCAGACTCAAGAGAATCGCTAAGTGTAGGACTTACTCGGAGAAGGAGATTAGAGGGTAGTTCGGCCGCAATGTACGGGACGTAGGTCACGGTCAACGCGATACTGTATTCTTTGTTCGTCATCTTGAGGTCCTTTTGCAACCCAGCTACGCGAGCGTTGCCAATATTGGACCGGTCCTACACGCGCGCACAAGGTCGGCATCAATGCCAAGTATACTTGGAGATAGTTGGTCCACATACCAAAAACGACAAGAGGTAAAACATCGTCACCACTGGCAGGATCCACATATCCAGTTTCCGCCAGACCCTCTCCAAGGCTGGATCGACCACGATCACCGGAGGCGGGTTTTCGCTGCTGCTACTGCTGCTTATTCCCGACTCACGGCGTTTCTCGTGATCACTGCTGCCAGATGCAGAACTGCGTAGAGGGCCCTTGTCCATCGTCCCCGTATGCTCAGTCTATGTGGCGAGCGAAGGCAAGGGGAAATGGGATATCGATCGGATATTCGGCAGCGATGGAGTTGCTAGATATAAGGAAATCAGCCGTGGCTATAATAAACCAGCCTTTCCTCAAGGAGTCGAAGCTTCTATGCGATCTTTAAAAGGCGATGGAAGCAAGACTGCACCATGGTGCGGTCCAAGACCTCCAACGAGCCAGGCACGAGGCTGTTCGGCTTACCGGCTGGTCCGAAAACATGAACTCGGACGGAAGCTTGAGGAGGATGAGGTGCTGGCTTCGCGTGCCCTTCCAACAGATGCACCCCATAGAACATCAGGAATCAGTGACGCTGGTGAGTGACCCCAGGTCGACGTGGATTGGTCGAATTTGTCGAGTAGAGATCGAAAAATGACGAAAGCTTGGATGAACTTGACGATGCAACACCGGGTGTCGTAGGTCAACTCCACACGGTGACAATCCAATGATTAGCGCCGCCATCAACCTTCGAACTTTGAAGGTAATCGTAAAGTCGGATTGCTGCTCGTCTCTTGGACGTTTGAAACTAGTCCGCGGATAGCGGGGGCCCATAGCACAAGGTATAGGACCCACTGGGCTGCGAAAGGATAAATGATTGGGCCAACAAGGCAACTGTAACTCGCACACCTAGGCAAATCGTTGAAAACCCATCATGACGCGCCCACCAATCATTCAATAGGAAGTGGAGACGCAGTTCATCCACATGCACATTGCAGCCATGTTTACAACCCTGGGTGGAAGAAACCTCACGTCAGTACCATTGTGGGTCGGGCACCGCCAAACGTTAGTAAAATTTACCTGCTGCCACGAGGCTACCCAGGGGAGGAAGACCGCAATTGCTATCCCTTGCTGGGACCTTCCCCAGATTCATCTCGGCGCATATAATCCATATCGCTGATGGTACTTCTGTGTCGATGGGGTATCCTCGTTGGAAGTCGTGAAGGGGCCTGCCTCGCGATGGACCGCGTCAGGCTTCTTCGTTTCTTTCACGCGCTCCCTCCTATGGATCTCTTCCGTATCTTCAAGTACACCCCCTCCCGTTCGTATCGCGAACTTTGAGGGCATAGTCGTTCATGGGAACCGACGGCTGCCGACGAGAAGAGGAGACTGGTCGGAACAAGAAAGAGAAAGAGTATCAAAAGATGGACTGGTGCATACGATTCTCTCTTCGAATCTTTAGAACGCAGCAGTTAATTATAACAGTCGCAAAGATCCATGAGGCGGAGACATTCATATCCACAAGACCCCAGATGTCCCGAAACTTGATGCGTATTTCTGGATTGAACGCAGATAGAGATATCATTTTACCTCTTCATCGCCGCTTGACTGTGGACGCTGGAAACCGACGCAGATAGCCCTGGGGAAGAGCGGAACTGTTGGTAGGTTAGCACTCGCTGTTCAAAGCATTTGCTGGCAAGAAACTCGGTACCGATTTGCTTGTCCAATCGCCATCTCTACTACTCTAGCGTTTCGTAGGGAAATGTCAGAGAGCCCAGCCGAGGCTTCCCTTTGTTGAATGAAGAAGAGAACGAATATTCAGGAACTGATAAGCCGATATGTCGTGGAACGAGTAGTGCCGGAAGAAAACCTGGTAAATGATAAGTTCCCAGCATCACGCCTTTTGACATTGCTTACCCATACATATTCTACCCGAGCCAATACAAAAATCAGAGAAATAGAGCAGATGTCAGGGAAAAGGTGTCCTTGTAGAAGATCCTCAAGGTCTCAGGGTCCCTTAGCAACTAGTTTCAAGCCGCTGTTGCCCGGCACTCTGGGGTCTCTGTACCATCTATCGCACCAGTGGGAACCTACACAAAAATGCGGCGAGAATTTATCCGCTGAAATTGCGAGCGGTCGACGGGCACGGCAGAAGCTTCCACATGCGAATTGGGTAAGAGATTCTCTACCGCTACTAGGATACAAATTCGATTCCTTGTATTTGGAAAATTCGTTCAATAAAGGAACGACCTCTATTGCGTCGTTTCGCGTATTTCCGGTTCTGGGTCCTGACGCGTCTCAACAACCTAACGAGAGTATAAGCAAAGGTCTAACCCCGTTGAAAAAAGTGGGTACGCACCTTGGTTATCTGGATCCCATACTCCATATCCGAACGGTGGTCGAACGACTTGCGCGTGTCGAGCTCGTACATCGTCGATCCAAGGATGTGCTTAACGGAGGCTTCACTGTCTACATCCCTCGAGCTACGATTGCCTGCGATGCTTACTGGGGCTCCGACTCCTGCTTCGAGGCTCGAGTCTTGTTGCTGCAGGAACGAAGATCCATATAAATTGAGTTGGGAGATTGAGAGCAAGACGCACCTGGCGACGGATAGCACCTGAGGAGACGACGTTACGCTGCTGCGAGTGGTAGCCAGTCAGTTCCTGGAGGCCGGCTCGGGCGTTGAGAGTGGAGAGGAGGCAGTTTGCGTAGAGTTTGGAGAGCGCCAAATCCCATAAAAAGTTCCTATCACAGAATAAGTCATAAGGGTAGCCTATTCAGTAGCATATAGTGAGACTTACAACGCCGTGTGCTGTAATATAGACCCTTCGTGTCAGCAACGACTCACGAGAAACGTCAGATGAGAATAATTACCGGAAGAGCTAGAAGAAACCGCGGTGATGAGAAAAAACAGTTGCAATTAACGTGCTAAAGATGGGCGTACTCATGAAGAAAACTACGTCTCCAATAGCGAATAATGCGCTATATGGACGGACGACAGTGAGCAACAGCCGCTCCAGTTGGGCAACGGGCCTACGTACGTGATCATTCCAGTTTGCACGGTCATTCGAATGATCTTCCCAATGGCGTCATCAGTGGCAGCGAAGCCCGTCCTTCGACTCGACTGTAAGAACGTTAACGATCATCAGCTCCACGAGGCCTAGTGAGATAAGATGGCGACTGAAACGTTGAGGCTCACCAGGCTCAAGACAAGGACAACCGTGATCATTACATCCGCAACGCAGGCTGACAGGAACCAAACAAGCGCCGGAGTATGCAGCTCAGGCTTTCGAGAGAATAGTTTAAATTGGGCGATCAGCACGGTGGTCCATATCCCTCCAGCTACCAACGAAGTATCGCTCAGCTATGTACCATCAAAGCCGATCTGAAGGCGACGGCACGCACCCAAAGAAACGATCGAGAAGCAACAAATGACGAGTGCAAGTATGTTCGATTTTGTTAATAGTCGAATCCTCCATGCGAAGAAGAATTGGATTGGTGTTGAAACTGCAACCTGCAACTTTTATGAACAGATGGATGACGAGAACAATGAAGGGGACTGACAATGACGGCAGGCTCTAGGTGATCGACAAAGGGTCAGCGCACCATGAAGCCCAACTTTCTTTCTCGCTTCTCACCAGCTGCGAACACTACAAGAGTCGTTAGCGGACCCGAAAATAATTTTGTAAAAGGACGACGCACGAGTAGGGAAAACCTTCGTAGCTTCGGGCTGACCGAATTTTTCGATAAGTGGTTGGTACATCATCGCCATGTCGCAGGCCGTGTTGACCGTTTCCACGATGAACAGATAGAGAACCTGCTCCAGGTGATCGATCGTCAACCAGGAACATTGTCATCCATGTCGTCAACACCTACAAGATATTTAATCCACGGCGCATCCCTGCAGGCATCATGGATATGAGAATGTCGAAAAGGTGGCGACAAGAAGAAATAGCACGCACTTCTTAAACGTCTGGTAGTAGTGGTATGTCTGAACATACTTTCGTTATGTGATGCTCCACAGCTTCCTGCAAGAGTTCCTCGAACCTGAACAATCAAAATCTGGGGACAGCCGCGTAAGTATTGGGCGGAAAAGCCTGTAAATAGTACGCCTCGCTTACTCCATAGAGAATCATGTTGACAAAGGTGCCGATGAGCATCGGCCCAAACCTACTCGCCACCGAAAACCTTAGCACGTCGAAACCACAGGAAAGAACGAAACGCGCACAAGAGTTGGATGCTGGGCATGGTGCCAGCAGCGAAGGCTCGGAGGACACGGTTGACGCCAGGAGGAGGACAATGAAGAGAAATCGGAGCAGAGGCACGAGGGGGGATTCCTCTCCGTTGATGGGAACACCTCTTTATCTTTGGCTGCTAGTCAATGGTGCACGTCCTCCTTCGAAGCGCACCCTGCCATTATGATCCGTTTTCTCAGAGGGGGGTAGTGTCTCTCTCCCTCTCCCGGGACAGCTGACGATAAAGGAAGCGGTGACAGGGGACCCGGGGCGTGTCAGGATTGCACTGGTGGGCGGTGCGAGAATTCCTTTGTAGGACGTCTAATTGCGAAGTCGCGACCGTCGACGCTTCATGAGAGTGCAGAGCGCAGGGTCGTGGCTCTTCAGGATCCTCATAATTACGAAATTTTCTCCCTCCACGAGTCAGACGCGGCGCTGCCCCCCGACGAGACGTGTCGTTACTCGACAAAATCGAAACCACTGAAAAAAACCCTGCAAAAGAATCCAGCAGCTGCGCATGGAGACCGGGGTCTTTCTCCCGAGCACCGCTGGCCAGAAAATTATCACCTGAACCTCTCACTAAAAATACTTCAAATACCCAGGCGGTCAGAGAGGGGGCATCATCGGACAACTTAGTAACTCACTGGCGAAAGGAGAATGGGGAAAAGCGGATGTTTGTAAGATGGACGCGGAGATGTCGGGGTCTGAAGATATTATTGAGGCTTCCGCAGAACTCTTCCAGTCCCGCCGCACCTTGACAATGATAGCTCCTGTGAATCTGTGAGGCGATGGATCCTCAGAAAGAAGATCAGGGCAACCGGCAGCTGTCAGTCGGTGGCTGAATCAAAAACTCCGCTCAGAATTTTGGGTGGTCGGCAGCAGGCGTGCCGTGCTATACTGTACGTAACCGGTTACTCGGTCACACCAACAACTCGGTCATCGCCTTTGTGGACAGCACAGTTGCTCGTTTCACTCAATTCTTTTTGCATAATCAGGTACAATTGTACAAGAGCAACGGAATTCCATTTTTTCATGAATAGATAATCTTTCCTCGTGGAGAAATGAGTCTCTCTTTGGCTGTTGTGATGCGTGACACCCAATTTCCTTATTTGAAAACCTGTTTCTGGTGGTTCCGGAGGGCTTTTCTCAACGACATGACTGGCTGCTGGAAAAATACTTTGGAACTAAGGAGTAGATCATAATTAATGTATAATCAAGTTATTTTATCTCGTGTGGACGGATTCCTGCACTTTCAATATTGAAAATTAGAAGGAAGATCATTTTAGAGGTGGGTTGGACTGTTCCGGGTGATTTATATTGTGACAAAGCCTCTAGGGGATGAATTGAGGCATCAAAAGAATAGTGCCTCAGATACGTGCTTAGGAAAGAAGTCTCTTTAATTTTTGCAAATTTCTTTCGAGCATGAGACACAAAGTAAAGAGAAAACCTCGTTTTGAGTGATAAGAAATGTCAAATCAAATACTTCAAGGGAAGTTGCAAGGTATCATGAAATAAGGGGACCAGATAATGATAGAGGTGTTTGACTTTTATTGGAAGCTTTTTTTCCCGTAGGTCAGACCAACTTTGAAGAACAATTCAAGGTGGCCGAGTACTGTCCTCGTATTCCGACACTATCTTATCATCAGCTTACTAAGCACAGTTGACCCTGGTTACAGCCGGTGTACGGGACCAATACAAATCGGTCTAGTCTCGGGGCCTGGCCGACTTCCTGGTTTTGACCGATTTTGACCTATCAGAATAAAATATTCATGGAGGCCTCAAACCTTCCCGTAAATTTCTGATAACTGGTGCACAGGTACTTCAGATGCTTGCCTATTGAGTAGTACTGCTATTTTATTCAAAACCCCCAAACCCAGCGAGCAATTTGTAGGTGACTGTAGAGTGACCGAGATGCCGGTCATCTACAGTATACGCCACAGTTGGAGGCGAGACATTTCTCTAACGGCCGTAATTCGTCCACAGCTAGTAAGACAGTGGCCTGTTATGAGAATTCCATCTTTCTGACCCTACCCAGCAGGGATCATGAAAATTTGCGTTCCCAGGTAGAAACCCGCACGATAACCTTGTATAATGAGTGGCTTGGACGTCATTATCATAGCTTAACAATACAGGCGCGATTGGATCCAGATGCCATCCCGGCGCTTGATTGCAGATGACAAAAAAAAATCTCGCTGCTGCCGCTGCGGCGAAATCGAAATTGATGACCATCGAGCAAGCAAGTCTGGTTCACATGGGACCTCGCTGTCGTAAGTACTGTCATAACATTTTTATGCTTCCAAGTATGCCCAGACTTTACACGAAAGGTGTCCAGGGCCCGGGGGTGATCACGGCTGAACGTTTGAACGCTTTAGCGATTATTGTAATTTTCTCTCTGGTCGCCCGCCAATCGTGCGAAACAATTCTGAATCGAATAGACGGCACGGTTTTGGATACTCATAAGTTTGAGAACTGGCGGGCTAGATCTACGAATGAACTAAATGGAGCCAGTTATCTTTGCGTGACGCTATTTTCCCTTCGATGAGATCACCAATGGGAATGAGAGCTCCGCATACTTGGAATAGGTGGCAGGTGTGGTTGGTGGCCGCTGATTTCTCAAGCCTCGGATTTTATGGAGAGCAGGAAATGCCCTTGAGCAACGCTTTGCATCATATTGCAGAAGCTAAAACGGACGCCCGACAGTGTAAGGGCAGAAATTTGATGAAGGATCTTCTGCAAGCGCTTAGCTTTGGCGCCCATACTAGCACCGCATGGCTGAGCTGATCGGTAGCTGACCAACCATCTCCCTCGAAGAACTATGTTGGATTTACAACATTTTGACAATGAGCATACCACTTTGTGGAGCTGTGGTCCCTTCAGTGGAGGGAAACAGGGTTCAATCGTCTTCGACCGGTAATGTAAGGGCAATGTAAGGGAACATGAACAAAAAAACGGCTAGCCTCAGGGTATCAGACACTTGCGAGGCCTGGATCATTCATTAAATGGGTCTGGTGCCCTGTAGTGCGAGTCCGATCTCCGAGGTGTCATATCAGTGCTTCTCCTAATGAGTCGCATAACAGCGAAGGGGCGTGGGGCAGCTGCGAAGCCCCATCCTCTTAGTGCGCTCAGTCGCTACTGGACATTGGGGACCGCGGTTGGACGAGTCTCGAGACAGCGAGGGCGGTTGATAGGCATATGGCAAACGCCAAAGCTCTGGTACTTCATAGACCCTTTGCTAGAGGCAGCTGAGAGCGTCGGGACGGACAGACTGCAGCCCACTTGTCGCAGAGAAGCAGCACAGTCGAAGGACCCCACACACCTTTGTTGGATCAGTGAAGAAGCTTTCCATACCTTCTTTTCAGTGTTCGAGGGTACGCAGCGGGGCGACTACAAGTACACGCTTATCTGTGGACCAAGACCGACCTCAATGTTGCGATGAGATAAATATCATGGATGTGTGGTCGCTCTTGCTCAACAACGAGGTCAAAACGAGGCTAAAATGAAATCTTATCACCTGAAGGTCTGATGGAGTACGTGTAGGAGGGTGAACAGCGGTCGATACAAATCTCGGAGCTTTGGGGTCGTGTGAGACTATTGTTCAGCCCTTTCAGCGTAGAGGACACGGTTCTGCGCTTGCTGACCATCCGCCGGCGCCTATTTCTGGCCCGGAAAAGGGGCTATTTGTGTGTAGTTGGCGACAGCTTCCATCTCTCCTGGCATCAGGAATGTTCGCGCTAGTCTAGCGACACTCTCCTAAATACCCCGCTTTTTCCATGTCTCCTCCAATTTTCTAACATTATGTCAAGGCCTATGAAACTCAAGGACGACGGAACGCAGTCGGGCAGCGGTGAGTGACACAAAAAACTCGACATCCCATCAAGGAATCAGCTTATGGGAACTTCTTTGATGTTGACGTTAACCTTAAACCCGCTCTTGGAATCCATGTTCACCTTCAACCACTGTGACGATGCCCCCGCGAACACGTCGGTCTGCTGCCGTTGCTGCTGCCGCGTTAGTTGCAGATATGCAGATGGAGTCGGAGGAAGAGGAGGAGCAGGTAGATGTCGAGGTGGAGGACGACGAGCAGGAGGGCGAGGATGTTGAAGAGGAAGATGACGAGGACGGTGACGTTGACGAAGAGTCGGTATGTATCTCAATCGAGAGCCAGCCGTCATGTTAACAAGATGTAGGAGGAAGAGCCTCCCCCGCCCCCAAGGCTCAAGATCACCCTTAAGCTGCCACCTACGAATGCATCGAGTAACGGGACGGCCACCCCAGACGATCCAGAGATGGAATACCCCGCATACAAGCGTACGCCGAAACGGCGGGCGAAGGGTGAGCAGCTCGCAGCCATCGCAATGATAATGTTGAACCATGCCTGCAGCCAGAGTCATTGAAGACGCGGATGTCGAGTCTGAAGATCCTATGTCTCCTTCCGAATCGGACGAGGGGTCGTCATTGCCCAGTGTAAGACCGATGACGACGCGTCAGGCGGTGCTGGCGAGCGTCGTCGATTCATCGCATGTGTCCTTGAGTAAGTGGCGTTCAAGTTATCTGGAATCACTATTTCATCGTTTCCAGACGAGGGCACACGAAGCAAGAAGCAACCTCTGAATGAGACGGAACTCGCCCTTCGACGAGAAGAGACCGCCAGGAAACGAAAGAACCTCAGCGAGAAGCGGCTCGAGGATGAGAAGGTGTGATTATCCCAACGCTTTCCTTCGTTACATTCTAACCTTCTACAGGCAGAAACCATCAACCGTCTCCTCAAAAAACAAAGCCGGCCCCGTAACAAACGCAACAACACTGCCGATGACCGCTCACCCATGCCCACCGCCTCCGGCTCGCGGACACCCAAAGTTAAAGCCAAGGCCCAAGACGGCGAGGAAGGCGAAGGAGAGGACGAGGAGGACGAAGACGCCATGGACGTCGACCAGCAAATTGAAGAGGTCAAGCCCGTCATGTATCGCTGGGTGTCGTCACTTCGCGAGGTACCCGTAGAAGGAAATGGGACGGAGAAGAGGATGGAGGTGGCGTTGACGTTCTCGGTCCCGGAGACGTTATTTCCACCACCACCACCACCTGTCGCACCGGAGGTTGCCCCAGAGGTAGATGCGCAAGCGGAGAAGGAAAGAGCAGCGAGAGGGCCGGGAGTGTGTGCAATTGCAGGATGTGGTAAGCCGAGGAAGTATCGACTGCCTAGGGATTGGACCATCGGGGCATGCGACTCTATACACTTGCGTGTGTTGGCTAACCAGGCTTGAAGGACGCAAGGAGCGTTTTTAGTTTGCATTGGCAAGTCGAATCTTCGCTATTTACTCCGCCTTCGGCCTCATGCAAGTTCTTCATTGCAGGTAGATCCTCGACGTCTATGTAATTTCTTGTCTTCTCATCTCAATGAAGGATGTTATCGCATTCTTTTACCAGTTCAATTGCCTTTATTCAAGAGCCAGGAACTTCCTTGACATTGAAGAGCCTCTGCATCATCGTCTCCAACGACCAAAAGTTCAGCTTTATTCCAACTAACGCGATCGTCCAAGCAATTGTCCAAGTATTGGTAATCCGACTTTATACTACGAAGGGGTCCGGAAGCCTGGAAGAGAAAGAGATATTGTCCATAGGTATGTCCGTCAACTATCATATTTCTACCATTCAAACGGTCCAGACCTGGTTGTTGTTTCCGTCGGAACACTGCCAGGTCTGCACTTGGTTGCTATTTGTCAGGACACCATTAGGCAGATCAAGGCAGAGACCTATGCAAGCGTTCAGTAACTATCGCAATACAAGCACGTCCAGCAAGAGCAAAGATCGTACCTTGTCCTTCAAGTGCGATACGGTTGTCGTTCGTGAAGTACCACTGCTGTGCCGGAAGGTTGTCGTAGCATTGCCAGATCTTCATCCCGACACCATTGGCAGGAGCTGGAAAAAAAAGGTATGGTCATCTCGTGTTCCTTTGAAGCAGATATGAGAAATGCTCACTTGAACCAGCATCAAGGCAGAAATCGGTACCAGCAAGTTTCACCTTCGTGCTTCCTCGAGCGATGACCCATTTCTGCGCGTTAGTTCCGTTGCAATCATAACTGCGAAGTCATCAGACCGGATTCGGACTTTTCAAGGATGCAACGCGTACATCTGGACGGGAGTTCCGTTCGCGAATACTGCTCCACGGACGTCCAAACACTTGCCGCTATTACCGTTAGGATGAATTGCGACTCCAGTCGGCTGAGGGAATTGACCAGAAGGGCAGAACCTGTCGCAATCCAATACACATTGTAAGTCCACGTATTCGAGAAGACGTGAAGGTGGCTTACGTTATGGTGTAGGTGAGGTTGGAGAACGGGCAGGCGTACACCGGTGGGTTCGGGGGCGTCGCTGCCGGGGCAGGGAAGCGGGTCGGTGGGGAGGGGAATGCGGTCGAGCACGAGACGGAGTCGCACAGAATGCTCGGACAAAATCCATCGGCCTGAACAAGACTTCAGGTGATTGGCGTAGGAAGAAGATATGAAGAACTTACCGCTGGTCGATTCGGCACGATGCTCATTCCGATGTTGAAGTGCTCTTCGTCTTTGACCATGTAGTAGTAGTGGGCCTTTCGAACAGGTACGCCAAGTGAAGTGCAGAATATCGAGGACGGATACTCACGTCGTTGTCATCGTAGAAGCCAGCTCTCGTTGCTTGCCCATTGACGTTGCCGCCATTGGCTGTGGTATAGAAGAAGCCTGGGTTGAAATTACCGCCTGTGAATGTGGTGGAAGATCCTCCAGTTGGGATGGTAGTCTGGATGAGGCCACCAATGACCAACTCCACGGCGGTGGGGCAACTATTCCGGACGATGTATTGCCTGTCTCCTGGTCCGGGGTTTTGGCAGCTCACACCCGCGATCCAGAGTGAGGAGGCAACGAGGAAGAAGAGAGACGCGTCGAGCTTCATGTGTAGCATGTTTGAGACTCAAGAGTGAGTGAATACCAGGTGGTCGTTACCCACTCTCTGACGCTGGATGTGCCTTTATATGATCCAGCAAATGACAGAATAGCGAAAAAAACAAGCATGGCCGTAGCGTGTCACCAGACTCAGGAACGGAGGACCATATGTGATATCAATCTTTCTTGGGTCCAGCACGGGTCTCGTCATTCGGCGGGTTGATGTGCCCGTTTTCTCGAGGAATACCCACGACGAGGAGCTTTTCTAGTCTTGCGTCGGTCGCGTTCTCGCCAGGGGCGATGATAGACATCCAGGAGAGGACGACGTTGCGAAAACGGCGGAAATAGAACTCGATTGTTACCAAATTTGCCTTGGTAAGAAAGACTTTGGCCCTCGTGAATTTGGAATTCAAATTGACTCTTACCGACGGAACTAGAGATGCGGATGAACAGTTGGAGACCTGCGCTTACAGTGACTGTAGGTCGGAATGTTTTCAGAATTTCAGAAGAAACCTTGAAGGCTCCGTGGGTTTCGTGATCCGAGTTGGCCGGTCCGCCGACGTTCGTCGGAGTACTCATCTTTCATTGTTAACTCAGGAGCAATCTGGACCTATTGAACCGAAGCCACCTTGATGAACGAAGTGGAAATGAAAGAAAGGTCTGCACTGCGAAAATTCTCCATACATGGTAGGCGTAAAGTTGGGAAAGTGTTGAGGGTTCATCAAGCTTGAGCAAATAACGTACCGGTGCAAGACCGTTTGGTACGTTCAACATGAATGCGTACTTGCTCTGTGGGTGGAACGCGGTGGTGGTACTGTTGGAGGATGCGATGTGCGACCGGGTGGGATGTGATGAATAGGTTGGTAGCGGGTATTCAGAGGAAGCTAAGGATTTGGGCCACGTCCAAACCCGTTCTGACAATTTCTTCCTTAGCGCTGTCGAATTCAACGTCATCGCACGGCCTAAGCATTACGACGCTGGAGAGGTGGGAGATGTGGACATTCGATCCTGCCCTCACCTTCTGCGTAGTCCCGTCCTTTCCACCCTCCCAGGGCAGCCAAAGTCTAACTCAGACGCCTCTCGTCTTCCTCGTCGTGCTCTTTTTCTTCGGCTCCAACATTCTCATCTACCTCTCAGACGAAATCTTCTGCAGACAGTACTACTAGTACTAGATTACCCTCTACACGGGTGTCGCCCCTACTTGCCCCTACTCGTCATGCCCGAGCATGCAGTCGCGTGGTTTTGGAACATCGCGGACCTGTTCGCTCTCTCGTCTTGACCCTTACTAGATCTTTCTCCTGCCTCTGAAGGGAACCCGTTGCTTGATGTCCTGCTACACCTTGTCCTGCTACACCTTGTCCTGCTACTCGCTTTGAATACGGCTATACTTATTATCACTGACTCTTTACAGCAAAGTTCTATTTCTTGTAAAATTCGTGTAGGTTTAGATTATGTTCAAATTCATTGTTAGAGACAACCGTTGTCTCCAACAAGTTCAACGTTCAAAGTTCAGGTCGAAGTGGTATCGGGAAAGCGGCCCGTGTTCCAATAATAGCACATGTTGAATCATGGCTTCCAGGGAAGTCGGTAAGCAGACATCCGCTGGTTGGTTTTCTCCACCAATCCCCAAAGCCTCGAGGCTTTCAAGCCCTTCCCCAGCGACGCATCTCACGAATTTCCACGACTTCATCCACGCTCACCGAAATTCCCATCTTTAATTCTTCGACTTCAAGCGCGATAGCCACCGCGTTCAAGAGTCCAAGTGTACCTGGACTCCAGATTCTCCAGAGGCGACGTTATGCTTTTGAGCATACTCCCAACATATCTCCTTGCTCTTATTCTTACCATCCGGCCCCAACCCTCTTATTCAGTGCCCGGGTTGGACATCTGGAATGTCCCTTCCTCTAAAATTATCACTCCAGATTGGTTTGCCCGGAACCCACCTTCAATACAATATAGAGAACTGGAGAAACGAGATGGGACGAACTACAATCCAGACGGGACACCCTTCCTCTGGCTTCCTGAAGACGAATATTCCGGGAAGAACTTCTTCGAGTGCGTCGCGTACTGGTTTTCAGAGACAACACTGCTCATAGTTCTCCGCAGCGATTTTGACTTCTTTATCTGGGATGATCCAACCGGGTACGTTCAATCTGAATATGTACCGATAGAGATCTCATAATGTGGCTGAATGCAGGGGGATGGTAAAGTGCGCACACTTTGTCTTCGTATATGCGCTCTTGCGACCTTCATCTAGCTATATCAACCGAACAACGGCGTTTGAGAAGAACCTTGCATATGTTACGGACGACAACAAGGTTGTGATGAGGACGGACAATACGTCGACCCTGGAGCGTGGTCAACATCGAAATAGGTTCGTCTTTGACCAGATCTGAATGTACTCTGACGTTCCTCCTAACGACCCCGCTTGAAGTGTCCGAATAAATACCAAGAAGACATACACCACAGGCCTTTTCATCTTAGACCTTGATAAAGCGCCATATGGATGCGGTAAATTTTATCCATTTTGATTTCATTCCCATTCTAATTCTCTTCAAAAGCTATTTGGCCGGCATTCTGGTCCACTGGATTCAATTGGCCAGCGGTAAGTGCCTCTCTCCCTTCTCTGTGTTTTTTATCCAGTGCCTTTCATTGCCAGGAAGGAGAAATAGATATATTGGAGGGCGTGCACGACAACGAACACAACCAGATTACATGGCATACAACGCAAGGTAATCAACATCCTGGTCACTACCTATCCATCGTCGACATGCTCACTTTTGCGTTCCCCTGAGTCTAGGATGCCTCTATGACGAAAACGCGACATTTACGGGAACGATACCTGAACACAATGGAGTGCTCAGCACAGATTGCTGGAACCAAGCTAACCAGGGCACTGGTTGCGACGTCATCGAATGGAGTAGGGCCTCGTATGGACCCTTCTTTGAGGCTCAAGGAGGAGGAGTATTGGCGATGAAGTGGGACGAGAACGATATTTCAGTCTGTTAGTCCCACGACAGCCTTCCTATTGTGCTCATCTAACAACTTTCTGGGGCTATTTACTTAGGGTCATTCTTCCGTGCCGCGATTCCAAAAGATATCACAGCCGGCACTCCAAATCCGTCTGAATGGGGCCTCCCCTCGGCGAGGCTGATGAGTACCATGTGCGATATTCCCAAGCACTTTGCACGCCACACGGTTGTTTTCGGTATGGACCACAATGTCTTTTCGATGCCAATTTTCTGAACTTCATTTCATTAGATATCACGCTTTGCGGTTAGTGTCCTCTTGTTCAGAGAGGAAGGCGCTCTAAACACCGTTTCATGCTAGGTGCTTGGGCTGGAGCATCTTACGCCACTTCAGGATGCCCTGGAACATGCGACGAACGCCTGATACACCCAGAAAACTTTGAGGTAAGCACTCTCTGACCTTGCCTCTAACCCACCTCTTCTAATGACAAAAAACTGGGAACAAAGACCGCAATATGGCATATTAATTCCCTCAAAGTGTACAGGAAACAGCTTCTGTCAGGGAATGTGACCGTAGCCCCGGGTTCCAGTTATGGAAGTATGAAAGCGCAGACAGCCATAATATCCCTCGTCATCGCCGTTGCAGTAGCTATTATGATTTCTATTTGATTAATTCTGAAGAGGATGTGGGCCAGATTGAAGGTAAATGCTACATTTTTTCATGAATATCTAATATGTTGCAAATTCGTGATTCTGTTGGTCAGCATGCTGGGTCTATCCGTTACGGTTGATATTCAAAGATTGCTTGACATGAAAAACCTGTGTCCTCTGAAGGGTTTACTGGAATGCCGTGCAGGAAATGTGAAAAAGCGCTCTTCACTTCCTCAGGCTTCCTGTAGACTTCCAGCTTCGCCAGAGCGTATCCCTTTTCCAAGAAAATGAAACCGAGCCTAGTGTGGATGTGGGTGACGGCGCAGACGGTGAGGAGCGGAGGGGCTGGCTCGTGGGTGGATGGACGAGGTGGTTGTGGAGGTGGGAGCAGCAGAGGGGCAAAAGGAGGAAGAGCGAAGTCCATGCCGTAGTCGCATGGATCAAATGAATCAACTTGCGACGATGTCGCACAAGAAGGCGCGCCGATGAGGTATTCCAACACCAGGGGCAAATGGCGTGAGGAATCGGGTATGCTTGTACCGCACAGAGTCTCCCCGAAACATGGATTACATTCACACACAAGGCGTGGCGATTCCATGATCCCGCTTTCGCTGGTCCCAAGAAACATGTTAACCTTGTCGTAATTCAGGAGCTCGCAGTTAAGCACCGGCGTTTGCGTCTGACCCGATAGACGGCCAGGTGAGGTCAGCCCCAGCAATCTTCGTCGTCATTTCTGACTTATACTGAAAAGTGCGGAAGAACAAAAAAATATGGATGACTTAAGAGGATGTGTTCTCGACCCAGGTCAGCACCGACGTGATTTGTATTTCCTCCATCTTTCTAGAACATAGTCGGGGATGGGAGTTGGTGAACACAGCAACATCAGAAGCGATGAGTCAAGCGCCCCACAGAGCCGCGGATCTCCATCGAACACGATGGGAGTAGCCTGAAGGTGATGTGAGGTCGAGGATGAGCGTGTTAAGTCCGGAAGGGAGGGAGTTGGGGTGGTAGGGGTACCTTTTATAAGCTCCACGCAGCCGGAGAGCTGTTAAATGGTATGTAGTGTTGCCATTAATAATTGGCCCGTACCAGGTTGTATCAACTCCACTATGTTGGGTCACAGACTGCCGGCAGCACTGTGTGTCAGCGCATTAGGGGAACGCCACATTGCCTATAAATGGAAACAAGTCCCGTCCGCCAAGGTGTTCGTGGTGCAACGCACGGCACTGGCATCTTTTGGTGATAATTCTTGAACAAAAAAATTTTCATTGAGATGAAAACTATGTCCTGGGAGACGAAACTCCCGCTGCACGCTGCCGGTGGCCCGGTTGCATTTGCAGAGTTGCAGCAGAACCCGACGGTTGCCTGATGGGGGAACGCCACTGCAACCATAAATGGCCATACGACGGAACCGACTGCGGAGCCAGAGACGCGCCAAGGTATACTTATGTACATACATCTAGCGAATGCAATCCAATGCCATTGTTCTGTTGTCCAAAAGAGGCACAGAAAAAAACTACGAATCAGATGCTCACATGCCCGAAAAAAAGTATATGGGCACCACTGCGGGTAGGATAATTAAACCGTCCAGACCTGGTTGGTATTCCCGTCCGAGCACTGCCACGTCTGTAGCTGGTTACTGTTCGTCAAAACTCCGTTCGGAAGATCCAGACAGAGCCCTGGTTGTGATTCGACCCTTAGTGTATGATAGCCCTATTGAGAAAGTATAAAACTGACCTCGTCCCTCTAAGGCGATCCGGTTGTCGGTTGTGAAAAACCATTGCTGTGCAGGAAGGTTATCGAAGCATTCCCATATCTTCATTCCGATACCGTTTGCAGGGTCTGTGAAACAGTGGAACCGTCTTCGTCTCAGGAGAGGGTTCTTAAAAACTTACTGGAACCAGCATCAAGGCAGAAATTCGTGCCTGCAAGCTTCACTTTCGTGCTTCCTCGTTCAAGGACCCACTTCTGAGCTCCGGTTCCGTTGCAGTCGTATCTGGAAAATCGTGAGTTGCTCTATAACTCTGACACTGTACCACCATAACTCACATTTGGACGGGCGTCCCATTCGCATAGATAGCTCCACACACGTCCATGCACTTGCTTGGATTTCCATTGGGATGAATTGCTGTACCAGACAGTTGACCATCTGGAAACGAGCCCGAAGGACAGAACCTAGCAAGAAAAACCTTAATTTTACAACTTACCGATATTATAATCAAACGCGACGTACGTGATCGTGTATGTCAGGTTTGCGTATGGGCAGGAATAAACAGGGGGAGGTGGTGGCGTTTCGCACACGGGAGCAGGAAAACGAGTTGGTGGAAAAGGATACGCGGTGATACACGACGCAGATTCGCAGATAATGGTGGGGCAAAACCCGTTAATCTAAGAGCGGTCCATTAAGACACGGTTCATGGGGGGAGCAGGGAATTATACCTCAGAATGATTTGGCGCAATGCTCATCCCGATGTTGAAGTGCTCTTCATCTTTCACCATATAGTAATAGTAGCTCTATTATCAATCTCAGATCCATACTCGACGAACGTTGAGGACGCTGCTCACGTTGTTGTCATCGTAGAACCCCGCCTTAGTAGCCTGTCCATTCACGTTCCCGCCGTTCGCTGTTGTGTAGAAGAATCCTGGGGTGAAACTGCCTGAGGCGAACTTGGTCGAGCTTTCTCCAACGGCGAGCGTGCTGTCGATGACGCCGCCTATGACTAAATCAACAGCAGTCGGGCAGTTGTTCACGATTGTGTATGACTTGTCTCCGGGCGTCCCTGGATTCTGGGCAGCTACATGAGCGATCCAGAGTGAAGAAGCAAGTAGAAAGGTGAGAGATGCGTCGAGTTTCAAGGGTACCATATTACAGTGTTGTCGTGTCGAAGTCCCGACAGAGCCTTTTTATCGTATGGTGGTACACTTGGAGCTCAGTCGTCACCAGACTCGTTTGTGATACGGATCATGCCTGGAGGACTTCGAGGCCGTGGACTTTAGAGTATTGTCGAGAACACGGAGGATTCTCGAAGGGAATGTGATAGAAATCGAGGAGAAAGCGGAGTGAAGGGCTCGAGCTAAAAATAGAACGTTGCAATTTAGCCCAACTCGATTCGGGTCTACACGCATCGATGAAGGCTTCGTGCGTAACTCAGAAATTGTGCGAAGTGCTAAGAGCTCAGTAAGGGTTCCTTTCGTCTGCAAGCTTCACCGAGCGTCTGGAACGAGTTAACAGTCTTGGTACAGGTGAAAGAACATGGGCATGCATTCCGATTCTTGTCAAGTAGAAATGAAGGAAGGAATGACAGAGTAGTGGGACTCGAGCTAAGATGGCTACCAAAGTAATAAGGAAGTTCTATAAGACGGGTTCGATGACGGTCCCTCCGTTCATAGCCGCCATGTACGCCGTTTCTTTTCTCCCAGTCCTCGCGCTCGTTGCTTCCGCTCTGGCGCAGACAAGTCCTCCTATCCCTCCTATCGGAGTATGCAGCTTCTTATTGTGACTTCAAATTATATGTTGACCTCAAATTTAGTTATTCTGCTGTCCCCCATGTGGCCCAGACGGACTGCACCTCGATCGACAGCAAGTTGGCCCATACACCATTTTCTGCTAGTGAGTCAGCCCGCCCGGTGAAGAGTCTTTTTGTTTAAATCGTTCACGCGGTATTTAGCTACAGTCCTGGGACAGACAAGGGGTGCTACTATGTGAGTTTTAAATTGCTTTTCAGTCAGGCTTCCTTTTCACGAACCGTTTTTCCCGACAGAGTCCTGCCACGGGCGCTGGCGCGAACGTCCCGGGATGCCCACCCGAAGCGCCAGCAAACCCCCATCCGCCGACGTGTCCTATCTAACTGCACTTCATTTCTGAATCACGTATCTTCGAGTTTGAACCGAACCCCTCTATATCACTCGCGTACCCCAGTCGAACAAGCTTTATTTCGAGGACGGAACTAGCGGATGACCCGTAGATTTGTCTGGTCCATATACTAGTCGCATAGCCACAACCACGATTTTTTCCTCAAGTCGATGAATAATGTCTCGGAAAGTTGAACCCTATTTATTCAACTCGATCATTCACATCTTACATCCAAACACGAGAGGAGAATCAAGATGAAAGGACGAGAGAAATCCAAGGAGAATCTTTTTGAAAAAATATAACCCGCATCTTCAGGCTGTACACGCAGCAGAATTTAATAAAATCTCCCGACATCGGTACGGGCGCAGCACGGGCGTCAACAGTTGAGGCTGAGGCAGGCGTCTAAAAATAACCATCCGCCTTGGCGCCTAAAACCAGACCCTCGGCAACGATCGATGGTCTCTCCTCAAACTTCATTCCGCATTTTTTCTTCTCTTTTTTCTTCCGCGCGCGTGAAAATGATGCTTTCAATTATCAGCAGGATCGTGTCGAGGAGTCACAAAATCCTATAAATTGGCGACCTTCGCGGCCTTGGTTCGACATTCTTTCGTTTCTCGTCTTCTCCACTCCCAGTCTTTCTTTTATTCTTCCTAGACGGTTCCACGTGGTCTATCATGAAGGTCTTCGGTATCGTTGGTGTTCTTCTTGCCACTCAGAGCGTTTCTGCCCACTGTACGCCCCTCTCTTCTGTCTTTCCTTTCCTCTTCACTAACCTTTCGCACCTCAGACATTTTCAAAACGCTCGTCGCTGGCTCGAAGACATCAACCAAGGCCGTTCGGCAGCCACAGAACAACTCTCCTGTGGTGGACTTGACGTCTCCACAGTTCGCATGCAACACCAGCCCATCACCCGCCGACGAGACCGTCTCGGTCCTCGCAGGAGACACCATCGGCTTCCAGACGGACGCGGCCATTTTCCACAAGGGTCCCGCCGCGCTGTACCTGGGGCAGGCCCCAGGCGCTGTCGAGAATTGGGACGGGACGGGTCAGCAATGGTTCAAGGTATGTATTCTTTCTCTTTCGTCGGGTTTACGCTTTTGATCTTCGTCTATCATTGCGTATAGATTGCCGAGTGGGGCGCAACACTAAATCCCCTCACTTTCACGTCCCTCGGAATGTCAGAGTTCACAGCGAAGATCCCTGCCAACGTTCCTTCTGGAGACGTGAGTAGTATTTGTTTTCTCTCTTTCGACTCGATTCTTATTTCGGGCGTTCCTTCCAGTATCTCGTTCGCGCCGAGCACATCGCCCTGCACTCACTGGCGCCCCTGAGGCGTACATGTCGTGTGCGCAAATCCGAATTACCCAAGGAGGGTCTGGTAACCCTTCCAAGGTCGCGATTCCAGGGGACATCGCAGCCACCGACGCAAGCGTCATGGTCAACATCTATGACACCGTTGCTTCGTACACAGTAAGCCCTCCTTTTTGCGTCGACCCTGCGTCAGGTTCTAATTTCGTTCACCTTAGCCTCCCGGTCCCGCTGTGTACTCGGGATAAATGGTCTGGCACCATTTCCTCTCTTGGTAGCTTCTACTGGTAGAGCTACACTCACTCCGTCGCTCGTCGACACCCCATTCATTTGCTCACCTCATTCACTGTATCATGGTTGTTGTAATATAGTGTATAAACAGCAATCGTTCTCATCCCAAAATTCGTGCTTTCTCTTCGCGTGAAACTTTGCCAAGTTTACGACCGCCCGTTGATGCGTTATCCACCAAATTGTTCCCTGCGAAGCCCTTTGGAATTAGGGAGGATGAATATCCTGGACAGAAGGGCGTAAAGCCGATGTCCGTTGCAGTGCATTCGCCAAACGTGGAATGTCCCACTTAGGAAAGCTGGATTCCAGAGGAAACACCCCAAAATTTGAAAGAATAGGTCGGTGTGTTCGGTCTTCCGGACCGGCAAGAGTCGACGTCGACATGACAGCCTCCCACTTTGGCTAATTGACTTCTAAAACAAGGCCTATCCCCAAAAACTAGGTCTGGGTCTGGGGTAATAGACTGGGGCTCTGCCAGCATATAAGAGATGCCCGACGCGCCCGACGCGCCCGACCCCATTCCTTCCTTTCCACTCCCACCCTACCCTGCGTCCCTCGTCCCCTCGTTGGGCATCCTCATCCTCTCGCCTTGGGTCACGCGCACAGACCAGGGCCCGGAACAATACGAACTCTGCAACTCGGGATACTTCCGCTCCTTGGACAGCCACGACGTGACCGGCCTTTACGCCCTGTGCCGTAGGTCGCAGCTGTCTTCGTCTATCACTGACAATAGGTAAAGGGGGAGCTGGAAAAAGTAGTCGCTAGTAAGCACTCTTCTCAATTGTATGCGCAATTCTAGCGCGTCGGCCCCTACAGGACTAGCGGAGTTTCTCTCCGACGCAATGGTCAATTTCTCTCTCCTTCCTCGTTCCATTCGTCTTACTTTAGCTCAAGCGCTCTATTTCCAATCCATTGATCACCATTAATGAAAGCAGAGTCATCAGGCAACTTTGCGATGGTCTTCATTCGTCTCCGCCAGCGGGAGCACTTGGAATGCGAACAGGAAGGACCTGGACAAATGTAATATTGGCGTAGTTGCATCAAGCGCTGAATGAAGAATGGCGCTTCTACAGGCTGAGGTGGCCAAGAAGGAAACCAAGTACAGTATGGAACCACAGGAAGATGTACTACGACCATGGTAGTGACATAGAAGGCAAGGCCATGGTCGCCGTCACCCATCTGTCAGAGAATTATCAACAACAAGGGCTCTGGATAACAGGTAGCAATACGATATAGATGTGCGTAGACCCGTGCAGCTCAAGACGTTCAACTTGAACGAATGTTGACAGATGGATACGTCGATGGTCACCAGGAGAAGGATAGACGGATTTTGGGAGTCAAGGGTAAGCGCTTAAGCTTGAGCCTCGGATGTGGCGTACCCGCAACGTTGAGATGCAAGCCGAAGAGACGGCCGATGCGGGCGCTGTCGACCGAAAGATGGTATGTGTTGAAGCGATATGAGTCTTATCTTTCTCTTATCTGCTTGTTATCAATAGCGTGTCATTCTACCCATGTCGCTTGGCGGGTCTCCGGTTCGCTAACCGGGATTTCCCAGTAGGCGAGCACCCATGAATTTGATTTTGCGAAGGCTTATCGCGTCTCGATCACCAATTAGCCTCCGTATCAGCACCTCCCTTATATGGCACTGGGGATCACCGAGATGACGCGGTGGCGCAAATGGCCGTGCAGATAACCGCCGAAGTGAAAGATAAGTGAAAGGATTGGCACGCCTCGCCGCGTTCACAAAAGAGCAGATAAATTCATTCAGGATATGGGGTGAGTGCTAGAAGATTAATTTATAAAGGAGACGGCTCATCTTTTCTATCGTTCGTTCAGCCAAAATTAACGCTCAGATTAGGCGCTGGGTATCAGCGGAGGAATCCTCTTCGTCCCACCAGGTCCCCAGCAAGTGCGTTACTCCTTGAGGTACGAACGGACGTGCCTGAAGATATCAGTGGGCTAAGCATTTAATTATGCCTCACCTTCCCCGCGCCCCTTGTGGCCTGCCCCGGTCCTCCAGGACTGTTCAGGACTTGATCGAGAAGGCTCGGATATAATACCCCATGCTTCTGGATCGCCTCTTCCCTTAATTTACGCTGAGACAAGAACTCAGGTCGAAGGAGGAGAATGGGGATGTGCGTATGTTTATCTGAGGAGAAGTTCCCGAGGATCTTCTCTAGAGGCTATCAGAGGCTAAGTATCTTGCTATCTTGACTGGTCTTAAACCTCCGTTCCGTCACGGATCGTTTCGGTGCCTGGTTTTAATACCTGCGCGCTCTCCCCACAAGCCTTCATTGCTCCACCGACGAAATTTCGGGGCCTAGAAAGAAATGTGCTTTCTGTCCCTCATGAACTAGGTGGGCTTGGAGAGGGTCAACAACTAACCAAATACGGTTCGGCAAGACAAACAAGAGATAACGGCGGGAAATTCAAGTCCCGCGAATATGACATGATTGATGAGCAAGGTAAGTCGTCCTCGCTCTCTGCTGTCGTGTGCCCGACTGTTGCGAAAAGGCTGGACGTTTGACGGCTCACGAAACTTCATCCGGTGATGAGCATTACAGCAGCGCCCGTGAATCACGCAGCTTGGACGACCTTCTTATTTTCTCCAGTGCAACCGAGCACACATGGCTTATCAGCCAGGATAATGTTCAAGAACCAAGAAGTTCGATGCCTCGGTGTTCTCCCACTTGATGCCGGAGGTTCTCCATGCATAGGTACTCCTTGTCAACGTCAAGTCAATGTCGTGACTGACTTCGTGAAACAGCCGGAATACAATCACCTGTTGCTTTGCCAGCGCGATTCCAGGCCTCGACGTCTCCCAACTACATAGCTTTTGCTTCGCAATGAAAGCATAGATGGGAGTGCAGTGCAATAGCGTTACTCGGGGAGAAGCACTTACCCTGGCACCGTAAGATGGAGAAATTGCTTACATAGGAGAGGCGCTCTAAAACCGATGAGCCTTCGAGTCTCCGCCGGTCGCAGACATCGAACCCCAAAACTCGGCATATCCCTTCGCAGATATCAATCTGCACAATTCCGGTCAAAGAGAAGCAATGAAAATGCTGTGAGTGATCGCGGTATGACCCACACTCTCCATGGGATTTACGCTGTTGTCTGCTTACCCCAGTCCTCTGTGGGCAGTTCGCTACTATTCATCGCACTTCTCTGGCACACCCACTGCCATGAACGTAAATCACAGCGTTGCCTCGACACGATCCAGATCCGCTTTTTCGCTTGGCTATGGTTGTCAGAAGGCAAGGGTTAGTTCCTGTCCCTGTGGAGAAAAATTCGATAGCTGATAACATGCTTTTCATGGACGGTGATTGGACGATAGCGGCTACGGAATTGATTAGTCATGTTGTACCGTTGTCCGTTTCCGCCACCCACAACGTCTTGGCCGAACGCGAGCACTATATAGCCCGGCGTCTTCGTACCTGTGCGTTTTTGCCCACCCACATCCAGGAGGTTAACCTGCGGAAGTTTGATCTTACTGACGCGCTCCTTACCTATTCGCCACCATGGTCAACGTCACGTACGATAGTTGTGAGTATCTAACCTCTACTCTCGTATTTCATGCACACTTATGAGTGCACAACAGCTGGGTCCTTGATTGCCTACGACGCAGATGGCGCCGAAATCGTGTACAACCTCGGCGATATTGGGTTCATCATCGCCACCATGGCCCTCGTTTGGATCATGGTACCAGGCGTCGGTCTGTTCTACTCTGGTCTGCTGCGGAGGAAGAACGCGCTGTCGATGATCTACACCTCGCTCGCCTCCATCGCCGTCGTGTCGTTCCAATGGTTTTTCTGGGGTTACTCTCTCGCCTTCAGTGATACCGCGAGTCCGTACATTGGCAATTTGAGTGCGTTGGCTTGTCTTTGATCCATCGCTATTTTTACTGAGAGACGCCCAGAATATTTCGGTCTTAGGGGTGTCCTTGAACAGCCCTCAGTAGGGAGCAGTCGCATCCCTGCGCTTTTGTTCTGCGTCTATCAATTGATGTTCGCTGCTATCACGTGAGTACTAGTTTTCTCGTGTTTCCATCTATTTTCCTCCAATTTTCCCCCCTCTACCACTTGATACTCTACGGACACCTGCGTATCATCCTCGACGAGTGAGTGTTCGAGGAGGCATCTCTGTACGCCCCGTTCATGGTGTAATGCGGGACCGCCCATTACCGAGCACCTAGCACAGGCCCTCTTGATTCGGTGTGTTAATCAACCTGCTATTTCTTTCACCCCAGCGGGCACTTATACACTCCCCAAACAATTTTAAAAGGAGAGTAAGGTGCCGGGTGGTTATTTTGGATACGCAGCCAATTCTTCCCGCGCACTCCCGTACTTGACCCCGAACCTCCGCCGATTCGGCGGTCCTGTTTCCCGTTTTGTGTTCTCTTCTTTTCGTTTTTTTCCCCCTTGAATCGTATCCATATTCATTTGGCTCATGTGATAATATGCTTATCTTTCTCTCCTACTCTCTCCTAGTGCTGCCCTCGCGGCTGGTGCCATTGCTGAGCGTGGTCGCCTAGGCCCCGTTCTCGTCTTCGTCTTTATCTGGACAACGATCGTATACGACCCCCTAGCCTGCTGGACATGGAATCCCAATGGGTGGTCGTTCGTCCTCGGTGGTCTCGACTTTGCGGGAGGAACCCCTGTCCATATCTCCTCAGGAACAGCCGCCCTTGCTATCTCGGTCTACCTCGGGAAGCGTCGGGGATACGGAACCGAGCGCCTTGCGTACAAGCCGCACAACACCACCTACGTCGTCCTCGGAACTGTGTTCCTCTGGTTCGGGTGGTTCGGGTTCAACGGAGGCTCTGCCCTCTCGGCCAATCTTCGCGCTGTGCAAGCCTGCATCGTCACGAACCTCGCTGCCTCTGTTGGTGCCGTTACCTGGATGCTCTGGGTAGGTTCTTTCATTTTGGAGTCTTTTGTCGGTGCTTATCGTGCGCTGTAGGATTACCGCATCGAGAGGAAATGGAGCGCGGTCGGATTCTGCTCAGGAGCCATCTCCGGCCTCGTCGCCATTACCCCCGCCTCTGGTTACGTTGGTGCCCCCGCCGCCGTCTTGTTCGGTGTCCTTGGCGGCACTGCGTGCAATTTTGCCACCCAGCTTAAGTTCCTCCTCGGTTACGACGATGCTCTTGATGTGCGTTTATTTCATCCTTGCCTCGAATGTGATTTTCTGACTTTTTTTTTCACTCAGATCTTCGCCACCCACGGTGTCGGTGGTATCGTTGGCAACCTGCTCACCGGTCTGTTCGCGCAAGCCAGCGTCGCTGGATTTGACGGCGCCACCGAAATTCCCGGAGGCTGGCTCGACCAAAACTACATCCAGCTTGCCTATCAGCTTGCGGACTCGGTTGCCGGATTTGCCTACTCCTTTGGTGTAACGGTACGCGACTTTATTTCGTCGCTGTCTCCTCTACTTACACCTCTGGCAGACGATCATCCTCTGGGTCATGCACTTCATCCCCGGCCTCCGTCTGCGGGCCTCGGAGCAAGCGGAGATTCTGGGCATCGACGACGCAGAGATGGGCGAGTTCGCGTACGACTACGTTGGCCTCGAGCAGGAGATCGGCCACACGATCGACACCGCAGGCGCGGCGGGCGGCAGCCGAGAACCCGATCACCACCACGTCAAGAGCTCGAAAGCAAGCAGCGAGAACGAGAAGGCTTAGACACCCTTCCCTCAAAACAACATGCATATCCTCTGCGTTTTCCGTGGACACTCTACCCTAGTCTTCATACCCTCACCCGCATACCGTTCCTTTCGCTGTAATTTCATTTCCCCCGTCATGCCCATTGTACGTACATAGACAGGTGGGGGATGCGTTCTCCCCATCCTTAATTTTGGATACTCACATCGCGTCGCGTCGGTGCTGTGGGCGGCCACGACCTCCTCGTGGTTACTTGTACCTAACTAGATTGATGTGTAGTATGCGTAATAATAATGCCACAAGAAGCAATTAAATTCGTTCAGAAATTGTTCGACCTGTTTTTGATAACGAACGTGGTTTCTCCAGTGGAGGCTCTGAGTGCAATTCCCATTTTTTGTGGACACGGTGGAATTCGAAGCACGAGGGCTGAACTTTGCATGTGCTGTGGACACCGCAGTCTGGTGTTCACCACTTATACTTCTGACCTGTTGTCAAGGTGCCCACGGACAGATATCATCAACTCTGATAGATGGACTTAGATGGTTTTGAGGTATTTATGGATTCGTCGGTATGTCGACATCGTCACCTGAAATACGGATAGGGGTCATGGGTCTTTGAACGGAGTCTTGGTGAGCTCTGATATTTTAAATCGCGGTCGTCGTAATTCCTTACCTAGCCTACTCGCGCACCCCCCTAGGGTCCCAAAATTGTGTCCATAACTGGGGAAGGAGACAGTGTTGGGAGTAGCCCGGACAACTACGGCCCGGCCCTCACACATCAATAATTTCGACGACTCCACTCTTGACCGCAACTCTCACATCAGTTCCGACGAAAGACTGTCACCGACGCAACAGGAGGGTCAAATCTGGTCAAATTGACCTGACGCCACCTTCATATCAATTTTGAACCCAGAAAACTTGGGAGTTTTCGCCTCTGTGTTTTATTTTGTCCTACAACCTCCGTTTCCAATCAGAGCTCAAAAATGAGAGAACCAGGGGAGAACCGGGAGCCGCAGAAGCTGGGGAGATAGATCAAGAAGAATCAAGATTCGATATATGTGAAGACAAGCTTCGAGGAGCTGCCACCACCCATTTTTCCGACTATGGGCGATAAGTATATCAAACATCAAATTTTTGGGATCGATTTCCCCAGGTCTTTTGTTCGAAGAGCCCTCCATCCGGAGCACACCCTTGACGAATGTACTCAACCCTGACAGAAGTGCCGGTCGGCCGCCGTGGCAAGGAAAACTAGCAAAACGATCCCATGAACGCCTTTGCACTCGAGAGTCAATCGAGAGTTGCCTTGTTCTCTCATCGAGACCTTCCCTGGTTAGTACATGGGCCTCCAGAATCCCGCAAATCTCACTATGGTTTCCAGGCCCTTGTGTCCACGATCACCATAGTTCCCAATGCTCAAATAGCTCGGCGAGTTAGTCGCTGGATAGGGTTTGTCGAAGGCCGGTTCAACTTCCTCAATTCGGAATGGCCCCCCTTGCACAATGAGGCCGGGGGGCCTTTACAGGTGACCACATCGGCTCAGCGGATTTCCAGGACCATTTGATGTAGATCTTTCTCTGTCGACGAATCCTCTCGCAGGCCCTGGATTCCGATCACTTCGAGCAAATGGCCAGCCGCGGAAGGAAGGTTTTTCTCGGCCGGCATGGGCATGGTTTTAGCGCGCCTTCAAAGGCACTTATAACGAGACGGGTGCTCTTCGGGTTGCACTTTTTCTGAATGGTCGCGCCCTCTGCCTCCTCGTTTCTAGACACGCAGAGGTGCCTCCTCTCCCACCCCGCCTGTCGCTAGAATGGACGCGATTCTCAAGCCCATCATCAAAGGCCTCCAGGATATTAAAACCTCGCACTATTCACAACGTATGTTTTTCGCTGGACTATTTTCGCGGTTACTGAACCCATCCCCATAGTAAGCTCTACGAGCATAATTCTCTTTGACCACTGTGAGTTTCAAACGCGACATAGAGGGAGGCTAAATGAGTACTAATGCGACGTACAAGTAATCACCTTCGACCAAGAGGTGAGCGTTGCGCTCTTGCTCATTGATGCTCCTGCCCACAAGACACCTAGGTTAATCTGATATGGGTAAAAAATTCTGCCCCCCCTAACGCCGTACACGCTCAACCGGGGTCTAGGACAGCTCATGGTCGTTGGGGAAGGTTCTATTTCTGCTCGTGAGTGCCTTATTATAACCCCCTGGCGTTATCAGCCCACAACCCAAATGCCAAACCTGTAGAACCGGTACTACACTTTGGCCGCCACCATGTAAGCGTTCATAGTTCACTCCTGATCCCATCTCTTTCTGATCACGTATGTCTTTTTCTACACAGAATCAATAACTATGGTACGTACTCGTTCCTGTCGCTCTTCCTCCGTGGATATCGCCAACTCCGTTCACACGACCAGCGTTCTTCACGCCCACACTAACTGATGCTGTGAGTGGAAGGTAGACTGTCGTGGAACTGTGTGCGTGTGCTAACGAAGTTTTTCCGCAGTTGTGAGTCCATGGGACATCCTCGCCACGAACGCGCCGATATTTAACTTTGCCGTTGCTACTACTCTAATCTGCTAGCTGTAAGCGATCATTTTCTGACATTTCCAACGACAAAGCTTGATGACAACTTAGGCCTTCGATTCTTCAACTGGCAAGGCTGGACAGGTCTAATAGGATGTATGCTAGCGGAAGGTGCGTTTTCTGCACCAACATCTCCTACCGAGCGTTAACCTTCCTCTGAAGGCATTCTGCAAATTCGACTCTATGCCTTATACTCGCTCAACAAAAAGGTCCTCGTTCTGATGTTATCTCTCTTCATCATCTCCTCCGCCACCTCAGGTTGGATTATGGGCTCAGCTCTGTCCAAGATTTCAGGTACGGTCTCTCTACCCCGATGACCTTCTACTGAGGCCCTGTTCGCCCGATCTTAATGCTTGTCCTATTTTTGTTCTCATTGACAGCAAGAGCAATCGAACTCCCAAGAGGTGGCAAGTTTTGCGTACCCTCCGGTGTGTCCGATACGTTCTACACGTTCTGGATCCCCATGCTCGCATATGAGTTCCTTCTCTGCATGTTGGCTCTCATACGCGGGTTCCAGACGTTCAAGACAAACGGGTCGCTCTTCCAGTCTGGCCGTCAGCTTGTCGGCATCCTGGTCCGAGATTCTGTTCTATACTTTCTGGTGTACGAATCCTGCTCCGTGCAACACTGTAGCTTACTGATTTAGCTTATTGCAGGATCTGCTCGACATACCTAACCTGCATGCTCGTATGGCTCTTGGCACCCGTACGTTCATGTCAGGTTCTCCGATGATTCCACGCGATGCTCACCCTTCGAATTTGTAAACAGACATCCCTCCTGGAAGTGCCTGTCGGATTCTCGGTGGCCATGTCCTGCGTGCTCGCCAACCGCGTGGTACTCAACGTCCGCAAAGTCAGCCGCGATGTTGATACCACGCGCTTCACCTCCCAGAAGCCACTACAGAGCAACCACACGCCTGGGACGGGCACGCTATCGCAGTACGAGCTCGAGCAGCTCCGGTCCATGCGTGCTCAACGTCCGCAGAGCCATATTCACATCGTTGGGGTGGTCACGCAGGACGAAGACCTCCATCCTCGCTATGACAGTAGTAAACCTTTCGTTGTTCTCTAGGACTGTTATGTAAATGTTCTGTTTTCGTTGTAGCAAGTACTTACATACCGATTTTAGCCGGGCCAATTGTATCGTGTAGACCATTGGCAAGCAGGAACTTCAAGCTTCAAGTCTTATCTTCGTGGGCACGGATCTGAATACAACGCAGAGCGTCGTGAAACTTGAAGATCGTCATTGACTAGACTTATCTGGAGCAATCTCTCCACCTCTCTCTTTAGCTTGAAAATCACCCTTTCCCTTCGGAATCTCATCTAAAATAGGAACGTAGGTGGTTGTATACCGGGCTACCATTTCTGAAGACAGTAAAAGCAGGCATCCATGTTGGAATGCAGTCGACGTGCTCGTGGAAACAGGCGGATGGAATGTAAGTTAGTGGCACTCAAGCAAGCTGTATCTACAAATTATAAAGCCGGTATCGAGGGTGAAGTGTTTCCTTGCCTTTCTGCTGCAATTGCCGATTTATGCCGTCCCTCCGAGGTGCGGAGACGACTTCGGTATCATCCTGGGAGAACGCAGCGGACAGCACCTGAGTCTTATGCCCGTTCAGTTCAGCCTGCACCACGTTGCCCGCCGTCATGTTCCAGAATTGGACTGTCTTGTTGATTCGGGTGCCTTCCTGGGAGAACGCAGCGCACAGCGGCAGAATCTATGGCCCTTCAGCTCGGCCTGCCAGTGCACCTTGCCTGTCGTTGCGTTCCAGATCCGGACCATGGCGTCGCTCGATGCAGAGACGACTTGGGTGCCATCCTGGGAGAATGAGATGAACCTCATACAATCCATGTGGCCCCTAGTGATTGTGAATAAGACGGAAAAGGAGAAATGAAAGGAAAAATACATTGGCGAACTAGAGGCTATTTAAAAAATTTCAGGTGTCGTCGGTTAGGAGTCACGTGACTGCTCCGGGGACATTGCAAATGTGATACATCTGCAAAGATCCTCGGGTGCGTCAGAGTAGCCTGTAGGTCGCATTAATTCTGCTGTAAAATGAAAATTAAAAGCTCGGGTTGACAGACCTCCAATGCGAACAAATGGCCGACAGAACGGACAGATCTTATTTCACGACATGGAATGTGGTACAAGTCAACAGGTGCTCTGAAGATTCAGGAGAAGGAGGTCTACATGTTTGCAAAGCTTTTTAGAACAAAAAAGCAGGGGGTCGGAATGGGAACTCACGAATTGCGAACAAAACTTTCAAGACGGAAGGTGAGAATCACGTGATTGACCACAACAGTGGAGGAAGTACCGGGCCACTGGCACCAGAATAACCTGCATGTAGTGTTAATTCTCTTGGAAATGGATATTAAAAACTTCAATTGACTGACTTGCCTCCAATGCGAACCAACACCCATGCGATACTGGTATTTCACGACATGGGAGGCGGTAAACGTCAACAATGGCTCAAAGAGCTCATGAAAAGGAGATCTAGGTATCTATGAAGTCTTGAGGATGAACAATGAATGAAAAGACATCCATTCGCCGTCGTTGGGACTGTTTACAGCGCTTCCGCCCTGCCTATATTTAGTCAACGGCTCATTTGTGTGAGGGTTCAGCAAGAAAACACACACACCTCGTGTTAACGGACAGCGATCACCCACAACTGCCCTAACGCGCATATATTCGCCCCTTGCTTTGTTGTAGGTCTTTCTTTCCTCTTATCATTGGCACATGATCATGTCGGACGTCCTTTCCTTGTAAGCTGACGCCTACATACCGCGAGTAAATTACCAGACGGCGAGGAGAGAAAATATGTCCTGACCTCATTACCGCTTCACAGGCACCAGATGACCGGATAATCTCGCCTCTCGCCTTCATCGTGCTCCATGCGATCTCTGACGTTGAGGGGCTTGTCTAGAGGGTGCAGCAGCAGGAGTAGACACGAGAAAATGTTAATAGCACGTATGATGAGACGTACAGAACGAACTGACCATTTTGTTTCACACCCTTGATCTCTTTGGCTGCTTTTCCCATTTTCATCAGTATCCCTCCCTAGCCACCAACCCTCCATAGTCGCCGAAGCAGACCTGTTTCTGACGTGTAGTCGAGTTCTTCGTCGCGCAATGTGAGCAATTTTGAGCGCTACCCACAATCATCCTGCGAGGGCGATGATACGGTCTTCATATCGGTCGAAGGAAAATCGGTGGCATATGCGGTGACGCATGGGCTCAACATTTTGGGTCCGTTGAAAAGTATGTAACTGACTCTGAATGCCGAAAACGGTGAAAAATTTAGCCTCCCAGTACAGCGATCCTTGTGTCAACCTACCACTCGAATCCGCGATTATCGTGACCGTTGTCGACCCCAAATCGCGCATGTCCTTTTGCAGGAGGGGGTATCTAGAGAGCATGAGTTTGGAACTGCTCAAGCTCACACTGCGACAGCATGCCAGTTCCAGGCGTATGGAAGCCCACGTCATGCGTGCGGTGGTTCTGGAGCAGCTCTCTGGAGGTGAAGGGTGTGGTATCGACGGGCTTCAATGTTTTTCCTGTCGCCTTCTTCCAGTGGGACCGAGAAAATCTCAGAGAGCAGCTTTTGGGGTAGGCTTTGACGTCTGCGGCGAACGAGACTCGGACGGAGGGGAAATTCAAGGTTGATTAGTGGATCTGGCCTGGGATATTGCAGAGCTCGAGACTTGAGGGAGTTCGGTGAGGATTTAAACGAGGGCGATGAGGGCGGTGGAGAGTCGGTCTTGTTGGCGTTTGACGACGGCGCAATTTGTTCATATCTGGGGGAAGAATGTCAACACGAATATATAGGTGGCGGAAGGGTTCAACGTACCCTCTCAGTATCATTCACAATTCGAGCACGAATCAGCAATTCTCTTGCTGCTCCATCCCCGAATGCGCGAGCATGCACTCGCGAGCAACAGTACATCGCTAGCGAGCAACTTCTCCCCGACCGACACGAGGCACAAGACTTCGGCCTGTGGGCAACGATCGCTCGCCCCTCAGCCACTTCAACCACTTCTCGCGTGAGCATTCATAAGACTTAGTGCCTTCATCGTTCTTCATGCTCTGCTCCACTAATAAACCCGAAACATAAGTTTCAAACATGGCGAAGTAATACGATATGCACGTACCCCAAAACGTAGAAATTCAAGAACCTGATATTCTGGAAAAGCTCGTTTATCGTCTTCGGTCCTTGGCGTTCCAACTTTCTCTCGTGATCTGAACAACGTCGGAAGCCATACGCTTGGTGTATTGTTGAACTCTGGACTTGGGTCGGATGGACCTTCTCGAGCAGGATCGATATCGGAGCTAGCGAGTTTAACATAGGAGAAGCACGTTAGAAAGTTGAAGAGCAGCCAGTGAAAGTCTTGAACTAGCCCTTGACGAAGACTAGTTACATAAGATGCTGGCGCTGCCACAGAAAGGAGGGACAGCCTACCAGGTTTCGTAGGAAACCATGTCGAGAGTTCTAGTCGATGAAGAGGTCGTGGTGAAAGTCACGGTGACGTGATGACATCCAAACAAAATCATTTCATGACACTAAGCGAACCCCCACCAGAACTGGCAGAAGCAACTACTATGTAATATATTTGTCGTATATTCCAGAGCATGCGCACACATCCCCCGCTGAGCCGTATTCGCCAATTGAATGATGTACACGCAGAGTCGTGAGGACGTGGACTGGATTTGTCTGGAATAATCAACGGCAATAAGCCTCAGAGAAAGGCCAATGGATAAATTAAATAAGGAAATGAAGAACAAAGCAGCCGAAAATAGATCCTCAAGGAAGGAGCGTAAAGAACACCGGGTTCCGGTAGACGACACGGACTATCAACGGAGGAACGGGTCAATCGAAATCAATAAACCAGGATCGGGGAAGTGTTCGTTCGCGAATAATTATCATACCCCAGAGCTAGATTTTACACTGCTGGAGGAAGTTGGGAAGCATCAGCCTCTTTCTTCTCCGCTGCTGGTTGAGATGCCTCAGTCGCCGCAGGTGCAGGTGCAGGTGCGGCTTCAGCTAGAACAACATCCTTCGGAGCTTCAACAGGAGCCTTCACTTCGTCTTCCTCCGTTTTTGCAACGGTGCTATCATCAACATTAGGTGCTGGTTCGTCACTTGTCGCCGTTGTCGTACTTGCTCCAATCGACGCATCCTCCTTCAGAGCCTCCGTTACAGCTGGTGCATCAACCTGATCGACTGACGCCGGAGTAGAGGTGGGTTCGACAGATGCAAGGGCGACCTCAGCGGATGACGTTGCAGGCGTCGCTACTTCTGTGTGGGATGTCGTAGCTGCTGTAGCTGCTGCATCGACCTCCGGTGATGGTTGGGTCTCTTCGACAGCAGGAACGGTTACTGATGAGAGTACAGCAGGCTCGGAGGCACGTTTGACTTCCTCCGCCGGTGTCTTCGCCTCAGGTTGAGGATCAGCTGGAGGTGATGGTTCGGCGGCCGTCGAAGGAGCTGGTGTGTTGTTGACAGGCTCCATGAGTTCAGGCTTTGGTGCTGCGAAGTCGATAACCTTCACATCAGGCGAAGAGGGAGTTGCAGGCCCTTCTGGCTTCGCCGGTAGTACTGCTTCTGTTACAGGGGGTTCAGGTGCTGGTGGAGAGTCCAATCTCGGGAGACCAGGCATAGGCTCCGCCAGCGCATCGAGAGCAAGCTTCTCTTCCAGAGTCGGCACTTCAACCGTCTCCTCGTCAAAAATACCAGGAATCTCTTCGTCTGGGCTGAGCGAAATCTCGAACTTCGTATCGTTCTCATCACCCTCTTGCTCCTCCTTCGCCTTGCCCACGTCTGCTGCAGGTTTCGCCGTCTTCGGTATTTCTGCCTCGAAGTCCGGCTCCAGCTCGCCTGCTTTAGCCTTGGCCGCCAGCTCGTCAGCGACAGCGCTCGCCTCCGCGTCGTTGAACACCATTGTATCCGTCCTGCTTCGCCCAAGCCGGCTGCGTGTGTTCGTAGGTGGGTTCTCTCCGATGCCTCCATTGCCGCTAGTGCTTGGGTCCGTAAGACCAGGAGGATTGGGGCTCCGCGACCGGTCAACCCCGAGTTGTTGCTGCAGGATCTGCTTCACGCCGGGTGACTGACGTTGTGGTTCTTCAGGACGCTGCTGCGATGGGTAGAGTTGCCTGCTCTCAGTTGGTCCGCCACCACGTTGGTCTCGACTGGGGCCAGCTTCGTCGTGTGTATAGTGCGAGGAGGGTATGACGAGGAACTCGGCAGGCACAAGGTCGAATTTGGAGGTAAGAGCGAGGAAACGCGCATATAGTGATGATTCTGCCTCTGCTTGCTCGAAGGCCTCACGATGGTGGAAGTAGGCATGAGCGAAGATGCGTCCGAGCCGGCGGGCAAGAGAGGAGAAGTGCCGGTGGGATGCTTGAGGAATTTGGAGTCTGAAAAGGCTTAAGTTAGGTCCAATAAATGGATAAGGTCGAACATACCGTGAAGGGAATGTCCGTGGTGAGTTTAGGAGCGCTGTCGCGCTGTCCACCGTGTGCAGAATGTAGTCAATTGCGCAACATTGCTGTTGGATGAAGTAGAGTCAGTAATTGACACGACAACCTGGGGTGGATGGAGAATTGCATGCGGTCCATCCGACCAACCGTCAAGCTTACTCGGAGAATGTAGGCTTGACGATGCCTTCAAGGCGAAGATGAAACTAAAGATATAATGCAGGTGCCTACCTCCATGGCGCCGTCGTTCCCGTGAGCGACACATAGGTAAAGCCATTCGCCAGCCTTCATCTCAGGACACGAAGCACGCGTACATTCTTGTTGCAGCGTCGTAATAAGTGGATGCGATAGGTCCTGAGCGAGACGCCTACGCCCTTCGTGAGGCTCAGCCTGTTCCAGAAAAAATGCACGCGACTTACCTCAATTGTTCGTAAATCCAACACGCCTCGTCAACCGTGATTTCACTCTTCGCTTTCTCCGCGTCCTTGTCCCCTTCTTTAGCGCCCTCTGACTCTTCTTTTTCCTTGTCAACAGAAGAAGAGTCTTTATCCTTGGAAGAACTTCCAGGAAGAGAGACAATAGCTTCCACGTCGTGTACGTCAAGTCGGATGAGCAGCGAGATGTATTCCTGTAGTTGGAAGGCACTGTCGAGTGAGGCCAACGATGGCAGGCTTTTAACGGGGTAGAACGTAGAGATTCGCGAGCCTCGTAACGGTCGTTGAATAACGGCAGCCATGGTCGTCGTGGAGAATGCCGAGTGCGCTGTCGGGAACGATGCTGAACGGTTGAACCTTTGCCAGTGCGCAAGGACCAAATCAGATTACGTGATTATCTTATTGCCCAGCATTATCCAAACTTAGGTACAATTTCTTGAGAATAAAGCTAACCAACTACATTTCACCATGATCTCAACGTAAACGAAACTGTGGTCCCTTCAAATGTCGAATGAGACTTTTGACTTCGACGACTGTGAACACAAACGAAGGGCAAAGTCGAGGAGGTAGGTCCCAACGCATTCTCAAGTTACAGACATCGAACCATCTAATTCTTAGACTGGCTCTCCTGAACTTGAGTACGCCACCAGTTGGCAACGGTCCAGATAGTGAATATCTGGAGCAACGTGGAAGGTCGCGCTTGGGGTGTTCTGTCCACACGCACAAGAGCGATTGTGAACAATGTAAAGCTTGTTGTGGCTCACCAGAAGAATTTGAGAGCTTTGAGTAAGTTTTTGAAGACTAGTTGCAACATGAATAATCGGGCATAGAGGCTAGAGGAGCCATCTGCGTCTGTAATACTTGCTTGCACTATCGCGGCGTTCCTCGGAAATCTGTCGTCGTAGCCTCGAGGCGCAAGCATATCAGACACGATAACTCTGGGATGCGTCAAATGAGCTCTTATCGTTCGTTTGGACGTTCGAGAAGACGCCGTCAATTTCCTGTGGATCTGCCATTGTCCTTCGATTGAAGGGGAGGAGCGTTCAACCACCCAGTCTCAACCTTGAATACACTTGTATGCGCACCATCTGACCCCGACTCCTCCCACACACAAAATGTCGCCACATGGCGCACAACCCCTCCGCGTCGTCAACCGCGGGGATTTCGTCGACGCAGAAAACGTATCAGGTGGGCCTCCTCCAGGCTACACCCTCCAGCAAGACATGGACACATCTGGTTCCAACGACAAGAGCATAACCATGGCTTTTCATCCAGCGGATGGAGCTCGCCCAATTCCGTCTATTGGAGACGAATCCTCTCTCCTCCCATCTCCTTATTCGACCGAAGATCTGTTCTTAGGCATTGGGCAACGTCCAGACAGTGCTACACTTCCCCCGACTTTCCAGCCCTGGTCTCCTGGTCAAATCTACCTGAATAACCAGACGAGTCAAGCTTATCGCGACCCCAACATCGAGACACCACAGCGAATGCGTACCGTCCGCACTACCTTCCACCCCAGCACATCCTCGGTTACCATCCCATCTTCTGTGAATCACGGACACGCGCAGGTTTCGCCATCATCGCCATCAAGCTCGATGGGTCCTTACAGACGTGGCACCTATCGCGGACATCCCTCTGAACCGCTCCCAGCTGCAATTGGCCATTTGACATACCATCCCAGCGATACAACAGACGCGGAAGACACAAGAAACGTCGTGGAGGATCCAGCTCTCCCTGCGCATTTCCTGGGAAGCTCGATTACCTTCCTCGATGACGGCCTCCATTTTCGGCAAGCCCGAGACGCGCCTCCAATGCCCGCTGAACGCCACGGCAACTCCGCCACAGTGACGAGGAATCCATCGGCCGCCACGTCCATCAGGTCAGCGGCCCAAGGCAGAGCTACCAACTATGTCTCTCTTTCGCGAAAATGCACCCAGAGGCGCGCACGATTCAGCCTCCTTTCGAACAGACAGAAGACACGCACAGCCTCGATCACGGGCTCCTTCGCCATTGATCCTCAGCTCCGAATACCAGCGAGCCTTCTTCGAACTGTCGACCCGCGGGCGTCGGCGCCGGGGGAGGAGAGACGCGCTACCTGCAACTTGTTGGGTGAACAGTTGGCCCGAACCCGCAGTAAGAGCAAGTTCAGTGGGCAGAGGCGCAGGAGAAAGAATCTCGTGTTGGAGGTAGAAAACGGGGGCATTGATGTTGACATTGAGCTCATACCGACCCCGAGCAGCGCCCTGATATCTACTAGCCGGTTGGATATCGTCGATGCGAGCGTCGCTCCCAACCCAGCGACCCGAACGTCGGTTGATAAACCCGCTGGTTGTTCAACCAGCGACTTACGAGCTCGCTCCAGCCTCCATCGGGGGCAAAGCACGCGCTCAGAGCTTATCGTCAAGAAACCAATCCCAACTGTAATCGATCTCCGATTGAAAGAGAGGAATGGAACGTCCTCGAAACGCCAGAAACGTATTCCCTCCCTGGTCGCCCGTTTCGTAAGTTCGATAAATATTCACCCATAGTACCACTAATATGTACTTACTGATCCCCTCTCTTGCAGGATGCGCCACATCCAAGGCCGCCGCTTCATATATTTGCCTCAACCATTGTCGATCCTTTGGCAGTCGTCAACAACGCCTGCTCTGTCTTGGAGGCACCAGCTTGGTCGAGATCCCCCGTAAAGCTACACCTCCCAAGAACATTCCACGGACCGCTTGCTATTCACGTCGCTGCTGCGGACGTTAATACGCACATTTTTCTCTCCCAGGAGCTTTCAGAAGCTGCTGTTGTCTTGAGCGAGACTGCCTTCTACCGGGCCTACTTCGTGGGTGGCCTCGCAAGTTTCCGGGACACGGAGGATATTTCTGACGGGTGGGAGCTCGTTGAAGAAATTGAGGAAGACGAGGAGGGAAGGCGCGAAGAGCCTGCTACCGATCTGGTGGAACCTTTGGCTCAAGGCGACTCTGGAGCTAACGACATTGATCGCACAGGCCACCACGAGGCGATGGATCCAGCAAATGCGACGACTCTGGCCCTTAAAGTCTCTGAAGCACGTAAACACGCTGATCACGAAAGCTGCGAGCAGGAGTGGTTTGGTGACAAGATAGAGATTCTAGTTGGAGACGGGAAGGTCTACCTCCAGTATTTGGATGAAGTCGATCCGTTTGGGAGGGGAAGAGGGTTCTGGAGGCACGTCGGGTTCAGACGATGATTTGAAGGTCGATAATCTATAGATTTTCAGAGCGCAAAATCCTATAATTAACTTAGACCTTTTGTCGACTCCTTGCGAGATATAATTAATAAGGAGATAATTGAGGCACATTAGGGCCAGAAATAGACGCCCATAAATGCCGATCGAGCCACGTGCAGAGATGATGGCATAAATTAGACTCGCGGTACTGGGAATTAGTGGCGCAATCCGTCCACGAGGAGCTTTCGAGTGTTCCACGCGAGGTCTGCGAGCAGAGGAGGAATGTACATATGTCACAGAGACCCAGGTAAAATTGGATAACCGAAGACAGAAAGGAACTTTCTCCAGCACAGGTTAGGAAAGGACAATGGTATACGTATGCTCGATACTGGTCGACTCGAGGCATGTTTCAGAGGACGTCGCCAAGAAGCTCGGAGTCAAAAAAAAAAAAGAGGAGTGGCGACTATATCAGATAAAGTGCGTGCGACTGCGTGCGACCTCCATAGACGTCGACCACGAGGAGGGACAGTGCTTCACCTCGACTGTTTTTGGATAGGTTGATGAGCTGGACCGCTCCCTGACCCCGGTAAATCCCTTTTTTTTCGACTTTCGTCATCGCATTCCCGTCGTTCCCTCGATCCCCGACACCTTTCCCATTGAGCCATATGATTCCTCGACGCACCCGGAGACCCTCAGCCAGAACATCAGCAAGCCCCGTGATCGGCCCACATGGTTCCAGTCGAAGCGAAGCCTCGACGCGCCACCCTTGCCATATCAAGACCATCAGCGCAGTCGTCCGTTGCGTCCCCTCGTCATTTGATTAATTTTTATCATTCTTATTTATTTCTGTGGAAGATTTTCTCTTATTCTTTATTCCTGCAGCCCGGTTCGGAGAAATACCTCACCGGTGCTCCTGTTTTTTGTAGATACAAAAGGTCTGTACTTACTCTTTTCCCCAATAACATACAGTTCCTCGTCTCATTTGCCCACTCGGGGCACTCATACCTCGCCCTCGTCTCTCGTACGCCTTCTCTCGTCGCTCTCAGCCTCGTTTCGACTCGTCATTTCGACCCACCGTTGCCCCGTCTTTCGATCTCGCCGCCATCGCCATTCTGATCCCACGCTTAGCGCCCACCGTCGTCCCCCGTTTGCTGGTCGCGCGTGCCCACTGGTTAGAGCCGCACAACCGGGAACCTGTCCTCGCACCTCAGAGCCACTCATTTCGGTGTTTTGGGTGTGTGTTAGTCATTCCTTATTCGCACGATCACCCCACCGTAGGCACATCATATTGGAGCCCACCGCGAGGGGTTCCACATCCACATTGCGCCTTCTTACCCCGCCGCCGACTTCGACACGACATCGCACACTCGTTCAGTCTCTCCTTCGCGTCGTAATATCCTCTAATCCCATTTATTCGATCCCACCAATCTCGTTCCATCACTCCTCTCACATCCCTCCATCGAGTCCAACTCCCCATCACGTCATACACGTTTTCCGCCCATCATGCCGACCCCATCCCCGATCTATATGCCGCCCCGTGGTGACGAAACGGCACCAACGTTCGACCCATCGAAACCTCGAGAGCTCCGGCGCTATTTTCGCGACCTCGAGTTCCTTTTCGACCACGCCCAAGTCACAGACCACGCCGCACGCAAGAAACACACAATCCGTTACGTTGATATCGACGTTGCCGACCTATGGGAGTGCATTATCGAATTCTCGAGTGTCGACGCCACCTACGATGAGTTCAAGACCGCCGTAATCAAGCTGTACCCTGAGGCCGACGAAGACTTCAAGTTCATGCTCTCGGACATGGATTGCATCGTCGACAGCCGCCTTCGACTTGGGATACACTCGCTCAATGATCTCGCTGACTATCACCGCGAATTTAGAGCCGTTACGAGCTTCCTCGTCACCAAAGATCGCCTCGCCACAATGGAGCAAGAACGTGCATTCACCCGAGGATTCCAGCCCAATTTTTGGTCGCTCGTTGCTCGACGCCTGCAAATCAAGGACCCGGATCACTCCCCAGACATGACATACACCATCGAGAACGTTATGGACGCCGCGCGCTTCGTCCTTCGTGGATTTTCTAGCACTATTCCGTCACCCTCGCCCACAGCAATGACTCCGACGACTTCTCCGCCACCAGACTCTATCAAACTCGAAGCTCTCGGTCCCATCTTCTCAGAACTCACCAAGACGATCGTCGAAGCCCTTCAGCAGTCGAACCAGCCTCGCCAGCCTCGTTCGTCGTCGTCTCTGACCCCGGTAGCTTGCAAGTTTTGCGGAAGTGCTCATTTCATGCAGGATTGTGATCTCGTCAACGAGTACTCTCGCGCTGGCAAGTGTAGGCGAAACGTCGAGGGAAAGGTTGTCCTTCCGTCAGGAGCTTTCGTCCCTAAGGAAATCCCCGGCCATTTACTCAAGGATCGCGTAGACGAGTGGCATCGTCGAAATCCGAACCAGCTCGCCACTGGCACCCTTTTTCACTCGACGGCACCACCCTCCATCATTGAATATTCGCCCTCGTCCACTGCGACTCGATCTACACACCAGACCTCGAAGAAGGATCGCATCGCCGCCATCGAAGCCGAGTTACTCGCCCTCCGTGCTCGACAACCACCCAGTTTCGTGCCCGCCGCCCAAATGCTCGCTCAGACGCCTCGTGCCATTTTCCAGGATGAAGGAGAAGTTGCTCCGACCGCCCCGCCGCTTCCTGACGCCCCTGTGCTTGCCGCTGACCGAGATATCGCTCCAGAACGCACCATTCGAGACGCACCAGACGCCGTCTGTGTATATTCGCAAGAAAAGACCATCGACGCCGCACTCGAGCAAGAAACGCCCAAGAAACTCGGCATCACGTATCTCATGTTACCACCCGTGAACGACATCGAATCGGCGCCCGCCAACTGCGACATTTCGTCGAGTACTCTGTCCGTCATCACCCTGCACGAGCTCCCATCCCTATCCCCCGAAAATCGACCTCATAGCTTTGACACTACAACCACGCGATCCCAGACGACCCAAGAGACTCGTACACACGCTACTGCACTCGAAGACGACGCCGTTGACCCGCCACTGCCTGAGAAATCCGCCTATACATTCCATTCAGCCCCTCCGAGCGTCGCACTTACCTCCAGCCCATATCCCAGCCCACCAGATGCATCCATTGCCAATTTCGATAGGTACAAGCCCTCCTATCGCACTCTCCATCCCGACGACACTCCCGATCCCGATAGACCCGTTATATCGCAGACTTCGGCCACTCTCCATTCCTATCCCCCTCTAGACAACGAAAATCGACGCCTCGAACGCCTTCTCGACCCCGGCGGTCAAAATTTCGACTCTCAGCCTTTCATTTCCCCAACAGCAATCGTTCACGACGATCCGCCGCAGCCACACACGTCTCGACAACCAACGCCACCGCACACGCCGCTACTGCACTTCACAAACAGTCAAAACGTCTCGAAGCATTTCGTTCCCAAGTATCCGTCACCCACCAATGATCCGCCCCTCGAGAACGCGTCCGGACGACACGAGACTCTGCCCACATCCTCGGTACACCATTTCGCAGCCGTTGCGCCCACTCATCTCTTCGTTTTAGGATGCGCGCTCGCTGTTTCCATCCTTGCGTCGTTATTTTTAGCAGCCAAGACACCGCCCGTAGCCCCAGCAAATCCGACAACACATTCTTCGACTGCCAGATCACCGCCATTCGCACCTCTGGTTCTTTTCCTCGTCGTTCCTTTCCTTCTCGACTTCTCGATGACGTCTTTGGCCTTTCGCACTCTCGCCTTCAAGATATTCCGACGTCGACCACCTTCAATCCCTACAACGACTTCGATGCTGTTCACTTCGCTTTCGAAGATTAGAAGGCACGGTTCCTATTTCAGTAGGGAGGACCTCGGCCTCAACACACCTCCAGCTTGTCGACTTCATCCGAGTCCTTTCACGTCTCCTTGTTTTTCACTTTGCTGTTCTGTAACCTAGCCACTCAATCCTTTGACTTCGCGTTCCCGACTTTTGCCTTCGACAACAACCCCATCTCCATCGTTCCCATTCTATTTTTAGCTCTGATTTCATTTTATTCGAACTTTTCTGTTATCCTTCGCATTCCCCCGAGACTACAGCTATGATGGCTTTCTGAGCCGTAGCCTCTCGTCCTATTTTATTTTTATCCATTTTCATTGATCCTTCGCCATACACGACGCCCTTTCAACTTCATTCTGACACGCCGTGCCGCCTTTCCAACGAGTCACCCGCCATTTCCAACACAAGGATCACGCACGGACGAGACAACCATCGACGACCATCGACGGCATGACTGGGGACAGTCATGATTTCAGTAGGGAGGAGATGATGAGCTGGACCGCTCCCTGACCCCGGTAAATCCCTTTTTTTTCGACTTTCGTCATCGCATTCCCGTCGTTCCCTCGATCCCCGACACCTTTCCCATTGAGCCATATGATTCCTCGACGCACCCGGAGACCCTCAGCCAGAACATCAGCAAGCCCCGTGATCGGCCCACATGGTTCCAGTCGAAGCGAAGCCTCGACGCGCCACCCTTGCCATATCAAGACCATCAGCGCAGTCGTCCGTTGCGTCCCCTCGTCATTTGATTAATTTTTATCATTCTTATTTATTTCTGTGGAAGATTTTCTCTTATTCTTTATTCCTGCAGCCCGGTTCGGAGAAATACCTCACCGGTGCTCCTGTTTTTTGTAGATACAAAAGGTCTGTACTTACTCTTTTCCCCAATAACATACAGTTCCTCGTCTCATTTGCCCACTCGGGGCACTCATACCTCGCCCTCGTCTCTCGTACGCCTTCTCTCGTCGCTCTCAGCCTCGTTTCGACTCGTCATTTCGACCCACCGTTGCCCCGTCTTTCGATCTCGCCGCCATCGCCATTCTGATCCCACGCTTAGCGCCCACCGTCGTCCCCCGTTTGCTGGTCGCGCGTGCCCACTGGTTAGAGCCGCACAACCGGGAACCTGTCCTCGCACCTCAGAGCCACTCATTTCGGTGTTTTGGGTGTGTGTTAGTCATTCCTTATTCGCACGATCACCCCACCGTAGGCACATCAAGGTCCATCGATGAGAACAAGAGTTGGTTGGCTATGCGAGTATACCTCCCGCTGGTTCTCAACTAGAAATCACGATTACGGCGATTAGTACAGGTTTACTAGCAACATATGTACATAAGGTTTTTCTGCGGCGAAATCGTTTCACCGCGATCGATGAGAGACAAGTGAAAATAGTGTCGACTGGGGTTACTAGGGAAGAATGCAAACTTGAGCAAGGCCTTAAGGCATTTGCCTGCGTTTTCTATGTGGCGAGAGAGGCTTCTCCCTTTACGTACCCTCTGCTCACGTTCCCCGCTGCTGTCCGAAATGGAATAGCCCAGCCCAGTGGTTTTTGGTTGCGCCAAGGGGAAACCTGTAAGCAGACCCAGCAAGGTCAACGAGTGCTCAAACTTGGATGACGAGGTAGATGACGAAGAATCAGGACGCTGCAAGCGTGGTCGTTTGATCTGGACGCGCGCAGCGCATGGAAGGTGCGGTGGTGGGTGGGTCAATGAAAGCCAAGCGGAGAGCCACTTAAGCGCCACTGGCGAATAAGCCTCGAATAGGGAGGCAAAGTCCCTCGAGGACAAGTCCCGACCCACATGACAAAGTTGATTCCTAATACGCGACCGTACGGACATCGCGACATGCACAAAGCATGCACCTTGTGAGCTCTTGTGAGCCGATTGCGCGCGGCCGAAAATCCTAGGTATATCCTGAAAAACGCCGGAGAAAGGGTTTCCCGTTACGGAAAAAGAAGAGGCTTTTGGCTTATAAGCTCGCTTTTGAGTTGTCTGTCTCCCTGGAATCCGCAATGAAGTTCCTCATCCCCGCTGCGTCTCTGCTCTGCGCCCTCAGCACCGTCGCTGTGCGTTTTCCAGCACTGCCCTGCTTCCTTAACCCCCACTTACACCTTTCATTAGGCCCAAACATTTACCGCGACCAGGATTTATCATACGATCATCCCAGAGTGGCCATACCTTGTCGATAGGACGACTCTGATCACTTGGACGGCGTACCCAGCACCCACACCTGCGCCTGGTGAAGGTCCAGGTAAAGGTCCTCGAGCGGTCATCGGTGCGTCATTGTTATCTGGTGTTTCTCCGGATTGCTAACATGTTCCCGAAATTCAGCCAAGGAAGAGAACTGAGGCATAAAGTGACCGAGAGTTGCGTCGCGTCGCACGGCCGGACCAGGATTGGCTAGAAGATAGAAATTCTCGTCGGATTGGAGAACAGCGCTCTCCAGCACTTGCATGAATTGGAAGGACAAGGGGGCTTGGGAGTCGTTGGAATAGTGTGGATCTGGGCATCGATGAAGAATGAATTAATGATTACGACCCTTTTTAGTCAAGTGTAATATACCTTCAGCTGCGGATTTGAGATACTGGTTCTGCTGACCATTGCATCGCGTCATCGGCGAGGTAAAGAGGGGTTGTGGCGTTTCGAATTCTCTGCCGCTTCTCCCAACGATATATCTGCCCCACACACCGAAGTCAGAACGGCTGCGGAATAAACAAAGTTTTGGCCTTACCCGATATAGGTAGCTCACGATGGCTTCGCCGATCGACACGGCCAACTTTTTGTCTTGTTCCGTCCACTCCTCATCTGAGGGAAGCTGGGTCCTGAAGAACCTTTCGCAAAAGCTGAACGCACGTCTGAACAGATTCACTCGTTGCTCTTGTTCCTCCAGCTCCTTCAGCGCGTTACTGTCGTCATTCAAGTCGCTGTCTCCTTGTAGGTTGAGGACCGTACAACAGTGCGAAACGAGTTCCGAATGGGACGCAGATAGTGGAAGGAGGTGGATTGCGCTACGGATTGCTTCTCTGAACATTTCGGGGTTTCCTCTCGTGTTCGAAGAAGGTACGTCACTACAATGTATATGTGGTCAATAAAAGCTCAGGCGGCCGAATCGACACAGATTACTCACCGCGCGTTCAAGGTCATCAGATATCTCATACATAAGCAGGCCGCCTTCGCTGATCTGGCGGCCGTCATGGCATACACTCCACAAAGATCCGCCAAGTCGAAATAGTCGCGAAAGAAGTGCATGAGCTTCCAGCACAACACCATGTCGTCGGTCATCACTGGAGCGGCAGGGACTCCTGGCAAGTTGAGAGCGGTTGCCAGTATATGAAGGACCATCGGCACTCGCGCCAAAATAATGCTTGATGTTACTTCGAGGGAGGCCCTAGCTGCTTTATCGGCACGCGAAAATATCGTGATATCGATCCCGGCATCGTTGTCGAATCCATTGAAGAAGAATTGACGGAGTTGCGCATGTACCCAGGTTTGATACCTGGCGAGCAGTTTGGACAAGGGGGGCGTTCCCGAATTTGGAAGAGATGCATCCTAGGAAAGTGTCAGACACAGGTACGAAAGGGAGACTAAGCAGGACAGCACCATAAGCTGTATATCCCGAATAAATTTGACGATTCTGTCGTGCACAGAACGGCCAGGAATTTCATCACGTCTCGACTGCACAGCGGCAATGTGGAGAACGGCTTCCAAATCTACGTCACCCAGAGCATGGCAAGACGAGAGACCAACTTCAGACATGTTTCGCAAGAAATGAAGCGGACAGGTGAGGGTACATGACCAGAAATCCTTCAAATCTTGTTCAGGATCTATATCACATGCACTCAGTATGCTGTCCAAAAAAAAAGACAGCAGAACCTACATCTGAGAGGCAAGCTTAAGAGTCCTTTTGCCAAATAGCCATTTATCTTGTCGTCATTGACGTAGAATTCTTTTGCGCGATGCTGGTCTAAGAGAAAATCGGGAAACGATGCGTGATGGAAATCTATCTGTGAACCGTTTTTCCCAGTCTTGATTGCGAGGACAGAAGAGAGGTCGTTGAGGAGCAGCTCAATAGCACCGTCAGGTAGGTCCGAGAGGTACCGGGCAACCTTCAGCGGTTCGGAAATTTGAAGACGAGCGCTCATCGTTCCAACAAGTGACATAAGAGAGACACGAAGGACGACAAGGAGCAGATCTCTATCCTCGACAGAGAGAAGGATGTGCCGATAAAGGGAATCCAATTCGGCAAATGGTGGGTTCTTTGGGTCTTCCGTCAAGCCACGAACAATCTTGAGGCGTTCGACCGGATGGTGTCGACGTGAGCTAACGTAGCTGACAACCGTCGAGGCGAAGATAAACTGACCGGAAGACTTGCGTACGAGCGTGTTGATGTCAGCTTCTGAAGGCCATGCGTCCTTGATCATCTTTCCAAGTGGATGTCTTCGTCGGATTTCCGCGAACTTGTGCAGGAAGAAGAGCTTAATGTCGTCATCAGGCTGCCAAGTGCTGTCCAGCGACAATCGCTTGAGGATCTGTTCGGCATCGCATTCTTCGAAGGCGACTGCTAGACGTTGTTCGGGGCGGCTCGCGATGATTAGTTTGTGTGGCATGATTTGCTGCATCTCTTGGAGAGCATGCGTGAATTCTTCAACGATCAGAACTTGAGCTTCCTGGTTCAAGCACTCGTCCAGGCCGTCTATAATTATTGCCCTTGGAAGGAGGGGGACTGATAGCGAAGAAGCGGCCTGACGAAGGGGTGTGAGGATCAATTCTCTGATCTGTGTCTGAATGGACAGATCGAACAGCGATGGATCCTCGAGGACGGCTGAGGATATGTAAGGTCGGGTTTCGGGGATGTGTTTCGCTAGCTGATATGCTAGGGTAGGAACAAGTTTTCCTTCGTCACTGCGTGTCGAGTCGCCCCTTCTCGAGAAGAAGAAAGCAGCAGACAGCCAACCCCGCTCAAAGCAGATTTGTGCAATGGTTTGCGCGACTGCGGTCTTTCCACCTCCAGCGGGTCCGTACATCCACATGAGGAGAGAGCCGCTTGGATCCTCTAGCCACTGGAGGATCTCACGTTGAATAGCCAATCTTGTGTTTGGATGGCATTTCGGAGCATCGACGCGCTCTCCAGAGTTATGAAAAGCTCCTGGAGCCACTTTTGAGTACAGGGCTTCGATTCCTTTATTCTGATGTGAAGACGCTACGTATATCGAGGAGATTTCGACACATACCCGATGAACTTCCTTCCACATGAGTTAGCGTTCCTCCGGTGATAAGAACGTTTCTACTGTTGGAAAACATAAAGAGGGACAGCTTTCTTGCCACTGTTAAATAATTGGGTTACGTTGATACGACCATTGAATTCAAAGGGTTTTTTTGGGGTGTTTAGAGAACGTCCGAGAGTGACAAATCGCACTCAAAAGCTCCGCCTAAAAAATGCTTACCTAATTATCGGCCCGCCTGCACTGGCCCTGCAGCCGAGGTCATCCCAGGCTTTACGATCATTGGAAAGGAAGAATTCCTTAGATATTATCGCTATGTCGTTGAAATATATTCCATGCTTCTACTGAATACAGAAATGCGGACCCGTCCACAGTTATTAGCTCCTTCATTTTGCCGTGTCAATCTCTCATCATAGCATTGTCTTTTATTTCAACCCCGGAATATAGGCATCAATATTGTAGGTTCTGTGTCATTAACAAGTACATGCGGCTTATGTAGGCAATAGAAGTAATGAGATAATGTACCTTTACAATCCAGAATGCGTGTCCGCGTCCATTCTTGCCACTGTCTCTTCCACACATAAGTATGTATCCCATTTTGGTTCAAGCATAATCTGAACGGTGCAAATTTGCTCTCAGTTTGCTCTCGTCTCCCAACCCATTTTCGTGGAAATTCATCCTTAAACACGAGGATTAGTCTGTGCGGCATATGAAAAATTTAGAGGGAGCCTGTCAGGACGGCACTTCAAGATAAGGATTGGGCATCAAGGCCGAGGGTGTGCGCTCTTTATCTCCAAGATTCAGAGTGCAGGGTGGATCCGCAGTGGTATCTTCTCTGTCAACTTGAAGAACCGATCCATTATACAGCGTGTATTGCCCCATTAATCTGATCCAGATCATGTAGGTATCGCACAGGTGGAATTGCCATCTTCACCCCTCAGGGACGAGCGCTTATTTTATCACAGGGGCCTGAACATCACGGTTGCTTACAGGTGCATCTAAAATTTGGCACTACACCTGCGTATTTAATGCATTCCTTTCTTCATTAGCACCAAAATGCGTATTGAAGTCGACCACTCGGTCCCAGACACGAGGCGGCACCGTGAGGTCAGGAACGAGTCATCCCACCTCACCCCGACTTCAAATCTAAAACTTTGCTCCCACAGCGCGATTTTCTTTGGGAATGAGTTAGCGACGTATCATCCCCTATCGAGTCAGGCATACTCAAATGGCGATGAAACGTCAGTTGGAATGAGCGCGCTGCCTTGCTTCTGCGCATAACCCTTGCTGCAACTGCTTGATTAGGATGCTGTGCGACTCGATTGAATATCTCATTCAATGCGTTCGGTACAACGGCTGCAGTATTTAATTGGACTGAATATGTCGTTCGCTGAATTCTCCTTCACGCTCGCTTCACTATTCTCCCTATTGCAGATAACCATGATGAGGTAAACGAAGTCTTGAACTTGTTGAACGCTCGAAAAGGGCTAACGGTGGTCAGAGGTCCTATCACTGCCTTCGGTCATTGGTGTGACTGTCCCGAAAACCTTGCAATCACCGTCGACGCCTTGTATCAAGGCCTGACGAGTTCGGAACCCAGGATCGCCGATGACGTTCCCGTATCCCTAGAGTCCTCACTGATGGTCCGTTTGTTACGATGGAGAGTCATCCGTCTCAGTGAGCCTCAGCACACATGGACGGGCTCGGGGGAAGGAACTAGCGCTAGCTCGCCGCAGAGGTGCATCATCGTTGAACTCGCGAGGTCGGACTCTTGTCGCTGCCGACGATTTCTTCATATCAAGATGGACACGAACGGCCCCCAGGGCCAGGTCTGTAAATTCGTCGGCGATCTGGCCGCGTTAGGCTCCAGTCAAATGCATGGCGATATTCCTCAAAGTAATTCCTTCAATGTCGTCCCCGAGACCGGCGAAGCTCGATCAGGGAGATTTGTGCGCTCTTTAGTAGACGTGGTGATTTTGTCGTGCGGGTCAACAGAAGCACCCACGGCGCGTGATGCTTCGGATTTATTGACGAAGGACGTTCAAAGCGATGATATCACCTCCTTGTCGATGAGGAATACACCCCAAAAAAGCGGCCTAATGTCGGATACCTTCGCATGCGAAAACCTCCTCCAACTTCGACAAAGGCGCATCGGCCTCTGGAACGCCGTAAGTGTCGCGTTTGGTTCGTTGCCTTGCACAACTGAATTTCAGATCAGGAGCTGGATCGCATATACCAATTCATCGAAGCTCAGGACAGCATACCGATCAAATGGGAGAGGGAACTTCTAACAATCCAGCAGACGTTATTGGCATGGATGAAAGAGCACCTGCAACTGTATAGGCAGTACGTGGAGCTGTGTCGACGAGAGGTTGCGGTTGAGATGTTTAGAGCACAAGGGTTGGACAATCAGCGAGCGAGAGGGAGGAATACGTTGTAGACATATAGGGTGAAGGATGGTGTCGGTCATCGTTTGGAAGTCGATGGTCATATTTGGCATTGTATTTGTAGAATCTTCCGCGCGATTGGACTTGCAATTAGATAGGCGGTGAAAGAATCCTGGATAAAAAAGCAACCAGGTTGTGTCGGTCTGACGAGGCTGAAGGTGGGATAATGGTGTCCGCAATTGCTTGGGGGATGACTACGGGATGATTCTGAAAAGAAAATGAACAATTGTTGGCCGTGTGATCTGTGCCACTCACCTCGGGCTTGCATGAGGCAGTGGCGACACATTCGTTGAGTAGGTATGCGATGATCGATTAGATGAATTGTAGAAATACAAACGATCCAGAGCGGGGGTATGAAATGAGGTGCAACAAAGCAATGAAAGCAGAAAACGGGGTAGCGTTAAAATGGGGGGTGGCGATTACCACCAAGCGACGTCCGAGGCGGTCTTCGTATCGCTTTGTATTGATAACAATCCCTTATCCATCAACTTGCACAACGGGGCACTCGCGCGGAACGCATCCACGACCTCCAAGAAGTCGAAATACTCCGGCGTCCAGAGCCGGAATTCGATGTGGCACAGCCGAGCCAGGTTCTTGGACGTCAACGCGGCAGCGAAGTCGCTCCAATCGACCTCGTGCAGTTGCTCTGGTGTCCTGAAGTTGGCGCGAAGGTGGATGATGATGTTCGATAGCGAGTTTGATGGGTACGGTGGGAGAGTTTGGAGGAGGTCGATGAGCCAGGGGAAGGAGGTCATGTAGCGCAAGCCGCCTTGCACTGACCCAAAAGTGCTTCGTAATGTTGTCCGCAGCGCCAACGTCTTCAGTCCTGACAGCTGCTCAAGGCTGACGGAGGAGCCAGATCTGTGGCTTTGGACGAGGCTGGTCGTTCGTCCGTTGTAATGGAACGTGGAGACGGCTACGTCAGATAATAAGAGTCAGAAACCCAAGCCAATGCAGGTCACGATAAAAAGACTGACTAGGTGCAGAAGTGAAAATATACAGATCTTCAAGCGCGTTGCCGCAACGTTGCAGACAGCCGTTGATGCACGAGGCATTAGATGTGGACAGGGAGAGTCGGCGAAGATTGGAGAGATTGATGGATTGTGATATTGGGGTGCTGCTTGCGGACTTTGGAATCTCGTTTAGTCGAAGGACAAGGGTGTCCAGCTTCAGGGCGGGAAAGTGGCTTCGGGTCTTGTTGGATGGTGGTAACGATGCCTCCCAGGATATGTTGTTAAGGGAAAGCTTCCTCAACGACGCCGTACCACTCAATGCAGAAAGTGGAAAATTCAAGACGTTCGAGAGGAAGATGGACAGGAGCGAATGCGACTGGAAGAAGCGAATAAAATCTTCCTGGAGTTTTGGGGGCATATCTTCCCAGTCCTTGTCGTTTCCGTCTAGGTCAATGCGTCGTACACGGTTGAGGTGCCTCAGGAGAGAGGGCAATGCGTTCTTGTACCGCCAATAGCTCCACCCAGACTCGACGTCCGCGTAGTCGTAAATCCCAAGCTGTCGAACATATTCCCCAAGGTGGGGTCGCATCTTCAGGATGTTCACAAATCGTGAAGCGTCTTCTGGTTCGCAAAGATTGACATTTCGGAAGAGACGACGCTGGCAGATGCCGCAAAACGTGGTATCCACAAGCGAGCAGGACCTGAGCGCCCTCTTCTCGTTGGTGAAGTTGTCGAGGATTTCTTCAAAGATTTCGGTTGGGAAAGCGGTCTTGCAGGCGAAAAGCTTTTGTTCCGTCATGACGTAACTCCGCTGTAACTGCGCACGAGAGTTTCGAACCGTCAACATCGCACGAGCAGCGCCAGAAATAGGACAAGAATAGCTACCTAGGATGTGAGGTTTGAGGAATGATGGGGAGGAGAGGTGCAGTGCAATGGCTTTTGAAGCCTTCGAGTTGAGTCCAGGCAGCGTGTCGACGTGGCCTGTTCACCTCGAGGTGAGCTCGACATCTATTCAGGGAGGATCGACAATCAGAGCCAAATAGATTGGCCTGGATTAGATCACGAGAGGACAAAAATACGGACTACGTTCTTGCATCGCGCATGGAGCAGCAGTCCAAGTAGACTGTACACCTTCACAGCCCGGAACCATGAGGTCATCCTATTATTGGGGCGGTTGAGGGCCCGTTTCCCGGAAGTGCAAGCGGAGAGAACGTACCGGAGCGACACTCGCCACATCGAGAGCGCCACGACCCCATGCATCCTCGGAAGAACGACCTCTCCCGGCGAGCTAGGGAACTCTGGAGGCTCTTTAGGGACTTTTCGTGAGGTCTTCGTTCGAGACCATACGGTAAAAGGTTAAGAGTAGGCAAAGAGGCGTCCTGCAGTAGGCTGGCTAAGTGATAACCCGCCATCGGTGATTTTTGGACCCGCCTATCTCAGCCCGATATTCTCCATGGTATCGATCGCTCTGGCCTTGCCGCACGTCATCACAGCCAGTACGTACTTTCTTGGCCATCCTCGTTGCTTGCTGAAGGAGACAGCGGGCAGCGGTTTTGTACGTTGCTCGTCCGTCGGCTAGCCGGAAACCGAGCCGTATAACTCCGGGAAAAGATCACTAGGATGACTAGTCTGGGTTGTATTGGTCATTTTTCTGGACACTAGTAACAACTGGAGGAGAAAACTTGCTGGAGGCGACTGTTTTTACCGTGGGGCCTTGAAGTGTGGAGGTACGAGGAAGCCGGCGTTACCTGTCACACTCCGAGTTCGCGTCGGTCAAACGTCGGGTAGCCAGAACTGGATCGAAAAAGGCGTGTAAGTATACCATACCGTCAATCTAATGCGACTCTGGGTTGATTCGTGATTACAATACCCGACTTTGGGACTGTCTTGGAATTGCTTGTTGTCACTCTATGACTGTTTGATTAAAGAACATTCGACAGTCAGCAACTTGAGGCTACAAGATCTGTAATCCCATGCACCCCTTCGCGATGGATGAGCTGCACCAGCTCAGGGAGCATCTAGGTTGGCCGAGCAATTCTTTCACCTACCGAGACGACCACTTCTAGCTGCTTCTCATGTGTGCTGGGAGTCTGCGTTGCCTTCCTGTGATCATGCGATGTGTATTTTTTTTAGAACACTCTTCTCCTCACACGATGATCGACACGGATTCCCAGTGTCAGGGTTCTAGCATTTAACTAAGTCCCAGGAGCACTGTTCTCTATTCAACGGGTCCCTCGCCGAGTCTTAGAAGCACCCTCGTCTTAGCCTTCCCGAAGTCCTGCAGTAATGACGCTCCACTGGATGAGCAAGCAATGACGAGTAGAGATATTATGGGAACTGAGCACAAGTAAGAGAGTGTTCAAAGCTCCTGGGGACCATTGCATGAGATTCTGAAGAAGAGGAAGGTATCGGAAGGGCTGGCTATCCTACGATGGCCTGAAGATGTCGAATGAAATGAGTCCAGCCTTAAGCCACACAGGTGCATAGCCTCCAGGCCGTATTCAACAGGAGTTTCGAGTATGTTACACTCCGATTCCATACTTAGAAGGGGAAAGTGTGCACTTTCCAAGTAGACTGTTGACGTATGGAAGCCTACCCTAGGCATGTTCTCTGGGTTGTTATTCTTACTATAGTGTCCAGACGTTTGAGTATGAAATTGTCCCTGAGACACAAGCCTACCTGGCAACATTGTGGTCAAAGCTGTAAATTTTCTTCCGGGTCGTATGACGTCACTCTTTTAGCGCCCATAACGGAGTTGAATATCCCACGGGAAATGCCGAGCGCCCACCACAGTCCAAGGTATATCATCCGAGTGATCGTCTCCCATTTCACGTAGTATGTAGCATGGGCGAAAGCAGTGCTGCCATAAGCGGTCAAGCGCAGTCAGGTCTGTCTCTGTCTGCGAAGCGAGGGAAGTTGGTCAGGCAGTCGAGAACCCGAGGGATGGAAGATTATGATTATTACGGTTGTAGGCTTCAATCGAAGGATCCATGCTCCGAAAGCGACGCGACTCGCAGGCTTGTGGGTACATCTTCGAGCTCGTTATTTCCCTAGGTGATAAATGTATTGAGAACGGTGGTGGAGAAGATGCGTTTTCTGCAAGTGGGAATAAATCTATCGCAGACGAGAGAGCATCCTTGGAGCTATCTAATATCGTTTTCGGCGACGTTCTCAAAAACGGCCTCCACCAATCATATTTTCAATCCCCAGCGAGCACGAATGAAATCACAACATTCAGGGCTGATGTTCAGTACATACGCCGAGATAGTTAAATAAGAGATTCTCCACGTAACTATGCATTTTCTAGCGAGGTGTCCCGAAAAGGGACTTACGAATCTTTAACTGAATTCGCCGTCCGGGCCTCTATCCTCTGAATTTACACCAGAGGTGCATATTCCCCGCGATGGTACGCTCACCTGTCTCCCACGTCTCGGACAGTCAGGTGCTTTTCCTGACCAATCTTCGGTTCCTGATCACCAAACCGTTGTAACGTTGTGGGCAGCCGCCATCACAGATTTATCTTAGGGTATTTGGTTCACTTGTCATGATAAGCATACATGGTATATTTCAGTCGTGATTCGAGGTGCCAGTTAGGTCCATCTTCCAGCTCTAGTGCCGGCCTCTTGCGATGGGTCTCTCACAGTTGCTCATGGTCGTACTAAGTATGCTATATATGCTATATGGTGAGTTGAATCTAAGATTATTGGGAAATGCGTTCCACTCGAGGGCTACGGCAGTCGCCCGCACTAAAGAGTTTGGATCATGGCTCGGAAGCATCACCCACAATGCAAACCCACAGCGCCCAAGCAATGCATGACTTCCGTAAAGTCAGTACATCCCCGATCACGAAGGCCGGCCTGTCAGGGGAAATATAAAAATGTAATCTCGGGTTCGGATTACTGTTGTCGTCGCGCCCACAGAGATAAATATTCGTTGATAGATACACAGCTCAGACGTTCGATAATAGAGAAAGCCGATGTGGGAAAATTGCCACATTATAATATTAATTCCGCTCGACCATCGAAAAACCCGCCGATAATGGCAAAGTCGCCTTGGTTGCCACCCGTGTTCCTAATATAATTATATAGTACTGCCCTCATAACGAAAAAATTCGGACGCTCATGTAACTTCCAAATGATCGTCCCACATACATTGACAGATGAGAATGAAAAGATGGCAAGTGTACGTAGCACTTTGGTTATCCACCGTGCTATTGACGATCTTAAGTGTTTTTTTGTGGATCCTAGACCTGGCATTCAACGATGGCATTGGGTATCAACGAAACCAGGCGGGGTGTGGATGTTTGGCCAACTCGGTGTAGTCAACATAGTACATACTAGTAAACTTAGTCCTCTTCAATACGGCAGCTGTATTCGAATCTAAAGCGCTCTGTTGACCGTAATTCAGCCAATTGCGTGAATGGCAGTTTGTCTAGCTCAGTCTCCAACTCCGGGTTCCTACCGCCAGCAATCGTTATTGACAGTGATACTTGCTGGAGGCACGACCATTCCTTCTTCATCAAGACCTCGCTGAGCCTTCCCCAGTCCTCTCCTGTCCGACATCCGTCGGGCCCATTGATAGTCACATCAATGAGAATGAATTCCAGAACGTTTTCATCAGCCATTTGCTCGAGCTCTGGACAGAGGCCAAGTAGGGGATCCTCATCGGCGAAGGGGCACAGAATTTCGAGATTGAGGACCTTCAAAGATCGTTTGGATGAAGTCGTAATGTCAGCTAGGTCAGCCAAGGTGAGACCTATGCAGGATACTTCATTAAAAAGTTAGCTGTGGGCGCCACCGTCAAGGGCAACGATTCTCACTGTTGATGTGAATGACTGTGAGGTATTGAAGTCGTTGGACAAAGCTCTTCAGGACATCTGCCGTGTATTCCTCGAGTGTTATCGATACCTTTGTGACGTTGGTAAAATCAAGGAATGGACAACGTAAAAGTCTTTCTGTGGCTTCGTCGGCATACATTCCTTGACAGAATTCTTGCAGGCGTGCAGGGTGGACGTTTGATCGAATTTTCAACTCGTATAATGGGTCGCTTTCGGAGAAGTGCAAGTCAGACACGCTGAGAATCTTCAGATTGGGGGAGGAGGCAAAGATAGAAAGGGGGAAAGAAAGGAAAGGTCCCTTCAAAGTTAAATCTGTGAACGTTGGCAGTGACATGAACTGAAAGAGAACGGATCGTAGGTCCTCCATTCTGGGGTTGTCCCAGTACATTCCATCCAAGTTGGTCGAAATGAAGATTCGAAGTTTGAGGCACTGAAGGCGGGTGAGCTTTTCCAGCGTCTTCAATAAAGCAGCGTCGTCGAAGTCTTGGGGCGAAATAGCATAGTCGAGGGTTCGAACACAGTCTGCAATCGCAGGGGTCGCTGATATTAACTTGACAAAGCGGGCGGTGCGCGCAATCGCATGAGGGGAGAAAGGCGAATCGGATCGAAAGGACTTCACGGCGCTCTGGATGTGAATGGTGGAGAAGAGGTGTTTCCTGCACATTGCCAGGAGATCTCGGGAGACTGTGGCACACGCTTTGATGGCCGACAACCCTTGATCGTTCTCGTTTGCTAATACATCGATGATAAGTTCAGTGACTTCGAGAGGAATCGAGGGGGGATCCATGAAGCTGAAGTAGGTGAAGAAACAGTGTAATCACTGTTCATGGAGAAGCGCCGTGGGTTAGTGGGTCCATTCCTGTCCATGAGTCATGTATCTTCGTGACTCTTGGCCGTTGCGACAGATGATCACAAGATGATCAAGATTATCAAAACTAGACTTTTGCAGTCGTTGCCGATGTCGCTCACAGCAGTGACCAACTCACTGATCAAGCACGGGACGTGCATGAGGCCATCGACGCAGAAGCTCCGAGCTGATGGTCTCGCCTGTTTTAGCTTCGTTAGTAGCGCCACTATCCTATCCTTGGCGACACAAACACGGCTCCGGATACTATAGAGAAAAGGATCACTACATATCTACCATGGATTCTAATCGAAAATTCGAACTTTGGGGTCGAACAAAGTCGAGAAAAGTGTGTCTGGGGTAATCTGTGGAGGGCCTCCACCACTTCCTGTTCTTCCTTGGTCGGGAACTCGGCCGTGATTCCAAGTTCAAGCGAAACCTCCTTCAGACACGGCCACTCAGTCTCCAACAAAGCCTTATCCAGCTCCCCCCACTCCACACCGGCGCTGCTCTCCTGATTTATTTCTAAGCAGATGACCAGCTGGATAGATTCGATAACATTGCCTTGTCGAGAGATTTGCTCGAGCTCCGGGCATAGTCCCAAGAAAGGATCCCCGCCTTGCCCGAAAGCGTGGAAGAGGCGGAGGTCGAGATTCTTGAAGGAATGCTTTGAAGGTGCGAGTATTTCTCCTAGCCTTATGATAGAAAGGTGGTTGTCAGGCGGCCGGACTTCGATTTTGGTAAGCGCAGGATGGGATGGAACGGGCATTGGACTCACCGCAGAGGGAGAGGTGAGTTAGGGAGCTTGAACCATGAATGAGTTTGCGTGGAATATCGGAGCCCTCGGTGTCGCACTGTAGGTCGAGCTTCTTGACGCGGCTGAAGTCGAATACGGGGGTCCCATTTGGCGTCTTAACTCTGACGATTGCTTCGGGAGAATATATGCTGGAGAGTTCGCGCAGTCGAATTGGTGTATGGTCAATGGGGCCAGTTGCTCTGCATGTTTCGTCCAGGTCTACGACCTCTATCGTCAATGAAATGAGATTCAAACACCCATAGAAGTCGGAGATGGGAAATTTTTCGATGTGACTGAAAGCGTGAACCGTGTGAGCGTAGGGATGCGAATAAGTTCGACGAAAGTGTGTCGCAAACGGGAGAAGTAGGAGCATTGCCAATCCAATGCTTTCACGGCGTGGATGGCGCGATGCTGTATTTGAAGTGCCCTGAGGTTTGTCAACTTGCGGAGAACATATGGCAGCGTCGCGGAGGTTGTGTCCTTGTAGAGAATGTTATATTTTAACTCGAGGATGTAAGGCGCAACTTCCGGCGAGGTGGTGATCAATTCTTCGAACTGTTTGGAGGTCCGAACGTACCGCTCTTCTGTAATGGCGTTAAGGGAGATTGAAGCGAAGATTTGTCGTCGGCAATATGGAAAGAAATCACGAGAGGCTTGAAAGCATGCCTTGACGGCTGTCAAGCCCCCAACAGGATCTCTTGCAAGGGTATAAATTATGGATCCCAGGAGTTCGGAAGGGATGGTGGGGATTTCCATGTCGTCGTGGTTTCCAACATCGGATGGTGCACTATATATGTAGAGGCAAATAATGCATCATGAACAGCGCCCACAGTTTGGAGAGTGTGGGCGAATTAATTATTCTGGTGGCCAAGTCCGCTAGACGGCAAAGCGTCCACAAAAAAGTGAAGGAATGTGATGTTGCTTTTTGGAGAGCCGTAGTCGAACCGGTGTTCGTTACAAACGAAACCTAGTTACCGATGCTGGAGCAAGTAGGTGTTCCTGGGCCTGGTCGCTGAATTCCACAGGTGTTTCAGGGTGAATGACCTGTTATGTTGAAGTTCGTAGATGGTTCTATTTTTAGAACCTACCGTCTCAGCTAGCCGCCCTCATTCGAACGCGACTGCGTCATGCAAAAAGCCAAACCTTCGCTTTTCCTTAACTTACACCTTCACCACAACCACTCGTATACACCTCACCAACCGCCAGTTCTCTATCACCGAAATGTCAGACAAGAACATCCAAGAAGGCGACGAAGGTACGCCATCTCTCGTCTCTTTCTACTTACGCAAAGCGGAGGCTCAAAGCCGACAACGATGTTAATCTCCTATCTAGTTCAGTGGAACTATGGCGGCGGCCACCCCTCCGGCACTGTCGCGGAGATCACCACCGAAGGCAAGCTAGAGATCGAGTCCAAGGGCAAGCACGTCCACCGCAACGCCTCGCCCTCTAACCCCGCCGTGCACGTCGCGCGTGACGGTAACGACGTCGTCAAGCGCATGAGCGAGCTCACGAAGACCGGGGGTGGTGGCGAGCTCGAGGAGGAAGGGGATGAGGAGCGGAAGGGAGAGGAGGGCGAGGACAAGACCAAAGAAGGCAAGCCCGCTGAGGTCGGCGAGAAGCGCGAGCGCCACGACGAGAAGGCCGCCGAGGAGAAAGGAGATGGTGATGAGACCAAGCACGGCGAGGAGGGTAACGGCAGAGCCGAGGCGACCGAGGCGGAGAAGGACGGCGGGAAGGAGGTGAAGAAGGCCAAGATCGACGAGGACGGCGACGCGCACGCTACAAAGAAGGTCCCTGCCCGTCAGGCCAAGACCGCCGCCAAAGCGAAGACGAAGAAGCAGGCCGAGACTGGCGCCACGACGGATGCGACTACCAAGAAGAAACCTGTTGGGAGGCCGAGGAAGGACACTGCAACCAAGGAGGCGGAACCTGAGAAGCGTGAGGAGGATAAGGTCCAGGAGATGCTTGAGGGAGAGAAGATGGACAACGTCGGGACTGCCAGAGCCGTGAACTAGTTGCTTTAGATTTTTTTCAGATTTGCATGGACAGACGACTGCATGATGCTTTCCTTGAGAATCATTAGCACTATATATTTTTGATTGACGACGAGACATCTGAAAGTCGAGATGAGCATGGATTTACAACAAAACGAAGGGGAATGAGGATATGGAATGAATGAAGGAGAACTAATCGATCTTCTTTGGCTCTTCAGGCTGTCGTCGTTGAAGGACCTCGACCCATTTTTTAGGGAACCAACCCTCCCTACCATCTCGTGTGCGCCCTTTCCACCACTCGCCATCGACTTCCATTCGGGGATCGACCTCGGCTCCAGTACGAGGATCGAGTTTGCCTGTGATTGCGACGATCTCGTTGTCCTTGAGCGCGAGCTCGTTGGGATTTGAGGGCGTGAAAGGATAGAGGGCACGTGCGAATGTGAGTGACGATGGGTCGAGTGGGGGAAGTTGGCCGGGTAGCACACCACCATTGGCGGCGGCCTGAGCCTTAGCACGGTCGGAGAGGATACGAATGAGCTTGGTCATGGCGTATGGAACACCAAAGAGGGCGAGGAGGAAGATGATAAGGGGTTTCTTGCTCGCCTTGGGGGCGGGTGGACCTGCAGGGCCTTGAACCGGTCGACCATTGACGAAATCACGGAACTCGTTGTTGAGGCCGCCTGTTGGGCCTCCGCTGCCTCTTCCTGTCAAGAGCTCCTTCATCCACCGTAGGAGGCCAGGTTCAACCATCTACCAAAGGGACACGCGTTGATTAAAGGCTTCGAGGGGGTTGTCAGCCCTGCGTCGATTCCCTCTTGCGTCGGTCAGAGAACCTTAGTCGTCACTGGTCACTTTCTCGCCGTTGGAACGGGCCGTCTTCATAGGTCTCATATAGGTCTGTAGGAGCCAGAGAACCTGATGTTCCCTGCTCAAACGTTCACAGCGGAGGCAGCGCGGGGACGGAAGTTGCCTCCGTAAACGATCGCCGTAATTGATCGCCGTAAATTCCAACTCCCGAATGCACTCAGAGTATTTAGCCTCGCCAAATGAACCAAACAGTCGGAGTCTTCTGGTTCTCCAAGTTGCGTCCGTCAGGATCAACGAAGACGACGACGACGGCATCCTCCCCCCCTCATCTCCAACGATGGCGACCCTCCTCACACGACATGCGCGTGGATCCCTCACAGCTCCGTCTCAAGGCTTCCCTACCATAAAGGACGATACACACTATCGCGGCACATGAGTCCTTGCTCGTCCAAAAAAAGACATCAGCTGACAGAGAGTGCTCTGGCAGAGATAGTGCAGAAGAAGAAGGGCAAAGCCAGCCATCATCGACGACCTCTTCGGGGACGATGTGTTCTCGCTGACTCCCCCTCTCCGCAACATCTCAATCCTCCGCGTCAACTTCCACACCCACATCCATGTCAACACCATCTTCAACCCAAATTAGTGGACGGGGAAAGGGCTGAGCGCGACAGAGCGTGAGGTGTCGGTTGAGGCTACAGTGTGAGAATGGAGTGTGCAGACTCATCACAAGTGGAAGACTGTCGTTTATCGTGTCCAGTGGAATAATTTACCTTACCAGAAGGTGCCCTTTCCGATGAAACTTCGGTCTCGGCAGTGATAACCAAAGACTTGTGCGCAGCTGTCATTCTATCGTCCGTTGGCTGGGTCACGTCTAATGCCGACCTCCCCGCGATGGGTCGCTCGCTGCTGCTAATGGTATGGTGTTGATTAGACCTGATCTTATTAGGAAACGCGATCTACTCGAAAGCTATGGCAGTTGCCCGCACTAAAGAGTTTGGATCTTCCGAATGACCCACAAAGCGAGCTCGCAACGCCCAAGGCCTCAAGCAATGTATGATTTCGGCAGTGATTTCGATGGTGTTGGTACGTGCCCGATCACGAACGCCCATCCGGTAAATATAGTACAATGTATGTACTCATGTCTCGGGTTCGAAGTGACATTGTCATTTCGCCCACAGAGATAAATATCCATTGACAGATGCCAGCTGTCTAGAGAAACCTGTGGGCAAATCGCCGTCACAACCCTGTTCGACTATCGGGAAGACTGCAGATAACAGCGAAGTCACTCTTGTTGTCGCTCGTGTTTCGGTATCATTATTACCGCCCTCATAACGAGAAATTCGGACGTCCATGTACCTTCCAAATGATCGTCTCACCTGCATTGACAGGTGGCGATGAAAAGATGGCAAGCGTACGTACGTGACCTTTGTCCTCCACAATGCTATCAAGGACCTTAACTGGTTTGCTAGGGGGTACTATACCTGGCGTTCGGTTATGGTGTCGGGATTCAATTAAGTCGGGCGGGATGCGGATGTCTGGTCAATGCAGCGTACTCTGCATACAAGTATATACTTTGGATTAAATTTAGTCCTCTACAACGCGGCAGTTGTATTCGAATTTGAAGCGCTCTGTTGACCGCAGTTCAGCCAATTGCATGAATGGCAACTTGTCTAGCTTAGCCTCCAGCTCCGGGTTCCTACCACCAGCAATCGCTATCGACAGTGTTACTTGCCGGAGGCACGACCATTGCTCCTTCATCAAGACCTCGCTGAGCCTTCCCCATTCCTCTTCTGTCCGACAGCCATCGGGTCCACTAACAGTTGCATCAATTAAAATGGATTCGAGGACGTTTTCATCGGCCATTTTCTCGAGCTCTGGACAGAGGCCAAGGAGGGGATCCTCATCGCCGAAGGGGCACAAGATTTCGAGGCTGAGGACTTTCAAAGACCGTCTAGATGAAGCCGTAATTTTAGCGAGGTCAACCAAGGTGAGAACCATACAGGAAACTTCATTTAAAAGGTTAGATCTGGGTAGTACCGTCAAGGGAAGCGATTCTTACCATCCATGTGGACTAGTGTCAGGTATTGAAGGCGTTGGACGAAGCTCTTCAGGTACTCCTCCGTTTCTTCCTCGAGTGTTAGCGATACCTTTGTGAGGTTCGTAAAATCAAGGAATGGACAACGTAAAAGTTTTTCTGTGGCTTCATCAGCATGCAGTCCTTGATGAAATTCTTGCAGGAGTGCAGGGCGAATGTTTGATCGCATTTTGAACTCGTCTAACGGGTCGCTATCGGAGATGTGCAACTCGGACACGCTGAGGCTCTTCAGATTGGGACTGGAAGCGAAGAGAGAAAAGGGGAAAGAATAGAAAGGACCGTCCAAACTCAAATCTGTGAATGTTGGCAACGACGTGAGGTGAAAGAAAACGGATCGCAGGCCCTCCATTCTCGGATCGCCCCAGTCTATTCCATTGATCGAAGTGAGGAGTCGAAGCTTGAGGCATTGAAGGCGGGTAAGCTTTTCCAGCGTCTTCACTAAGGCAGCGTCGTTGCGGTCTTGGCGTGAAATAGCATAGTCAAGGGTGCGAACATAGTCCGCGATCGCTGGGGTCGCTGTTATTAACTTGACAAAGCGGGCGTTGCGTGCAATCGTGTGAGGGGGAGATAAAGACGAATTGGGGCCAACGGAGTGGATGTCTCTCTGAATGTGAATGATCGAGAAAAGGTGTTTCCTGCATATTGCCAGCAGATCTCTGGACACTGTGGCGCACGCTTTGATGGCCGACCCTTGGTGGTTCTCGCTGGCCAATACATCGATGATCTGTTCAGTGATTTCGAGAGGAATCGATGGGGGATCCATGAACCTGAAGCGGGCGAGGAAGCAGTGTCGTCGCAGTTCGTGGAGAACGATGTGGGTTAGTGCGTGTCTAGTGAATGACAGAGATGATCAAGATCTTGTAATCAATGGCAGTGGCTTATGAATGATTTCACGAGTAGCACCCTTTGTATGTACCTCCAATCTCGAGTGGGTCCACGCAATGTGACACATATCATATGACGCATGAAGCAATTCGAATTATAAGGAATGTACATACACAAGGACGACACTACATACAATTCCACTGCATGACATGCATGGTCAGGGCAAAAATTCATCAGAATTAATTCTATCATATTTTCACAACTCGCGATCGTGATCTGTCAATATGCCGGATGGGCAGTGTTTTGAATCCTGCCCACAAATATCTCGCTGATAGACCGCCACTAATGGCGTGAGGCAGGCGTCAATTGGGAAAATATTATTATTGCAATTATTTACTGCTATAATGCATGAGGGAGTATAAATTGGAACGACTTATCTCTCCATCCCCCCAGAGCAGGTCTCAATCCCTTAACCCGGTGCAGGTCACCTATTCATTCAATTTACTTCAACATCCATCATCTCCGTATATACCTCTCATGCGTCCAATCCAGCTGCTTTTCGCTGTCATCAGTTGTTCTTTTGCACTTATTGGCGCGTCCGCCAGACCTCTGGACCGCCGAGAAAATCCCGCAAACGTTGCACCTGGCAAGGTGTACTATGCGCAACCCAAGGATTTTAATCCTCATGATGTACGTCGGATTCCTTCTCGAGACAAGAAATAACTAATTTCTGAGTAGCCAGCGCTAACGCACACGAACAAGATGGCCCACCCCGTCGTCGCTATTAGTCACGCCGATGCCAACGGCGATGTGTGGGCTGTTTCCGGGTCACATATATAAGCAGCCGGCCCATATGCAAGGAGACCTTCGCCCCGCAACGCACTATAAAGGCCATCCGACGAACGGTCAGTTCCAGCCAGGTACACAAATGGCTGTTGGAAACCCAGTGAAAATAAATGCCCAGCACCTCAGACGCGTTGGTAAAGGCTCAATGTTACCAAAAACACTGAGTCAACATCATACAAATAGGCTGCAGTCGGACGTCAGTGAGTCGTATAGCTCCCATACATTGTATTACAGTCGAAGCTAACTTAAACTTGACAGAGGCTTCAGCTCAGCGTCGGGTGGCCATGCATGCAGCTCAAGCTATTGCCAGAAAGCAGGTGCAGGCTTTGAACCAGCATCAAGTGACCACGCATGCAGCTCAAGTTATCGCCAAAAAGCAGGCGGAGGCCACTCGGGCTCACCAGAGGCAGGCCCAGAACCACCACCACGCCACGGCCCATCACCATAATGCTGGGGGACATCATGCCGCTGGGGGACACCATGCGATTGGGAAGCACCGCTGAGCTGATTGTGTGTGAAGAGATTGTACATAAACATTTTACCAAAGCCGGTGAATTTCACTGAGCGTGATATTTGGTGAGCCAAGATAATGCAACCGACAAACAAACGCCGTGAGGTTTCCTCATTTGGGCGTTTTATCCATATATGAATTGGCGATCCAGACATCCCCTTTCTTTCCTATTTCACCCGATGGGGAGTGTGAGTCTAAGCAGGCAACAGATTGATGCATTTACCAGCGTCATTTATGAACTTTATAGTGACGAATTCGACGGTGACTAAGAACATGTCATCTTTTGCCCCCTTTTTTGCCGAGTGGGTACTTTAATCAGCTTCCAGAGCTCGGACTCGCAAGCCCATTTTGTCACCACTGGCAAAAATCCAACATTTTCCAGGATGAGTAAGCCCACACCAAGTATTGGAATTTGGTTCTCATCCGGCTTCTTTCCCAAATCAAGGAATCTGAGAGTAGGATGGTGGCCATTGCCTTCTTATTTCTTACTTGATTGTAGATGATGCGAGTATACTATTCCGACGCTGTGTGGGTCCGACTCGGAGGGCGCCCACCGGTGCATACTGAGTTCGTAGGTCAGATCAAGAAATGAAGGGAATGGCCCACTGGCCTAGATGGTGGGACGCGAGTAAAGGAATCGACATCTCCGCCGTCTGAATTTTGACTCTGGCAACGGCATTGTGGAACTTTGTTATCTTTGTCACCCACAAGACCATCCACAACAATGACAGGTCGGCTATGAGGGATACCCTATCGCGTTTCATTTGGCCTCTTTGTAGTTGATATCTGTTGTGTGCAGTCCGTACCCATTGACAGACGCAGTGGGCAATGCGTACCGTAATCAAATTACGCACAAATATGCCGAACGCCCTTCTCGAAGGGTAGCCCGCCCTTGTTTGAATGCGACTGCGTCATGTAAAAAGCCGAACAACGCTCCCCTTCCTTAACTTCCACCTTTATAAGATCCAGTGCCATAGTCATAACCAGCTCACCATCACTGAAATGTGAGGCAAGAACATCTATGAGGGCGACCAAGGTACGTCAACTCAGTTTCTTCTTCAGCGACGTCTCAGGACTGACGAGACCAACACCCACCTCCTATCCGCAATGAACGTGTTCAGTCCAGTGGAACTAACAGGCTGGCGAGGGCAGAGCCATTGACGTTAGGTCAACTTTCCGGTTTGCGCCGCTTAGAGGATCCGGAGTGTAATTAGTCTTATCACTGCGGTCGCCAATACGGCTCCAGAGTGACATCGGATTCTTTTAATGAGCTCTGTACGATTTATCTACCAAGGGATGTACCTGCGCTCTGGTGGAATTTACAACGTAGTATAAATAACAACGCTTGCCGTGAAGTCGAGAGATCGCTCACAATGCTTAAGCTACATTTGCTCCCCAGTGATCGTGCGCTGCCAGGAAGTATACGTATTTGTTCGTTCAGAAGCAGCGAGTGATACAAATCTTGTGTGTGGGGGGCAGGAAGGGGATTTGTCATAGTACGCACCCGTCTTTTCACCTCAATTGAGGTTTACGTCCAGTACAGTACTGTGTTGCATGTGCGCATGAGCACTGTGGGCAATCGGCGCTCGAAGCTTTGCTCTTGCAAAGACCCATATGTTTCGTCCTGCATCACGAATTCGCCAGTCGAAATGTGTCAAAGGAGGATCAGATCTCCGATCCCGGTGAAATGCTGATGGACATACCAACATACTCATCCTGCCGCTTCATCGACCAATGTGAGAACAAACAACGAATGGATGACAAACTCTTACAGGACCTATTCATATTTCAATAGGGGAGCCTCAGCCTACGCCCCAACTAGCTATCTGCTACGCAGCCATTAGCTCGCCCTCATCGACTGCCTCGAAAGAAAATGTAAATGAGAATTCAGAATGAGATATGAGGGCAGAAAGATGTGTTTCATGCAACCGCTCCAAGCGTTCCTTCACCCCTGCTTGCGCCTCATCTTCTTCTCCGGCGATCATGATCAGCTGCACCATTAGTGAGACCCTCCTGAGGCATGGCCAACCCTCCCTGAGTAAAGCTTTCCTTATATCATCCCAGTCATTCCACGTTTCCGGTCCAATATAGGCACTAATCCATGTGGTGATTGTGATGGACTCAATGACGTTCCCTTGGTTGGCAATTTTTTCGAGTTCGGGGCAGAGGTTAAGCAATGGCGGGGTCTTGAACCGGCCTTCTGATCTCAGCTCTAATTGCAAGAACTTGAGAGTGTGTCTTGAAGATGCCACCATATTTGCGAGTTCCTTACAGTCGAATCGATAGTCAGCCAAAACTTGAAGGTATTAGGTGAGCGAAAGTCTGAATTTAGAGCGCTGAAGGACGTACTCGTGAGGTTCAGATGGGTGAGATGCTGTGATCCCATGATGAGATTCTTCATTGCATCATAATTTTCCGACTCGGTGCAGAAGGAAATAGTGGTAAGACGTGTCACGTCGAAGACGGGGGTCCCGTTCTCCGTGGCGGCTTCGATAATGGTCTTCACTGTGTCTCGAGGAGACTTCCAAATGTTGAAAGAGGAAAGCTGGATTGGTAAGTGGCCGACAGGTGACTGGACCCCCGAGGTCCCGTTCACCACTGCTATAGCGTAAATTTCCAGGCGTTTTAAATTCGAACATCCTAATAAGTCGGTGACCGGAAGGTTTTTTATGCCACTTTCCAGGGTTAATGCACGAAGTGTTGGAAGGTGGAAACTGTTGACGAGGCTTTGTCGTAGCTTTATAAAACTAGGGTTCTGCCAATCCAATGGTCTACCGCCATCGGTAATATACCCGATCGTGATTGCGGTGAGTTTTGTGAGCATTTCGAGCACTGAAGGTGCGGTTGGTGAATATATGTCCTTTCTCGTAATGAAAAAGTGAACTTCGCGAATGTAGTTTGCAATGGCTGGTGAAGCGCATAGAAGGTGTTCGAGACGTTGTGGGGTATGTGGGGAATCGTCCTCCTCATTGAGTGAGACCGTGTTGAAGAAACGGGATTGGGAGAGGGGGGCCAATGCGCGGGAGACCAGAGAACAAGATTTCAGAGATTCGAGACCGCCGTCTTCGTCATTTGCAAGCTCGTCCAAGATGGAGGGGAGGATATCGAGAGGAAGTGTAATGGCATTCATGGAGAGAGGGAGCACGGAGGGGAAACGTTGCGTCTGATCATGACGTACAAACAAAAGGACACAACCTTTGTACAATTGTGCAGCCTTACCTGACATTTGTCAGCACCAAGGGGGCAGAGCCCGAGAAGGATGAGGAGGATAAGATCCAGGAGATGCTTGAGGGAGAGAAGATGGACAACGTCGGGACTGCCAGAGCCGTGAACTAGTTGCTTTAGATTTTTTTCAGATTTGCATGGACAGACGACTGCATGATGCTTTCCTTGAGAATCATTAGCACTATATATTTTTGATTGACGACGAGACATCTGAAAGTCGAGATGAGCATGGATTTACAACAAAACGAAGGGAAGGACGGACGAGGTGGATTACGGTCGTGGTTACCGTTTAAATATACAAACAGGCAGGCAGACGGAAGTAAGGTGGGGATAAGAAAAATACAAAAGTCGAAGGTGGTATGAGGGGAATGAGGATATGGAATGAATGAAGGAGAACTAATCGATCTTCTTTGGCTCTTCAGGCTGTCGTCGTTGAAGGACCTCGACCCATTTTTTAGGGAACCAACCCTCCCTACCATCTCGTGTGCGCCCTTTCCACCACTCGCCATCGACTTCCATTCGGGGATCGACCTCGGCTCCAGTACGAGGATCGAGTTTGCCTGTGATTGCGACGATCTCGTTGTCCTTGAGCGCGAGCTCGTTGGGATTTGAGGGCGTGAAAGGATAGAGGGCACGTGCGAATGTGAGTGACGATGGGTCGAGTGGGGGAAGTTGGCCGGGTAGCACACCACCATTGGCGGCGGCCTGAGCCTTAGCACGGTCGGAGAGGATACGAATGAGCTTGGTCATGGCGTATGGAACACCAAAGAGGGCGAGGAGGAAGATGATAAGGGGTTTCTTGCTCGCCTTGGGGGCGGGTGGACCTGCAGGGCCTTGAACCGGTCGACCATTGACGAAATCACGGAACTCGTTGTTGAGGCCGCCTGTTGGGCCTCCGCTGCCTCTTCCTGTCAAGAGCTCCTTCATCCACCGTAGGAGGCCAAAGAGCCCCAGCACACTACCCAGGGCGTTGCGCAGCTGCCCAAACTGATCGACGACACCGACCATGGCAAAGAAGGACGAGTGTGTCGCCATGAAGGTCGACTCGAGCATCTGAGCGACGCCTGTGAAGGTCTGTACGATAGAGTGCAGCAGCGCAAAGGTGTGTTGGGTCGTCGACTCGAGGGTTTGTGTGAGCGACGGTGGCAGGGGTTGTCCGTCTGGCCCAATAGGTACACCGTTCGGACCCATCATACCCATACCCCCCATACCTCCCATCCCGTAGCCTCCCAGTCCGCCGTAAGAGCCGTACCCGCCGTATCCACCATACGAGCCCATCCCGCCGTAGCTGCCTAAACCACCGTATCCCCCATAGGACGACCCTAAACCACTGTAGGACGACCCCAAACCACCATAGGATCCGAGACCGCCATATCCTGTGCCATATCCCCCAACCCCTCCAACCCCCATCCTTGAGTACGGGGATGCGCCATAAGAGGAGTAAGGAGAGGCCAGAGTTGACGATGTTGCTGTCCCAAATGATGCTGGGCGGTCGGGAACTGTCGGTTGTGTTGATGAGGTTGCTGGTGCCGCTGCTGGCGTCGGAGTGGATGTAGATGTTGTGGCTGGCAGCGCAGGTGCTGTCGCTGTTGCGCCTGCGCGCTCCCAGGGCTTTGGAGGCGATACCATCGACGTTCGGAGATGATGAAGATGGAGACAAACCCGCCTTCCCTTACCTTGTGGGGGGAAAATGTGACATGTGACAGACTTCCGGCTTCGACAATCGCCGGTCACACCTTTGACCTTTTCCCTCCACCTCAGTCCCGATCTTCATGCCATCACAATCAACAAAGGCAACGAAACGGCAACTATCGCATACCCCTGTGCTCGACCCATCCATCAGCCATGTCCCAAAAAAGGAGGGCGGGGCTTGGCTCGGGGTTGAGCCGCCCTCTGGCCACCAGGATGTCCCGCCGTCTGGCATCCCACTTCCGCGGCTGGCCCTCAAGGTTGAAAATTTCGTCCGCCGTGGAAACCATGATGAGGTATTCTCAGAAGAATGTTCACCAAGAGAGTTTGAAGCAATCAAGGACGCAGCTGAAGACGGCTGCATTGGCCCAGACAGTGAAAGGATCAGGTAAGTCATTTTGAGCAATGAAGTATCCCTATTTCAACCGCCTTTTTTTGCAGACTTGAATACCTCGACGGGAAGCTCATGGTCTGCTGCCCCATGCTGGAACATGAAATCAGTGCCGCGCTCGTCCGGAGTGCCTCCAGCCGAGGCCAAGTCCCCTTATATGTATCATCGGCGAGTTCACCATCCTATCTTCTGTTTGGAACAGACTGGCGCTGTCCCAACTATTGCTTTTTTCAATCAGATGCTATAAAGGATGCAAAGACACGGGCAGACCATCACATCAATGGCATGCCCACAGCCACGGTGGAGGTGGGCCTCATGCAATTGCCCGAGGCCCTTGCGCTCCATTCTGCCAGCTGGCTGCTAGGGTCAGGACTGCAGACAAAAACTTGCATCGCAATAAAGATAGTGCTTCAGGGAAAGGGGAATACTCGCTCCTTGAAGGAGCTTTATATAACTCAATGGGTGGGTGGGTTTCTTCGCTGGGCTGAAGAGGATGAGCAGTTGGACGACCTCAAGGGAAAGATCCTCATCTTGCACAGTGATGAATTAGTGGCAGCAACGCCGTCCGATAAAACATGCAGGTACCTCGCAGTGGACACAGCAATGGACGAAGAGACAGGGAAAGTACGTACACGGTATATTCACGCTGTCCCAGCTAAGGGGGTCGACAAACTCCAGGTATCCTGCCCCCTCTTTCATGAAGTATAATTTACTAAATGATGTCAATAGCTCTACCCCCCTGGGTGCGACACCCATACAGATACCATCAACTTTGCGAAACATTGGTTCATCAGAGACACCCTAGAGCAAGACTCCATGGAAGAAACATTTTTTAGCATTATCCCTGAAGAGATTATTGCAATCGTTCAGAAGAATATTGAGTTAGATAATGCAAAAGATAGGCCAAATGACACTCTGGGGGCCGATCAGAGGAGGGATGCGGACCTGTCTGAAGTGGTCAAGAAGCGGACCCTCGAGGCCTTCAAGGCATCGGTTGAGCTCCAAGGGTTGCCAGCCCTGAAGAAGCGCATATTAAGGTACGTCTGACCTCTCCTGGATTTGCAATGTCATACTGATGCCCTTCCTTCATCCAGCTAATCTGCAGCAATTCAGTCCCCTGCCTACGCATTTGACAGTTCACTAATTTTTGTTGTTCATGTATATTATCCGTGCGTTTCCCAATGAATTTCCTAACCTTGATTCAATTGACAATAGCGGCCATGGAACTGAAGAGCTACTGCCTGCATCGACCATACTCCAATTCGACTGCACAAACTCCCCAGCATGCATTCCCCCGAGGCGATCGTCCGAGTCAGAGCCAAGTAAGACGCGAAATGGGAATCCCTTCGATCCCAGCCACCGGAAAGCTTGACGGACATGTCGCATGCGGCTTGCATCGCTGATCCTGCATCGTGGGTGGGAGATTGATTGCGAGACGCTTCGTATCACAAGCGCGAGGAACTGGGCGGATGTTGGTATGGTCGATGTCGCGCTGTCCATCCGCAGGCACGATGCACCGCGCAAGGTCCCTGTCTAGACAACAACGGCAGAGGCCATCTACACCCTCACGGTGTCAAACGGCCAAACAGATAGGCCCATTCTCGTCGTTCGTTACGTCGAACCCATAAACCCTCATAATGCGAATGCTCCACTGCCTTTCTTTCTAGATTTCGGGCCTTGGAATAACCCTCGTTCCCTGACGTTGTCAACGATGGCCTAGACATTCCATAGGGCCAGCTCAGGTGCCATAGACGTGAGGCGCCGCCGCGTCCTACTGATAGATAGGAACATCGGTCAGAACAGCGTCCTGAACTCTGCGGTCGCTGGAAAGTAGGGGGCAGGGTTTGAGAGGACGAGACGGCACAGGCGTCCGTTGGCTAACGACGCGAGGGTGTAGGAGGGTTCGTTTTGAAGGCAATGTAATACCGTCGCCTTCGTTCGATGCGGGCGTCTTGTCGAATGACGAGACGGTGTCATGTTAAAGGCCAGAAAGCGGCTGAAGGGGACCGGGGGTTCGTGCCGGGGTCGTTTATCAGGTCGGCGTCGCTGGGGGGTTTTCACAACTGAAGCATTGTTTCAAGCGAAACATAGGTACGTGCCTTTTGTACACGAAATATCGGCCGCCGTATCCAACAAACTCGGACTATTTTCGTAGTAGACTTGGCTGGACTTATGGAAGCGAAGCCTGCGACTATTCCGATGCTTTTCCAGCAGACTTCGGCGTCTAGAGAAACGGCTGGCTAGTCCGCATTACCGTTCTTGGATTGCTTACCATTTGCTGGATTTAGCAGCCAGGTCGTATAAAATCTTCAAGTTCTAGGACGCATCGTTTTCAAGCGGTCTACTGCTTCTAAATACCAGACATGAATCGTCAATACCTCTTGTTCAGCGTTCTTGCCTTAGGCATTTCTGTCACAGTGGCCGACCACATAGCATCCCGTGCTAGTGTCCCTCTCTGGGGTCAATGCGGTGGAGTAAGTCGCCTCTCTTTCTCTCGCAAGAGCCTTTTATTAAAATATGTTCCGACCTACAGTTGGGTTTCACGTAAGGATTTTCACCTAGTACCAACTTGATGCAAAATAATGGCAAGCACAGTGGCTCAACTTCTTGCGCCGAAGGCATCTGCACGTTTATGAACGGTAAGAATCCCACTTCTATCGTTGTGGACTAGAAAAAAATCATTATGCAGATTATTATTCACAATGCGTCCCTGGGACTGGTCAGAACACTATGCCGGTGCCTGCAACTACCCCTGCTCCTGCAACTACCCCGGCGCCTACTGCTACCCAAAGCCCCGGCAAGCTTCCCAGTAGCTTCAGATGGAGTTCCAGTGCTGCGCTGATCGGTCCCAAAACCGATTCTCGCAACATCGCTGGTATCAAGGATCCATCTATCGTCTATTACAACGGCCGCTGGCACGTCTTCGCCAGCACTGCGGTGTCCTCCGGATACAACCTCGTCTACATCAGCTTCACCGACTGGTCCCAGGCTGGGGCAGCCAGCTTCTACTACCTCGACCAATCGTCCATCGGCGCCGGATATCGGGCCGCCCCTCAAGTCTTCTATTTTGCTCCTCAAAATCTCTGGTATCTCGTCTACCAGAACGGCAATGCGGCATATTCCACCAACCCAGACATCAACAATCCGAGAGGTTGGACCGCGCCGCGCACTTTCTACAGCGGCATTCTAGCGATAATCCAGCAAAACATCGGCAGTGGTTATTGGGTCGACATGTGGGTCATCTGCGACTCCGTCAATTGCCACCTCTTCTCCTCCGACGACAACGGCCACCTGTACCGATCGCAAACCCCGCTCGCTAATTTCCCTAACGGCTTCAACGAACCGGTCATTGCGATGCGAGATGCCGACAAAAACCGCCTATTCGAAGCTGCTAACGTTTACCAGGTCGACTCGGATGACAACTACCTTCTGCTCGTCGAGGCGATTGGGAGCGATGGGCGCAGGTATTTCCGTTCCTGGACATCGGCTAATATTGCAGGACCGTGGCAGCCGCTCGCCGATTCCGAGAGCAACCCATTCGCGCGTGCCAACAACGTCGCATTCAGCGGAACGGCCTGGACCAGGGATATCAGCCACGGCGAGATGATCCGCAGCGGCTACGACCAGACGCTCAAGATCAGCTCTTGTGAGCTGCAGTACCTTTATCAGGGCCTGAACCCCACCGCCAGCGGACCCTACAACTCTCTTCCTTGGCGTCTCAGTCTACTCACGCAAACGAACTCGCCTTGCTAAATGTAGCAGGTATGGGCAGATGGAGTGACGAACTAAATCAAAGTGTTGGTGAATCTGTTAAATGCTACTTGACATGCTTGAATTGCTGGCGATTCAGTACCCGGGTTTCAGAAACGCAACAGAATAGATTATGTGGCACAATCTACTCTACTAATACCAGGTCACAAAGGATGCCCTCAGCAACCTGCGTCACGGAGATGGATGTGCTGTGCTCGTCAAGGCTGTAAGATAGCTCTTCGAACTTCCCAATGTCACGGTAGCTCAGAAGAATATCATCTTCGATGCTGGAGATACCTGCGTCGTGGCACTCGAAAGCGTCATACAAAGGGACACCGGCCTTGACTGACGTAGAGAGTGTCACTGTCGGGCCTTCCATGTACAAAACCGGAGAGCATATAATTATCGGGACGGGTGATTTCGAAAGGCCTCACGTTGTGAAGGGAAAAAATTGCAAGAAAAGGAGTCGAAGCGACTTCATTATCAGTGCTTTCGTTATTCGTTATTCTCTCCGCAATGATCAATAACATTTGACCGTTTGGCGGGACATCGGAAAGGCAGGCCCGGAGTGCGAGATGGGGTCACCTTATTTAGTTCACGAAATTGTGGCGTCATGGTCTTGTTTCGATCGTCTGTATGAAGTAGGTCCTGCATCATGGGATATTGGGACAGTGAAAGAAATTTCAGAATCACATACGGTGGAATCGCCGTGTGTCCATCATGTAACGATCGATTCGGTGCTCCTGCAGCATTCTGAATTCAGTTTTTCGCCCGTCTATTTACTTTCATATCTCATTCCGATTTCTCGTGTGCATTTGAGTCTTTGGGGCAGACAACAGGATCGAGCTATAGATTCTGTGGCGAAAGCTTAACGTGGGTTTCCCGATTGAACTATAAATGGAAAGGGAATATTTGGGCTGCGCTCTGAGAGGGCTAGAGCACCCAGTCGATGGTACCGTCCACAAACCCTAATATCAAGTCCGAATGCATCACCCACGTTTTAAGATGTGACTCGGCCGGGAGGGGATGTTGGCCAGGTATAAGGGAGGGATCGTCTGAATCATCTGGTCCACACGAGTTGCAATCGCCATTCCAAAATGTATAGACGGTCAGTTAAACAAAAGGGTTATTGTAAGTGAGGATGACGGCGAGTGCCAACATTCGTTTGGACGTAATCCAGAGTCCTCCACCCCAGGCGGTGCAAGTTCTTCGCCAAGAATGTGATATTTTCCACTGTAATGGCCACCTTGCAGTTGCGCTCGAGAATACCACCAGCCCTGCAATTCCTGTTAAGAAAATCAAAAGAAGAGGGAAGGCGTGCGATGAAAAGATTAAGAAGATCATGATCATGATCGATATGAAGAAGAAAAGGCTAGCCACGAATTGTAGCTGTTCACATATGACCAGATAAAATTTAAAATAGAGGGGGTCAAGTTCTGGCCTGTCCCTGTCGCTCAAAATTGCATGATAGCGAATAGTGCGAGCGGAGCGACCGGCGACGGCGACGTCGATAAAGTGGAAAGCAAGAGCGAAGAAGGCAAAGAAAAGCCCAACATTGAAAGGTGTTTCGTGATCCGTGCCAACGAGAGTCTTCACCAGTACTAGAAACGCCACGATGAAGACGACCATTACTGCTGACTGTCATGAGGAAAACACTTAGTTGCTTGAAAATTCTCAACCGATGACCTGGCGTACGACGAGCACAACCATGCTCAATTGCTGAGCATATCCTTCGAGATTTCTCTCGTTATCTTGGGCGAGTGGTCTATCCCTGGCCAATGGAGCGACTGAAACGGCCGAAAGGAGCATTCAGGAAAGGTATAGAGAGGTAGATGCGACCATACTCACTAGGAGGGGGCCGAGGCTCTTCGGGGCTGTTGGAATGCATAGATGATTGAAGAGCCCGAATATTCTCCAAATGTTTATCAAGAAAGGTTTGCAAGGCATTTACGTGCACATCGACAGGCACTTGAGTGACTTTCATTGAGGAATTTCGGGAGGGCAGGTTTGACCCGGCTTCATGTGACGGTACGTCGACAACAGGATCCGCAACTTCAGGATCTGCATGGTGCAAGTTCCCTGAGGTCGACGTACACCGCCTGGACTTGGGCGGAGCTGTGACCAAAAGCCACGTCTACTTGATATGACTGTCATCGATGCCAATAAGGATGACATACCTGGATCGTCCACAACCGTACTAGTAGCGCCACGCCCTCCTCGAACAAGATTACTAGCTAAGAGACCTTGCAGCGATGTTATCTTCAAGATATGCTGGGATAGAAACAGCTCCAGCTCTATATGCAGTTCTTGGAAGGTGGCCTGAGCCTCAGGTAGGTTGGCTAAAAAACCGATTCAGTACCAACGAGCTTCACGGGGTACCATGATCAATACCTGGAACTTCCGGAACGACAAGAGTGCTCCTAAAGTTTTGCTTGATTCTTTCGAATTCAGGGCTGGATTCGACATCTTCCACACTGGCTCTCGACGCCATGGTGGTTCTTGAGAGAGATTGAACAGGGTTCCACTGCGACGAGTGGCTAACGTCCTGTAGTGACACTTGAAAAACGTGCCAATCAACCTTGATGAGACCTCATGCCGTGCTGTGAAACTCGCGAAACAGGAAATGAAACCGATGCTGACGGCATGCGGCCAGAGAGTTTATCTCTATTTCTGAAGTTACAAATAGTGGTAATCTGCGCACGAAGTTAGGGTCCATTCAACAAGTTGAAATGATACGACTTACAACGATAATAAAAATAACTCATCAGAGAACGCTATTCAAACTGCCGAAGGCACTGCAACATCGGGATTTTCAACCGTCTGTCCCTTCTTATCTTGAAGGATTTCGTCAAGAATTGATTTACGTGGTTCTAGTTTGAACTTGTGCTTGGTCCTCGCCTGCTGCTTCTTGAAACGAAGCCTGCATTTTTCGCATATGGTACCAGGTGCATCGACATAAAGCACGCGGTTACAGGGCTTGGTTGAGCAACGACGCTGCAACCAGGATCAGCAACGTTAGAGGATGCCATGAATTCGGTCAACGCACCACCGCCACCTGTGCCTCTTGCTGATTTACGTCTTCTGAGACCTCAAACGACACATCAACAGAAGATGACGCCCTCGTGGATTCCTTTGCGGAAGCAGCGTCGGCACTGAGGTATGGCTGTTCGTTCGCGGAAAGCATACTCCGAGCTTGGAGTTGCGCTCGATATTTCTCGAGGTAGTTAGGGTCCATCTTCAATCTCTTTTTGCCCTTCTATCCAAGAATTTTGGCAAGAACTCAAGACAAATTAGATGAACGCACCTCTGGCGTTGTCGGCGACTCCGAATCTCCCGTCCCATAATGATAGTAATTAAACTTCGCCTGTTTCGACTCCTCCGGCTTCGCAGGTTTGGGCTTCGGTTTGGGCTTGGGCTTGGGCTTAGGTGCAGATGTCTGCTGGGGTAGCGGTGGCGCTGGTATTGGTCCTACTGGCTGACCCGAGGAAGATGGCATCGACGTAGTATACGGATAGGTGCCTGATCCACCTGCAGCCGGCGGGAATCCAGGATAAACAGCCGACCCCGATGATTGACTGTAAAGGGGGCCACCCGTGTATCGTGGCGGTAGGTATGAATATCCAGGCGGAGGGGGCGGATAACCTGGAGGAAGCGGTGGATAGGAATACCCAGGAGGTGGATAAGGGTACGGCATGGATGGACAACCTGGCATCTGCTGCAACGGGGCCGCAGCGGAGAGCTGTTTCTTCTCGGGGTCTGCTGTCGTATCGGAAGGGTGTGCTATTGGATTTGGGTATCCATAGGGACCGGGCGGATAAGGAGGCAAAAAATACGGATAGTATGCATAGGGTGAAGGGTATGAATAAGGATGGAATACCGCAGGTGGTGCTGACGCGGATTGTTGAGGCAGTGGTGAGGCTACAGGCACCGTCGAGGTTGAGGCTACTGCTGACACTGAAGTCGGTACTTGTGTGTCGCTAATTGTGACCTTCCACTTTCCTTTCGCTGCAAGTAGGGGAGCCTCCTCCGAGGTTGCTTCCAGCCGCTTGGGTGGCTGATATACAAATGGAGCAGAGACAGGAATCGTTGGGCTGAATGGGGCCTTCGAGGCAGAGGCTGCACCAACATCAGCCGAATGTAGTTCGCGGGAGGCCAACAAGGGTATATCTGTCGGTACTGCTGGCAATGGTGGCTTGATCCCGAATATATCAGCTCCGGCTGTGATTAAAAAAAGGGTAACATTGGTACAAACCTCAACTGCTCCAACCGCCGATGGTAATGACAAAGTTTCAACGGAATGCTGAGTTTCGTCGTTAGTGGCTGCTTGACTCGGAGGATCTTTCGTCTCTAGCTGGAACGTGCCGAAGGTCGGGAGAGCATCTAGAGCCGGTGCTGTGGGGTCCGGAGAAGCAGGCGGTAATTGAACACTGAACGACGAGAATCCTGACGCGTCGACCCCGTTGGGAATAGTAACGGGCTGAACTTGTGTGTTCGCAGCCGGAGTCGGCTGATCTTGAGTCGACACTGCCTGCTGCTCTGCATCGATCTCGCTCTCTCCATCTGGGTCAAATTCCCCGTCAGTGTGTTGCTGTCCGGCGTTCTGGATGTCTGTTGGAGGTCCAGCTGATGGAGATCGATCCTCGTCTGAAGTTTGCGGCCTTTGTTGCTTCTTAGCGACGAGTCTCTTCTTCCTGTCAGCTGTCCTGCATTCGTCGCAATTCCGCCATCGCACACCAGGCATAAGGAGGTTATGGCACTCCTCCGAGGCGCAGGTGTTCTTCTGGCATTTTTGAGCCTGCCAAAATCTCAGAGTCTTACGCTTGAAGCCAATGAGGAGCATAAACTCACCCTTGTTACGCGTAGCATGCTGCCAAGTGTCCTTTCAGTACCTGAAGAGCCTTCGTTCCCGTCCGCGGGATTTTTGTCGCAACTCTCTCGTTCATGTCCGGTTTCCTGGACAATTTCCATGGAGGTACCCTGCTCTGGTACAACCACCGTGTCTGCCTTCTCTCTGACGCGCTTCAGCTGGCTATGATGTCGATTCTGCGCTCGGTGCTGCTCGCAGCGCTTGAACCGGTAATGACTGGGCAAAATATTGTGGCAATGAGACACCGTGCACATGCGAACCGGAAGAGGAGGCGCAAATGTTTGCATGTGCTGGAACGAAGCCACTGCGCCGCTGGGATTGAAGAGACCTGGTAAGAGAGTCAGGGCACCAGGTGCGATGATGTCGAGGGGGTGCAACGCCAGTTCCTCGGGCATGGGCTCGGGCACTTTTTGATTTAGGATAGATAGCTCCCATACACGTAGTTCTGCTGGGTTGTCCGCGAGAGGCTGTTGGAGAAGTCCAAAAGAGACAAGAAGGGATGATGAGAAAGGCACGTACACCCATGCCCTCAGCCTTTCGCCTTTCATCTTCGAGGACCCGTAAAGCCGCCATCTCGCGGTCAAAGGCATCTCGTTCCGCCTTCCACTTTGTCCTCTTCGTGATGCCGTAGGTACGATACCTCGTTCTACATGAGGGACACATTTTGAATTCGTAATCAGCTGTTGAATCGTGAATAACTCTTCGGCATTCCGGTGGTAAAGTTCCTACCTGGAATCAGCAATTTGCATCCTCGGACCGAGCATACCCGCTTTCCGTCATTGGAATCTTGCTCACTGGAGGTATCTGGTTCGTCGACCTTTAAGGGCTCCGGCTCCGCAAAATGCGTTGGTTGTTGGTCTTTTGGAGACAACTGCTCCTGGTTGGAAAGGGAAGGTCGTATTGGAGGAACTTGACGAGTAGCTGGTAATGTCAAGGCATTGGCCAACTCCGAACTTGAACTTGTGTGATGAGGTTCTGGAGGGGCAATATATTGAGATGTTGATGAAGCGGAAGGGATCAATTCTCCAACAAATAAGCGGGGGTCAATTGCGGGACTCCAAGAAGGGTCAGGTAAGGAGGACGAGACGGATGGACTTTGGGTCGCAGAGGAAGGCCGTGGGTCATTTGAAGCATTTGTCTGGTACGTTGTTAGCACATTGTAGACCGTTCGAACATAGAGAAACTTGAAGCGAGAGAATTGTACGCGTTCAACGCGCTGTTAATAGGCGAGGAAATAGAACACCACGCAAAAGGAACGTTAAAAGAAGGATAAAGCATTGCACGAGGCATGACGAGAATGATGACGAGGTCTGTCTACATCATCATGCATCCTTGCTTCCATTACAAATCAACAGCCCCGCTGGATGCACGACATCTGGAGCTCAGAAATAGAGAGGAATGGAATTTATCTCTACCTGAAAAACTAGCGACGTGGAAAGTATAGAAAGCCGCGTGAATACTGCATGACAAAGTGAATCGCGACTTCGGTGCAGAGGAAGTAACACGACGCGTATGCCCCGTTTCTCGGGGTTATCTGAACCATGAACACGAATAGATGCAGATAAATTGATAGTCTTGTGAATCAAACAAGGAAGAAAGCAAGAACTGGAAGCAAAGGGTAGATAGGAGCAACACACCTCGGAGATACATTCGCCACTGGAAGTCTCTAGCCACTGGCTTTCTACCATCGGAGGCGAGTCAACGATGAAACCAGGCTCTTCAACAAATGGAACCGCCACATTTCGCGCCGTAGACGCGTTCACAACAGCTGCCTTCTCCATTTTTCTCCTGGCGCGCTTGGTGCTCGCGTAGATTCGATGGCGACCTCTGCAGAGTTCGCACATCTTGTACTTGGAGCCTTCTGCGATAAGGAGCGTGCAGCCGCGTATAGAGCATTGTCTGGATTCCGGGCTTTGCTCGCTGTCGTGGGGGATGGCAGGGTCGCCGTTGAAGTGGTCGTAGAAGAGAGAGCCAGACGCGTCCATCGGGTGGACAGTCTCATGTGAACAGACTCGGCGTCAGACACGTTTTGGGCCGAACGGAGTTCATCACGGAATTTCAAATTGTGCTCCGGATTAACAGTGCCGGAGTCTCGTGACCAATTCCAGCTATCGGCAAAATCTGACATTAATACTATTTCAGACCTGAGGTTCGTCAGGACCCAGTGTTCGTCAGGTCACATCAGTGTCACTCCTCGCTAATCACTGCTTCGACGTCCGGAGACTGACGAACCTCAGCGTGAGGGAGCGAAAACATGTTCGTCGCTTACGTACTCATGATCCTATCGTTGCCGAGAAGTCGGCAGCACCCTCACGCGTGACAGAGAGCCCAAATTTCATCCTTCTTCATAGCACCTTTTTCCACCCAGAAATGTGTCTGCGATACGTGTCTTGGTGTGTTGTTGCATGCTGCAAAAGCTGGTGAAGATCGGAGGTTTCGGTGGCGAGATTCTGGGGGGGTGACGAACATTGGGTCCTGACGAACATCAGGTCCGAAATAGTATATTATGGTATATGACGGTCCGTTCTGGACAAAAATACACGATTGAAGTTTTTTTTATGAGAAAGCCTAATTTAGGCCGGAACCAGACCGAATCTGCCCGAATCTGCCCGTTTCGTACTGAAACCGACGCTATCCTCCCGGATCCGCCGTCTTCGTACCGTCTCTGCTCGATTCGGCCAGATCGACCCTCCCTTTTTTTATGACCCATCGTTCCGATACGGGAGGAATCTGGCCGCGCAGGACGATTCGGGACGATTTGTACGGATTCCTCCTCAATTCTTTTTTTAAGAAACATCTAGTGATTTTTTTCCCCTCGTGTGTGGTCAGATTCGTCCCGAATCCGACCGTTTGGGACCTTATGATCTAGAAAAAAATTATAGTTTCAGTCAGAATCGGTCAGAATCGGGAGGATGTATCACAAATCGGCAGGGGTTTTGGTTTTTTTTTTTGGATGGCGACCGAAACGGGTCTAATCGGTGTGTTTCCTGCGTATTGGGACCGAATCGGACGGATTCCGCCCAATTCTTCCAGATTTGGGAGGGACTTATGAAAGAAAAACATATGTATGTATTTTTGTCCAGTATGGTGCTGCATAATGGTCTGCCCCGATCGTGACATTAGAAAGAGTATAGTTGAGTTTTCAAAAAATACCTACCAGATTCATTATCATGCGTCGCAGTTGTTGCAACTGCAAGTATCCCTTCCAAAATGTCGAGATCCACAGAAACGCTCTCCTTGGAGTAGGCGCCCCTCCTACCGATCGTAATGGACAGCAGGAAAGAAAATAATATGACCGAAGTCCACAAGAGTGCAATCGCACCGTTGATACACTTCTCCCCAGTCGAGTACTTGTGAAACTTGGATTCGGCGTAGATCAACCGTGGAGATTTGTTGTAGAGTATACTTACTCTAAGTTCTTCTGACCCAATTGCGCTGCCGGGGATAAATGTTTGTGTTTATTGGCAGTTGTGGACAATTGGAGTGATCCCGACAAGGGAAGTGCTGGTACGCGGGGGCTTATTTGACAGCAATGTCTGCATTGCTTCGTACAAGGCTCAAAATATAGAAGACACCACTTACTCCTCTTGAAATCCTCGATTGAAATATCGCCCATATTTTCGTCGACGACCCGAACTTCGCGTCCACGGTGTGCTTGCTCGTCAGCCCATACGTCACCTCGATTAGTCCGTTAAGCATCCTGACGACGAATCCATCGCATCCCTTCTCATTTTTTAGTCTACTAAAGATGCTTGAGAACCTCCGCCTCAAATCCCTGCTGTGTGGGCAGTCGGGCCTGAATTGGAGAAATCATCCGAGAATCTTCAATATTCCCTCAGTCGCGGTGAGGCGCATGCCGAAATTTATAACCCCAGACCATGCGTCCGCTGTCAATAACGAGGAAATAAATTATCGAAGCCAAGCTTCCCGACGGCCATGCTATCTTCGACTTCGCCTATTTGAAGACACTCGTTCAGACGGTACCTCTCTCGACACCCTGAAGCAAGACCAGACGCACAATTTTACCAAAAGCCTAAGGAGCCTTGTTGACCTTAAATTGGAACATGAGTACTTGGATAATACCTCTTCTTCAATCCTGACGTTTTTTGTCCTGGGGATGACGGCCACAGGAAACGGCTTCCATTATCTCTCCGTTCGGCGTTTAGTGAGTCATTAGGTTCGTTGACATCTGGTACGAGGGCTGAATTCCAGTAGAACATAGGAGATGATCCTCTTCGTGAACTTCGTTGAGATGTCGAGGACCGGCAATGCGATCGAAGAAATGCTCTCATCTAACTCTCCCTTCCCATATTTCCATACACTTGAAAAGTGCAGGCAATTTTGTGTGAAGTTCTGAATGGGACCCGGTCAATCTTGAAGATTTTGATAGACCTACTCACAGATAAAAATAGCCTCCAGGTCTTGGATATCGAGCTGGTGGGAGATAGACAGAGGTTGTGGAAGACATAGTTGAAAAATCTTCTAGGAACGACTCCTTTTGAGTTCTGAGTAACCGCCAATCAGTCCTTTAGGCAGGTAGTGTAGACAGCGCATGCATTGGTTGACTGAACTGGGATCTATTTCTGTGAGAACGTGGAAGAGATCTTCGACCAGCTTCACCAGAAGGGTCCCTGAAAATGATGGTGTTGGCTTGTGATCCACCCTAGAATCAAAAGAAGTCTTTAGCTTCAGCTTCAACGTTTCAAGCTTCAACTTTCAAGATCTCCAGAGTGGCTAGGGTCATATTTGCGGCAGCCTGGAGCTGTGCACGTTGTCGAACGGACATCTTTCCACCGGGTTCGGCTAGTCACAGTCCCGTCGTCAACGGCGGTTATCGCACCGCCCCGCTATTGTGCACGGAGCCGACAAGCCTGGTGGGGTCCACTGTCAGTTTCTTGTGGAAATCGTCGCGTGGCGGTGATCGTTCGAGTCATAACTTTTTTTCCTGACTTGGTCATTTGTGGCGCATATAATCAGTGACAAATCAGGCTTTTTCAAGAACACCCACCACCACCATATGGAAGTATCGTCAGAGAGCGTCCTGCCCACAACAGGACCTCGACGAAGACCACCGAGAACGCAGAATGGTCCTGATGCGCAGCCAAGACTACCACGACGAACCCGAGAACAAGGACCGTCGAATGCGACCGATAACTCTTCGGCTTCAGCACCGAACGATGGTGGGACGAAACAGCGTAATCCTCGACGCAGGAAACCACCAACATCCGAAAAGCCAGATACTCCAGTTCCAGAAGGCAACCGTCGACGCGCAAAGTTTGGTTCCGGACTAACGAGCACCGAGGGTTCGTCTAATCCAACCGACAAAAACCCCAACGAACCTCGCAGAAAGAAGATTTTACCAGAAGGAGACGACCTTACCTCGACCTTGATTCGAGGACTTAGCACACCGCCCTACCCTGACTGCCCGATCTGTTTTTCGTCTATCCGACCCGACCATGCAATTTGGTCGTGCTCGCCTTCGACACCCATCGTGACGTCTAGCGAGGCCCAGGTAACGCAATATTGCTGGACATCTTTTCATGTCAGATGTATCCGATCGTGGGCGGAGAAGAGCGTGAAGGAGGTCGCGAATGCCTGGAGAGCGAGAGGAGAGGACAAGAAGGGCGATTGGAGATGCCCTGGATGTCAGGCGAAACGGGAAGTCGTTCCCTCAGGGTACTGGTACGTTCGACGTTGCTTAATCAACAAAGTCTTCTTTCTCACTTCTTGCAGGTGTTTCTGCCATTCAACATCGGAACCCAAACCTGCTCGTCTATCAACACCCCATTCTTGCGGAAGTTCGTGTTCTCGCCCTCGAGAGAGCGGTTGTGGACATCCTTGTCCTCTGCAATGTCATCCGGGACCCTGTCCTCCTTGTCAAGTCACGACTCGCCTTCCATGCTATTGCCCGAGAAAACAAGTTCTGGCATTTCGGTGCGGCCTCGACGTACGAGGCAAGGGCATCCGTGATCTAACGTGCGGGAACGTTTGTGGACGAACACTCGATTGCGAAAAGCACTCATGTCAAAAGATCTGCCACGACGGAGATTGTGGGACGTGCGAGGTCAAGGATCAAGCACGATGCTGGTGCGGGAAGGAGGAGCGAGAGATCGGCTGTGGCGTTGGCGAGGAGGTTCGGTGTTTCGTCGAGGGAGAAACGCCGTGGATTGGGAGATTTGGCTGTGATCAAACGTGTAATAGGTGCGTACCCTACCAGTCGTCGTTGCCTCTGCTAATTATCCTCCAGACTGTTCGATTGCGGCAAGCACAAATGCGAAAAGCCTTGTCATGTTCCCTCTCCAAAGCCAGCAGCATGTCCTCGGTCTCCAAGCGTAATCACTCATTGCCCTTGCGGCAAGAGCACCATCGCACCATCGCTATCCTCCGACTCTTCCCAATACACCTTCCCTGCTCGCTCGAGCTGCACCGACCCCGTCCCGACCTGCGACGAGACCTGCAGCAAACCCAATCCAGCATGCGGGCATAATTGCGCATCTAAATGCCACACTGGATCATGCCCGCCATGTTCGGTCCAAATCGTGCGGCCATGTCGATGCGGAACGACGACGAAGAGTTTAACATGTTGCATCGTCCACTCCGGTGTCCGAGGGGAGGAGCAGGAAGTCCTGTGCGACAAACCCTGTTTGGCTCTACGGGCTTGTGGGCGGCACCAGTGCAGGAGAGTATGCTGTCCGCTAGCGTCTCTTGCTATTGTCAATACCGGCAAGAAGGGCAAACGGCGCGCCGTTGAAGATGTACAAGCTCTCGGTGAGGAACGCGGAGGCCTGCACGAGTGCGATCTTGTATGCGGCAAGAATCTCTCGTGCGGAAACCACCGTTGCGAGCTGCGAGATCACAAGGGTGCTTGTCCACCTTGCTTGAGGAGCTCGTTCGAAGAGGTTCGTCGCCTTCGCTCATTCGTCCTTTCCTGCGATTAAGTCGATTTTTACAGCTAATTTGCCCTTGTGGGAGAACGGTCTACGAGCCACCTATCCCGTGTGGGACGCGTATGCAATGCCATTATCCCTGTCTCCGACCCAACACTGCCTGCGAACACCCGACAACACCTCATTCCTGCCACGACGACACCGTACCCTGCCCACCCTGTACATATCTCGCCCGTAAAGAGTGCGCCTGTGGAAAGAAGATCGTGCCGAATGTCAAGTGTTCGTTGGAGAAAGACAAGGTGTCGTGTGGCACTGTCTGCGGCAAGTACGTTCCCTTCCCAAATCATAGTGGTTGGGTTGTGAGTTGACCGAACCTTTTTACCTTGTTTCTAGACTCATGGGTTGCGGGTTCCACCACTGCGAACGTCTCTGCCACAGTAATGATTGTGGACCGTGTGTTGCACCTTGTGGGAAGCTACGCAAGTCCTGGTACGTCCTTCCCATTTCCCACCACTTTTCCTTTACCAACGCAACTGCATTAGCCTCCCAAATCACCACCCATGCACCCGACCATGTCATGCCCCTTCCAGCTGCCCCGAAACCGATTCCTGTCAAGCCATCGTCACACTGACCTGCCCATGCGGACGGATCCGTCAGAACGTCAACTGCGGGCGAACATCAGCATCCTCCGGCTTATCTTCTGGTTCGCAGATGAGCTCGCAGTCTGCGCCGAAGTGCACGAGCGATTGCCAGATCGCCAAAAGGAACGCTCGGCTGGCGGATGCGTTGGGCATCAAGACGGATGGAAGGGATAAGGGAACCGCGGCTACCTACAATGATGAGCTGGTTGCGTTTGCGAGGGCGAATGCTAAGTTTTTGCCCGTTGTTGAGAGGGCTTTTGCGGAGTGAGTCCTCGTGGTATTTTCAAATCCTACCTGAGCTGATCTGTCCTGTTTTCTTTCTTGAAGCTTTATTGCGTCCGATAAGAGAACCCAAGTCCTACCTCATATGCCTCCAGACAGACGGAAGTTCGTGCACGATGTGCGTTCTCTCTTCCTCTTTCGCGTTCTGGGCTTGACAAGCCATCGTCCAGCTCGCCACAGTATACAGGTTGGACACCCAGATGGTTGACCAAGAACCTCATCGAAGGTCTGCCTGCTTGCTACATCTTACAAAGTTCCTTGCCTGACCACAATCCATTGCAGTGTCCAACTCCTTAGACGTGTCGATACACGCATTCCGGCACCCCGTCTGTCCGCCTTCGTCGCCTCAACCGCTCCCCCTCCCAGCCTAGGCAAGCTCGCCGATCTACGTGCACTCAGAGGAGGCCAGAATGTACCAGCAGCACCAAGCTCTTCGTGGCGTTCTACAACTGGCTCAAATCCCAACGCCAGCCCTTCCTCCTCGAGGCCTCTCACTCCTGCTTCAGGAACCGCGGAATCTACCGCCTCTCGAACCGCTTCCCGTGGCTGGAGTTCCGTCGCTGCCAAGGCGCCACAAAGCACGACGACTGCGAGCTCTCAGACTCCTGTGTCTGCTCCTCGATCAACAGCGTCGTCGGCTGGAGCTGCTGCTGCTTCGCTGCCTGCTAGAACTTCCGCCTCGGCGGCTGGTACACCTCGGACAGCATCACCAGCCCTTCCTGTCGCTGCAGAACATGTACCAGATAGTTGGGAAGATGACTGATCAAGTACATTTGTTCGGAGATGCGTTCGGAGGAGGCCAAATACAGTCAACGGACTAGACTTATGCAATGACACAGCATTCGAACTTCCGACAAAGGACCAAATGTGTAGTTTTCCAACGTTTTTATTGCATTTGGTTTTTTCGACTACGAGGATACAAATACAGACGAGGAGTGCTAGACAGTGGTCGCGGATAGACATCGACGCGAAAAAGGTGCTGACAAAATAAACAACGATCTAGAAAGAAGATATACGAAAGCGATGGCATACAGATACAGAAGCAAAAAAAATGAGCGCGCGCCGGCGTCGTCTAAAGCAAGTTATGGTAACGAGTGTGGTGCAGGTGCCGAAAGACGAATGGCGAGCAATAAGGATAGCGATGCGAGATGATGCGAGAGGGAGGAGGGAAATGAGTGTCCATGGCTTGTAAGGCCAATAACCGGGCGGAGAATGACCTGACGCCATCTCCGGCGTCCGGGAGTTGGTGGAGAGGAGATGCCTATAGGCACTGATATTTCAAGCAGACGGGCTCTGGCTCCGCTTCTGGTGCGCGAGCGACTTCAACGGCAGGCTCTCGAGGCTGAAGGAAACAATTTCGTAAGCCCGAATTCCGAGGACAGTGCGCGAATTGAATACTCACAAGACTCTCCCTGGCTTCCAAATTCACTGCTACTGGCACAGGCGATGCCGACACAAAAACGGTCACTGAAACAGAGAAGCATCTTCAGCAAGGTTCAGGAGATGAAACGAAAGAAAAACGTACTGCAAGCGACAACAACAGAGGAGATGAGAGTGAATTTCATTTTCGTTGGATGGAGTGTTGTAGTATTGAGCTCAAAAGTATGGAGTTTGAGCTTTGTAGAAAATGGATTGAGAGTGCGAAGACGTCTTCGACCGTTAGGTGAATGGGGGAGCTTTCGCTTGCATTTCGTTGAATCTTTACTGCGTTGCTTTATACATCTCGCTCGCTAGACCCTAGCGAGGAGCACTGGACAAGGGGAACGCCCATAACAGGCAAGCGGGGGACGCGGAGAAGGGGAACGACCTTTCGGAGCGGGAGCAAAGTTGCGTAGCCGTTTCCAGTGCTTTCCAGGGTGTGATGTTGCTATCTGAATTTAATTAGGCCAGAGTAGGAGGCTTCTAAGAAACCAGAGCCTGATCCAGAGTTCAGACGGAGGAAAACCATCAAACAGCTGGGAACTCACCGTATGACGCAACGCGCAAGGAGGTATCCTGCACAAACGCACATCCAAATGCGGGAATGGGTTCTTTGTTCCCGTTTTGGAACTGAGCTTGTCCAGTCAACCTCGTCTAGTATCAGTCTCAGTGAATTCACTTACTCTGATGGATTGAGGATTCGAAGCGTCATACCTTCTGTGGTGTAGTGGTGAGATATCGCGGACGACTCCAGAGTTCACGCGAAAGTCTGGAGTACCCATCTGGCGTGCGTCGAAAAGGGAAGCAGCACCAGCGGAATTTTTACTCGTGGAAAAGAATCTACACCAATGTGAGGAGCCCCGTTGTCTTCTCTGTGCGAGAGACTGCAGCGAAAATGGTGTTGGAGGGTCGTGAAGGAGGGCTTGTTGGTGAAGGAAGGAGGAAAGCTTCCGCTCCGAGAACTCAACATTGCCACCAACAAACATTTCCATATTTGGTCCAATCGGGGCCTTTCTGGGAAATTCTAGGGGGCCGAGAGTCCAGGACGGGTCGGCGACCAGATGCCTGTGGCTGAATCAGGGAATAGGCGCCTGTGTCCAGGGCAGCAGTAGGTTGATTCACCTTGGTGGGATATCACGGCGGTGATGCCTACCTGTTGTGTCAATTCCCGCCGCCTGTGTCGGTGGCGGGGAATTCTGATTTTCTTACGCAAGGAATTCGAATGACTTGTCAGGGGTGTCCTAGTCTTCTATAATAAGTCTGTGACGTTGAAGATTTCGAGAGACGTCAACCGCTTCAGTTTGTCTCTGTACTTCAAATCGAGCGGTTTGATTATCCCAAGAAGCACAGAAGACGGGAAGATTGAGTAGAAGATAAGGCGTGTCCTCTGGGCGTACAACTCACTGTAATTGAAGATGATGATCGAAGAATTTGGCATTCTGAAGCTCGAGACTAAAAGGGATAAGACCGCGTGAGACGGAACGAATAATAGAATTCGCGAGAACAGCCTCTCGTTGAGCGTTTGTGGGAAAATGCGCAGGAGGTAGGGAGGAAAAGATTCGGACAAGGAAATGCACACTTTTGGCACTCAGCTTACTGAGCCTCGCAGGATGCGAGCCAGCGATCAAGGGTCTTCAATACGGTCTGTAGAAACTTTCGGCATCGTTGCACCTTGGAACCACCTCTAGTGACGGCGCCGAGAGAATTCTTCAATCAAATATTTATGACGCCTAGGTAGAAGGTAAAAAGTGCCTTGTCGCACCTAGCAGTTCTTGCCGTTCACTGGCTGATAATCCGCATGCGAGAGGGACGCGATGTTCGTCAGAAAGGAGGTTGTTGGCTTACCCACTATTTTTGGACTGTACCTTCTCCATGGCCCCCGGCTTCTAGAGTCGATGACGAAATCCTGAGAAACCTCCCGATGCGGACGTCCTCTTGTCGACGCCCTTGTCATGCTGTCGACCGTTGGTCGAGGGAGCAATGCCTCCCTAGGAGATAACCCTTTCCCTTGCAGTTTCGGATTTGAATACTTCACTATGCGAAAGAATTTGCCAAGCCTGGTTTCGACTTCTCTACAGCGTGGCATACGCTTGCATGAGCACGTCGACGCCAATGCGGCCATTGGTTTGTTCAATCAATAAGAACAAGAAAATTGGCGGAAGAGGTATCGTACACTGACTGATTCATTGAGCGGCCTCGAGTGGCCGGAGGTGCTCAAGAATGTGGTTGACGGGGAGCTCATGAGGAAATGTCCTTGGTATAGGTAATGTATTGCGGATGGTGAATCGGGTTATAGTGTAGTTGGAACGCATGATGAGGTTGGTGGCTGATAAAAGAGAATCTCGACACCAATAGCGCGCGAGGTACGAGCGATGGCTTCAGGGAAGGGTGCAGAGTTTCGGCCGGCCTTTTGCTCTCTTCAGATCCGATGTCCTCTCTCGTTCGAGTGGAACTGCGTTGCCAACATGCTCATGGCCGCCCAAGATCCTTCAGCGGGGCTCCGTTCGTCCTCACAGTCGTTCGAGTCGACTGTTCAGGTCAACACGCCGCGACGCCGGCTCCAGATGATATCGTCCAGCATGTTCTGGACATCACAGCTGCCACAGGCGTCAAAATGTCGACCTGGAGCGACACGACACAATCCAGGAAGGATCTGAGCGGACATGCCAGTGTGGACTGGGAGGATTCAGATCACTGTAACGTTGTACTTGACTGTCTACAGTCGCTGAATTTATTCGTGTCCTTCTCACGTTGTGGAATCCTTCATTCATCGATGGACTTTGTGGAGTACCTGTGGACCTATATGTTGACATAATTAGAAGCAGTCTACTTTGAAGAGGGCAAGCTGAAGGAAGCGCTCGACGAACCGGAAGTGGTATCAGAGTGCGTTGGCAGGGTCGGGTACAAAAAAAAGGAGGCCTATTCGCTATTTCCCTCAGCGAATATATTATAGATTTTGTGATAAGCTACGGCAATGAGGTGAAAAATGTACACAATTGCGGCGGTGACTTGGGCGGTAGTGATTGCCACTGCCAAAGTGCTCTCCGGCCCGGTCGACCTACCAATCCTTAAGCGCCCGTGCTCCGGGCTCCCGCCTGCAAAAGGCAAGACTGGCTACCTTATAAGCGCTCGCCTCTTGGAAACAGACACATCCTGGATCGCTCGAGCTCTAACGTGCTAGTGTAAGCTGTCCCTTCCAATATGGACCCCGCTAAGTATCACCATCTGATAAACCCTTAGACCACTCGACCCGACCGGTTCATTTAATTTTTAAAACCACACGTTTCTGTTGATTACATTCACAAGTAAACCCGTTCTTCGCCAACCCTCCACCCCTTTCCTAGTCACAAGTCGGCTTCAGGTCAAGGATTTCGGAAACGTGAGAAATGATATGCCAGAATGTCGAATTGCCGAAATGATGAAATCAAATTCCAACAGGAGAACAGGAGGCATCTCCATTCTAACTGCCACCATCTCATTCGTATCCCCTCCGTCCCCTTCCTCGTTCTAGTCGTTCTTTCCCCACCATCTGACGTTTAAACGTCGCTGCATGAGCCACTGCTCGTTTGCGTCGTCACTGCATGTCGCAAACCCTCAAAACGACTCCTCGGTCAATGACCGGGAACCACCCCCTTCTACCAGCCTCGCGACCTGGGTCGACCTACGAGCCTATCCCACGTGTACCAACGTACACTTTGATAACATGGACATTTGGGAGAGGTTCCGTGGTGCGTCAGCCGGAGGGATGAGCTGGGAGTGTCGCGTTGACGTGTCGCGTGTTGTAGGTTTGGAGGATCTGGCCAGCCGTGCTGCTTCATACCGTGTTTGCCGCCGGTCAGTGCTTCATTTCGTACTCTAAGCTCGTTAATTTTATGACCTCTATATTTAGGGATCGTTACCTTGTCTATGCGAGGCATTGTCGATCTGGAAATTCCCAATGTCATGCTGACGGTGCTGGGTTTGTCTCTTACCCCTCTCTTAATATCGCTGAGCTCTAATTACAACTCATTTAGGTGTTGTTATCGGTTTCGTTATATCATATCGAGCAATTAGCGGGTACGACTCTCCCGAGCTCGAGCGCCCATAGATTGAGCTGAAGAGTGTCTATTTGGCAGATACGAGCGGTACTGGATGGGGAGGACTTGCTGGTCGGACGTTATGCGGAATGCCCGGAGCTTGGGCCGTCTTTTCTGGTTCCATGTTCCACCTCGCCTGTCTGCGAAGACTCCAGAAGAAATTCAGTCCGGACAGCTTCAACGTTCTCATGAGGAGTTGAGCAAGGTGATGGCGGAGAAACGGATGGCGCTGGATCTGATTGAAGGGTGTGTGTATACCACCTGTCTCTCTGCAGTCCTTCTTAACGCCCCTGTAGGTTCGCCGTCGCACTCAAGCACCACATTCGAGGAGAGTTGGGAATCTATTACCAGGACCTGTACCATCTCGTCCGGCCAATGCACGAGGTATGTCCGAGTTATACTGCCAGACGCGTCCCAACTCAACAATCCCAGCACGACCACACCGCTGACAACAAACACACGCAAGAAGCGATCTCTTCCGCTCTACCTGAACCCCGCAAAGCACAAAGAATAACCACTCAGACCGTCATCAGGACTGAACAATCACGCCCACCGCGTTCATCATCATCCTCGTCTGACGTGAACCCTATCATCCCACCCATCAACGCCTACGGCACGTTCGACCCGAGCAGACTGACATCTCCCTCCCATCATAGCCTGAGACGCTCGCCATCGCAAGGCTCGCACCTCTCGAACGCATCTAGCACGAGCCAACACCAGCCCCTTCTCCCATCATCCCAACCCCCGCCAGAGGACAACGTGATGGATAAAGTGTCCAGCGATCTCATCCCCTTCGCTGGTATCATCTCCATGCTTAAGAGACAGTTCAGTCCGAGAACGGTGCAGATTCTCCCGACTGGCGTGATGGTGCGTGCTTCCTGTATATTTTTCCTTGTGGCCTTGTGATAACGGTCGTGTTTATCATTCTCGTAGGAGGAACAGATTGATCAGAACGCCCCGACCCGCGGCGAGCGGAAGTGGCAAGGGCCTGTTCACCCAGGTTTGCACACCAAGCATCGCCCAAGGGTGGCTGGAGGAGGAGAGAACCTCCCGTTGGAAATTCTACGCTGCCTCAGCGAGTGGTGTAGCGTGCTTGAGGACCGTGGAACTGTGCCTGGTATGCGAAGTATTCTGGTTTGGAATGGACATAGTAATTGATTTGTGTGTTAGGAACAAGTCTTGGTCCTATGCTCGGGACAATCTCTGCTTTCGAGGACTCGCTGACCGGTGAGACGGTTAAAGTATAGTATTTGCTCATGGGTGTTCAACGTTCAACATTCAGCTCTGGAACGTATTTTGACTACTCCTCTTCCCTTGTGAGTTCCTTTCTCATTTCGCAGAACGTCGATCTCATCCGCTTTACGTTAGCGTTTATTCCGTGCACATCAGGTTTGTCCAAACTTTTGTTCTCATCATATCATGCCCATCATGCACGATGTTGACCCGCATTTTATGTAAAGACAGTGAGTATCGTAGTCCCATTTTGGCATATTCTACCTAGACTCTAACCCGCCCCAGCACCGTCTGGGTGTATCTGTTTTTCTTGCCATTCCAGCTAGTAAGCCAGTTCGGTTACTACACCATACCCGGCGTCGCGATCGCAGCATTCATCTACCTCGGCTTCCTGGCCGCGGGAGAAGAAATCGAGCAACCGTTCGGTTACGATGATGTACGTTTTCAAAATTTCCCTCCCGTCCATCTATTCTCGCCCCTCCCTTCCTAATGTACCCGCTCTTTCACTTAACTTAGAACGATCTCGACCTCGACCTGTTCTGTCATTCCATAATTCATCAAGACATCAAGCACCTGAAGATTTCGCCCTGTCTGAATGCGTACTTTGGTCCTGAAGTGAAGAAAACTGCACGGACGGAACCGCGTCGCTCGTTGACGCTTACTGAGATTACGGGACTCCAGGCTGTTGACATTGATGCTAGTGGCAAAAGTCCGCTATCAGAACATATGCCCTGGCCGTGAGTTCTAACTGCGCTGAATGGGACGCATTGTATTGGGTGCGTATGCAGCATCTCTGGGACCAGATCGAAAGGCCGACTGACCTCAGGGGAAGAGTTTGTCAGGTCCTTGCTGTAGATGTCATGGTGGCGCTGTTCGCGACATAGCCTTGGTGAATCCTGCGCTCGACTTCTTTACCCACTGAGTACTGTCTATACCCCCTTCCTGACATCTCGGGAGCGCGTGCGTTCAGTATCGCCCCAAAGATTAACCATTGTTTGGAACTCAAAGATGCTATGCGCCATAGCGTCGAGAGGGTTCTTAAGTTGATGATACTTATGACGGAATGCCTTGACGGCCAGAAGAGAAAGGCGACAGTATCAACCCCACAACTGAAGACAGATTGACATATATGATACTGCAACACGTCAAGTATCTCAACGATCCAGAAGACTTTCATGATAGAATCCTTGCCAGAGGCGTTGATCCATGTCAGTTTACATGGCTTATCATCAATGGGTTCCAATCTCCTAAAGTTGGGTGGAGGACCCCTTCGGCGAAGCCCATGACCTGAGAAATCATTCGTCAATACCATTATCAGTGTCGTCATTCGTACCTTTCACGAACTCGACCCAATGGAGCTTTCCCAACTGTTCGAGCCCAGGAAACCGACTAGAAATTTTCGGAAGTTCAGACAAGCTATGACATCGGCGCGACGCCAACTCACATTGTCGGTGATGCGGCCAGGGGCTTCCAGTATAAAAACACCGCACGCTACACGCCGCGGTGACCGCACACCTCGACAGTTGGGTGGGAGGACTCGGACAGGGTGATCCGTGAACGGACCGGACTTGGCAATGGGCGCTCCTTTCGAGCACAGGATTCAAGCGCCGGGAAGCAACCTTGCCGACTTGAAGTGGCATTGCATCCGATCATATATGATGCGCCTGTGTATGAAGTGTTAGGGCGACTTCGGACCAGGGTATCGTCTACTGTGTCGTATCTATCAGGGTTATGGGGATAGTGGAGGTTCCGGGATGTTCTGGTCTTGCAGGTCGCTTTTGGAGGGGGTCAAGAGCACAGAATAGACCAAACCGACTGAGTACCAAAACTCTATTAGACGCTCAAGTTTGAGTATTCGGGACGTCGGGGATCGACCGCCAATCCCGTAAGGAGATCTGCTCTTCGTCAGAAATGCTTTTCACCTCTAAAAAAGAGTCTCACCACGCATCCCTTATGCTCATGGCGTCTGGGCCACGCTCAGCGACCCAAGAAATCTAAAGAGCTGTTCAAGTCTCTAACACGTATCCCTGGGACCCGGGTTCGCGTCCGGGTTTCAAGTGCGACAACCTCGGTCTTGATGCGCCTTTTTCAAGGTGTATCCGACTGCATAACAAGTCCTGCCCCGTAAGGCTTTTTCCAATTATCGTTCTTTGCTGCTCGAACGACGGAACACAAAAAATCAGTGTCAACGTGTATGACATGACGGAAAGATTGTGCGGACAACGGGGACAGAATCCGTTGGGTTTCTGTAAGTCCTGTCGACTTATTGTTACGTGCTGCTTCTATGTGCACAAAACGACAATCCTTCGCAGGCAGCACATTGGTTCCTTCTCCAGACAGGAACATGATCAGTACGCGAGCCGATGACGTCCACCATCACTTTCTCCCAAATGGCCCTAAGTACCTTAAGTAAAGTCGAGAAGCTCATGATTCCGAAATCCGTGGTCAGTGGCTATGCCGACTTCGAGCGGTCGAAGTTAATTTAATGAACACGAGGCACCCAATACCGTTAGGTAAATAAACTCTCCCCCTCCACGAGTCGTTGGCGGTGGGGTATGATTCTCTCGCACTGCCTGGCCCTGCCTCATAACTCTTCATAATGACATCGCTACCCACGTTCCCCCGTAGTTCAGCATCAATTCCTATCAATCGACGGCTCATTCGGAGGAAGGTGTACAGGACGATCGTGATCTGGAATCCCGCACTGGGACAGCAGGAGAGATACGCATCAAAGATTCGGAATAAGTTCAATGAACTGAAGTGATGGGAAATGCTCCTCTTGCGTCGTGATTGGAATCGTCTGGACAATGACCGCGGTCTGTGAGCAGGCAGCAGGAAGTGTTGGGTGTTACTCGAATTCAAAGGTGTTGTCTTTTTCGACTATTGTCTCTTGGGGAAGAATAGGAATCTCACCAAGAGTCACTAAGACCAATTTCTGGACATTAAGGGTCGCTTCTCAGGTACGAAAAATACCCCGGTCCATACTTGGCCTCATAAATCGGCCTCTGCATGTCTTGTGGCACGAGCGCTGTGAACACTATCGTAACGACCACCATATGCAATCGAGGGAAAGCAATCCATTCCCTCTTTGATGTTATTTTTGGATCAGCGCGGTAAGCAATAGTCTTGGCAAGTGTCAATGTTAGACACAACTTGACTCCCCGCTCCTAAATCATCGCTTTACGCAAGTAGGCACACGTCGCGCTCACCCAATCTCGAAACAACTAATTTGACATTCTGACACGGGGATGTACACAGAGTGATATGAATCCGAATCTGAGCCTGCCTCCCTGATCCGGAAACCTGAATGTTTCGACACGCAACCGTGACCTCCGTATCGAGCGCAAAGGGTCGTACACAAGTCATGTCTGAGGGTGCATAGCATCTGCGCAACATATAAAATACGTCAAATGTACGGTGGTGACTCCTCAGCATCGTCACCCGCCGGTCAATGTACTCTCACCGCCGTACCGTCGCTCTTTTCTTCCTCACTTTCTCGCTATTCGGCATCGGGGAGGCGGCACCGAAACAATGTCGATGTCTCTACGGCCAGTCGTGTTGGCCTAACCAATCTGCCTTCGCTGCTTTGAGCAGACAAATCTCCCAACCGCTCATTAATCCTGTACCACCGGCATCTGCATGCTACCCGGCCTCTTCGCCTTCAGGGGACTGCGCTGCAGTTCTCACAAATTTCCAAGACGGGCTTTGGCGAGCTGACCAGCCGGGTGCGATGCAGAGCCCTGCATTCGAGACGTACACGCTCCGCAACGGCACGATCGAAGGCTGCTACTCCAACACTACCTTGGGGCTGCCGTGTCTTCAAGGTAATGTGCCGCCCGTCGGCGTCGATGCCCGAACGGTCGGAGACGTTCAGGCTGCAGTCGTGTTTGCGAGGAAGAACAACCTTCGGCTTGTGATCAAGAACTCTGGGCACGACTACCTCGGTCGAAGTGCTGGCCGGGGAGGATTCATGTTATGGACTCACCACCTCAAAGAGAGGTCGTTCAACGCTCGTTTCATTCCTCAGGGTGCACCTCGAAGTCAAAGGAAGACCTATCAAGGTGAGTTGCTTGCCCATCAATCTAGCCCCTGTCTTATCTTGTTCATAAAATCCAGCGGTCACTTGGGTTCTGGCGTTCAATGGGGTGAAGCATATGACTACGTCAACCAGCAAGGGAGATTCATTCTCGGTGGTCTCTCTCTGGATGGCACCGTCGGCGCGGCAGGCGGATGGATTCTTGGCGGTGGTCATAGCACCTTCTCTTCGACCTTCGGATTTGGTAAGTGCATGCCCTAATTTGGACCTCACTTGGGCTAACCCCGCTCGCTACTAATCAAGGTGTCGACAACGTCCTCGAGTTCAAAGCCGTCCTCGCTGATGGGAAATTCGTCACCGTCAACGCGTACCAGAACACCGACCTCTTTTGGGCTATGCGCGGCGGCGGTGGAGGAACCTTTGGCGTCCTTACGTCCGTCACGTACCAAACGCACCCCATTTTCCCATTTGCACAGTCTGCATTGACGGCCGCGTTCGCAACACCAAGCATCGCCCAAAGCGTTCTCACAGAGTTCGTCAAGCTCCAACCCAAGCTCGCAGACCTCGGCTGGGGCGGCTTTACCTTCATCACACCTGCCGGTATCCAGATAAACTACGTAGCGCCCAACATCGACGTCGCTAAGGCCAACGCCACATTTTCCCCTTTCGCCGACTTCGTCCTGAATGCTACACAGGGCGCAGCCCAAGTCGGTTACACATCCTTCGCCAACTTCCCCGATTATTTCAACGTGGTCTTCACTGGAAGTCCTCCCCAAGTCGGCTTCCCAACTGAGCTCACGGCTCGCCTCCTCTCTCGCTCGATGGCAGAACGCAATCCGGCAAAGGTTGCACAGGCTATCTTGGCCATCAACGACACCGTTGGAGCTTTGTGAGTATCAGAGCTACATGATTGTTCAACACGAATCACTAACGCTCCAACTAGCTCTGTCGCCGGTGGAGCATCTTCCAAACCTGATCCAGATGCGATGGCGCTGCACCCCAGCATGCGTAAAGCCGTAACCAACGTGATGGCAAGTGTTGTATGGCCAGAGGGGTCATCTGGGGCTGTTGTTCAGCAGCAGATCGAAGTCCTCAAGAAGAAGACTCAAATTTTGGATCGCATAACCACCGATTCGGCTGCCTACCTCAACGAGGTGAGTACCTTTTTTGCATGGCCGTTGCACCCCTTCTGATGACATCGTTCATGCAGGCTTCACTATACGAGAAAGACTTCAAGAAATCTTTCTTCGGCTCTCATTACCCCAAACTTAGATCAATCAAAGCGAAGTACGATCCCCAATCTCTTTTTGTTGTCCCTCGTGGAGTTGCTTCCGATGAGTGGGACAGCGAACTACGGTGCCGTCTGTGAAACCGTGACACCTACAGTAATGCAATAGCTTAATATTAGGACTCCTTACTTACTGAAAGCTGGACTTAATTATCCCTGAGTCACTCCTTAGCTACTTGATGTTAATTATAACCTATAAATTAAACAGCTTCTCTCAGCATGATGGCCCGTTAACAGAAGCAATTCCCATTAGATTTCACATTGCAAACAAGAAAGAGGGACACAAAAGCCTTGAAGTTTATTCTTGAAGGTTGTATCTCTTGAAACATGCCTGTCTATCGGGCGCTTATTGCCAATATCATCAGCGCTTCCTGAGACTGAATGGCGCACCAAACGCGAAACAGTATATTTCTTCCTAGCACGAAAGTGTACATGAACAACATACACTCGGCAGGTTTCCTGGGCGTATCTACAGATGTACATACAACTAATGTAGTCTAAAGCTAACTTATTTACTAGAACGAGGGTGGGAGTTAAAGCGTAGAAGCGATATCGTAGGAATAGAATGCATGATACCAACGTGAAGGTTGAATCAACGGATGCAGAACGGGAATTGTATGATGGAGAAAAGGCTTCAATAATGCGCACGGAGCGAACGCAAACGAGATAGAAAGAGCGTGTCGAAAGAACAAAATGCATGAACAAGTGCTGTGGAAAGTGGAGTGTGTAGCGCGGTGGCAGAGATGAATATGAAAAGCTTAGAGGACAAAAGTTTGGTCAATAATAGAATAGAAAATAGAAAGCAGGCGTATAGCGAACGATCAAAACAAGAGAGAGCCATGCAAAATTCGTAAAGCGGAAGCCGGGCTAAATTACAGGTCAGTCCCAACTCAGGCAGTAATACCGAAAAGAAAATCCACCTGACTAGCGGAAGGTCGAGACATAGCCACGACACGGTGATCACACACTTCCTGTCCTCAACCCACTGGCGACACCAACGGATGCCTTCCTCTGCTGAGGCTGCTGCTCACCCTTCGAATTCGCGTTCACCTCAAACCCTTCGCCTGTTGCCTGAGTGTTGGAGAATGAACCAAAGAATGGCGTAGCAGGGCTCAGAGTCGAGGGTGTTTGGCTCGAATACGTCAAAGTTGGGGAGATGAGTGAAGGCGAAGGAGAGATAGGGGAGGCGTGGCGGTCACCCTCACTGAACATCGCGGACGAGTAGTGCGTCTTCGCCTGGGAGGGTTGGGCGTTCATGTTGGCGTTGGAGGGATTCGTCCCAGTACCACCTTCCTCGCGCTGCGTCTGCTCTTCTTGACCTTCGCCCTCGTAAATGACACCTTGCGTGGCGCCATCGACACCGCTTCCAGCCATCTTGGCCACGCTCGCGTGTTGTGGGGTCCTTAACGGCTGAGCGGGCATGCTAAGGCTGTTATGCTGGTAGTGGCCCTTCACCATGCCTCCCTGCTGCTGCTGGTTTCGAATCGAGGACGTCCGTTGCTGAGGGAGTGTTGTCGATCGCATGTGCATCTGCGCCGCCGACTGCTGGTACGCGACCATTGTGTCGTTGGGGTTAGGTGACATCTCTTGGTTGGAAGTCGACGGAAGGAGGGGAGAGATCGGCATCGGACGTGGCAGCTGCTGAGAGTGGTACATGGTCGTCGAAGCTGGAGCTGAACCAGGTTGCTCCCTAGAGAGGCGCGTGTTGAGCATTCCGGACATGCTTCTCCCTCCAGCACTGCCAACAGTGCGATCAGCGGCAGAGGAATGGAAATCGTCTTCGCTCATCGACGCGCTCATCGTACCCATGCCCATCATCGGCGACGAAGCCATAGAGGCGATCGAGCCCATCGAGGAGGACGACATGGGTGGTGACACCAACCCTTGCCCAACACGTCCAATCGATGCCTGTGCGCGATAACCACGAACACCAACACTGATGTTCGCCGCAGCAAGTGACTCGTCCTGAACTTCTTCACCAATCCTCCTCCTTCGCAAGTCCAAAGGAGCAGGCCTTCTCCTTTCTGCCGCAGCAGCAGCGTTGATCTGCTGGTGTTGGTGCTGCTGCTGGGCCTGAGCCTGAGCGAAAGCAGCCGTCTCCGCATGAGCGCGCATGATGTACTCCTCCGTCGCCGTGTACCCAGAGCGTGTATAGGCCGGCGCTGGTCGGGAGTACTGCTGGAGATCTCCCAAGCTCTGGCTAGTCGGTAGCTGCTGGTGTCCGTGGTAGTGTTGTCCATGGCCTACTTGCTGACGTCCTCCAAAACCGCCCTGGGAGTAGTCAGCTTCTCCACGAAGGTCAGAGTAGCCACCAGTGGCAGACCCGTTGTACGGAACTCCATTGGCGCGAAGGGAGTCGAGCAGAGCAGCCATAGCGGGGTCCATATTGGCCGACGCGGACGAAGGGAGTTGAGAATAGTGACCCAAGTCCTGCTGATGGCCATGGTAAGGGGATCTGGACCTCGACACTGCTCGACCTGGTGCAAGAGAATAATCGACCTCCAGTGCGTTCGACGTCATGCCGATCACCGGCGGTAAGGAGGATACGTGGGCGTTCGACGAAAAGTCTGGAGCAGAGACCGACGTGCTGAAGCCTCCTCTTGTCGTTGAGGCAGGGAGACCTCCATGAGCGTGGAGAACCGAGTTAGCCTTAGGTCTGATATCTTGTCCGCGGAGATTGAGGAGGGCGGCTTGAGCGATGGTTAAACGAGCCGGGGAGCCATCGCCTTCTTGCGCGGAACGTTCATTTCTCTGATCGCACGCATCAGCATACTGGACCGCAAGAAAGATTATGAAAGGACGTACCCTCAACTCGCGTTGCTCGCTCGTGTCCGCGAATCTGACTGAGATCCTGCTCCCCGTGTCGTTCCATCCACGAACCATCCGACCGTGCAACTTCTCGATTATCTCTTCCGCTCCGGCACGCGTGTCCAACCTGAATCGTGTTCGAGTGGTCAGTTTAACCATCTACGAACAGGAAGAGAGGGAAGTCCATCGAACATACCGAACGAACGCGATAATCCTTGGTGGGTTACTCAACCTCGTCTGGAAGAAACGACTGCTGATAATCCGATGGGGGGATACCAATGCGGCAAGAGTGGGCTCGTCGATGCTTAGAGGAAGACTTGTCCGACCAAAGATCGTGAGTATACGTCGCTTCATAGGAAGCAGAATAAACTCACCCCTCCATGTACAAGTTAGTGCTCGTCGGATCCTGCAAGCTCTCCATCTTGGCTTTGAACGAGCCATTCGAGTCGAGAACGTCCCCAACCGACGAGCTCCTGCTGGAAGCATGGCCGCTCTCCCATGACCCAGTGGTAGAGGCATGAGCTTGCCCATAGATCGTGCCAGGGATCTTGTGGACCTGCTACGGTAATATTGACGCGTCAGGCTTGGGAATGAAGGGAAAGAGGAGCATGAGGTATACCTTCGAGAACGTAGGATGCAAATCACGATCTTTCCTGAGCTCGTTGATGCACCTCTCGGCGTCTTCGATTCGGTCAAACCTGGAGGAAAGAAGTAATTGTCAGCACACGGACATGAAGAGAACACAGATAGGCGTGTCTGGAGGCCAAAACGCGCCCGGATACGCAACCCAACGCACAGCGAAGCAGAGAAGGAAAGACAAAAAGGACTCACAAAACGAACCCGTAACCACTTTCACTGTCCCTCACATGCCTCGTGAACGTCCTCACACTCCTGACCATCCCAAACTTGCTCGCGAGCTCAAACAGCTCATCCTCTGGGAAGTGCGGCGGCAAGCCATTGATGTACACATTCGGCGTCTTCTGCTGTCCCTGTCCTCCAGAGCATAACGCGCTCTCAGATACCGACGTAGGGAACCCAGCTCCTGCGCCCGAGTTATCGTACGGCGACCTCAGCGACGGCAGAGGCTGGGATTGTGACGCAGGCAGACCGCCAGGAGCATACAAGCCGGAATTTGCCAATCCGAAACCTCCGCTTCCCACGCCTCCGCTAGTGATCGCCAGCCCAGCCAGGTCGATCGTCGGTGCGGCATGAACGCTGGAGACAGGCCCCTGTGCGTGCCCGCTGTTGGTGGCGTTGGTGGAGATGGTGCTGAGTACGTGCATCTGCTGCTGGTGCTGATTCTGTTGGTGTTGGTGAAGCTGGAGCTGTTGGAGGTGGTGCTCGCACTCATCGACGTCCGGGAGCGGGATCGTGCCGTGCATTGGCGCGCCGGGGGCGGGTTTCTGGCGGTGCGTCGATGGGGCTTGCATGTTCGTGGACGCATTGGATTGCTGCTGGTACTGAGAAGAAGGCGATGTGGACTGTGGTGGTGGGAAGGGAAGAGGAGAGAGCGCCTTGGGTGCGTTTGACTCTGCACTGCTGGCGTTATTGTTGTGAGTAGTGACTCCGAGACCGAACGAATTGGAATTGGTGTTGGACGGTGCGTGCTGTGACGCGGCAAGACCAGAAATGATAGTGGACCTTGCCGCGCCCTGGGCTACCCCCTGAGATCGAGTCGACGGCGGATTCAATGGTGGTGAATTCGACGAGGGGCGGAGTGTCATCGAAGCCGCCGGATTACCTCCAGAATTCGAGGTATTGGAACTTGTCGAATTGGAAGCGGATCCTATGTGGAGAAAGGATGGAGGTGAGCGTGAAGCCATGAATATATGCGCGTCAAAACGCGATGCGGAGGGCAAGGAGGTCAAGCAAACGCGCTCCAGGGATATATGCGCGAAGAGAGAGGGTGATCAAGTTCCGAGACCGACACGAAAGATGCGGAACAGACGGAAAAATACGCGTTGAGGCAATCGAATGACTGAACGGACGGAGTGAAAGAACGAAAGACGAAGGAGAGAGCCATCCGAGCTTCAAGAGCCCTCGCGCGAACAAGAAAGGGGAACTCAAACATTCCCGCCAGTGCCAGTGCGCGCATGAATGTAACGCACGCACAGCATCGTAATGAAATTTCAAAAGACAAGACAAGAAAGCAAGAAAAAAAAAAGGTCCACTCCGACGCCCAATAAATCAAACAAAGCAACGCAACAACGCAACTAGGAATTTAAGATGGCACTTACCCGACGCAGATGCGGATCCGGCGCTAGTAGGCGGGGCTGTGGCGCCTGTGTTGATGGGCACGTGCATATGCATGCGGGCAGCGGAATCGTGCAACCCGAGGGTGTGCGCGTTCAAGTAGATCTCGACGTCCGACGAGGAGTTGCTCGCGTACTCCTGGTCGTGGTCGTGGTCGCCATCTTGCTCTATGAGCGCGTCGTCGGTATCGCTTGAAGTGCTAGAAGAAATGATAGAATTGTTGTTGTCCAGCTCGCCGCTGGTGGGAGAGCCCGCCGTCGGCCCAGCTTTCCCCGAAGCAGGCGGCGAGAGAGGGAGAGTAGTAGTGGCGTTAGGCGATCCCGTAGGACGAGAAGCGCGCTCCGGTTGCTGATACTTGCCCGCCGAAGGCGATTTCGGGCTAAGCGCCCCAGGCGGTGAAGAGACGACGGACGCGAAAGACTGGGCACCGAGTCTCGCCGCGGATGGGCCAGAGCGGGGCGACTCTTCCCCGCCGACACCGCTCTTAGTGTCCTCGCCGACGTCGGCGCGTGGGGCGATATCAGCAGGAGGTGTAGGAGGAAGTGGTGGCATATCGCGCCTAGTACTGATGTTGTTAACGTTGTTACTAGCGTGGATGGTGTGGGTGGTGTGGGTGTTAATGAGAGAGTGCGCTTGGACCTGGCTGGCGAGGTGATTAGCAGTAATAGGCGTGCGAGTGTGATTTGTGTGATTCTGCGCAGTAGCAGTAGGATGCATAGGCAAGTTGCGAGAGAAGGCCATCGGAGAAAAATTAGCAGAAAGCGGTATGTGCGAGGAAGGCAGAATATGGCGCAGGAAAACGCAGACAAGAGGGACAAAGAATGTAGGAGACGAACAAAGAATTTAGTGCAAGACGATGTTGTGGAGGTGAACAATAAGTGAAATTGATTCAGATGAACAAATTTGGAGGAGTCGGGAACGTTGCGAGGAGACGAATAATCTGTAATATGTTCTTGGTTAAATGCGCAAGAGAAAGTGCAAGTGGGGGTTGCTGTACGGGGACGAATAGAAGCTACTTCCTTCGACGGATGCGAATTGATATTGTAGATTGGAAGAAAGACTAGAAATGAAGCGCCAAGGCAAGATATGTGGGTGCGGCTTGGAGCTTAGTTTTTTGGGCAATCGAAGACGAGATGCTGGATGCCGTACTCGAGCAAGGTTGGAAATAGCAGAGTTACGGAGCTGATAGGCAGAGGGATGATAAGTAGTTGCTGTAGCTATAGCAAGGTGTAGAGTGTTTGAAAATTGCTGGTTTGTTGACGGGCCTCGTCGTTGTCGGCTCTGTCGAAGATGTCGACCGAACAGGCGCCCGGAATACTGAAGACCTTGTGTTACGAGTGAGATGTGCAGATAGAATGACGGAGAGAGCGATGCGAATGAACGCCAAACGCAGAGAGCGGCAGGGGGATGCAGAGGGGGGGGTGGATTGTGACGAGAAGAGGCGAAGAGTCGAACGAGACAAGATCCTCCTCACCTCATCCATACCCGCGCGGAGTAATCGCCTACTCCGACCGCCCACGATTCGATTGGACGTCCATATGCACAATTCAGGAAACGAAGCGCCTCCTCGACAACTTGCTCCGTGCTTCTTTCATCCAAAAACGCTGAAAAGAGGACCTTCGAGCTCTTCTTCCGCTTCGCTTACTCAATTAGCACTCCACCCGATCTTGATAGCCTCGTACGCCTACTGCTTCTTGGGCCGTCGCGGGTCCGCGTGCATTCATCCACTACACCAGGCAAGCAAGCCCTCCATTTCCTGCGGCCGAAAAAGAGCTGTAAGTATCGAAGAGGACAAAGCAAGCTCCGACTCCATACCACCCACAGATTATTAGCAAACAAATTGGAAATTGAAATACGCCCACTTCTCAAAATGCTTGATGCAGCGCCATCAATCGCAGTCCGCTAACTGAACCCATAAATCAGAACCATAAATAGTTCTTGAACGGCTGAACGCTAACGTACCAACGTTAACCTGTCAAAGCCTACACTTCTTGTCGTTGTATTGGCTCTCGATGCGACGTAAACCAAGCCGCGATCATCGTTCTTCCCATAAATGGGGCGCCGGTCAAACACCGAAAGCAGGCCTTGCTGGGACCTGGACTTCATCACTTTCTCCATTTTACAGTTCGTTCATTGATCACCTGTGTAGACATAGTCAACGATCGCACCAATTTAGTGAATACACAAAATTCATACCCCGACTACGCCAATAGTAAGCGCCGCGGGGTGCAAGCTTTTCTCTCCAAAAGCCGTAGGCTGAAGCTGGTCCTATCACCACCACTTGCCACCTAGAACCCGAGGAGCAAAACCCCCTCATTTACCATTACTACACTTCGTCGCGTTAGCCTCGTTATTCTCCGTCGATGATGCACGTACCGCACACAGAAAGCCAAGAGCACGGAGACGGACATAATTTCAATTCTACCGTTGGATGCCGGGCTCCGATATATTTTCTATCCCCTTGTGACAGTCTCGAGACCGGCCTTCTAATCATAATGAAATCCGAGACCGCCAAGGCTCCGAGACCTGGTCTTGCGCCAATAGCATCGCCCATGCATCCCACTTCTCCGACCTCGGAGACGCGTGTAGCCGAGTCCATATCTTATTTCTTATTCGACACCATCAACCTTCTAAGTTCACCACGCGTATACCAAGCAAGAAACTTACACTAGCGGAGCGGCCAGCCGTCTAGACCTCTCCCCACGCTGTAGGAGGACCAATTAACTCATTCAACCCATAAAGGTCCTCAAAGACAAGCAGCCAGGCTGCAGGTATGTGTAAAAATACGTGCCACCTGCCAGCCAAAAATTAGCATCCGTGTTGATATCGATGTGAGCATTCAATATCCTACGTCAGAGTTGGGTTCGGAGGACTGTTTCCGACGATTCAAGCGCATATATGCGGTTCGTGAAGACAGCATGAGCCCAAACAAGCAAGCAGGCTCGCGTACAGCGGCGGTGGCGCAGCATGGCCATGTACATAGTGACCAGCGGGACGGAGGATCGAGGAAGAGGTAGGTGGCTTGTCTCCGAGGCAGCGCGAGATGGCTTTAAAATGGTGCCATGATAGCAGAAATAACGCAGAAAAAAGGAGGAGAGGGATATCAAGTGGGCGGGTGCAAACAGTTGACAAGGAGGAATGACCCCTCGGTTGATGGTTGGCCGTTACAGCAACCAGGATCCAAATGTTGTCTTTCAGCGACGGACAAGTGCCGTAGCACGGAAATGAGGACATTGTAATCTGAGTGAACGACCAACCAGTCTACGAGCGAGGTCTCCGTAGTACTAGTGAGATTGAAAAAGAAAACATAAAGCAGAGGAAACGCGCCTTGCGGGCCCCTTTCCACAGCTCGAGCATCCCTTGGGCCTCGATCACTTTCACGACGGTGCTGAGCGTAGTAGACCATAGCAAGGAACTTAATCGAAGAGGCGAAAACAAACCGTGGGAATAAACTGCAGACAAGCTTGGAACGGCATCCCGGCCCGGCCGTCACTTAGGGGCGTCTGGAGCAATTGTACTCAAAGTTGTTATAAATTGACAAGATATAGTAATTTATGCGTGTTTCTATCCTTCATGCTAAGAAGACACACCCCTCAGGTGAGGGGTTCTCGACATCTTCCACAAAACGTTCTTCACCTTGGTCCAACCATCGTGCACTGTCTTTTTGTTTTGGAACCTTGCCCCTTTGAGACCGCTCTACAGTGCATCTGGAGATATTTTAGCAGTGAATTAGTTTGTGCTCAAGGCCTGATGAAGTGGCAGCGTTCACCTTCGCCCAATTTCTCTTCTACAATGTTTTATCGTACTAGAAGGAAGGCGATGGAGGAGGGTAGCATCTATAATAGCGCTTACCATAAGGCTGAGATTATAACGACGTAAGATCACAACGACGTTTCGCACTACAAAGTGCTGAAAAGATCTCATCCTTTGCTTTGAAAAATTCGTGAACGCGGAAACAATTATAAACTTTACTCGGGAACAAAACGCTCGCCCGGGAAGAGGCCAACATCATCAGATAATCGCACACGCTCAGAACCCGAAGATCCTGTTTAAGAGCGCGCTAGGGCGGGTCTTGACAGGCGCTCCAAGCACATCGTCGTCATAATGTATCTTCACGTCCCCATGCTTCACCTCTACAACCAACTCGTCCCCCGTCCAGCCTCCACTGTTGTCCGACCACCGAGAGAAGTCCCCCAAGAAGCATCGCCGGGTAGAGTCAACTTCGCCAAAGGTCATGAGCTCACAACTGATGTCGTCGGAGAAACGCACGGAGCCGTGTCGGTGCGAGATGACGACCGGCCCGTGGAAATTGCGGGGGATGTGCAAGCGCACCTCACCGTTCAGCGCCTGTGCATGAAGCACAAAGGCACTGCGGGTCGGAGGTCCGTGCTGGGTGATATGATAAGTGCAAGCCATCGATAATGTCATGATTCGGACATACGATCTTTGCAGTGATCCCGCCGTGCGTCGACTTCATCTGCATCACCGCACGTGTGTTCTTCCTGTTCCCCACCAGCGTGATGTCCGCGTATACATGCCCGTGCGTCGACTCCAGCTTCACGTTCTTCTGTGTCTCCGCTTTCTCTCCTGGGGGAAGAGACGGCCGAAGGAACAGAGGGATGAACAGAGACGCATCGATCACGAGCGTCTCTCTCACCGAGCTGTGCTGGCGGCTGATCGCGACGTAGTTGACCGCCTTGGCAACAGGCACCGCGCTCGATGACGCTTGCAAAGATGCATATGTTGGAGGCGGCTCCTGCGCAGTGCGGACATTATCTTACAATCCAAATTGGGCCACTTGTGCTCACCTGCTCCTGCTCCTCAGCTACTCTTCTCGCCGCCAAGGCCTCCAACTGTTTATCATCTGTCAGGATCATCTAGGACGGGGAGTAAGCGTCAGAGCTGAGTGCGTAACTCCCACATATAAACATAGTGGAGGTGTGAAGAACCTGCTATCGGATTTGCGTTTCTCATCTGCGAACCGAAGGTTGGTCCGTGCGAGCATGACGCCACACAAGATTTGATCCGTTTCGGACCGCCGACTCCTTATCTCATCTGATCGAGACTGATCACAGAATTCGAATGTCCTTTCGCAGTCCGTTTGTGTACAAGATTCTGACAACGCTATTCGTCTCTTCTGGTAAATTATTTTTAAACAGTGCCAGAGGCGGCGATGGTGACGGTCTTGGAAAGCTTTCCGGACGAAGAGCCGAGCTTCTCGATCTCCTTCACGATGTTCATGCCCTCGACAACCTCGCCTACAAGTAACATTTGAGTCGGATCCAACAGGGCAAGAAGAAAGGAGAAACCTACCGAAAACGACGTGGGCGCCGTCCAGCCACGAAGTAACGACAGTGGTGATGAAGAACTGGGAGCCGTTGGTGTTCTTGCCTGCGTTGGCCATGGAAAGGAGACCGGGCTTGGTATGCTTCAGCTGGAAGTTCTCGTCTGTGGCGATATCAGATCCGATCTTCGTAACTCAGCAGATCGGACTACTCACCAGCGAACTTCTCGCCGTAGATGGATTTTCCGCCAGTGCCGTTACCGCGAGTGAAGTCGCCTCCCTGAAGCATGAATTGAGGGATGACGCGGTGGAAGGAGGAGCCGGCGTAGCCGAAGCCGTTTTGGCCGGTGCAGAGCTCGCGGAAGTTGCGGGCGGTCTTGGGGACGACATCGTCGAAGAGCTTGAAGACGATGCGACCCGCAGACTGCCCGTTGATGGTAATGTCGAACTACAATAGGAGATTCGTTAGCCCATTGTTTCATAGGTTTATGGCATGATTCCGAGATCGCGCAGGGCCGACTCGGATCGCGTCGTCGATACGCGATCTCTGGACACGAGGGGCTCAGAAAACACTCACGTAGACGTTAGACATGGTAGATCGTGATAAAGAGCGGGATCAAGAGGCGATGGTGGAAGAGAAAGATGTCATCAACAGACGGCCTTTATATACCCATGAAATCTAGGTCGGCAGTTTCCGGTCTCAGCATCGCATTGGTTAATCCACATCTTTTGTAAGCCCCGATTAGCATACATATGAGAGATGAAGACGAACCTTGACAATCATCGAAAGAGGCACGCACGAAGGTCGGGGGTTTGAAATATCAGAGGCGTCCACTAAGGATGTCCGACGCGATTATTGGAATATAAGTTCCGAGCCCAAGACGTCTGTGAGACCGTGAAGAGGAAGACTTCCCAAATCTGAAAGCCGTCTTCTTCACATTCTGTGCGCCTCTGTCCTGGATCTCGGGACTCAATACGTTCCGATGAAATTAAGCCGGAACGTGGTCGTGAAAGTAATGAGCTGTTCGCGTTCATGCATTGGGCCATGAAATGACGCTGGGATGGGCGCATCTGTCAGTAGCTCCGTTGCACAGGGCTACATCTCTATGCGCGCTCGTCGGTTTGAAACTGTTCGGGACGCGATGCACCGCGTCAAAGAGCCTGTTTTAATTTTTGTTAGCATCTCAAAATACATAGAGGATGATCTAGAATCGTACCAATCTCAAACAGATCTCTCTTTGGTGCGTATATGCGCCATGTTCAACGATGACCTCTCATAAACCTGCGACTCAGTGACAGATCATATATAAGTTGGAGAATATGGTGCTTCGGTATCAAGTGGTATGCGAGAGAAGTGTGAATTGGAAGGAAACCACCAACCCTGTATCGATCACGTGTTCATGACGCGTGTTTAGGAGTGGCCCCTACTTTCTTGCATACCATACGAGGATCGTCTCTTGCCCGCTCTAGATCTCTGGCTTGCATCTTTCTCGTTTAAGTTTCCATCTCCAATTAATTCTCATGACGGAGCTATTTTATACCAGAAACGATGCTTTGAAGCGGCCTGAGGCTCCTTCCACCCATCGCCAATCCACCCCACACAGTAGCATCAGAAAGGCTGCCAACGCTTCTCCGAAGCCACCAGAGATTTGTAAAGTCTTCGTTGTGTCACCGGGGAACGTGAAAGTGAAAGGAAGACAGAGTGCGTGTCATCTTTCAAATAAGGCGATTGCAGCCCAATAAAGGAGCAGGGTTCTTGAGGAAAGCCAGATCGTCGAAAACAAAATAGAGTATTCCGTTGTAAATTCTACACCAGGAAATAAAGCAGCAAATTCAGCACACGCATTCGGGATAAATAAACTTATTGGAAGTACAAATGGCGGAGTGGGCAACAAGCTCGAGTAACCAATAGGCGAATCGAGCGCTTGCGTTTGCTAACGTTGTTGTAGCCGCGCCTGATTTGAAGCACGGTAAGCGCTGGTAAGACGAGGTAGTCCAATATCTTGCATGGTTTCAACAAGCGTAGTTTTCTCTCAGTGTCACCCACACTCAATATCTTGTGATCGAAAAGAAGGAGCAACCCTGTGGAGATATTGTCGTATATTTCCGTTTCGACTACTAGGGTGCTGACCACACAGCGGTGAAGTGACGTCGCATACGACAGAACGGTGTACAGGTGACGCACGGTTATCCTTCCGTGCAACTCCGGGTTCGTAAGAATATGGGGAAAGGAAGTCCTGTCTTGATGGCTAGGGCGACATCCAGAGGGCCAGCACACGCAGTCGACGGGAATGCCTCCAGAAAAAGGCCAGTGCTGGGGACATTGTGAGATTCGTAAACAAGGTGTAATTTGGGCAGATTGCTCAATAGTCCAGGTTGACCAGCCGAAAGCGAGGTCCATTAGTGCAGAGGCGGGCAAGGTCGTCTTCTGCCACCGGATTTCTATGGATGCTAAAGGTCTGTGCTCGATGAACATTTTCCAGGAGAAGACGAACCACGCTGCGCCCTTTTGGCGTGGGCATCGCACTTTCCCCAGCGAGGGTGATGTCGAGAGGATGGGAGCCAGCCCGTTTAAGCATCAGTTCTATCAGAGCTCGTCTGGGTTGGGCGGGGGCGTCGGAGGTCGATGTCGAGTCTGTGCCAAAGCCGCGTTTGTGCCACAGCAATATCTCCATGTTGACCAGACGAACGTAATGTGCTTGAGGATGAGGAGTCTTTCCTCCCATATATCAGCCGAGATTCGACAGACTGCGTGCTTCGTAGCCCGAAATGAGGGTGTGGTGGTGCGTACTCGGGAGGCCATGGAGGGGCTTGGAAGCTAAATCTAGTGGCTCGGTGGTGGTAAATGAGTAAGCCGAAGAGAGAACAGCAACCTTTCGGGGATTGTATCATGAGTCGTGGTCGCACAAATACCTACTCGATGACCCAGCTTTCGACCTCCAAGAGACTGTGATATGGAGAAATCCTGCTTTCTTGAATGCTAACCTCTTTCATGTAAGATATACCTGACGGCCACACTTGCACTGAGTGCACAATTGGGCCTTTCAAAACGATTTTGCGACGCAAGAGCCGGAGCGTGGCGGTTTGGTGAGGTCAAGATTGAGTACGGATGCAATCTTCGGGAGGGTGACTCGTCTAGGGTGACCCGGGCCGAATCCCCCGGTCATCATGATTGACGACGCCGAAGGTGACTGGATGTCTCTGGATGTCCCATCTCTTGACAAGACACTCTTCAACTGAAACCCTAGACCGGCCCCACAGCGAACTTGTAGCCGTATGGAGATGCCAGCGCCAAAAGACGACGAGCAGACTCCGCTCTTGTCTCACGGCAGTACAACGCACGACCATAGTGCAGTGACAGGGCTCGGAAATGATGTCGCGGTACGAGGAGGGACTTCTGGTGGGTATCCCTAGCCGTGTAGGAGGTTGTTCCATGATTCGGATGTCTTCGAGATGGTAGATCTCGATGGGGAGGCATACGATAATGTTCCGAAGGCGAAGAGGCAGCTAGGTGCGACTAGGTCCCTTTGGCTTGAGTCGAAGCCAATCTCGCCCTTATCAAGGGCTTTTCAGCGCCGCCTTCCTCATATTCAACCGTGTTATCGGGACTGGGTCAGTAGAATCTCAAGAAGGACAAAAATTTCGCTCATATACGGTCAAAATGCTCCAGGATTTATGCCACCCCAAGCAACATTCTTCGGTCTTCAGGCAGCGTCGGAGTAGCTCTGCTGATGTGGCTCGTCGGAGCCCTTATTGCTGCTTGTGGGACGGCAGTGTACGTAGAACTTGGAACGGTGAGCCCTTGAACGCATATTGTATATATCGCGATCCTAATTTCCGTCCTTCGAGGGTCTTCCACGCAGCGGCGGGGAGAAAAACTACCTAGAATTCATCTATAGAAGACCAAAGTTCATGGTGACGTGTGCTTTCACAATTTATACGCTCATAATGGTGCGTCCGTCCTTATCACTCTGACATCTGCTTTTCTAACGTATTTCTTCTCCAAGGGGACCGCTACAGCCAACAGCGTAGTGTTCAGCGAATGTAAGAACATGCCAAACTTTTTGTCTATCTTTCCCAGATAGAATCGAACAGACCTTCTGCACGCCCTCTCGATTGAGCCAACATGGTTCCACACACGTCTGGTCGCTTTGTCCTGCCTAACATTTATTTGCCTTATACACGGCACCCTCCTGAAATTGGGTCTGCGTCTGCAGAACACCCTGGGGCTCTTCAAGCTTGTTGTTCTTGGTCTCGTTGCTTTCTCAGGCCTCCTCTCCCTCGCAGGGGTCCCGGGTTTCCAGGTCCGCAAAGAGTATGAAAAACCGGACAATCTGAGGTGGGAAAGGCTCTGGGACGGAAGTGGGACTGGAGCCAATGCTTTTGTGAACGGGCTTTACAACGTCATCTGGTATGTAAGCGGTTATCATCGGATGCGACTTGAGCGTCATTCTGGGTTAGGTCCTTTATCGGTTACTCCAATGCAAACTATGCTCTCTCGGAGATTCGTGACCCAGTCCGCACCATCAAACGCGCTGCACCTCTGGCAATGTTGTCCGTCACTGCGTTGTACCTCTTCATCAACGTCGCATATTTCGCTGTGGTCTCGAAGACTGACATTCTGGGAAGTCGTAGAATTGTTGCGTAAGTTTCTGAAGAACCCTCTTTCTATCCGTTAGTTCAATGTCTGGCTTCCAGGGCGTTGTACTTCAGGAATCTCTTTGGCTCAGTGACAGAAAAGGCTAGTTTTTATCTGTCAAAAATATCAGCTCGCTGATCGCGCGATGCCGCAGGCCCTGAGCTCTTTCATAGCGTTATCAACCCTAGGGAACCTCCTAGCCGGTCAATTCTCTCAAGGCCGAGGTACCATGCTTTTTGGGTTGCTCTTCGTTGATCGACTCATTGACGCATGATCCAGTTATCCAGGAACTAGGACGCGAGGGCATCTTACCATACTCGCCGATCTTCGCGAGCAACAAGCCTTTCAATGCGCCTCTTGCCGGTCTATTTACACAATATCTCGTCTCGTGTACCTTCCTCTTCGCCGTGCCGCCGGGAGACGCCTACTTATTCATGATCAGCTGTACGTCAGGTTTCCTAACAATGCGTGCTGTGTCTCGACCCACCTTGATTCCTCAGTGTCGTCCTACTCGCTCACACTGGTCAACACTGTCGTTTCCTTCGGCCTACTCCTCCTGTACTCTCCATCCTACCGTGTCTGGGAGTGGATTCCCCCGTTCCGTGCACCCAAGTCCATTATTTTGATTTTCTTCCTTTCGAACACGTTCCTCCTGATTGTTCCTTTCTTCCCACCGCAACCTGGGTCGAGGACCTACGACAAATTACCGTACTGGGTCAGCCCACACCTGTCTCTCTTCGAACTGATTTAAGCGCTGATATCCGACACTCAGTCGCACTCGGTCGGGGGCTTCGCCGTTTCGATGTTCGGGGTGGCTTACTGGTACATATGGACCATATGGCGTCCACGACGGGGTGGATACACGCTGGAGCGCGAATGGGTTCTTCAGGGCGATGGAGTCTCGAGATATGCTTTCCGAAAGGTGCCTGTGCGATAGGAGCTCACCCAGTGCAATGGATATCCGAGTGTTTCTGTTGGATTTCCTGCTGGATGTCTAATATTCGGCCGCCGCAAGACACCCAACAGCAATACATTCGATAAGCGCGCACAGCTCCAATGTCGTAACTGGGTAACCTCCAGGCGTAGGCGAAAGTGACTATCAGAAGCTCAAACCTGAGGACCGGGCCAGCCTCTTCTACGAACTCTTTTAGCATTAGGTATGTTCATCATTCTTTCAGCATGTACCTCGCTCAGGCCAATATTGATCACTTACCTGGTGCCTCCGTAAATCCAAGCCAGCCCTTTAGTGTCTAGTAAAGCCCTTTCCAATCAACACTCCGTGCCAGACGGTGGGCCTAGAATTGCTCGACTGATGCCATCGCCCTGCCGGCATTGGGTTAATATACGGCTACCTGGAAGGCGAATGCTTCGACTCGGGGTACAGCCCCAGGATAAAGGCCCTCAACTCTAGTCCCTCTAAGGCGGACGGGAACTACTCGTCAGCTTTCGACCCCGGCCAGCTCGGAAGAATGAACCTTGAGAGGGCTGGCCCCGAGGACGCGTAAACGCTTAATGCTCCTCAGCCAAGAGGTATTTGTCAGGGATGCCTCAACCTTACAGACGCTTAACCAGAATAAGCCCCGTCGCTTCTTCAAGTGACCCTTTCGGGTGTTGGATGACGTTCGTCGTGCCCGGGGTTTCAAGAGAGTTTTTCTTTCCGTGACGTTGCTGGTTGCGACCAGTTTCATAAAGCTGTCGCCGTCCCAGACGCCAGACTTACTAGTTACTCTCCCCATCATTGCCCCTCCGACTCGCACCGCAGTGCTGCCTTTCGCCTCTTGAGACGACCCGTTTTGTGTGTATACTGGAGAGGATGGAATGGACGAAGCACTGATTGACAGCTGGCGTATCGCCACTTCTGGGCAATATAATCGTGGTATGTGGAGAGTCCGCTGGTTTCGTTCAACAGGCTGACCTGTCCCTCCAGTCGCTGGACTTACGCTGGTCGTTTGGGACACGTGTACGTTTCTGATAGTTCGTCTTTCCATTCGCCTGATCACCTGAATCGTCTTCGACCACCTCGATCACCAATCCAGTCCTCACACATGAAGAAGAGGTACTGACATTTGGATGTCCTATGTGATCTCTGACTGCCATGATATTCCAGAGAAAGTTCTTTTGGGTATGCAACGAACCCCTCATCGTTTATTGAGCGGATCTAACAAGTGGACTAGAAGAACCGACACACATGGCCAACATACCTTTTCTTCTGGGTATTCTTATTTCTCGACTCTGGACATTCTATCGCGATAACTTTGTAATTGCGTCTAGAGTCGCTATAGCCCAATGTTTCTAAACACGTGAGCCATATTCACGTTCCTCGAGGCTTCTTTCCGTTCTCATCCTGTCATTGACGTGCAGTTTTGGTTACATTGGTGCGGCCACCTGTGTCCCTCATGTCGAAGACATAAGGCAATTAACGCCTATTTTTAGCGACGTCGATGCCGGACATGACTGACAAGGTGGGCACATTCAGCCATGTGTTCGCTCTAGAATTTACTCATTGCTTGCCATGCTTGCAGCTGTTCGTTTTTCCCGCCTGATTTTCGTGTGGAGGCCGTTCTTCTAACTGTCGTCCTGAAAATAGATGTGAATGATCATCTCGTTGACGACCGATTTCCAGCTGTTCCTCAACGCAGAACTCACAGGTTACGTCTGGCTCGTCGTGGAGGGTTGGTTTGTTCTTAGCATTCTCTGGTCCATCTCCTGTAAGCAATCTCCATTTTACATCCAGAAATTTGGCTCCTCATCTGTTCGTAGTCATCCTACAGCTACGGATTTGGGCACTTTATAACCATTCACGTATAATCGGAATCTTCCTTATTAGTTGCTCTCTGGTCCAAGTTACAGTGGTATCAGTGTTTTGTGGACTTGGTGCGAGAGATTCTCGCGGTGGGTTTTGAATCCATCTCTGGGTGATCTCGCTCATTCATTTTACATTTTAGTGGAGGTTGAACGAGTGGGATTTCTGAGGCGTTGCAAGATCACGACTATCCCAAATTTCATGACCGGCTTCTGGATTTCCTTGCTATGGTGAGCAGAACCTGTTTACGCGTGACATCATTTCACCTAGATCCCTCTAGCCTCGAAGCAATTTTATGCAGTTTAACCCTGGTTAAAGCCATCGGACATTATTTACATACTTCATGTGTTCGTCGGGAACGTTTGCGCTACGTTCTTCTCAGAGACTCGTTGCTCTATTCCCTTCTGTGAGCTTATAGTTTGCTGATGTCGCGACGGGATTCACAAACTAATATCCAGGAGCGCCGCAATTTACACATATTGTCTCGTGAATTGGCTGCAGAATCTCGTCAGTGAATCGCACTTCTCTTCCAATGCGCCAATTCAATTGACCTCATAGGCTGATTCTCTGGACGCCACAACTGGGTTAGCCATTGCGGTTCCGTGCGTCATGGCTGGACGAATGATGATCAATATCCGGAAAGTCTATGCAGAAACACTCACTGCCGTTACACAAGAGGAGCACGAGCTTGCGATTATGTTTAGGGATTCTGCTGCTACCACGACTACAGCTACGTTGGCGTGCATCTAGATTGTTTATCATAGAGCCACTAATGTCTTTGAACTTCGGGGTTGCTTCGGAGTCCTTAAGGCTTAAACTCGAATTTGCTCTTTCTACTACCACGTGCCTCAGCAAGCTAGAATGTCTGGCCGCTTTCCTTAACGGGCTTTGAGCGGATGTTTTCCCGTTAACCTTGGCAGGAAACACCAAGCCAGTTCCGGTCTCAATAATATACCCGTTCCTACATGGTAGGAAGTCAAGATCCTTTCAATTTTCATGACTGATCCGACGGTTTCTTGTCCTCGTCGTCTTAAATTATCTCTCTGGACAGATTTTCTTTGTGAATCGAAGCTCACCTTCAAGCCTGTCACCAACCCGCCAATTTCCAGGAAAACTTGATGGGGCTTGACAAATGATTGCTCCTTGTTTTCTGACTGGGTCCGACGAACCCCCACTTGTCGTCAGGAACATGCTTAATTTATACCTTTATATCACCAAATTCTTGCGGTGGCCGAGTCGACCACGGCCTACGCCCACCCGAGCCGCCGCTCCTTGCTTCCGCCCACGATGACGGCCTTCGACCACGACAGTCCCGACACAGCACGAGATATGTGGGTCCTCTCTTGAGCGGTCTGATGGCCTTCTTTCACTGATCGACTATCACCCAGACTGGTGCACAACTATCTTCATGTGTTCGCGATCTGTCAGTGAGGCGGCTTTGCAAGTGAATGGGAGTTGAAATAGCTCTAACGAATGCTCTTCGAACTACAGCTTTTCTTTATTATGACCACCTCATTACTTCGAGTGCGTCCATCATCCAGTTGCTTAAACTTCTGTCTGTTGATACACGCGGACTCGGTAGGACAAGAGATCGATTACCTGTGGAAGAGGTCGAAGAAACATAGCTCATACTGGTTCTTCATCTGCCGGTATTTCACGTTCTTCGGGAACATAGCAGTGACGATACTGGGGTTCTCGAATCTGACGATGCAGGCAAGCATATCCTTGAATTGTGGCATTTTCTGAGGGAATGCTGAGCCTTGATTTGCAGAGGTACTTGACGATTCTCCCCAACCCACCTTTTCGAAGTATGAAAGCTGATAAAACCACCCTCCAAGCTGTCGACGATACAACGTATTTCGCCAACTCATGCTCATTGTGAACCAAGTCTTGGTTTGCAGTACGCGTCCTGCCATCGTTCACGTCGATAATTACTCACACAACCCCAGTTCTCTTGACGCTACGAATATACGCGTTGTATGGCTGTTCGCGTCGAATATTGGCCTACATGATCGGAAGTGGAATGGTCTTGGCCGGAATTTCATGTGTGCGTCACGCCCTGCCCTCTTCCCACTCCCTCACTGACCATGAATTCGCGTCCAAATAGTGGGCATTATTTGGTCAGAAAAGCGCACCGTCAGAGAAAGCAAGCGGTTGTCATATTGGCCTCGCGAAAGTAACGTATGTAAAGCCTCCCCGTTGCAGTTGCCGCATTTTTTTTTAGTTTGGGACTGACACTCCGGTGGACCCTCCGGCGCGTGTAGTGCAATCAGTACGGTCTCGATTTCTTGTCTCTTGGCCCTTGTTCAAATCCCCTTCTCTTTCCAGGGCTATCTGGGGCATGGGAGGCGCTCTTCGTCTATGATTCCATCATTTTCGGACTCACCCTTTACAAGACATGGAAAGCTAGACGAGATCATGCAATTACCGGCATCAGTATTCCCCTAATCTCCCTTATCCTCAGAGACGGTATGTTGTGAAAGTTCCGTGGGTGTTGCGCACGATTCACAAACAACCAACCAGGTGCCATTTATTTTGCGTGCGCTTCTGCTCGTTTTGTCGGTTGTACACATCTGATAGAGGGGATCGTAGTGTGATGGCCCTCTGTAATTTCGCCAATATCCTCACCTTCTACGTGAGCCGTTCTCTCCTCCTTGACGGTCCTGTTCTCACTTTCATCCTCTCTAGTTCTGGGGCGTACGTCCCAATCTCCAATAATAGCGCTCACGATCTAATGACAACCTCTCCAGCCATTTCTCCGAGGTAGCCTTTCGACATTCGCGAGCTGGTGAGCGAAACACGTCTCTGAATCGTCCTATGTCCCTTATCCACCTTCGCTCTATCAGTACTTCCGTGACAATGATAATGCGGCTGATGCTCAATCTCCACGAAACCGCCGAGGATGGCATATTCTCGACACACGCGACCGACACGAACGTCGACTACACAGCGAACTACGATACGACAGGGTTGCACGCTACTCATCTGAGCGCTTATTCGGACGTCGAGACAACGGCACGGCGGCCCCGAAGATCATTGGTTGATTCATAGCTGACCATCGGGACGTGGAGGCTCAGGCCGTCTTCAAATATCTTGAAGTTCCGTCGTAGATCCCGGGTCAAATTCGACCGTGGATTCTACGCGAAGCATCCATTCATTTTCCTGCAATATTTTCTGCACTCATAATTGGGGTTTCGTCCAGGGAGAGCCTGGTGTTGTATCATATTGTACACTAATTCATAACAAAAGATGGGCGCTCCATGCTTGAAACAATTGTTTGATCCCTGCAGGTGGTTAGACGACGGCGGCACGAGCACGATTCGCTAGAATGAGTCGCGCCTCTGCCCCTTGCTCTGGGGTTATAAGAATGAAGTCTCTCTTCAGATACGCGTGAGGTTTCGCTTCTTTGAATCCGCGAGCTTGGGAGAGCGAGACGTCGGTGACAATTTCGGGATCCTGTACCCAACCAGTGATCAGATGAACTGGCATATGCCACAACAGAAGGAAATGCACCATGATTAACGACGTCTTGACACCAAATACGGCGTCCGAGGTGAGATACGGGTCCCCTTTGAAGTAGAGCGACGTAGTCAATTTCTCGTAACCTGGCGCCTACAGAGGGCAACAACAGAAAAGGGTTGAGCAAAGGAGTATGGCAATCGGAGCATAAACTGCGCACCTGAACCTGAATGTGCAAGTGAGCAGGACGGAAGACATGTCGTCCTAGCTTTGTGACCATTTTCCCGACCGTACCATCGCTAGGAATCGGGTACGAAACTGGCACGACAGCCCTATACGCGAAAGAGCCATCCCCAGCTGTTCGAAGCCGTCCTCGACAGTCAGGTTCTGTGCGGTTATCGTACTGTCCATGCCAGAAGGTCCTGTCATCTTCTAAGGTGTATCAAGAATTATAGACAAGCTCACTTGAGTATCATAATGCCCATGCCCATCCGTCTCCCAAGTATCCAGGACCGCGTTCGCGATGGGCTGGCCTTCCATATTCAAGACGCGACCTTCGACATACATGTAATCGCCTTTCCCTTCTGATGCAATCGACTCGCCATTCGGAACTAAACAATTTCAGAAGATGAGAGAGGCTGGAAAGGCTAGACGGTTCAAAGTAGCCTCACCGTCGTGAGCATCTTCAGTGAAGAAAGGGCCTAGGACGCTGGGCTCAGTTGCTCCAGGAGGCTTCGCGTTGTTGATAGAATCGACAAGCGTCGACACGCCGAGAGTGTCCGATAAGAGTATGAACTCTACGAGTCCAAATGTCAGAAGGTGTAGTGAGGAGCGTGATTAGGGGCTAGTACACACCTTGACGAATGTCTGTGCACATCTTGCCGGTCTCCGTCAGGAAGTTAATGGCCGTCCTGTGCCTCAATGTAAGCCTAGTCATTGGGATCATGGACCAACTTCGTACATCCATTCCTCCGTTGTGAGAGACGTCTCCCGGACAAAATCGTGGAGGTGGGTGACCTGGCGAGCGTAAGCGATTCAACGTCGCGCAAGGACACTATTGAAGGGAATTCACAAGGCTCTGGAAGATAAATTTCATGCGTTCATCCGGGCCTACTCATCCTTTCAGCGATGCTCTTTCGAAGACCGGTAAAGCTGCTCACAGTTCGCGTTCATAGCAAGAACATTCTCCGTGATCGACTCCGCCGTCATATTCATGTTCTGCGGCAGCTTCGATAAGTCAATCCCATGCTCCTTCGCTTTCTCTGCGGCTTGGACGATTGATTCCATTGCAGTGAAGTCTTTGACGATGGTGGAAGGAAGAGTGAAACAACAGGCATATCAATACGACGGTTGACTAAACCACCAGTGGTGATTTGGCCATGTGAGAGGAGCGTGAGCGTCGGACGTGCGAATTCGGAGAAGACGAAGAATAAATCGCGTGGGATTGGGTGGGATTAGGTGTCCATATATACCGTCGATCCGGGGTACGGGTCGTCTCTGAATAGCTCGGCAGTGGCCGTTCATAGCAGGCCGTTCAAGTTTGGCCTGAAGGAGAACACGGAGAGGGTGAGCTGTGAAGGAAGTTACGAGTTGTCGATAAAAAAGCTGCTACGCATGCATTCTCGACATAGTAAGGAATGCAAACCACCACCACAAGAAAGTTGTTGCTTCGGAGACAGAAAATAATTGGATGAGGTGTGAACATGTGACGGAATATATGTGGCATGGTAAGATACACTTGCACGGAGAAACCGAAAGAAAAAGGGAAAGATATGACATTCAAACCTAGCGGTCAAAATCGAAACAGCCTCTCCAAGAACCCCGGAGACTTAGGCTTCTGCGCTCCAGGTGGACTCCCTTCATCATCAAAGTAAACCCTGACAGCGCCATTCATCGTCTCCGCATCGAGCTCGTCTCCGGCCCATTGGACGCTCGCGTCAAACTCGGACGGGTCAAAGTGGCCAAGGAAGTTGCGCTTCACGCGGTCTACTTCGGAGAACTGCGTCAGGGAGGATTGGACTGCGTCGGAGAACCGGACGCTGCCGTTAAATGTCCGGATGCGCAGCGGACCGCGATAGGAACGCGGCAGGTGGAGGTTGATAGCGCCGTTCAGGGAGTGGAGGGACACCTGTAGAGGTGGACGTAGGTCGTTGGGATGCGAAGGCAATTGGACGTCGTGCTACAGTCGTTGTCGTTGAGAACAGCTCGTCGAGTATGGAGTAAGGTAGACTCACAATCCTGGCCGTGACACTCCCATTACGCGATGCGCAGCGTATGATGACTCGTTTTCGTTCCTTTATCACAGCAAGGGCGTCTGCTCTCATCGGCATGACGAAGATGTTCGCATCGACGGAGCCGTTCTTCGACTCGAGCAGGAGGTTCTTCCGGTTCTCCTCTGTCTCGTCTTTCGCCAGCGGCGCCAGAAATTCCTTGGGGATGACCAACGTCGGGTCGACAACCCACGTCCCTTTGATCGCAGCGTTGCCAATCGAGAGGCTCGTGAAGTTGCTCGGCTTCACATCTCGAGGAAGCGGGAATCGGGCCCCAGATTGTGACGACCCGGAAGAATCGAAGGGCGTGTATGTGGGTGGCGGATCATGCTTTCACGTCGTGAGATGAATAATGGTTGTGAGGAATGTGAAGGGCGAAGGCGTACTGTAGAATTCTCTGGCGCCGACGTCGAGGCGACAACATCTGTCGAGCTCTCCGCCTCTAATTTCTTGGGTAATTCGTTCTCTGGTACGAGGATCATGGTGGACAATTGAGAGGGGATGCTCGATGGGATGTTTATATGTGGATGATGTGCTGCGCAGTCAGAGTCTCGGCTGCGGATGAAGCTCGCGAATAGGCAAGTTCGCAGCTCACAGCTGTAGTACGTTAATCTGGCTGACGGCGGCGCAGAGCTGATAGCGAACGGTGCTAGGATGTGGCGTGGCGGGACTGAGTGGAAGCCAGGCGCTCAATTTGAACCATGCTCACTAGACGCACAGCCTAGGCTCCGCTGATAGAGATCGAATTTGGATCCCTTCCCCTCGACAGTTTAGGCCAGAGAAAGGCAAAACGTAAGTAGAGCCTAGGCTGCCCCTTGCTGGAGTGTTGTCTTGACTCGTCTCGCTGTCCCATTTTCGTTGTTGACGAGGAGAGGATGAGTTCGTGCCGAGTTCTTCCGGAGATAATGAGATACGTAAGATAAGATAAGGACCAGACTGGCGAAAATGATGCTTGCAAAGGGATTATATTACATGTTAGCAACACAAAGCGTGAAAAAGAGCTAGAAAGATACAGTAAAGTACAAAGAAATGGCCCGATCAGCCAATAGCCATGTCCGTGACCTCTTCTACTTGCGCCGCTGCAGATTCGGCCGTGTTCAGACGCATCGAGAAAATAACGTCTTTGATGACTTGAGCAATGAGGCCATGTTGTGCTTCTACCGCGATCTTCGTGCTAGACGATGGGGCGGATTGAGCAACGTTTCGGCAGACTAGGGCCAATCACTCACCTGTCTTTCACGCTTTTCGTCAGCTGGTTGTCCTCTTTCTTCTTCTCTTCCTTTTCTTTTTGCTGCAAGCATAGTTAGGATGGAGAAAACAAGGTTACAATAATGCGAAGTACCTTGCCAGCGGCGCCCTCCTTTTCCTTCAATGTTGGTGCAGACGCTCTCGTTTGCGCAACAGAGCTTTGAGCCTTTGACAGTTTCTGGTGTAAGTCTGACAGCTGTGAGACTGCATATGCTCGATTCTGCGCACGATTAGCAAGTTTATTATGGGGCGAAAAGGAGGAACGTACCGAAACGAGAGGGCTTTGACTCAACGTATTCACCCAATATTTGTTCCATAGCATCGCGAGGAGGTCGTTGTCTAGGCTGGATTTGAAAATCTCTACATCCAGCTGGTAGTACTGATTCGCGTGCACACCAAAATCTTCGATCTTGTTCAGCGGTATTGACTGGTACTCCGACTGAGAAACGTTTGGAGGAGTGTAGTTTTCAGGATACGTCCGGAAGGCGCCAATGTCGACCTTGCCAGCAGAGATGGTGCGATTGGGGTCAATCTAGTGGGAAGATGAGGAGCAGCGAGGATGGAAGGAGGTGACCTGAACGCACGACAACCGCGACAAATGGATCTTGGAACTTTTGGTTGTTGATTTGCGTGTTTACGTCGATACCCGATAGCCAACATCCATAACCAGGGTGCGAGTGATACCATCCGATCGCGTTCTCCAGCCTGCCAGCCTATGGATCGAAGGCATTCAGATCAGGATTCTTCCCTGGAGCCACAGCGACTTACTTTCTCGCTCTTGCTGATGTACTCCACCATGTACTCGTTCGCCTCATTCGCAGCATTAACACGCGTCTCCGTTCCCTGCACTGGTAGTGCGAAAGAATCCATGATGACCAACGAGTTCCCCACCACCTTCCCTTGCATTAGACCCATAATCTCGTAAGGCACTCCTGACCGTGCATGGATCACCTGAAAACACGATGCGGGTAAGTCAGGAGTGGCAAGTCTTTCTTTGAAGATAGCCGCACCATCTTGATCAGGGCAATTGCTGAGATTTTGCATGATTTGAAATAATGAGGACTACATAGACGTGATAAATGACCCGAAAGCGATGTTCTCAAGACAACATGCGCACTCTTTTGCCCATGGCGCCTCTCTATTGATTTTCTTGTCCGCCTCTGCGTCGAATCGGTAGATCTCATCTTGTGGAGAGATTTCGGTGATATTGTTCATCAGAGAGAAGGACCCGAGCGCGATATTGCTGCCCGACATTGTGGAGAAGGATTGGCGCGTAGGAAACAAGAAGCAAAGGTGTGGTGATACTCGCGTCTGTTTGGCAAACGGCATTGGAGCAAATAAACTGAATATCATTTCCGGCTCGTGGACCCATGCCGCGTTTTGTTCTTCTCGCCTCCACGAGTGTGCAGCCAATGACCACTATTAAGGCCCAAATACTCTCTGAAGTCCCTCTCGGAAGCTTGTACACCATGGGACTTCAGCTTACCACGATCCCATATCGCTGCTTTCAAAGCTCTCTATTTTTATTCTTAGGCTCGGCGTCTCAACAGCGCCTACGAGCAATCTGCGTCCGATGCTTGAAGGCCGAAGAAAATAAAGGCTTAGAATGGAAAGATAAGCTATATTTACCTGATACTGATTTGGTACTGGCAGTGGACATCAGAGCTGAAGGCGTTATGGACGCTCACGTCGGGTTTTCCGTTTCACTAATCCTAATGCAGGTTCTTGCGCACAGGCTTCTTTTCAGCAGAGCTTCGCCTTCGGAACCCAAACGTGGGAGGCCTTTGAAGCGAAGGATACAGCTGCTCTGGAAACTATAAAGCCTGCGTCTTTCGAGAGCTTCTTTTGCCGCCGTTCTTTGCCAATCAAACATGTACGACCAGGGCTTGCCTCTCGCCTACACACACCTGTGCTATGCTTCTGGGATTTTACTTGTTCTCTATCTTCTCCGAATTCGGTTCATACGGTTGTCTGGGTATCCTCTCCCACCAGGACCGGCAAAGCTGCCTGTGGTCGGTAATCTCTTCAACATGCCATCGAGTTTCGAATGGGAAGTGTTCCATCGCTGGAGCAAGCAGTATAGTCAGTTTTCGCGCCCCTTCAACCACTCATGAATATGACCTCAATCCTCGTCCAGATTCAGACATAATTCATGTCAGTGTTCCTGGCACATCCCTCATTATCCTCGACTCGTTGAAAGCTACCACCGACCTCCTCGACAAGCGATCATCCATTTATTCAAGTCGGTAAGCTTTGTCCTCTTACATGGCCGTCACTTTTTATTTTTCTGAATACAACACAGACCCAAGTTCACTGTGATTAGTAAAGTGTATGTAACGAAAACGGTTTCGACGCACTAGGTTGACCCTGCTTCGTCAGCATGGGATTCTCCTGGCTTCTCCCTTTTATGCCATATGGGCCGTCATGGAAGGAACGGCGGCGTCTACTTTCCCGCTACTTCCATCCTTCAAATGACAAACTCCATAAGCCCGTCGAGATCGAATATGCCAGAAAACTTCTTCTACTCCTCCTGGAAGATCCAGAACATTACCTACAACACCTAAACCAGTAAGTCCCTTCCCAAAATACTCTTTCAGCGTCTTTATCCTATTTCCTGTTTAGCGCCGTCGGCGGTTGTCTGCTTTCAATGACTTATGGAGATAGCGCGAGACAGCCAGGACAACATCACCTCAGGCTCGCCGAAGAAGTCGGCCGATGTTTGTCAGATGGAGTAGTCCCCGGAACAATGCTCCTCGATGTCATTCCTTCTCTCGCCCGCATTCTCTCGCCGGTGCTCGTCGGACCGCGCTTCAAGAAATCAGAGCAAGAATGGGAAGCTCTCGTTTCCAGATTTCGGGATGTTCCCTTCCGCGATGCGGAAAATTCGAGGGTGAGCTCTCTTACACGCAAAGCTCTCGATATAGGTAAGGAACAAAACTGATTTCTCTTACTTTTGGCTCAGATGGAAGGTTCAGCTTCTCCCTCGTTTGTCTCCGCTGCGCTGGACCAACTGCCTGTGAGTGAAAACAATGAACAGCAGCATAAAATCATCAAAGATGTCGCGGGTATTATTTTCCTCGGTTCGAATTCAATCTCTAAAGCGTATTTCCTGACGTCTCATACTCTGTGGAAAGGTGGCTCTGGAACAATGGGTTCAGCCCTACACACCTTCTTCCTTGCCATGACACTCTTCCCGGGCTCCCAAGCCAAAGCGCAGGAAGAGCTTGACCGAGTCGTTGGACAAGCCCGACTTCCGAACTTCGATGACGAGCCCTCTTTACCGTATCTCAGTGCATTGATTAAAGAAGTCATTCGGTACGCACACGTCTTCCCATCCTTGTCAGCTAGTCGAATCCTTATCCGCTGCTCTAGTTGGCGGGCTGTCGGTCCACTGGGTGTGTGTTCAAGAACCTTGTTCAAATCAAATTCTTACATCCCTCGTAGGACTACCGCACGTCCTCGAAAAAGATGATGTATACAATGGATATTTCATCCCGGCACAATCAGTCGTTCTGAGCAATATGTGGTACGTCCACCTTGATGATTACTGTACCACCAGTCAATTATTAATGCTGCGTTGAGGGCCATTCTCCACAATGATAATGACTATCCAGACCCAGAGACATTTCAGCCCGAGCGCTTCTTGAAAGACGGATGTCTAGATACATCTGTTCGTGATCCAGCTGATGTGATTTTCGGCTTCGGTCGTCGGTGAGTGGTTTCGGTCCAGTCCTGAATTACGGGGTTAAAAATAATCTAGGGTATGCCCTGGGGAACACATCGCGCGTTCTACGATGTACATAATTATCGCATCCGTCTTGTCTACATTCAATATTGCGACACCTGTCGACGAAAAAGGTGTTCGCATCGAACCTGGTGGAGAGTATCAGTCAGGTATCACTTTGTAAGCCGAGAGCTTGTTTCTCCTTGACACCCCCGACTTATCTACATTTTTATTTTAGCCAGCCGCTGCCTTTCAAGTGTGCCATTACGCCGCGCCATGACAAGGCGGAGGCGCTTATTCGTGGGGTTGATGCATGACTGCGTCGTTTTACCAGCAGATTCGAGCCTTTTCCTTGATGGTACTATTTTGATTTCTGTGCTAGCAGCCTCTAGAGTGTTTCCCGTCAGTCGACCCCATCGACCTAATGTCACAACCAACTGTCATCTGAGTCGGAGCGTGAACAATAGTCCGTTTTCTGCGATCGCTGGCATCTAGTGGATCGCCTGTGTGTATTGAGGTATCCTCGAAAGTGCGAATCTAAACGACGAGTGTTGCGCTGCGTGAGGTATCTTGATGCCGAATAAACATACTGGGTACCAATTTATGACTCAGAGCCAAGTCTCGCAATATCGGCCTGGACCTCACTGGAGTTAAGTTGTTTTCAGTAATTCAGTTTTATTCATTTCAATTAAACCCTGCCCTATGGCGCTCTGGAGTCATGAGGGTCCGCAGGAGTAAACTTGGTTGGGCGCCTAATGTAGCCGCGGCGACGGCTAGTAAACCGGCCCGGCCGTTGCTGATCAAGTAACTCGGAAGATGCCGAAATATCTATCCACAGCGGCAGTATCGTTTTCGACACTCTTCCTCTTCCTTTCCCTTCCTCTCCAGATGGACGCTCAAATCCGGCCTTCTAAACGCGACTGCGACTGGTCTTTCAATTTCAGATCAAACTATGGCTCTTACGACTCCGACTCCGATGATTGCGACGAACCGCCAGCCACTCAAGCTTCGAAAGTGCCCTCTGAAGCAAAGTTTCTGCAAGAAATAGATCTTTCCAGACGAGAAGAGGCGGCCGTTTATAAGCCGAATCCATTCAGTATTGCCAAAATCAACGCCGCATATCGAAAAGGTGCACAATATCGACCAGCCGCTCCGCGCGACCTTGCGGGAAAGGCTACCAGCAGAAGCCCCGTACCCGGAAGCATCATGCACGGTTTCAAGGTCCAAGCTTCCCGGGCACCTTCGGTTTCGAAGAGGGATAAAGCACCGGAACGTCAGCCACCTGCAGCGCGCTTGCTTCAATCCCATGAACCCCACGAGCTGAGTTCATCATGCCCGCAAAACGACTTGCTCCTTTCCGACCCTCGCATGTCAAGCCAGAAACCTGAGAACTTCCAAAATTCAGACGCCGTCGGTCTCTATAAGATCTCCTGCGACGTTCTTGTAGACACGTCTACCTCCTTCGCGACGAACGGTGCGCATATATCCACCCCAAGCACTGCGGCTGTCGCTTGTCTCGAACGTCGTGCAGAAGTCGATCATCGCAAGGAGGTCCCTTCGACGATGAGCATCCCCTCGGACAACCCAACTGCGCGTTCGATACACAAGCCACGATCTGCCAGAGAGCCGTCGCCGGTCCCCATGAAACGGTCTGCTATATTTACGCCCCGTATCTCGCGGCCAGATCGGCCCCTCTTCCATTCGTCGCCCCTGAAGGCTCCTGTACTGCGAAATCATCACAATACACGGCCTTTCACGCCAAGCCCACCTGGTCATCGATTACCGAATCGTTCTCTAGCACGAACCCCAGTTCCACGGCTCTCACAGGTTGTCGTTCCGCCGAAGATCCCTCAACAAGGTACAGTCACCCCCCAATGTATCAATATCTGTGACCGTATCGCCCTTTTGCAGGATCCTGCATCCTCTCTTCCCATGCTTCAATCAAGCGCGAAGAAGTGTCTGATACTCTCCCAATACACGGAGCAACCTCTGCACTTCGACCTCGTAAACCCCTCAAGAAAGAAGAATCCGCTTACGACTTTTCTGCTTTTGCACAATTTCCCCCAACTGCAAGCGAAGAAGCCAAGTTTCAACCCAGTCGGTCTCATCAGCCAACAAATGTCGCCAACAAGAATCTTTGGGCTTATCAAAGAGAAAGCAACGGTTTGAATAACGGGATTTCATCCGAAGGAGTTACGAAGAGGCGTGTTATTACAGCAATACCTTCACGGGACGCATATAGCTTTGCCGCCAACGACCCCGACGAAGTTTGGAGCACCCTGCCCTCGCGAAAGAAGAAAAAACCGAAGTCCATCGTTTTATTTTATTTCATGTTCTACACTGAACATTCTTTCCCGCTAGCGAACCCGTTGCTTTCCCGACTCTTACAAACTCCTTCCGATTGCCAGGCTTGCTCGCTCCGTCGGTCTCAGCTGGGACGGAAAGCGCCGTTAACAAGGCCTCTGGCAGGCGAGTGACGACATACCTACCGCCTCCGCCTCCGGCAGCTCTCTCAGCCACTCGACCTCGAAAGAGCGACGAACCTCCCATCCAGGAAGGCGATAAATGGGATATCGAGCTCCCAATGACGCCACCTCGAGAGGCTGCAAGGCGAAAAATAGCTCCTCTGTCTCCTGTAAAGGACGAAGGCCACGTTGAGATGGCCAATCTTGAAGCGGCTGCGTATCCATCTCCCGGAAGTGCGAGGCGGCCTATCTCTCAAAAGAAGGAGTATGGCGTTGAAGGTGCCACTGCCGCTCTGTCTGTCAAATTAAAAGAAAGGACATATCACCCACCCTCGCCTCCGACGTCAGACCCTATCATACCTCCTGATGAAGGCGATATCCGCATTCAACTGGACCTTCGAATCGTGCGAGATAAATACGGTCAGACGAAAGCCCAGTTACAGAAGGTTTCGTCCCTCTTTGAAAGCTGTCTCTGCTCGTTTTCGTCTTGCTCACTTCTTATAACTATCCCTAGTAGCGCAGACGTGCGTTGGCTGACTTCCGAGCCGGACTTGAGCTCGAGAGCTGTGGCGTCGTCTATAAAGATGCCCGCGATATGAAATGCGAAGAAAAACAGGAAATGGCGATCGTGACCTGGCCTCAAGCTCAAGTCTGACTTTAATCTTATGCTGAACCTGTGCTGTGCTACTAGTTGCTCTCTGGTCGCGTCTCCTCAAATCCTGGAACCTGCTGCATCCACCCTCCGAGAATACTGCTTTCCCTCGCGTTTGTAATAATACTGCAACAAACTTTTATTCTCGAATCGGAAGGTGCTAGTTTTACAAGTTATAAGCCCGAATGTTATTTGGTACACAGCCTAGTAACGTTACCCGGCCAATGACTCCAACAAGCGCCTGGCTGCCTCTGAACGGGGTGTAAACGAACATTGAAAAGGCTCCGGATATCCACAGTAAAAGCGACAACCATTATTATTGCTCCCTTCGAAATGCGCTCGGGTACGCACATTAGCAGAGATTTGCCAAACTTGTGAGAAGGCTCGATGATGCATCCGTTCTTATCTACGGCTTTGGCTATGTCGTAGACGGAAAGGATAGTCGCGAGGTATCCAAAGTTGGGAGCTGGCCATGAAGCGTCCTGGACATACACTACGCAGATAATTACTCGAATATGAGCGCAGGAGAATCGTGAGGAAAATTTGTTGCCTACCGTCGTCCGAAACCCCAGGCGGCGGTGAGATAATTCTTCATCGTCTTGGTCTCGTCTAGAAAGCGGTCGGGATTGTATACGAAGGGATCAGGAAAGATCTTTTCGTCGTGCAGAATCGCCCTGTGCGAGCGAGTCCGTTCAATTCATCGACTTGCGGAATCACGTTCGAGGGACGTACCAGACATTTCCCAACACCAGAGTGCCTGCCGGTATCCTATATCCCTTATATTCATCTTCCTTGCAAAGTAGGTGAGGGATACCCTGATAAATATTATTCAAGCCAATGTCCAAATAGATGTCTAGCTTGCATACCAGTAGGACCAAGAGTCCACCACCTCATAGTTTCTTTCACAACTGCAGTCAGATATGGGAGACACCCTTCATCTCCAAAGTCCGGGAATCGTGTCTGTTCCGTGACCAAGTCGAGCTCCTCCTGCACCTTTTTGATAACATGTGGGTGGTCCAGCAATGCGAGGATGAGCACTGATAAGCCTGCTACTGTCTGTGACCAAATCATCTGATTGTATTCTTACAAGGAAAGGGAGAATTTGTGCTCACTGTGTCTGATCCAGCTGGGACGCAATGAGGGAGCATAAGCATGCAGATGTAAAATAGGCAAGACCTTCCATCGTGACACACCTTGATACATACCCGCCGCCACCGATTTGACATTCTCTTCGGTGTAGGCACTTCCAAAGTTCTGAGCTACCTTTTCTAGACCGTCGAGGGTGAACGAAGGTTTCGCGGATTTGTCTTTCTGTGAGAGGGTGTTAAGGGAGGACGGAAAGTAGTAGGTCAATAAATATTGAGACCCTTACTATATTTTGTAGGGTGGCCTCGAAAGGACGAGCACGCATCTCGTCTGCACAAGCCTTCCACTCCTTGGCCTTCTTCTTGAACGAGGCCCCTGGCATCCAATCTGGTATGTATTTCAAAATAGAAAACGAGTCCACGAGATAGGCGCCCGGAACGGCGGCCTCGAGGATGGGGTAGACGCCCTTCTCTGCGATCTCGATGTAAGGGTCGTTCCTCGGTTGGGTATCTATGCCGTAAGAGATCGACAATATGGTTTGGCCTGCCCAGCTGGTTCATATATTTTAGAGTTTGGCGGAGAGTGTAAGAGACGGCTAGACATACTAGCGAATATCGGCATGGAAGTCACTTGTCGTGAGAAGCCTGTGGGCAAGACTCCGTGCTGTTCTCAGTTGTTGAGGCCGATATCCTTCAGCAGCAGCTGGGTGGAACGCCTGGTGCATCAACTTCCGGTGTTGCCTCCTGCGAAGATTCGGTTCACGAATCACGTAAGAGAAGAAAGGGGAAATTTAATTTACCATGTGTCCCCTAGCACATCCATCAGGAGCATGTACATACGGTAAGAGGCCCAGTGAGGGTCACTCACCGTAGTCCATAAATGCGAAGGCGAAATTCCATCCCATCAAATCGTTGAGCATCGCCATTCTTGGCCTGGAATTTGAAATGCGAGAGGAAGAATACTGAGAAGTGATAAAGCGCTATGATATACCTTCCAGAATAAAGAGATGATCTCTTCTCGAGCAACTCGATAACATCTTCATAAGTATCGAGGATGACCAAAGACTGTCCGGCGAGATTAAGGTATATAATATCACTTTCTATGCCCTAGAGTTATTAGCGGAGTGAAACAGAAAAAGAAGATACTTGCGGTAGTCTTGACACCATTTATGATACACTTCCCAGGGATTGTTGTGGGGTAAGTCCCAGATATTTCCTAGCAACGGAATTCCACATGGTCCAGGAGGAAGACGAAGACGAGCGCCTGTGCTAATCTCCTTAAGCTTGGCAAGAAGCCGGTAGGCAAGATAGACCGCCACTAAGCCCAAAGCGTAGTCGATTACCAGCAACGTTGTAGACATTATGTAGAACTCGGGGGCGTGTTCTGTGAACGAGAGCCTTTGTAGCCTTCTTATACACACGCTTTGGCCATCTCCCGGTCGCCGAATCTGGATGGAAGGAAGGAAGGAAGGAAGGAAGTGTATTAGCCGGCGCGCGGTCCCTATAAAGAAACAGCCGGCCCAGGTGTACCGAAAAGTGCGTCTAAGTACATACACCAAAAGCACGTACTTCTTTTCTACGTACCCTGTACACCCAACCCATCACCGCGCGATGATCTAACCACTGACACTACAATGCCCCGGCCCGGATGGGGTTCAGTCACGAAACTTTTGTAACGGGAATCGCACCTTTCGTAACAGCAATGCATCTGACCATCACGGTTATTAACCAGTCCCTTGACTGACGCAACTTCCAATAGATTTGCTCGGAACGTGAAGATGCGATGCTATCTATCGCCGACTCAGCATTCAAACTGCAAGGTACTAAAGAAGAGGTAGGATTCGAGCAACTACTGGACCATCTAACAACATGCTTGGGAAGGGGAACTGCTATAAAAAGTTGACCCTAGTCACTTGATCAAGAATGGTTGGATGGCGAGACGAACGGCCTTGAATCTCGCCGACAATATCAGTCTGTGAATCAGGGCGGAAACTTGCTGTTCATTCTGCATCATGTGACAGGAGCAAGAGCTGCTTTGCTGTATTGGAGCGAGGGATGAATTTGCATGGATATCGCTGGGGGAAGCTACGTAGAGAGGAATCGAGCGTCAGATCATAGCCGAAGGTAGTGAAGAAGGCACGTACGCGAGAATCGAGGAACGGTACTCGTGCGAAGGTTCGATGGGTTTCCCATCGGGGCCAATGTCCTTCTCGATGTCATAGACGGCAAGAATCGACGCCAGGGTGATCCAGACTGACGCAAATCCCATGAAGCGTCCCGGGCAGATCCTTCAGTTACATTACCAGTAAGTATCCATCAATTAAATAAAGAAAACCTTCTGAGAACGACGACACTCACCGTCTCCCAAATCCCCAGGCAGCGTTGAAGTGGTTCTCCATGGTTTTATCGCTGTCTAAAAATCTGTCCGGATTGAATGTGAAAGGATCGGAGTAGACGACTTCGTTGTGGAGCATAGCCCTGCAGGCCGTGTCAAATTGGCGGAACAGAACAGAAAGGAGGTATCCACCATGCGTTCGGCACGATAACGGAGCCGGCAGGGAGTCGGTACCCTTTATACTCGTCTTCGATGTTCAACAAATGCGGAACGGCTACGTCAGAACAGCGTCAGCGATGGAGATTCGGCAGAGTTGTCGACGATACTCACCAATCGGTGCGAGAGACCAATACCTCAGCGTCTCTTTGACTAGGGCAGAGATGAAGGGGAAAGATTCTTCGTCGCCGAAGTCAGGTAGTCGTGCTCCGTCTGTGACTGAATCAATTTCGTCCTGTGCTCGCTTGATAAGAGATGGATTGGCGAGGAGAGAGATGACGCAGAATCCCAAGGTGGCCACAGTCTGCAATGACGGAAAGAAGGGGTCAGTATCTTGACGGGAGAGTGGATAGTGCAGGCCCATACCGTATCTGACCCAGCTGGAAATTGACAAGTGTGGTAAGGAAGTTGAATTTGAACTGCAGGTGTTAGTTACATACCTTGGTACATCGTGCTCGCGACAGACTTGATGTTTTCTTCTGTATAGACACCGCCTAGACCAGACTTCATTTTCTGGAGGCCATCGCTAGCGAATGATCCTTTGGCAGTCCCCCTTTCCTGAATTAGCAGTGAATCGTCGAACCTCGCATGAAAGCGTCAATGATGAAGCTGAAGGCTCAACTCACAACTTCGCGGAGCATGGCCTCGAACGGGCGATTAAACATGTCCAGAGCCAGTAGCCTCCACTCTTTGGCCTTGCGTTTGAATGAGGCGCCAGGGAACCATTCTGGCACATACTTCAGGACAGGAAGAGAATCAACCAAGAACGCTCCTGGTACGCCGGCCTCCAGGAGAGGGTGGACACCCTTTTCAGCGGTTTCTACGTACGGATCGTTCTTGGGTTGAGTGTCGAGCCCGTAAGCGATCGATATAATTGTTTCGCCCGCCATTCTTGGTAGGCGTATCTCAGAAAGAATGAAGGCTGCTAATAATAGAGGACGGCTTACTGTCGGAGCTCCGCAATGAAGTCATCTGCTGTTGGGAGCCTCTGGATGAGCCTCCTGGCGGCTCTTAATTGCTGGGGGTGATAGTTCTCTGAAGCGGTAGGATGGAACGCTTGATGCATGAGCTTGCGGTGCTGCCTCCTAGAAGGGCGGTACGGTATGTCACCAAAATGCTGCGACTAGACAGTGACCCCACCAACCATCGGTCTCCTAAATAGCTTGTTCAGCAAACGATCCTCTAACTCTGCGCATGTGGCTTACCATAGTCCATGAAAGCGAAATCAAACTCCCATCCCATGAGCTCGTTCACCATGGTCATTCTCGGTCTACTCAGCCTTCAGCAGTTGGAAAGTCATAGAAATACAGACATTTGTACCTTCCTGAGTACGCAGACGAACGTCTGTCAAGAAGCTCAATGGCGGCCTCATACGTGTCGATGACGATGATAGATGACCCGGCGAGGTTAAGATACAGGACATCAGTGTCTAGATGGTAGTCCTTGAGTTGCATTGGGATATGTTTGAAACCGAGGGTAGACGTACCGAACTCTTTGCACCACTTGTGGTACGTTTCCCATTCATATCCTACCGGCATGTCCCATAGATTTCCGGCAAGTGGGACACCTTTTGGTCCAGGTGGTAGCGGAAGGTGACCCTGACTGTTCGATCTCTTCTGGTAGAGGCGATACACCAAGAACAAGGCAAAACCAACGAAAAGGCCATCTAGGATTGGTATGTTGCTCATGTTGGGAGAAGTGAGGAGCTCCTACCGCCCATGGGGCCCTTTATATCATTGGAGACCCAGTGAGAACTTCTCCCACAATTACAGAATTGCATAACGGATCTGTGTTGTCAGATGACGATTTTGTATCGAGAACAGAGATCTGCAGAGAATCGGCGTTCGCAAGGCTCCTGGCAATTGACAGCAATATGATGCGGCTTGTACGCACCTGTCTGTGGTATCGATTCAATCGTCGAAGGGTTGGGTGACCAGGGAGACGGAATAACATACCGACACGAAAAATACTGAGCCGGGAATGTTAAGAGGGGTCCTTATCTGCGACCCGAGCTGCCATTGACAATTCTGTCTTGAAATGACTAGGTGTCGAAGCGGAAGTGGAAGTAGTCCGAGAACATACGCGTACTCTCAGCTCAACCAGCCAATACTACCGTTGACTGGGCGTAGAGGAAGAACGATTCGGCGACCGAAAAAGAGCTAGAGTCAGGCAGGGGAAGCTGCAGTTCCAGTCGGTCAAAAGTCTGTACCGTGAACTTCTGCGGGACAAGTAGAAATTTTCGTGTGCCGTGCAAAGAAAAAAAAAAAGCTTCATGAGAATAGCAGCTCGGGCGAATGGGAAGAGACGGAAGGCAAAGGTCCTTGTCATCGAACAACCGTGAGAACGGATCAAGGATCCGGGCCGGATTCCATAGCTTTTCCTGAACTTGGACAATCGAGCGAAGGATCGCTCAACACGATAACAGCATTGGTGGGCGAGGATATCTTACACTAAATAGAAATAGGAAAGTTATCCTTGTTGTTATTCATTGTACATCCTTCGAGAGGAGCAACAATTGTTCTGTTACGCTAGATCGAGGAATAAATCTGCACTGAAAATGCTCCGGGAGCCTGGAGAGAGTCGTGAATCGATCAGATAGAAATACTCGACGCAAGAGAGCTGGATGACCACATACGAAAGAAGGGAAGAGGGGCAATGGTATGAAGGTTCGATAGGTTTGCCATCAGGTCCAATGGTCTTCTCAATGTCGTAAACGGCGAGAATCGATGCCAGAGTGATCCAAACAGAAGAAAAGGCCATGAACCGCCCAGGACAGATCCTGTAACAGGGCATGAGGATCATCTGAGGAAACTGTTCTCTCTGGAAACCGCCCACCGCCTTCCAAATCCCCATGAAGCACTGAAATTGTGCTCCACGGTTTTGTTTCCAGTCAGGAAACGCTCTGGATTAAAGGTGAAAGGATCGAGATAAATGTCCTCGTTGTGAAGCATGGCCCTACAAAAAAATGCATCAACTTGGTAGGCCGAGTGCATGAGAATGCATGTACCAAGCGTTGGGCATGATAATAGAACCGGCAGGCAGTCGGCAGCCTTTGTACTCATCTTCGACGTGCAACAAACGAGGAACAGCTATTCCAATAGTCCTTGTCAAATATGATGATTCGACGAGTCATGGACGACACATACTGATAGGAGCAAGGGTCCAATATCTTAGTGTTTCCTTGATCAGGGCAGAAATATAAGGCAGAGAGCCCTCGTCACTGAAGTCAGGAAGTCGCATTCCGTCGGTGATTGAATCGATTTCCTCTTGCGCCTTCTTCATTAGTGCTGGGTGAGCGAGGAGAGAGAGGATGCAGAATCCCAACGTGGCGACAGTCTAGAGAAAGAGTTGGAATAATGTGGGAAGGACGGACGCTGAGAGTATAACGTACCGTATCAGCCCCAGCTACGAAGCGGTAAGATCCGTCAGCACGGGGAAGAAGTTTTCTGAAAGGAACTCACCTTGGTATATCGCGCTAGCGACAGACTTAACGTTATCCTCCGTGTAAATGACACCCAGACCTGACTTCATTTTTCGGAGTCCATCACTGGCAAAAGACACTTTACACTGTGAACCGCGTTCCTAAGTTAAACACTAAGCTGAGATGCGGTCGAAAGTCAGAGAAAGCAGGACAAACCATCTCCTGGACCATAGCATGAAATGGGCGATTCAGCACCTCTTGCGAGAGCGCCCTCCACTTCTTTGCCTTGCGCTTGAACGAGGCGCCAGGGAACCATGACGGCACGTACTTGAGGAGAGGGATCCCGTCCACTAGGAACGCCCCTGGCACGCCCGCCTGCATGAGAATTTGGACGCCCTTCTCTGCGATCTCGATGTACGGGTCGTTCTCTGGCTGGACGTCGAGGCCGTATGTGATGGACATTATCGTTTCTCCAGCCATTCTAGGAATGGATTGAGAAGCGGAGGAGAGGTAAGATGCGCAAGGCTAACTTACTGCCGAAGCTCGGAGAGGATATCGTCCTTTGTAGCAAGCTTCTGGATGAGGTTTCTGGCTGATCGCAGCTGTTGGGGATGGAAATGCTCCACCGCCGTTGGGTGAAAGGATTGATGCATTAATTTCCGATGTTGCCTCCTATATAGAAAACATAGTAGCAATGCACTAAGATACTGGATAACCCGGGACGAACCATCGATCGCCTGAGAACTCTTAAGCGCTCGTCTCCATAGACTATAGGGGTTGGCCTACCGTAATCCATAAACGCAAAATTGAAATCCCATCCAATGACCTCGTTGATCATTGGCATCCTGGGTCTGGCTGACCTTGAATATTCGAACACAGGTGGTTAAAATGAGCCGTACCTCCCGGAATACAGAGACGACCGCCGGTCAAGCAGCTCAGTGGCAGCGTCGAATGTATCGATGATGATCATAGATGTTCCAGCGAGGTTCAGGTGAAGGAGATCCGTGTCTACACACCGCATATTTTAGTGAGCATCTGCATGAAGGTGGAACTTGAACACACTTACCAAGCTCTTTGCACCATTTATGATACGTCTTCCACTCATATTCTGCGGGTATGTCCCATATGTTGCCAACAATGGGAAGACCTTTGGGTCCCGGCGGCAGCGGGAGGCGTCCGTGAAGTCTTGATTTCCTCTCGTAGAGGCGGTACAGTAAGAACAAGGTAAGGCTGACGAAGAGCGTATCGAGGATCAGCGAATTAATCATCGTCCAATGCAACTGGTTACCTTGGAATAGGCACAGAATATAAACAAAAGCTCGACAGGATGGCATCCTTCCGTGAATAATAATATGGAGATAGTCCCTTTGGCGCTAGAAAATAGACAACTTTATGAGTGTCAGATGATTCCTACGTGCCCAGCCAAGCCAAATAGCATTGAAACCGATTGGGCAGGACTCCGTAAGTTCAAAGTTTGAGGGTTTGATAGCAATTTGACGGGAACCCGTTTGGGTTTCATGTGAGGTAGAGTTAAGGGCCATCCGTTTAGTGACCGCACCAAACACGTCGATGCGGGGCCATGTAGGGGGTTACATTTGGGGTGCAAAGAGATGTTTGAATGCCGTTGGTGGGTGACACACGCAGTCCGTTGAGTATCCGTTCGAGAGCCATTGTTTATAGGGTCGTACGTTCCATATAAAAGGTACATTGTCTGGGAAAGAACAGGTGCTAAGAAACAATGGGTGAGTTGCATTGCCGATGCGCTCTCCGTCAACAAGAATCCTAGGTTATAGACTTATTCAAGTGGATCCTATAGTGTCTGGGGGTTTGAGTCTCAAGCTAGACTTAGCAGTATAGACGCCACATCCAGCGCAAATTTGAGGCGATCTACTGACACGGGACAGCAGGTCGAGTCACCGCTTAGTGGGGACGTGATGGGAGAAGTTCAACGACGACGCGGCTTGGCAGTCTGGCGAACGGCAAACCCGGCAGTAGCGGGCCGGTATGATCTATTTTAGATGCTGACCTTGGATTCGCAGAAGTTTGTGTTCGCTCGATGCTCTGAACAATTCTGTTTCGAAAGACATGCAAAAGATCTCCCGGCCAAAAAGGAGGAAATAGTCCGTATTCGTGTGAAATCTGCAATAGTGGGTACGTCATAAAGTTACTGCTACTCATAAACTCGAGAATCTATCGCTACAAGGTTTGAATGGTCTCCATACTCTACATAGTCCAGTAAGTCCATCTTCCTACTTATTCGTATGATACCCGCCCTTAACTGATGCCATGCTTATCGAGTTCTGATGCAAATGCCTCAGGACTGAAATAAAGAGAGAGCTGTGGGCCGGTTGGCCTCCAGCAACAAGCAATATATGTGTGAACCCCGGTGCGCGATTCGAGGTTCCTGTGCGAGCTGGATGGAGTCGTTAGCTTTTATATCTTAAATTTAAAAACACGGAACTTACAAGAGCCTTTTGACTTCTGACGCGTAGTCTCTCCTAACACTGATATTCAAGCTTGCTAGATATCTAGAAACACCATCGATGATTTGCGAATCACTTTCGCAATACTGCCGCACCGGGATGTAGACCTTAGGGAATGGCGTCGGATTTCCCAATTTCATCTCATAATAGATCAGAAAACCGGGCAAGAATGCCTTGTCCGCCCTCGGGGACAGAGGTTGGTCGCGTCCAACCCCAGGAAATAGGAAACCCCAGAGGTTTCGTACCACTCGAAGCGTGTTCTGTACGGCTTCGCCGTCGAGCGCGCCGCCGAGGGTCATATGCTGTTCGATGCCGCTTAGAGTGCGGTCGCGCGCCCGGAAATAGACTTTGAGACGGTTTCGGGACGACTCGAGGCAGTCCACTGATACCATCTCCGTTGACGGACGCGTTTCAGCAGGGAGAGAGCTCATGTATGAGAGAACGGCGTTCCAGCCAACGCTGAGGCCGAGCCGAGCCATGCATTCGGTGACGAGCTGGTCCTCTGACTCCCCAGTGATCTGAGCTCGCGCATGAGGGAGGTAGTACACTTTCCCCACCATCCCTGTGGGAGCAAAATCACCACCTGTAAGATATTCAATACGCAGTTTCTTCAAAACAAGGAGGGATCTTACCAAAGAAGAATTGCGATGTACTTGCTGTTGAGCTTGAGCACAGGAGAGTCTCATGGCACACGTCGGTCCATGTCGAGTCAAACGACTTGACACAGCCGACTTTCCGTAGACTTTGGAGCATCTGCTGACAATGTTTAGCGGGTAGAGGGGTGCCATCATGTGCCAGGGTGTCCATTGCAAAACGAATCGAAGATGTTCCATCTCCCTCGATGACCCAGATGAATTCTACGGGTGTATGGTCATCGGACAGGAACGACAGAGGCTTCATTCCCCGCTGAGAGAATTGTTGGGGGGAAAGTCCTAGAAGTGGCGTGATGCTTGCATAGTAGAACGATAGAAATTCTTCTTGTTGCTGCTGCGTACATCCTGAATAGCTCAGGAAACGAGACAGGATAGGCGACGTCGCCGTGTACCAGAAGTCTTGTTGAGTCTCTTCAAAAACCTGTTAAAAAAGGCGTTAAATTAAGCGATAAACCGAAAGTTCGGGATGCTCACTTGTCGACGTTGCTGTTGAAATTGCAGAGTGACAGGATGAAGAGCTTGGGGTATGTGATCAATAAGTCGCTCCCACGCCACACTCATCCTATAGCATGCGGCGTGGAAAAATTTAGCGGTGAGGACAGAGCGTGTTGGCAAGAGGTTGAGAGAATCCATGCTCCTCCTTCCAACAGCGGCGCTCAGTTTTATATGGATTTTGAATTCCCTTCGTGGATTGCAATCCATAGCCTTAGACGCGGGCGAACTTGAGTTTGGACCCTGACTCCCCGCGATCTATTTCTGGCCATGTCGTGTCTATCTACTGCGCGGTCCTTCTCCCGTGCTATTTCCTCCACTCCTCAGTGTATTTGGACCTCTAGCTTGCACATTTAATCCTCCTTTGGTCGCACAGTGGTTATCTACGTGTTATGCTCCTGCCAGCTACGACTGTCCTACATTGCAATTGCTCTTTCTTTTGGGTGACTGCTAGTAGAAGGCTGTGGAAACAATGACTCGGTCTCTGGTTTCCCTCGGTTTCCGTTCGAGAAACTTGGATGCGGAACTTGAATGAAACCTGCGTGTGCGAGTGGTCCATACTTGCAAGGTGAGTGTTTGGAGTCGTCTACATACTTCGCATCTGAAGCTAAAATTGGAACAAGGCGCTAGCTCTGCCTTACTTACTAGGGCGAAAGAATCAGAAGCCTGAATACGACTGGGGCTGATTATCCGAGCTTATCTTGCCACACGATCCACACCTGCGGGGAATCTCGTTTCGCGTGACTCGTCCATTAACCAACCACTTTGAACCCACCGCCCAGCGCTAAAGAGTCGACAACAAAACGTTCCGCAACGAACAACCGTGAAGCTGGAATGCAAGAGAAAGTCGAAGGTTTTCGCTTCTGGATGATTTTTGTATCTCTGTGCTCTTGCACTTTGTTGTCTGCTTTGGACCTGGTATGTTCGTCCAAGTCGACCAATAATCTGACTCGATACGGCTCTTTTTGACAGGGCGGTATTGGCACTGCTGCACCAACTATCGTACACGCACTGCATGGGGGCGATTTCGCATGGGTGGCAGCAGCCTACGCACTGTCATCCTCTGCATACATTCCAATGAGCGGGAACCTGGCGCAATTGTTCGGGCGTAGGCCGGTCATAATGGGAGGCATAGTTTTCTTCGCGGTGGGCTCTGCTGTGTGCGGGTCTGCTCGATTTTTCGCCGTATTGGTTGCGGGTCGCGGTGTGTTTCAGCATCCTCCTTCGCGTTTGGAAATACTATCACGACTGACACAAATCTCCTTATGATACACGTTTCTCAGCCATTCAAGGAGTCGGTGCTGGAGCGATCCAAGCCCTGAGCTCTATCATTATCACCGACCTCGTCCCGCTAAGGGAGCGCGGTGTCTATGCTGGTATCACGGGAATGTAAGTGGGCTGCGTATGCGATTTTGTGTCTGACTGAGACCCAGCTTCGAAGGCTCTGGACAACGGGAGCAGCGGCGGGACCTTTCATCGCTGATGGTCTGGCTCAGAAGGCGACGTGGAGGTGGTTATTTTGTACGTGTGCATTCGCGAATTCTTTCTTTTTTTTGCCCGTCTGACCCGAAATAGACCTTAACCTTCCCTTATCTGGTCTTGCCTTTTTCATCGTCGCTATATTCCTACGTCTCAAAAAGCCGGAGGGCAAGATCCGAGAGAAGCTATCCAAAATCGACTGGATGTCAGTGACCTTTACTGTTGCTTCATCCTTAGCCTGACGGCCAGGTACAGTGGCAACGTTCTGATAATCACGTCAACCTGCTCGTGCATCCTCGCCTTAACCTGGGGAGGCATACGCTTCCCGTGGTCTTCAGGGAAAAATTTGGGTCCTCTAATAGCAGGAATATTCGGGCTGGGTGCTACTCTGGTCTATGAAGCACTTTGGGCAGTGGATCCTATGGTCAGTAATTGGCCTTCAAACCTGCGGTCGAAGTCCCATTCACAAGGATGAGAACAGATTCCCTTTGTGGTCCTATCGAATCGCACGACGGTCTCCGGGTGATGATATACCGGTACCATCCACGATTCATTGGCTCATTGAGAAACTTGTCAGATATATTGCTACTTTCGTCCAAGGAATGATGACGCTTGCAATAGGATGTGCGTATTCGAAACCCTTTGAAACCGCCTAATTGGCTAACCAATCCTCAGTCTACCTGTTCGTACACTTTTAGCCCCTTGAAATGCATTTCTATACACTCGAACCGTCTAGACCTACGTGGTTTCAGTCTGTAAAAGGCGCAAGCCCGATTCTTTCGGGGCTTTACCTGCTCCCACTCTCAGCTTCTATCTCGCCGTCTACCATCGTACAAGGTATTATCATCGCTAGAACTGGGTTGTATCGGACTGTGGTATGCCTTGTTCCAATTTAATCCGTGTTCATCGAAATCGTTCGTCTCACGTGGTTCAAACAGAATTTCGTTGGCTGGGTCTTGCTACTCCTCGGGACCGGGCTCTTAATCACGTTGAATGCGCATACGTCGATTGGTTTGATCGTCCTCTACCAGTTATTCATGGGAGTTGGATTTGGGCTGCTATATTCTATGACAGTGAGTGAGCTCGAATAGACTCGCTGAATATTCGCTAATTGATGCAGTTCGCCGTGCTCGCCCCTCTTCCGTTGTGCGTCAACGGGCCTGCCGTCGCATTCCTCGCATTCTTCTGACAATTCTCGCAGACATGGGGCGTCGCCATCGGAGGCACTATCCTTCAAAACGCCCTCAAAACCCGCATTCCTTCTTCCATCATCGTAGATGACCACCTCTCCAGCGCTGACCAACTGGCCTACGCCATCATCCCACTTATCCCGACGATGCCCCAACCCTTGAAACATCAGGTCCAAAACGCTTTCCTACAGAGCCTGAGGCACGTATGGATCGCGTTCGAGATATGTGGCGGTGTGGGGATGACGACGTTCTTCGTGATGAAAAACTATCCGCTGAAGAAGAACGTCGATGGGAAGTGGGGGATTGATCGCGAACGCAAAACAGAATCTTCGTCGAAGGCGGAGTTTGGCATGTCCGTGTCGTCGTGATTGTACGGGTTTGCCTCTTCGTGAATGTTCTACTTGGCCGATTAGACGTTTACGGTTTAGAAGCACGAGGTAAACCAGAAAGAGGACAATGTATTTTTACTCTACCTTGTCATATCACCACTACATTCGTCGGAAAGGAAGCCAAGTTATTCTAGGGGAAACGCAGATGCATATCACGGTGAACAAACAAGTGAAGGAACATGTCGGCCGCGTAGGTTTCATACCAAGAGTTATAAATGCTATCGCACAGCCCAGGAGGCTAAAACATAGGTTTTCTCAACTTAACCTAGGCCACACGTGCTCTGGCGGGCGCTGGTCGTGTGCTCGCCATCTATTCTTTCTCTCCGCTGTCACATTTCACTACTCGCGCAATTATAGACTATAGAAGTATGATATAAGATAATTATACAAATGGTATAGGGGAGCGTTTTGTATGGCTAACTCGCAAGGTGTACTCGCATATGCAAAGCTCCAAAAGTCCAAGAATTCAAAAGAGAAAAGCACTCTAAAATACTAGGTTCATATGATCGGAGCGTGCTGCGCTTCAACTATCCTTCATATTCTCATAATCCTGTTTCGAGTCCTGGGTTACCAAGACGTGCACTTCCGTCTTCTGATCTCTTGTCATTTGCGAGCCGTGGATGATCTGCAGTGGGGCGCTTTGTGTCGCACTTGTCTGCGCTGACACCATCGTCGAGCCGTCCCCAAACCCCGCGATGTTTGATGCACGGATGATGATGAGGTTGAACGCGATGCCCACAATTTGGATTTCCTATTTTGCTCTGAGTCGCGGTCTCGGAAGGAAGGAGTTGGCTTACTGCGTCAGTTGTCACGTATACAGCGTTGCTTCCGATGACGAAAGTGATAAAGGTCGTCAGCGAGGCAATGCTGTACAAAATTCCCGACTCGATGATGCTTAGCATGACTCTCTGCAGTGTGCTCCGGCGACGGTCCGGGTCTGTAATGCTGTGGATTCGGTATTTCCGATTGGAAGATTCGACGGAATGGATCCTCCATAGCAACAGTCCTATGGAAGCACTTAGCTTTGGTACTCCTCGACCCATATCAGCAAGCATACCGGTTGTAATGATGTTAAGGACGATAGTTAGCGCCCAGAATGACGTGCCCGCTGGTTGGAGTTGACTAGCGCTCACGAGTACACGGGAATGAAGGGTGGCTTCGAGGTAGATAACCCATATAGTCGTGGCTAAACAGCCGAGCCAAAGCACAATCGAGCATGACACGACGAGGAAGGATTGGTGGTAGACCACCCAGCACCGGTATATCTGGGGCCATTAATAGACTTCGCGACTCAAACGGCAATTGACGCACCAGCATTGCGTCGCCAATCATGGTTTGAACGACGACCGTCAGAGACTTGATGCTCAGTTCAGCAAGACAGGAATGTAAGACGAGGACACCCACACACCTTCAAGACATTCACCCAGTTTGAGATGTCCGTGAACTTTGCAGCGGCTCCGCCAGGGCCAGTGTAGAACACGAAGGCTTTCATGTTGTGGTAAAACCCCAGTGAGACATCGAATGCCGCATTCGCGAACAGAGCGCACGAAATGGCTACCATAGGCCAGTTAATTTCACTAGATCTTCGCCACCGTGTCTTCGTCGACATGAGCGCTTGCAAGCAATAGCCGAGGCTGACCATATGAACTCCGAATAGTATCGACTCGACGAATAGGCCCGTCAATTGTGCCTCAGTAATAGGGAAAGGGTCGGCCATGGCGTCGATGGGAGTAGTTGTGGGCAGCGACCAGACGCTGCTTTGGTGGAAAGTTATATCCACAGGTCTAGCCTGTAGTTAACTCGGGGAAGATAAGGCGGTGAGGAGAGGTCGACGATAAGAATAGGCGTGCCATGTACATCGGCTTCAAGAAAATTTAATTGTTGATGCATAAAGAGCCGTCTGATACTAAATCAGACGGTACGAGGTAAATTTGAGTTTTCCCGTCAGAGGATTCAGAATCTCCTGAAGTGAGGCTAGAAGCGCGGTCGAAAAGTTCCTTCAATTTACTAACGTTTGTGAAGGAATACGAAGAGGCCTGGGCCCGTTGCAATTATTGGAATTAAGCGCCCACTGAGCGTGAGAGCTTGTGATGGTTGACAGGAGCTTTTGACTTTTAGCCCTCTGCACGTGATATGGTTCATTACATAACCGTTGGTGGTTCGCGAACCATTTGCCTCTCACGCGTTGGCATCAACAAATCAATCTCCCTTTCCCTCCTACCACCATCTTCGCATCGTCGTCCCCATCGCGAACAGTGACCACGCCGCGGCCGCTCTCCCTCATTACGCCCATCTTGTAGCTCTCGCATCGCCCTTCTCCTGCCAACGACGATGAGGTCCCACTGCCCGCCACCGCTGCCTGCTTCCACCGCGCGTGTCGTCTCGCGTCGTCGCCTTCATCGTACGCCGTGCTCGTGCCATCGGGCACCCCTTAGCTGATATGGTGGGATGTCAGAATTGAAGAAAGAGGAGATGACCAGCTTTTGTAGCTGTAGGGGTTATGGCAGTTTGTAGCGTGGTAATGGCAGCACTGTGGCACTTGTGGCAGCTGTCATCGTGGAGTCCTAGTGCTCGCGCGACATATATACCTCTGTGTACTGCTTAAATAGAGTATACTTCACAATATCAGGTTTTCTTACTATACTTGCCCTTCAACATTGCAGTGAAAATCATGAATATCAGTACTATTTGTGTTTGGAATTTTTGACTTCGCAAAATTTCTCCAAGTCCAGCCAGGCCACAGTGTGAGATGAACTGGTTCGCGAATTTGATGTGTTCTGTAATGTCTTGGTATCACGTGCAGAGGGCCAACTGTTGACAGGGCCCGTGACGTGACACGCAGAGTATTTTGAAGCTTGAAGTTCAAGACATCCTCAATCCTGACGTGTCTGCAATCCCCGGCTCCCGTAGGCTTTCTTCTATATTCTCGTATTTCCTGCCGCAATGCATCGAAATTTCGTATGACTGCTACTAAATCTGCTGTGTAAAGCTCATGTGCGTAATGAACAACCTATTTTTACATCTTGACTTACCAACCCGGGATAGTTCGAATTCTCAAATGGATTCTGATGAGGGAATTATCGGATTATGAAGCTGCGGCCGATACTTAACGGTTGAGCAACCTTGAATCCTGCAAAATATCCAAATGCCTCATTTTCTCGACTACGTTCTTCCAGCCCTCAAGAGGTATTCTGACAGAACGCTGATAAAGCTGTTCACGGGCACTCAAGATGCACCTTCCTGGAAAGCAATTACTTATCAGCAATTCCTGGACGATACTGAAAGATTAGCCGGGTTTTGGATCGAGCGCCTTGGAGAGGTTGGGTTGAAGCAAAAGGATGTCGTTGGCGTATGGTGAGTCCGCCGAATATTTTTCAAGGCCACATGCTCGACTGTTGCTCAACCATCAGGATTACGGGTGGAAAGTATACCGACCTTGTGCACCTTTATGCCCTCGCTAGGTTGGGCTACATTCCGCAAATGCTGAACAAGTCGATGGCTGTTCAAGGCCACCCTGTCATCAAGGACATGCTAACGGCAACACAAGGAAAAGCTATTCTCTACGACCCTTTTTTCGCCGACTTCGTGAACGACATCGCCATTTCCATGCCCCTTATAACGGACCTCTCCTCAGTTGACCCTCTTTCGCGAAGGCTGCCAGATATTCCCAATTCCACTGATGACGAGATCGGCATCATCTTCCATACGAGCGGGACTACGTCTGGAAAACCCAAGCCTGTCCCCGAGACACACAAATGGCTACGGTGTCAAGCCCAGATTCAATGGGCAGCGATCTGGCAAGGAGGCAGCGAACAAGCTGTCGTTAACAACCTAGGTTCATTTGCGAACGTCGGCTCTGCGACGAGTACGAAATCTCATCCTTTCGTTGGAAGTGTACCTCTGACCTATGTAATTTACCGCAGCAATCAGCTACCTCGGATGGTCAGGCCACTGCCTCGTCCAAACTTCGAAACCCGATATCGACGCACACGAGTTCCTGGCGATGGTCTCCGACGGCTTGAACTTTGTTATGCTCTATGCTCCGTGGTTATCGAAACTCATCAACGTTGCCCGCACAGACAAGAAGGTCTACGACGCACTCCGCGGCATGCGACAGGTCACGTACACCGGAGCTGCGCTGAACCTGGAGGATGAGCAATGGCTGGTCGAGAACGGCATTCCTGCCACCACCATCTATGCCACCACTGAGGCAGGTGGATGCCTCGTATCCGATATCTCAGACGTCAAGACCCTGCCGTCAATGCACATTATCGAGGGCATCAAGTGCAAACTCTTGCCCACTAGTGGCGTAAACAAGGTCGAGCTTGACGGTGACTCGGAGAAGCGAGCCCGCGGAGGGCAGCTGTACGACTGCTTCATTCCGGCGGACGCGGATAATTGTCCTCACCCGTCGATCCGCAACCGGCCTGATGGGCACATCACTGGGGATATTTTCGAGGAGACCACACCTGGTCTTTATGCATTCCGTGGGTCCAGCAATAGAATACAAGGCATAGCCGGCGCTGATGAAATTTCTAGGTGGAAGGAATGATGACTGGATCCGAACAGGCAAAACTCACTCTTTCTGTGACACCAAGTGCGTCGCCAAGATCTCTTCAATGAAATCATCCACAGACTCCTTGTGCCAGGTCCATCGAGGACAACATCCTCGTCGTTTGCGCCGACCTTGTCCAGAACTGTGTCGTCGTAGGCCACTACAAGCCCGGCGTTGTACTCCTCGTAGAGCCAACCATAGTCGACCTGGCCGATGAGAGCGCAGTGTCGGGGCTCAAAGCCAGGATTCTCGAACGTCATGTGTCTTTCAATAATAGACTTTTCGACCACGAGAGGATCAAGCATGCTTTCCAAATCGTCGTTGTACCGAGAGGTACCCTTCCCCGTACGATGGTAAGCAGGTAGACGACTTCTACTTCCAAGTCTTGATCGTTGCGTTTGCAGGAGAAAGGGAATATTAGGAGGAAGGCTACTGAGGACCAACATGCGACGATCCTTGAAAAAATTTACGTTCTACTGAAGACCTGGTAAAGAGCAAACCGATCCAATTATTCGGAGGCATAGATGCCCAAGAGACAATTAATAGAGGCTTTGCGCAAAGCCAGCTGGAGCCAGTGCTGGCTCAAAAACGTTGCGCTGTGTCGTGTAGCCAGTAGCGGCCAATTAGTGACTATGCTTTTAACTTAGTCTTATGTAGTACCATGTATGTCTGGATGCCAGGGGAGTTCAATGACAATGCAAGTATTTCATTGTATTCATCCGTGCAGCTACGACAATCTCCAGAAACTAACCTATATATGGAAACTGAGCCAGCAGAAAATATCAACCGTGATCAACCGTTGATCAACCACCCCCACAGACTGATATCGCGTGGAGCTCTCCAGGAAATACGAGGTTATAGAGAGATGTAAGTAATATTAATATATGGCATTCATCGGGCTGATATTCAGGTTCTGCTGGCTAAAGGTCTCAGCGCAACGCATTTGAGCCACCACTGGCTCCAGCTGGCTTTGCGCAAAGCCTCTAATATCTACGGTGGCAAATCACCTTGAACCCCTTGGCCTACCCAGCGGTTTTCCGCTTCTGTGAAACCATCGATACCACTGGTTTCGGCTTCAAGATACTTGGGTTCGGTTTCACCTGTATATTCGTCCGTGATCGAGTCCACTGCTGCATTGATGTCTTCCAGCTCAGTAGATACTGAATTGGTGGCGGCATCTTGTTCAGTAACATCTTCAACAACGATACGCGTTTTTCCCATATGCTCAACATCGACTGTTACTTTGATGCGCGGGACACCCTTTGGGCGGGGTGGGAGCCCCTTGAGCTGGAGTTGCGCGATGGTAAGATTGTCTTGGGCCTTCGGTGAAGCGCCGAAAACAATCTTAACGGTCGCAGTGGTTTGATCGTCCTCTGACGTTGTAAAATGTGCGGTTTTAGCGATTGCTGGAAGGGTATGGTTGCGAGGAATTATGGAGACGACGAACCCGTCGCTCTTAGCTATTCCTACACGGAGGGCAGCAACATTGAAGATACACCCATATTGTCTTGCATTGATTTTGGAGCGGTGCTGCTTGAGTGAAATTTCGGCTGCGTAACGAGCTAGGGAGTTGGGTGGAGATTTAATGATTTCGATCGGTTGGTTGGCGAATTTGGTCTTCAGGTGATCCGCCAGAAGGTCGATGAGGGCAGTTGGAGATGGTTCGATTATGATGATACCCTTGATGTCGCGACCTGCGCTAGTGGGATGTTCTCGTAGATTTGAAAGCAGGGGATCGACGAGGAGTGAAATGACCTCCGTCGGTGAAGTGTGGGCTTCCTGAGTAAAGATATCTTTCTCCTCTTCCACGAAGTCGAGAATACCCTCTTCGACGGTTGTGCAAACCAGTCGTGCCCCCAAGGCTGAGGGTCCAATTTCCACTAATAAGTCGTTCCTTGGGTCGTATGGTCCACGTTCTACCAATCTTGCTAGCACGGTGTGAATATTATCCCTCTGGTAGTCTCTGGGCGATATCTGGAGTCCCGCGGACCTTGCCGAAGACACGACCATCTTCTTCTCTTCGTTGCTCAGGAAGGACGGTAAGGAAAGTGTCGCATAGAGGGGGTTTTCTGGAAATAAGGCGATGAGATCCTGAAAAGTGGTGTCCAAGCCAGGTCCCATTTTCATGCTGAACGTCTTGATATACTTTTCATCTTCGTATGAGAGGACCACGATCGAGATGGAGGATCCTTCATCGAGGCCGGACAGAACGATGCCTGCACAGAAAGGCATTCTTGATGGAGGCATGAGTACAGACCGATCGAGGTTGATTGCTCTGTTTTTGTTCTAGGCAAGGTTGTGTGTGCCTCACGCCATGGCATGCTGGACATCGGGTACTTCGTCAGTTCGGCGCTGATGGATATGTAATTCATTGTGGGCGTATCGGGAAAATCGTTTCGACTCGATAGAGCGCTGATTATTTAAATGGCGTTCTCCTTTGAAACAGCCACACTACTAGCGAGGACCGGAGGCAATCTGTTATATTTAGACAGATCTCAGCGCCCATGATCAATTACCTCAACCTCTACCAAATTTCCTCTGTCGTTTTACTGCTTTTACATTCTTTCCCCCCTGTGTAGCATTTTTATATGCCGCAAAAGAGACCGATTTCTTCTTTGTGGGCACTTTTTTCGATGACGGAGACGGCTTGTTGACTCCGACCTTCTTCAGGTTGTTGACCGGCGGCCGAGGACAAACCATGGCCCGGGCTCGTGAATAGAGCTAAAAGAAGGTCGCTCAAAGAGCAAAGTAATAAATCACCTCGTTCAGGTTTCGCCTTCCAGTCCTCTTCGAACAAGAGGTGCACTGAGACTTGTGGCGAGCGTATGTGCCAACAACCGATAGGAATCAGCGTTCAGGTGGATAGTCGGCCCGAAGAGGGGATTTGCCTTGAGCACATCGAGTTTACTATCGACGTCTAGCAATTTAGTGAGACAAGTAACAGTCATTAACATAACAGATAGCTCACATCCCAAGACACTGCCCGGTGGTGGTGTTTGTCCCTGAGGAACCGGCTGTCCTTGGGGAGTGAAATGGTCGACTGTCCGCGCAATTGCATGGGATGCCTCATGCATAACTGCACCTGCACGGATCTCTACTCCCGAAGTGAAAAAGGAGTGTCCGAATTCCACCACATCTTGCGCCGTGTCATAGTGGCCCATTCCTAGTCCTTTGGATTCAGGCTCTTCCATGCGGTATCGCCCGTTTCTGAACTGTTGAATAACGGTTCGGATGCCGTTCAGATTTGCGTATCTTCCGAAGGCATTTTCCATATGTGCTCTCCAACAGGCCTCAGAAGCGTGGTTCAGCGCATATTCCATGGCAGAAAGACGAGCATCGGCTAAAGAAAGTGATCAGCTACAGCTAAAAAAGGATGAGTAGATTGATTCGGACCGAGCGCGGTTGCGTCTTTGATAATTTGCTTCTTTGCGAAAGAGCCCTGCGCAGGACCAATGACGCGAAGTGCTAGCACGGCTAAAAAGAGGGGATGCGTCATCAGAGTTCGCCGTACTTAATTTTAGACATATGCAGACCTCGAGAGAAACAGAGATAGCAAAGGAAAGAAATTGTCAACGATTTGAATGCCATTGGTTTGGAAATTGTTGAAAGGTGATCTGTAAGAGTTCGTCAGTAAGCTTAAGTGATATAAGAGAAAAGTGCGTCGTACATAGTGTAGTCTGTCTGATTCAAGAACCCAGCGAGTCGACCAGCGAACTCGAAATGTCCAAATTGAAACTCGTTGGTGACCTTTACGCTACCAGGCTTTTATACCTGTATCCAGCTTCCCGCGCGCAATCAGCGCCCGCTGCCAACCCACAGAAGAAAATACGAAGGCCGGATGCATCGCAACAGTGGGCCTTTGTGAAAGGGGCTTTCCATCATGATTGGACCCACTTCACACTTCCCGACCAAAATGAGTCTGACAAGCTGCTAGTATCGTTGAACAGTGACCTTGTCATTCAATTAAGGCGGTGACTTGAGTATATTACACTGTTGGGGACTGGGCTCATCGATTCACTACTGGGAGATTGACGGTAATAGCCGGTGCTGGAGTAGGCGAGCGCTTAGGTTAGGTTTGCCAAGCCTTTTTATGCTCCTTTTGGCCAGTTGGCCAGACCACCAATCGAAAGCTCGACAACTAGTTTCGAACGTGCGAATTCTACAGTTCATCTACGATACATTTTTATCGAGTACTTTGGTCGCATTTGCATTGAACGACAATATGTGCTTTTACTCAGGTAAAGCACCTTGAGCCTCTTCTCCTACCCACTCATCCTCAGCCTGCTGAGCCTCGTCATCCCTCCCCAGCTTCGGAAGTCCAGTAAGGATACTCTCGACACCTTCCCAAGTGAGAGTGTTACCAATAATATCCTTCAACTCAGCCGTAGTCGACGCAGTACCGTCAAGCTCCTCGGCGACGATCCGCGTCTTGCCCTCCTGCTCCACGTCAATGACGACCTTGACGCGTGCAACGCCCTTTGGTCGGGACACAAGACCGTCAAGGACGAGCTCGGCGATTGTCGTGTTATCCGCGACGCGTGGTGAGATGCCAACGACGACCTTCACGACGACCTTCGTCTGATCATCTTTCGAGGTCGTGAGGAGGACGGACTTGTGTTGAGGGAGAGTGTTGGAGCGAGGAATGAGCGTGAGGACGAAGCCGTCTGCCTTGGCGATGCCGACACGGAGGGGCGCGACGTTGAAGATGAGCTTGTCGGCAATCGAGTCACGGTAGTAGTAGAGCGACCGCTCAGCCGCCGAGCGCGCGAGAGGAGTGTCGACGTGAATGACCTCAACCGAGGGGTATTTTGATGTGAGTTGGGGAAGGGAGGCGCCGATGACAACGATGCGGGAGAGTTCTGAGCCTGAGTCGGTGGGGATTTCTTTGAGATGGGCGAGGATGGGGTCGACAAGTTGGGAGATATGGTCTTCGGCAGCTGCTTGAAGGTGGATTTCCTTTGCCGTGTCCGACATCCGGACATCATCTTCGACCTCAGTCGATACTAGGCGCGCAGTAGCGAACGATAGGCCGAGCTCTAGAATCAATTCGTTCCTTGGCGCATGGGCCTCCCTCACGAGGCCACTCTGTGCTGTGTGGATGTTGTCGAACGTCCGAGACACTTTGAGCCCAGCGGCTTTAGCCTTGGAAATGGCCCAGTTCTTCTCGTCTTCTCTGAGATTGGAAGGGAGAGATAGGGTTAACTCGACGGGTTTTTCGGGCAGAGCAGCTGCGAGCTCTGCGAAAGCGCTTTGAAGGTCGTCGCCGATCTTCGTCTCAAAGGTGCGTGAGTAGGCCGGGTCGTCATGTGAAAGGAGTTGGGTAGAAATGAGCGAGTCCGAGGAAAGGCTGGGAAGGGAGATTCCGGCGACGAAAGGCATTGTATGGTATGAGGTGGAGAACCCAACGGCCCTCTTTAAATACGTTCTGCGCCAGGGGATGAGCTGAATAAGATGACTTGACCTTAACAATAGCGTGCCTGTTGTTGATGTTCGCATTGTGGCGAGTCGTTTCACGGCCGTTCTCTGTGCTTCTCGAGAATTCCCGAGACTTGGGGGCGGAAGCTGTGCAATGTCGCTATGGCGCTCCTCGGGCCCCAGAACCCTTGACTGCCAAACAGAAACAGCCGTCTCTGAGCACCCGAATACATGATCTGTAAGCGCTCCAGATGATCGACAGGGTCCACACTACCAACGAATGAATTTGAGGATCGACATAGTTCAAGCACAACTTTAGAGTTGACCCCGCCGCATTTGGCCCTTCAGGATAGTTTCAGTCATCCACGTCAAATCAGAGTATATGTGAACTCACGCTCATGGTGGAACAAAGACGAAGGCTGGAGAATGTCGCGTAAAGTCGAGGAGAATTCGAAGGAGGTGATCGTCAGTTGGGAAGGAGACCAACCTCCTAAAGTACATGTGCTGCATCGATAATGACGTACGCCAAAAGTAGGTAGGCACTGTACCCTGCTGCACCCGTTAAGGTCGAATCGGAGGCGGGTTGAGAGAAGGGTAACTGAATGAAGATCATCTTCAAGACCAGTGATGCGTCGATTGGTAAAACTCAGATTCGGGATCTGAGATCACGGCTGATTCCGCGCACATTCTCACACCCAGGACCCAAGCCACTCCTGCTCTTGACGTCGCGTAACTCAACATCTCGTGTCCGTGTACAAGCACCAGTGCACCACAGGACAACTAAGCTACGCGTTCAGCTGAACGGATAGCCGGTGCTCTATTGTTCTTGTACGCGACTGACTCATGAATGCCCTCGTATGCGGTGTGCCATACAAACCAGCAGTGATGTAGGCGTATGTGGGCATAGCTGGAGCTGGGCCAACCGCATGTAAGTCGTCTCCTCACAATGTCAGGGCTACACTCACCGACTCCAGAGACTCGCTGAGGGGCCTCTGCAGCTGGAAAGCTGTCACCATACCCACCCTTACATTCAATCCAGCTGCCCCAGCTGCCGGCGTCTTCTAGCATGTTTAACTGTTTTCTTACAGCCTATGGACTCCCCGGACCGAATCCAACCCTCTCAGACTCCGTGGCATACAGCGCGACCCTCTCAGCTCCAAGCTCCGATCCCTGACACGGTTCAGCCGTCCACAAGAACAACGTCTAGCACCGCTCCCATCTACAAGGGTGTGGATGAAGGGTACTGGCCCTCCTGTGTCTCTCGGCACACTGAAGGCCATGACACGACTGAATTTGCGCAAACGGAGGTCCTTGGAGACCGCGACGCCCTCGCCGAGCTCGAGGAGGGGACGCAGGACGTCCTATCCGTGTTCGTGCTCCATCGCTGATATCACGGCGCCGTCAGTAGCAATCACAAGACGCAGAGGCCATACCATCTGGAGACGCAGTAAGCATTCACTTTCGAATGCTATATGAATCCAGGTACTTACCCAAATCCTTCCGTCTCTTCACCTAGAAGGCGAACATGAACAAGGGCGGTACGTATTGTCTCTCTCCTCCTTGCCACGGAGCCTGACCGTAAACTGGTCCAGGATGACAAAGAGCAGCACCTGCCCATGTTCGTGCTTTCGCCTCCACGCTCGCAATCGCGTTGGCGGCGTCTAGGGGAGATCCTCGTTCTCGCAGTCGTTGTTGCCCCAGGAGACGACATACGCTGGTGGGGTGTCGGTGCACACGGTAAGGCTCTCGTGCACTCCTTGAGTCATCAAAGATGACTGTGCTGACCTCTCGTGGCCATTGTGGTAGACGTTGCCCACTGCTGTTGTGCTACAACGCCTCGGGTCTAGCACTAAGGCGAATGGGGGATGTTGGAGAGATGGACGAAGCTTGGCGAGGACGCCGGTGCCTCGACTTCAGCAATCACGAAGGCTAACGGATGAGCCACGGTGGTCTGAGACCTCGTCTCGAAGATGCGAGTAAGTATGGCACACGGATGACATCGGTACAGTTCACAGAATTTCGTGAGGGTGACAGGCTCGCTCTTCCCTCGCTTTTGCGATGTAGCCAGGCTCCATTTCCCATTCCCTATTTACATAAATGTACTTAAGTATAACAGTTCAATATATCAATGAGCAGGTTTCTATGGATGCTCGGACGTTTCTTTCAAGATGGCAGTCTGGGAGAGCTGCATCCAACATCTTTCAAGAACCTGAAAGGCTTTGTATGAGGTGGTTTAAGCTGCCCTCGAGCCTCGTTTGTGCATCCTGTTTTCTATCTGTCTGTTTTGATTCCACACTCAAAAAATTAGAAACACACCAGAGTCAAGGAGACAATCGTCGGTATTTGCTGGCTTTGCTCCCCGATGTTGAACAGACTCTCATGTTTTCGGATGATAATACTCTAGAGCGGCAGGAGAAACACAACAGATACATTCCGAATTCTCGAGTAGCAATAATCTAATCTACGTCTAATTAAAGTCTACACCTACAATCTAGTCCTCAGTAGGACCATGTTGTCACCAGTTCACCAGCGGGGCCATGTCTTTGAAGGGAAAACGGCACAGATTTATGACATTCCGGCAAAACTCTGCATCGCAGAGTTGCCAGGTAAAGTTTTAAGATAAGATAAGATACTGATATACAGGGTTACAGTTAGTAGTTCAAAAGGCGGTAGCCATGATGAGGCCATTAAACGGCCATGAAATAGCTACATTTACAGAGTCAGAGGTGACCTGGGTCTCCCTGTGTTCACCCGTCTCTGGCGAGCCGAACGCTGAATAAGGCAACGATCATCTCAGATCCGGATCTGAGTTTTACCAATCGACCTATAACTCCTTCAAGACTCTTGCACCAGACTTCTTCGAAATTTGATTTTGCTGCTCGGCTGGATGAGAAAACATTCGGTGATTGCCGAGGGAGCATCAGGATTGTCACGTTCCTCCTTGAATTCAACCTTTGACCGTTCAGCCTTCAACTTCTTGAGCTTCAGATCTCAGAGCTCTGCCAACCCTCCAGACTTCAAAAAAAAGAAATAAGTACCCTGCGACCATCTCGACGGACATGTCCGATTTTTCCAAACTAAAGCAGAAACGGATGGCTAAAGATACTCGCTCGCTCGCAAATCGGCGCGTTGAACCAGATGTTCAACCCACCTCAAATAATCCTGGAGGAGGAGGAGACAAAAGCATGTTTCCTCTGCCGAACAGTGACCTGTATTCCTCTCTTCCGTCGTCACTGCACGTTCGAGCCAGCAAAGAGGCAAATGGGAACGGACGGGGAATCCACACCAGTTCTTATCGCAAGCCGGGTGAGTCTGGAAGCTTGTCTTCGTTGATATGTCCTCATGTGTTGAGGGTAAGAACAGGCGAAGTTCTGTTTTCCATTAGACCACACGTTGCGGCGTTGTCAAACGACCATCTAGAAGGATATTGTTCGAATTGCTTTGGTCCTGGAAGTGGCTCTCTGCGACGATGCACAGCTTGCAAAATTGTGCATTACTGCGATTCGGTATGTCGTGATTCTGCCTCGCAGATATCATATTGATGTATTGCATAGGCATGCCAAAGTGCTGACTGGTCTCTGCACAAGCAAGAATGCGCCGCGGTCCAGAGATGGTCATCGTCCAATCTGGGCACCATACCTGGCGACGCCATTCGGTGTCTAGGAAGGATTCTCTGGAGGAGGCAAAAACGCGAACGTGAAAGCATATGGGTACGAATCCCCCACTTTTCGGTTTGTTTTCAACTCACGTCTCTGTCAGGCACGGGAGATTGACGCGATGGAATCTCGTAAGTCCTCCTACAACCAGTAGCATGAAATGAGGTCTAATGGTTCGGCAGACCGAACCTCGCTCAGCAAAGACCCAAATTCACGCGACTCGCAGGTATACACACAACTCGCGCATGCCATCGTACGCTTCATTGGACTGAACTCTCCTCAAGAACTCGCAGAATACGGGGTAGACAGTGCCGCGGATCTTGTGGATCTTGTATCTCGGGTGCGTCGTCACCAATAGGGCACGCATTATGACTGACATTTGGCAAGTTCACAACCAACACGTTCACTATCTCAACACCCACCTTGACGTCTCTTGGAGCATGTGTTTCCCCTCTTATTGCCTTGATCAACCATTCTTGTGACCCCAATGCCGTCGTGGTCTTTCCACGGGTTTCCAGCAAGGACCAAGAGCCCTTGATGCACGTCATTGCGTTGAAGCCCATTGAGCCCAATCAAGAGGCAAGTAATCTCTTCGAACACGCGACGTCCTTCTATTCACCTAGTTCTAGATTCTCACTGCATATGTCGACACGACCCTTCCTCGAGACGTCAGACAGAAGATGCTCCGTGAAACGTATCATTTCACGTGTCGCTGCCAACTGTGTACTCCTCCACCGGAATGCCCACTTGATCTACGCGAAGCTATGTTTTGTGCCAAGAAATGTGGTGGAATGTGCCTTGTACCAACTGAAGGTAATTGATGTTCGCTGATCTGTGATTCTGTATTGATGTCGTTCTTAGCGAACAGCTTGACGCGTTGTACGAAGTGCAAGAGCCCAGTCAAGGATACCGACGCAGTGCTGGATGCCATTCGTGTTGGGCAAGAGGCACTAGATAAGGCGGAAGCTCTGCAATTCTCAAGTGCGTTTTCATCTGGCCTGTACATATCATATTTTATTTACGCCGATTCAGATCCTCAGAAGTCTATCCAACTGACCACGAAGCTCATACCGATCTTGACATCAGCAGGGCTCGTCCCTGCATCGCATCCATTGCTCGCGCTCTGCCGTCTGAACACATCGCTGCTTATCACACACCTCCCATCCATGGATCCGAGTACTGAGGAAATACGATCACCAGAAATCCAGGATGCCTCTCCCGGAGTGTCGCAGACACTGACCCCAAAGGAAGTCCAACAAGCACTCGACGACGCCATTCGCGCTGCGACTCGCTCCGGTACGGGGCTTTCACATCTGCTCGTCGAGGGACATCCAGTGCGCGGCATCGCATTCGCAGAGCTGGGCAAGCTGCTCAGTGTCGACGAACCGGCTCCTGCAGACGTTGAGCCCGGTCCTCCTCAGCCTCAGCCCCTGGGAATGCATATCAAGCCTCCTGTCTACCCTCCGTCAGGTCCGCAGAGACTTAAGCTCGCGTATGAGATGCTTGTGCGGGCGCGTAACGAGCTGATGATAGGGTTTGGAGGAGGGAAGAACGAAGGGGGTGAGGTTGGAAGAAATGTTAGGCAGCTGGTGGTTGACCTGGAGAAGGAGTTGAACGTATGGAAGACGGGTGTCAGGAACGTCATTCAGGACCAGCCAAGGCCCGTGTCTGGGAAGTAAAAATCCAGTTCTTTGACATTCCAGCTGTACGACGCTTCTTGATTTTGAACCATCACCATCCGGCCGTGGGAATTCGTCGCCCCCACCATGGCCGCGCTCTACACTACCGAACTCCTCTCATTAATCGGCATCGTCCTCCATCGGGCCCCACTCATTGCCTGATTCCTTATCTATTCATTAAACCAACACCTTTTCTTATTTATCGGAGAAGATCGCGACTTCGGCGTGGTTGTATCCCAATCGCTTTGTTGGAGGCCCGAAGACCTTGTTTACAACAACCTCAAAGCGCAACTGATGGCCCTACTTGACAGGCAGCCCGTGTACCGTCTTGCTCTGCTTCGCGCAGACCTTTCGGGGGCGCAACCTAGTCATGGAAGGCAACCCATGGAGGGAGGAGGCTAGTCTCCGATCATCAGCCGTGTTGCCTATGATCCGGCTACACCCCTTGGGGAGAAACACTAGATATTCGACCGCCTTCGCATGGTAGGGGGATGCTACAGGATGCGTGCCTTAGGGTTTGGGAAATGGGGGAGGAAAGCGGGTGGGGTTGTATCAGAGGGCGGAAGGCATAGTGGAAGGCAGAGTCACTCGTTTCAACATTTCACTTCCAAACCATCCAATCTCGTTAGGGGTACTTAGCACCTACATGTGCTGCCCCCGTCAATGGCGTTGGCCCGGCACACCAACCATGCAGGCGACTGACGGCTTGGAAGCTTCGGCGCCCAATGCTGGGAAGGACTAACACCATGAAGCCCTTGATTGTTTAGATTCGGCGAACCGCAAGGAAACTGGTCAGCTCTCACCAACTGTCTCAACAGCTGGAAGCTTCGGCGCCCAATGGGGCTTCAACCAAAGGTGGCGGGTCGAGGGATGGGATGATGAGGAGGGTCGTTTAGGTGTAGCCTACCTCCAAGGGACTGTGATCGAACACCCTATTTTTTGTGTATTTGGAGTACGTCTAAAATACACCCTACGTGGAAGACTTCAAAAAAAAAAAAGACATTCCAGCTGTAGTGTCACAGGCACGATGTGACATGTCATGTGAGCTCCTCGTAACGCGAATAATTCTAAATTCGTACTTACCATTAGCCTCATCGTCAGCAGGTGTCAACTTAATGCTCTTGAATGACATTTTCTCCGTAGCAAGTTGGATTTCTCTCACTATTACTGCACCCTTCGCGAATTTTAGACTAGTCCGGCCTGAAAGGCTGAATAGGACTGTCTACACCAACTAAAATCACGAAATATGGCAACAGGGCGCTTATTGATGATTCATGGATCCTATCCGCACGAATGCTCCGTTCCAAGGGTCCGATCTTTAATTGGCGATATTGCGCAATTCGGATCGAGCTATGCACCACAGCCGCTCATATTTCACCCAGTCCTCCGGTGTTTCTCCGAAGAGATTACGAAGATGTATGGAGAAATTGATGCGGATTTAGACCTCCTCAAAACAAGCTAATATTTATTTTATTGATACACGGTGCATTTATTGATAACTTATGCCTGTGGCATCCAATACTCTCAGAAACCCTCCATGATCGCCTCCAGAACGACATCTCCGTTAGGCGAAGATGTAGAGAGTGCCCAGGTAGTCAGGAGGGTTGTTGAAGCGGATGTCTTTGTTCAAACCGGTAATCGCCTTGATATCCTCTTCAGTAAGGTCGAAGGTGACCGACTCCAAGTTCTCCACCATCCGATTGATTTCCGTGCTCTTGGGGATGACAGCAAGGCCTTGCTGGGTAGCCCAGCGGAGGAGAACCTGGCCAGTGGTTTTGCCGTGCTTCTCAGCGATGGCAGTGACGACGGGGTGTTGGAAGAGGGTGGGGGTGTCCTTCGCCTTGTCCCAGTCGAGCTCGATGAAGGATTGGGGACCGAAGCTGGATGAATGCCATGGCACGTCAGAAACTATTGCTGAAAGGAAAGAAATGCTACGCACGAGGAGTAGGCAGTGACAGTGATGCCCTCAGATTTGGCGTACTTGATGAGTGCCGTTTGAACGAGGTACGGGTGGATCTCGACTTGGAGGATGGCAGGGCGTATGCGAGCGTAGCGGAGGAGATCGATGATCAGAGCCCCTTGAAAGTTGGAAATCCCGATGGACTTGACGAGCCCAATGTCGACCAGGTTCTCCAGAGCCTGCCAGGTCTCCTGGATGGTGGCCTTGCTCTCGACGACCTTGCCCTCGAGGTTCGTCCAGCCTGACGGGTAGCTGTCCTTGGGGTCGACGTATTGGAGAGCTACGGGGAAGTGGATGTAGAAGACGTCGAAGTAGCTGCGAAAGGAGGTCAGTTGGGCCTGTTTATAATAGAGCGGGAACTGAAACGCACTCAATGCCCCACCACTCAAGCTGTTGGCGCACGATAGGTTCGACGCGCTCCTTCTCGTGGAAGGTGTTCCAAAGCTTGGAGACGATCACAAGGTCCTCGCGCTTGACAAGTCCGTCGGCGATGGCGCGTTTCACACCTTCTCCAGCTCCCTTCTCATTGCCATAATCTGGCATCTACGGTCAGGATATCAGTCCAGTTCAGGGGTAGTTTTCTCACCAAAAGCGCCGTCGAACAACCTATACCCTTGCTTAATCGCCTCATAGACGACATCCGCAGTGTTCTCGGTGACCTTCCAAAGGCCGAATCTATGTCGTGCAATCGTTATCTGATCAGAACTTTATCTCATTCGACAGACGACACGAGGAAGCACATACCCGACCTGTGGGATCTCCTGGCCGTTGTTGAGCTTGATCTTGGGGATTTCAACCATTTTTTGTGTGCTCGAGGTGTTCTAGGTTGTGAGAGCGGTTGCAGACTGGCGCTTGGATAAGGGCGGATACTTATGGTCGGATAGCCTGCTGGGCCGAGGCGGACCGTCGGAGAAGGTTCGTCGAAATAGCGGCCCAAGAATAGTCGCGTGAACCATTCAAACGAGCCCATTTCACAATTGATTGGGACCTATCACAACCAAAGCCCTTCGACAACGACAACATGCTCTTCGCTTGGCTTGCCCATCGTCGAGCGTGGTGAGTCTATTTTATAAATGCCAAATCAGTTTCAGCCTGGTCGATGTGTCCTCGACCGCTCAATTTCTCCACAGCCAGACGAAACAGGAAGAGCGGGGGGCAAGGATCAAGGATCTCGCGCCATCGTTCCATGAACCGCTCGATACAACAGATAAAGCCGTTTTGGAGCAGCCAATAGGAGCCCTTGTCGAGGATGTACGCACCGGAAGACGGGACCCTGTCGACATTCTGACAGCATACAGCAAGAAAGCGCTCAAGGCCCATGAAGCAACCAACTGTTTAACGGAGATTCTGATATCTTCTGCGGTCGACTGGGCAAAAGATTGTAACAAAGAAGGACCGCTCGCTGGAGTGCCAATTAGTTTGAAAGACGTGAGTGAGAGTAAAAGAACGAGGTCGCTGTTGCTAACGATGCCTTCAGACTGTCAATGTCCAGGGGTGGGATTCCTGCATTGGGTATTCTGCGTGGGTTGGCAAGCCTGCGCAGAAGGACTCTGCGCTCATCCGCCTCTTGCACGACGCTGGTGCGGTCCCCTTCGTCAAGACCAACATTCCGATAACCCTCCTGACATTCGAGTCGTACTCGGACGTGTTCGGTCGCACTACGAACCCGCATAGCGATAAGAAGCACTCTGCAGGAGGCTCTACCGGGGGTGAAGCGGCCCTTCTTGCGTATGGAGGATCACGCATCGGCATTGGGACAGATGTTGCAGGGTCCGTGCGTATCCCAGCGCATTATTCTGGTATCTACACCATCAAAGCATCAACTGGACGGTTCCCTAAGACGGGGAACACCACGAGCATACCAGGTCAGGAGGGCATACCCGCGGTGTATTCTCCCATGGCGCGTACGTTAAGGGACTTGGAGTACTTCTGGAAAGCGGTAGTGGGGATGAAACCTTGGGAATATGATCCCACGGTGCGTAGCCAGCTTTACGTCAAGTCAGTTATTTATATGCCCTCAGTGTCATCCAATTCCCTGGAGGTCCATTGAGCTCAAGAATGTGAGATGGGGTGTTATGTGGGACGACGGTGGGCGCTTAATGTTTTAGCTTGGTGCGGCGCTGACGGTCCATACTTCCAAAAGGGGTCGTGGCGGCTTCTCCCGCATGCAAACGCGCCCTTCAGACAGTGGTCGAGACACTTCGCAAGAATGGACACGAAGTTGTCGACGTGTAAATCTCCCTCTCACCACTGTCAAATATTTCGCTGAATGATGCCCAGTACCCCTCCATCACCTTACGAGGCCCTGCGCATCGGCTCCGCCCTCATTCTCGCCGACGGCGGTGAAGCCATCATCTCGCCAATGCGACCATTTGAATCGAATGACCTCGGTGTCGCTCAGGCTGTACACATGCTTCGCATTCCCTCCTTCCTGCGTAAACTTTATACGCTCTACGTGCGCTACATCAAGCGCGACGAGATATATGCCGGCCTGCTAGACGGGTGGCGCGCAAAGAGCGTCTCTGAATTCTATCCACTCGTGGCGGAGCGAGAAGCATACAAAGTGAAGTGGTGGGATTGGTGGAAGGCCCAAGAACTGGATTTCATCCTCTGTGTGCCGAACGCTCTTCCTGCGGTCCCGAATGATGGGATGAAGGACGGGTTCCCTGCGTGTGGCTACACATTTCTATTCAATGTGGTGAGCCTTTTTCTTCATTCCGCTCATGTCTCTTACTCAAATTGAAACGCACTTCTAGCTGGACTATTCTGCAGGTGTACTTCCTGTAATACATGTCGACCATGGGCTGGACGCCTTGCCCCCCTTCAGAGCTCGTAATAACGTCGAGAAGAGGGCGTACAGACAGTATGACTCCGAAGGTATGCACGGTCTACCTGTAGGAGTGCAGGTAGTAGGGCAAAGGCTCGAAGAAGAGAAGGTTATGGAGGGGATGAAGATCATCGAAAAGCTGTTGAAGGAGGACGGGAAAGAGTATGAGTTACTTTCTATTTGATTTTTTGGTCTTCCAGTAAATGATTGTACTGTACCATAGATTGTACCATACCATGAAGCTTCATTGAATGCGTGGCTCTCCAATGAGGACGCGGTTCGAATTGGCAGGTGTGGGAAAGCTGTGCCGATATGCCGGGATCTCGAATCAACACGAACAAACAAGGCTCCCGTCGTCCACAGAAATCTTGCCATCATCGTCGACATCCTCAAGACATCCCTCATCGACAACGTGAGTGCCCTCCAATGCCGTCTCTATGTCCAGCAATATCGAATGCCCACTATCTGAACATTTTGTGCTGGAAAACCGCTCACAACCAGGTGGATGGATGTCGGATGGATTGGATGACGGAACCCGGGATGTTGCCAAACCTCAGATCGGGATGTTGCCAAACCTCAGATTGAGATGCTGACGAGTGTCCCTTCCTTCATCCAGAATGCCTCTCCAAGAATACCAAGTCGTCGGCCGCCACTTGCCCACCGAGTCGGATCCGACTCCCAAAATCTACCGCATGCGCATCTTTGCTCCTAATGAGGTCGTCGCAAAGTCCCGTTTCTGGTATTTCCTGAGGTACGTCGCACTCTTTTTCACCAAGCACCGTTACAAATTGCCCCGTAGGCAATTGAAAAAGGTCAAGAAGGCCAGTGGTGAAATCATTGGCGTCAATGTCGTATGTATCATTTGATGTCCCTTGCAGCCCTCAAGAGGCAGGCGGAGCGGGATTACTGACTACAGGGCTCTTGCGATACAATTCTTTGTTCGCGTCTGCTCTTCCCTCCACTAGATCCACGAGAAAAAGCCCCTTAAGGTCAAGAACTTTGGTATCTGGCTCCGCTACGACTCGCGATCGGGAACGCATAACATGTACAAGGAGTTCCGCGACCTTACCCGTGCGGATGCCGTCAAGAGCTTGTACCAAGACATGGCTGCCAGGCATCGTGCTCGCTTCCGGTCCATCCACGTACGTTATTGTATCCTTGGGGCCAGTCCTCTCAAGCTCACCGTCTCGTAGATCCTCCGTGTGGTTGAGATTCAGAAGACCGAGGACGTTCGCCGCCCCTACATCAAGCAGCTCCTTACCCCCGGTCTCAAGTTCCCTCTCCCCCACCGCGTCGCCAAGTCACGCTCGACCTTCGTTGCCAACCGCCCTGTTACTTTCTAAGCTTGTGATTGGGAGACGGGACGCGGGGCATAATGGTATGATTGCCTATTCTATGGATGTAGCACCATGTCGATTTCATGAAAATATGCTATGCTTATGCGCCGCGCCATCGTTCGAGTTGATTTGACTTACCTTTGCCCAGTGAGATCTGTCAGGATGCAAGTGGTTCCAGAGCGGAATGACGAGAGCCGTCGTATCTCATGTTTTCCCTGGATTTGTGTCTGCAGGGGGTCCTGCAAACATCTCGTTGTATGGAGGCGACATGTTGAAAGTGCGTCCGACTGCAATTATTCTCGAACTGGAAAATTAGATAGGACTTCAACGTTGTCAACGCTTCAATGATGACTTATAGTAGCATGCAGCCTGGACCGTGTTTCGCGTTCAACGAACTTTATCAGCACTACACTCCCTCATAGGCACGGGCAAGTCTTCGTTGGCTTTAGTCACGGGCGTCACTTCAGGCATAGTCTTCACTTTGTCTAACTCCTGCTTACTTTATCTAAGATCTTTTCTGACAATTTCTCCAATCTTACAGAAATCTCTCCACGGTCAACCTTCCAAGTATCGAGAATGTTTCAGAGACAGACTAAACCCGTTCTGTTGCCAGGTGCAGGTCGATGGATGCTCTTCTTCATCTTCATGGCAGCTGCCATTTGGTCCATTGTTCGTTTTGCCGTCTGCTGTCTGCTGCATAACGAGGGAAGAGCTTGTCCATTGTTCACCTCGCTTGGGTCGGAAGCAATAGCGCACAATTGCCTCTTTTGGCGGAGACGAAACAAAGAACTTGCGACCCTTAACGAACCTCGCAGATCATCAAACCGCGTCCAAAAGTGGCTGTGGCCCTCTAGATAAACCAGATCGTTAAAACGAGGGTGGCTGCTTTGATTTGTTTCTTGGTTCTGACCACCACCGTCCGCTATGCCTGCCCACATTTTTGAGTCTTCATCTTCATCCCAGGACTTTTCCTATGCGGATATCTACTGTTGAGTGCACTATTTTCTCGCCATTTATTTGGCTGACTATTGAACCACATAGCACCCTCCATGATTAGCATTTTAGAAGGACATGAAAATTGGAGCAACGATCGCTCACGACGAAACGAGGAGCTGAGGACGGCGGTCAAGGAGAGACTTTGCGAAGGCGTCCCCGTCGAGGACTTCGTCCACCACGTCTGGAGGCTTCCACTTGACAAGATGCAGGTCATCATGGAGCAAGACTGGCCCGTCTGTCAGAATCATTTGGACAGGTATCGAGCGACACTAGAAGGAAGGGGAAACCAATCCACCTCATTTCGCGTCATCTGCTCGCGACTTTTGAACGACGTGCATGAGGCGTTCGGGATGCGAACCAGGGAGATGGAGGACGAATTCTTGGATTCAAGAGGACGGCCTTGCCTCGAAAACGCGTATGTCGATGGCGATCCGGATTTTGTACGCGTCTGGAAGAGCGATCGGCAAGATGCCCTCCCCGACTGGGAGTCGGTCAAGACCTTCATTAATTTTACTGCCGTCGATTCTACGCGTCGTCAGCAAGTGGGCGAATCATTGGAAGAACCGGAACACATCTTCGGCCCACCTCACTATGTCACACTTGCCCACCCCTTCGACCAACCTGGTGCTTTCCAAACGATGTCAACCACCAATGACATCACGGACGACGAGCTGCGAATAGCGCTCTACGCCAAGGAATGCTTCACGGTTTACGCCGACCGGTCATACGTGACCGCGCTCCTTATAGACGGTTTCAAAGGCTCGCTGTGGTACTTCGACCACCACCTCGCGATGCACACCGTGTCTTTTGATTTCAGCTCGCGTCTCGGACTCCGCTACCTCGCGCTTGTTTTATTTGCTATGGCTAAGTGTGATATGCAAGGCGCGGGGTTTAACCCGTTATTCCAGCGCCTTCACGGTCTGTCGTCGGGGGATCGAGTGGCATGGACGCCCATAGATAATCCGGCGAAGGTAGCGGACGATAATTGTTATGTTTTCCCGCTCCGAAAGGGAGAAAAGCAGAGGCGGTTCTTCGTTATTGACGACTGGGTGGACGCAACGTACCGGTTTATAGCGCCTGGGACGACAACACACAGTGTCCGGACAGGTGTGCTAGGCGGCAAGGTTTCGTATGACAGCCAGACGCTGAAGATGACTTGGAGGCCGCAAGATGAGGATCACGAGCAAATTACCCTGGGGCACATTATGGCACCTCTCCCAGATGAGTGGCTTGCCCATGTTCCGTTGGAGATCACTTTCGCGGCTGCGTATTCCGTTGAGGATCTGCAATTTCCATGGACGAAGATGGATATAAGGCTACCACCGGAGTTAGAAGATGTCGATCCTCCTTCTCTTCACGTGTCGGTTTATCCGGAGTGCCAACCACTCTGGGAGGCGGGCAGTGTCAAGGACTTCAAACGAGTTTTTATTCATTGCCTTGAATGTAAGCTCTTCCATTGTTACTTTTCCTGCATTTGGGCTCATACAAAGGATGCATATGATATTCAGGCCACTACCACGCCTACAAAGACGCTGAGCACCTTCATGGTGCCATTGGCGAGAGAAGTCTGAAAGTGAAAAATTGCACAAACGCAGACGGCAGGCGCAGGCGCCCACTGGGTATCCTTACTGATTGGGAAATAGGTCCGCAACCACGACAGGAGGACGACACAGAGCATCCCATGGAAGTCGGCCACGGATCGGGTCCCTTCACTTTTATCGCGGCGGAGCTTGCTCTCGACATACAAGTTTTCGGAACGGCGAGGATGCATTACTATCGACACGACCTCGAGTCATTCTTCTACGTCCTCGTCTGGGCGTGTGTCCACTACAACCTGAACGACAAACACCGAGACGCCGTAGACCCGCACGGAGTGCTGCGAGAGTGGTCCTCCAAGGAATCCTCACCCAGAAGCAAGATGGAGTTCATCAACAGCCGATACGGTTATGGCGACAAGGTTAGCGACTTGGTGAAGAGCGAATGCGACGAGCTTTACGAGACGTGGGTGCGTCCGTTGAGAAGACTCTTTCGCACGGCGTTCGCTTCAATCCCCGGAGAAGGTGATGACGATGAGGACTATGATTTCGAGACTTGCAATGGCCTTCTCACTTTCGAGAACTTCATGCAGGTTATTGGACAAACACCTAGGAGGCTCGAACCTCGGTAAACCCACGGACTAGTAAAGAAAATTATGTATAACGTTTACGATACCATTTGATGATACCAGGCGGATTTATTTCCTTCATATGGATACTCTTCTCATCCCCTTTTATCTCCATTCCATGTAATCTACTGTTGATTCAAATCGAATCCGGCCCGCACTAAATGCTCTTCGCCTATGGGCGCTAAAGACATTGTGATGAAGAAAATATATAGGAAAAAGTACTGCCACGAATACGATTTATTACGAGACGGGGTCTACTCACCTGAATCCCGAATCTAGTCCGTTTTCCCGCTCTTTCTCTCTTTGTCCCGTTTTCCGTTTTCACCAGGAGCGGAAGTGACCGGGCCGACCCGCTGACAAAGCCATGACGAAACCCAACCGCGAACGAAAACGCTGGCCGCTGCTCTTCGCTTTCATCGCCCTCCATGACCGACGACAGCTGCTGAGCTGAACCTATACCCATACCCTATTTCCTACAAATACCATGTTTCTATGCTCGTATCACTGGCTACCCGACTTTTTCGCGCCATTGGACGTCGCTCCATAACCACTGCTGCAGCAGGATCCTACCACCACGGCGCTATATCCTCCGGCGAAAAACTGTCCAGGCCCCAAAGAAGACCAGCAAGAGACGGTCAGAATCTCTCAGACCGATATGTTCGGCTAGAAAAGTCGCTGCGTGGCAAGGAGATGTTTTCGAAGGAGCTGGATGACCTGGCGGAGACCAACCCCCCTGTTCCTGCGGATCTGCAACCCAAGAAGCTAGCGAAGACGACGAACACATTTCACGGTTTCGTCGTTCCGGAGGAGCCAAAACCACCAGCGGACGATGGTGCGTACTTTTCCTCATTCTTCGAACTCTTACTTACATCCTGTCCCAGAGTGCTGCATGTCCGGCTGTGCCGTGTGTGTCTACGACCTCCACGAAGAAGCTGTAGAAGCATACAACGAAGCCGTCGCTGCATTACAGACATCTCTCACCTCTTTGAGCATACCCGAATCCAAATGGCCCGCTCAGATTCGTCCAAAAGGCACATCCTCGTCTCGCAGCCCACAGCAGGCGAAGGGTGCTGTTCTAAGCGCGTTTGAAGAGATGGAACGGAAGCTAGAGCTGAAGAGGAAGGAGAAAGAGGCAGAGGAAGCCCGAAGTTAGTCGGACCTACTTCTACCTGTATGTCCCTGTCGAACGCTGAATTTAATTATATGTCGTTGTCAGTTGCAGTCCGTCTCGCACAGCAAAAGCGGAAAACCCAGCTTATTGGTATCAAGGGACCCTCTTCGGTGGATACGGTTCTCAACGAGCTGTATGAGGGCCTTCGTTGGGTGTTCTTCAGCAAACGATGATGGTTTTTCCGACTCCATTCTGCGACCCCACCCGGGTTCTTCCGCACGTGTGTTGGCAAACCGAATGTTCACGTCGAGCACAGCTCTGGCGGTTACCAATGACTCTTCATACCACCCCTCTTCCATCGCACCATCTAGTGCGAGAATCGTGGACCGTCTCTACGATCATGATGCATGGTGCCATATTGCATGCCTTTTATACGCTGGCACCCTTTGAGGACTCACCAATGTGCTATTCGAGATCGCAAAATGCTTCGAGATGGCCAGTGTCGGGATGCCCTCGGAATTTAGGTGCACTGTCGGTGTGTGATGGCAGAACCTTCATGGGACGACGATGAGCGTGCAGCAGACGATGGAAAGGTCGACAGTTATGCGGGCGGACGATGTGTCAAGACGCTATTTATCGGTAAACACCAATCTCAGCGGTGGGCTAGGGAGCGAGTTGAGATCTCCTTGCTCGACACCTACAGCATCGACTCGGTGGGATCGCCTCCAAGTTGTGTTAAAGATCATACACAAATCAAATCATACATACCTGAACTCGAATTCGCCACCTCGCTCTATCTCGGTTACAGTAACTCTGAAGATCCCAGGTCCCATTAAGCCAAAGTCAACCTCATTTCACCTACCCGTCGAGGACCTGCGCGACATCTTCCTGACATAAACGAAATTGGTACATTTTGTCGGGTTCTCTCCAGAGCTCCCAGCCCGACAAATCTTCCCCGACGACGTTGGAAGGTGCCTACCCCTCTCCCATTTCTCAACGATCTTTCGTATCCCACGACATCCTTCCACCTATCTTCCCTCCCCCAAATACCCCACGCCTCCCTTCTCTGCACATGTTGACCTCCCGATGGTCGTTCCAGACTCGGCGGAAACGGTCGGTGCTGAGGCTGGAAGGTGGGGCTCGCGGCAATGTCTTCGAGGCTTTGGACATGCATAGGCCGGAGGAAATTGAAGAGCATGTTTAGACTCAAGGCGGTTCTGAGATAGGCTGTCAAATTAAATGAGGCTATTGGTCCTCGAATTTCGTTCCGTTGGATAACGTGGGCGAGAGGTCCGAAGTCCGAAGTTATCGAAATAACCGGAGTAGACGCGCAGGGCCAATGGAAAAAGCGCTGATTGTGATAATGGTCGTTCGACCTTGATAATTCAGTGAATGTGAAACACCGAAAATGTTATCATTCGGTGTACATTGAGAAGCATACTCGATGGAGCATGGTTCTAACCTGGTCCCCACCCGAGTCCGACGTCCACAGGTCGCAGTGTCGCTTAGTCGGGATGCAACCATTTCTGCGTGTGAGCAGGAGAGCAAGAGAAAGGACTTCGCGTTCTTCTCGATCCGCTAAACAGGAAAACCAAGCGCTCGAGCATCGGACAAGACAATCGCGGGATGGACGAGGGGGTGGGAAGGAGGGAGTAACGGATCAACGGACGCGTCGGCTTGGGGCCGCCCAGCCAATCGGAGGCGAGAGGGCCAGGTACGCCCGGTTCAGGATGCTCAGTGCTCAAATGACACCATGGCTGAAATCTAGCCGGAGTAAACGTGCATGCAGGAGAGGGTGTTTTGAATGCATGTATCGATGCATTTTGGGGGTAAGGGCGATTATCTGTATGTATGTAAAATAACTCGGGGCTAAGGGGAGGAGTCCGATGGGATTCGGAGGGTACTTAGAGCCAAGAATTGCGAGCTCATCGGGTATTTGCTCCGGGCCCGCAGGACGCTAGGGCGCGATGGGGACGACTTTGTGCTCGCTGCCCGTGTCGTGCAACAATACATGATGGGCACCGGGCGGGTGTGTGGTACGACATACTGGGTGGAAATAATGGGCCGAGAATACATAGGCGGACGCGTGTGAATTTTGGGGTGGGCAGGGTCTGCTCGACCTTGCAGATTTTTCGCGCAGATTCGCGTCTCTTTTTGGGCTTTCGCATCGGACCAGGGTCTGTCTTTTATATCAACCCACCTCCTCAAACTCTGCCCCAACTCTCCCTTCCTCCTCCTCCACCATGTCCTCCAAAGGTACGCACTGACCATCCCCGCCGCGCGTCGTGCACTGACCCTCGCGTTCATAGCCATCCGCGAGTACGACGCCAAGCTCCTCCTCGCTTACTGGCTCGAACGCGCGCCTCCCGTCGCCCCCCACGCCCAGGTCAAGACAAAATTCCAGTACCCCGCCGTTAAGGTCGCACAGATCTCATGGGACCCAGAGACCAATTCTATCACGCCCGACACTAAGCTCCCTGGCTGGGTCTTCAACACCAAGCTCGTCGCAAAGCCCGACCAACTTATCAAGCGCCGCGGCAAGGCCGGCCTCCTCGCCTTGAATAAGACCTGGGACGAGGCGAAGCCATGGATCGCCCAGCGGGCGGGCAAACCACAAAAGGTGGGTCCTCTGTCCTGTACTTTGGCGCATACATTCGGTGTTCAATGCATGGGACGCCACTCAACCCCGCAAAACGTGCATCTTATCCGCGATCTATCCATCTATCGTGATGCGATGTCGATCTGCCTTCTGCGAATTCGTCTCGCGGCGGCGTGCAGGACCTAGCCTTGTCAGAGCCGAACGCGCGTCCAAAATTAATACACGTGACTGACATTTACCGCTATTGCAGGTCGAGTCGATCACCGGCACACTGAACAACTTCATTGTTGAGCCCTTCCTACCCCACCCATCCAACACCGAGTACTACGTCTGCATTACCTCGGCCCGTGAGGGTGATTCCATCCTCTTCACCCACGAAGGTGGCGTGGACATTGGCGATGTCGACGCAAAGGCTCTCGTTCTTAACCTCCCCGTCACCCAACCCTTCCCAACTCGCGAGGCCATCGCCGACACCCTTCTCAAGCACGTTCCAGCAGAGAAGAAGGACACCCTCGTTGACTTCCTCATCCGCCTTTACAGCGTCTACGTCGATCTCCACTTCGCTTACCTCGAGATTAATCCTCTCGTGGTTCTTGATGGAGTCAACGGTGGCGAGCCCCAGGTTTGCTACCTTGATATGGCTGCGAAACTCGATCAGACCGCAGAGAGCATTTGCGGACCCAAGTGGGCAATCGCTCGTGATCTGTCGGTCTACGAGTCTAACGAGGATGCGGCAACCAAGGCGGCTGCTTCCAAGGGTGGAAAGGTATCTGCCGATCGTGGGCCTCCCATGGTACGTGCATTTACTTTATTTTCCGGCTGATAAGCTCAATATATGCGCGTTTTATAGGTCTGGCCTGCGCCATTCGGTCGCGATTTGACGAAGGAGGAGGCTTACATCCAGAAACTCGATGCTTCCACCGGTGCCTCCCTCAAACTCACCGTTTTGAACCCCGAGGGTCGCATCTGGACCATGGTTGCAGGAGGTGGTGCTAGTGTCGTTTACTCCGACGCCATTGCTGCCCACGGATATGCTGACGAGCTCGCCAACTACGGTGAATACTCGGGTGCTCCTACCGAGGGTCAGACCTACGAGTACGCAAAGACTATCAGTGTGTATCTTAGATCTTGATCGATGATTTACATTCTGACGCGTTCATACAGTCGATCTCATCACCCGTGGCACACCCAACCCCAAGGGCAAGGTTCTCATTATCGGTGGAGGTATCGCCAATTTCACAAACGTCGCGGCTACCTTCAAGGGTATCATCCGTGCCCTCAAGGAGTTCAAGAACCAGTTGATCGCTCATCAAGTCAAGATCTTCGTTCGTCGTGGTGGCCCCAACTATCAGGAAGGCCTTAAGGCCATGCGTCTGCTCGGAGAGAGCTTGGGCGTCCCCATCCGTGTCTTCGGTCCCGATACTCACATCACCGAGATTGTTCCTCTCGCTCTAGGCATCGACATCAGCAAGACGAGGAAGAGCAATGCGGGTGTTGACGGCCTCAAGTCTGTGCAACCCGAGACGCCTCCTGCGCAGGTCGCGCCCGTCGCTGAGACCAGCGATGCTGTCGGCTCGATCCACCCCGATGGCGAGCGCACCCAGCCCTCGGACAACCTTGTCCACTTCGACACCAAGGCCGGCACGACCTCGCGCCCGCCCTACCGTCCCTTCGATGCCAACACCCGCTCATTTGTGTACGGTCTCCAACCCCGTGCCATCCAGGGCATGCTCGACTTTGATTATTCCTGCGGTCGTCAGGCTCCCTCCGTGGCCGCCATGATCTACCCCTTCGGCGGGCACCACATCCAGAAGTTCTACTGGGGCACGAAGGAGACGCTCCTGCCTGTGTACACGACGTTCAAGGAGGCGATCGCCAAGCACCCTGATGTCGATGTCGTGGTGAACTTTGCCAGTTCGCGTAGTGTGTACTCGAGCACCCTTGAGTGTCTGGAGTTCCCCCAGCTTAAGGCGATTGCGCTGATTGCTGAGGGTGTTCCGGAGAGGCATGCCCGTGAGATCCTGTGGAAGGCTAAGGAGAAGGGTGTCCTGATTATTGGTCCTGCTACCGTTGGTGGCATCAAGCCTGGATGCTTCAGGATTGGAAACTCTGGAGGGTACGTTGTGTTTATTTCTCGTCGATTGCTGAAGCTAACGCGGATCTTTAGAATGATGGACAACATTATTGCCTCGAAGCTTTACCGCGCTGGTTCAGTTGGCTATGTCTCCAAGTCTGGAGGCATGTCCAACGAGCTGAATAACATCCTCTCGCTCGTCACCAACGGCACCTACGAGGGTATCGCTATCGGAGGTGATCGCTACCCTGGCTCGACCTTCATTGACCACCTCCTGCGTTACGAGCAGGACCCCGAGTGCAAGATGCTCGTCCTGCTCGGCGAGGTTGGTGGTATCGAGGAGTACCGCGTCATCGATGCCGTCAAGAAAGGCATCATCCGCAAGCCCATCGTCGCCTGGGCCATCGGTACCTGCGCGAAGATGTTCGCGACGGAGGTGCAGTTCGGGCATGCAGGCAGTATGGCGAACAGCGATATGGAGACGGCTGACGCGAAGAACCGCGCGATGCGTGAGGCGGGCTTCATCGTCCCCGATACGTTCGAGGAGCTGCCGCATGTGCTCAAGGAGACGTATGAGCGCCTCGTCAAGGTTGGCACGATCAAGCCCAAGAAGGAGGTGGACCCCCCGGTTATTCCTATGGACTACAAGTGGGCACAGGAGTTGGGTCTCATTAGGAAGCCGGCAGCGTTCATCTCGACGATCTCGGATGAGCGGGGTCAGGAACTTCTGTATGCGGGTATGAGGATCTCGGAGGTGTTCAAGGAGGATATTGGTATTGGAGGTGTAGTGTCGCTGCTTTGGTTCAAGAGACGTGCGTTCTTTTTCGTGTTCGTCTACTTCTTGCTCTGATCATTGTCGATCTCTTTAGGTCTGCCACCATGGGCAACCAAGTTCATCGAGATGGTGCTCATGCTCACCGCCGACCACGGTCCGGCTGTCTCTGGTGCCATGAACACCATTGTCGCGTCGCGTGCGGGCAAGGACCTCATCTCCTCGCTCGCCTCGGGTCTCCTGACCATCGGAAGCCGATTCGGTGGTGCCCTTGACGAGGCCGCCTCAATGTTCTCAAACGCCCGCGATACGGGTCTGACACCCAGAGAGTTTGTGGACAACTCGAGGAAGGCGAACAAGCTTAGTGAGTGCTAACTGTACTTGGAGGGGCAAGTCAGTGCTGACGAGGGACAATGATAGTCTCGGGTATTGGCCACAAGATCAAGAGTGTGAACAACCCTGATCTGCGTGTCGAGCTCGTGAAGGAGTATGTGCACAAGCACTTCCCGAGCCATAGCTTGCTCGACTACGCCCTTGCTGTTGAGAAGGTGACAACTGCGAAGAAGGATACTGTACGCCCCTTTCTTCCCTTCCTCGTAGCAAATGAACTAATTCATCTTTCTCAACAGCTCATCCTCAACGTCGACGGCTGTATCGCCGTCTGCTTCGTCGACCTCCTGCGCGACTCTGGCGCCTTCACACCTGAGGAGGCGGACGAGTACATCAAGATCGGCACGCTCAACGGCCTGTTCGTCCTCGGTCGCAGCATTGGCTTCATCGGACACCACCTCGACCAGAAGAGACTGCGCGCACCGCTGTACCGCCACCCTGCCGACGACATCTTTATCAACATGGCGGATGTGTCGCAGCCGCGTGTCTTGGGCAGGATGCAGTAGGTGTGGAGGAGGAAGTTGTCATCTGTTGTACCCTTCTCTCTTGCCCTTGCGTCTCTCCCACATCGTTGTTGCCCTCATTCTCTTCTCGTCGTCATCGCCTTCTTCATCCCTCCATCGCTCGCAAACTAGACTTGAATTCCATCCTGCCTGCTACCTGCATCCATCCATCATCCATACTTTCATCTACCATTTTCTTTTCTCCAATTCATCCCATATAATTGAGAAGAACGACCAAAATTCGAAACAAGTTTGAAACGAAATTTGTATAAACTGAATGAAATTCCCTTAGTGTTGTAGCCCTCTTTTTACCTAGTAGTCGAAAATATAGATTTTCGTTTCTCGTCTCAGGGTTTGTAGTAGCCAGAGATTCGTCTGGCTCTGATGATTCTGCGCACATGAATCCAAGCACTAAAATAGACTAAAATGCAAAGGTCTGACTGCGGTCGTCCAATGGCAACTCGGATATGGTGTAACGGCTAACATTGCCGCCTCTCATAATGGATCGCGGCAGCTCGGGGTTCGATTCCCCGTATCCGAATTCAAGGCAGATTTCATCTTTTTATCAGTACCAGTGGGTCAGTTCACGCGCACAATGTGCTCAGCTTTTGACAGGGGTTGGTGCCACTCATGTACAACGGTGTAGCGCTGAACATTGATCAGTAAATTGTCGCGCCGAATCAATGTTTTCTCTTGAATTGAGGCTGTCTATCTCTGGGTAGAATTAAGTCACCCCGGTCCCCTGCAAGGTCCCCGCTGGGCCGTTCAGAATATGTGCTGAGAACATAATATACGCTAGGCACGGGAGCTTGTCTGCAGGAAATTGACATTGTCATAAGTCGGAGAGAGCCATCACTGGGCCCTGCGCTCCTACCAGATGAATGTAATGGGCGTCCGTCGATTCTGTTCGGCGGATCGGTGGCGGGCTTTCCGACTCTTAATATTCAGGGGATTTGGTTGTGAGCCACTTGTCCGTCCTTTCAGTTGAAATATACGCATACTCCACTTAGCGTAGCAGTCCAAAAGGTGCTCAACCGGGCAGGGTCATGAGAGTGCCCACTCAAGATTTCATTAATCTTCTTACGAGACACGGACCTCGATATTATTAGTTATCGTGATCACATTGTTCTCTCTAGCGTCTCTGAGAATCGTATGTTTTGGACGTATGGAACTGAGGAAAGTTGGACAGGTGAGATGCTTAGGTTAGATGAGTATTAGTATTACGGCGCAAATCACCAAGTCGTGGGTGTGACCAGCTGATGCCACTCGAATTCCGAATTATAGAAGAGACGAAACGGGCACTAGAAGCTGGCTTCCTGTTCATCGAAGATAAGCGCTCGTGAGCGCTTAGAGGATTTTGATAGTTGGAGCTGCGCCGTTGACAACAATGAGACTACGCTAGTGGCGACTAGGTATCTAAAGTACCTTCATCTCGACTTGACATGCGTAGCGTGTGGCGCCGACCTGAGAAGGCAAGTCTTTCATCGCCCTCTCGAGGCCGAAACGGCATGCGCCACAAGATGGCATTAAATTCCATGTCATGGAATCACAAAAATAACCAAAGACTCCAGGTAAACGCCTAAATAAGGGTCACTTATCGACAGTATCCCCTTATCTGAAGGACTGATGACTGTCGTCGTTCAATAACGGCATACATACCCATCCAACTAATTCGCAAGGAGTTGGTATCCGCAGTTGCTTGGGCAGGAGCGCGGTGAGATTTAGATATTCTGTATTCTATAACATGCTCGATATTGCAGGATTGACTATTTCGTCCTCACTGGTTTTCGGTGCTACAATGCTATGATGAAATGCCATGGGGAATCCTGAATCGGGGTGCCCAATGGCAGCCATGTCTTAATCCCCGCTTATTTGAATATCAAAATTCCACACAATAATATCTCTGTTAGTATATCGGTTAGTACACGCGCCTGTCATTTGCTTATGTAATGGGACGCGCGAAAGCTGGGTTCGATTCCCAGACAGAGAGAAATTTACTTTTTGCCTTCTGAGTGCCTTTTTGGCTGTCAGAATGGCGAGGGGTTTCTCTCTTTCACGGTGCGGAAGATCTGAAGTCGTGCTTCCTATTCCTTTTTAGGAGTCTCCGTGTTCACAGAAGGAAAACAAATGATAAGCATTTCGACTTGCAAGTATTACTTGAGAAAAAAGGATGTCGTGATGATGAGGAGAAAGATAAATGCCCGAGACGAAGGCGGGTATTTGCTCTAATTATAAGGCGAGCATAATAGCGATAGGTGGCCAGTAAATGAAGATGAAGGAGGCATAGATTGAGAACAACAACCACGTTCAAAGCCAGTTGAATGTTCCATATATGACGATTCGAAGCGTACTCCCACATTCGGCTTATGAGTGCTGTAACTCGCCTATGTCAAAAGACATGAAATGTCCAAGGTGGGAAGCTTCGAATCCGGGTCCATCTTATCGCCATGATCTTGGGTAGGGGCAGCTCAACATCAGTGGGCAGTTGCAATGTCTGCCGTACTCGCTCAACACATAGCACAAGGAACACCATACACGACGGTGAAATTGAGAATCCAGACCGGCGGCAGAGTATCGAGGGGCGTCGATGTCCACACGCGCGCTCTGTCTTCCTAACATCGTTGAATTCAGACTCAGAGTCAAATCGACAGGTTTATATCGCCAGAGCTGGAGACGTATCCCACGCGGAGCTGAGTGCTGAATACCGAAGAAAGGAAGAACGCCGGGGAATGCCCTTTCTCTGAATCGTTGAGTCCTCAGGCTAAGTGTAAGTCTCGGTTTATGTTCCCCACGCTCTGGCGACAAAACGGCAAAAGTGTATAACAAATGTCCTGAACTTTAACCTTAGAGGGGAGTTAGCAGATACGAGTAGAGTGGGGATTGCGGATAGAAGGGTTGGGGAAGGGAGGTCCCGAGATACTTACCATTAGGTTGTCATAACCTAACCATTTCATTTGGTTAGGAGGACCATGCGAACTTTGCAACCTTTGCAAAGGGTTAGCCAAAGGGTTAGCCAGAACAGCGATGCATCGCTTTGCAGTGGAGTTCGAGCTCGAGAACTTTAATGAGAAGAGGGGAAGAGCAAGGATCTGCGTCGGCGCGTGTCAGTCGATGTCGAGATGCTCACGTACGGGTGAGGTCAGAGAGCGGGTCATGGAGCGGGTCATGTATCATGGAGCGCACATCCGGCGTCCGACAGTGTGCAGTCTTCAAGCCGAGGTACTAGGCGCCTTGGGCGTCTTCTGGTTTGCTCCTCAGCGTCGAGCGCCCTAACGACCGAGGGACAGCATCGAAGGACACGTCGCGCCCGACGGCATGTTCTTCTGGTATTCTGGTGCGCGGAATAACATGTCGCACCAACACGCCAAGCGCCGGACAACAGCATGAGAAGCACAGAACCTATTCATGATTCCGTCACTCCAGCGTCTTCAGTGACGGAAGAGGCGGCGGGGTGCAAAAATTTACCTTTATTCCGGAATAAATTAGCCCATGCTGTTCAGAACCATGGGCGTTGCGTGAACAGGCCGCCACTCTGAGATGCGATATGTGTGAACTATCATGCGAGGGGAAGAAGTAAAGAAAGAGGGTCCAGCCAGTGAGATGAAGGCCGGGAAGGTTTGTGAGAACGAGTTTGACAGGGCTTATTGTCTCGGTAGACGGCGGAAGCCGCACCGTAACGGCACCATTAAAACGGTGTGGCTTTGGAGAAGGACCTCCCGCCGTTCGGGCGTTCTCCGTCACTGGCCAAGTTTCGGGACCGCAGAAACCGTCGGGGTTACCTCACTGAGATAAACGGGTGTAGGTGGTCCATGTGTATGGGCAATGGTCATAGTCATATTTGAAATTTTGAGCAGAAGGAGATGGAAAGGTGGCGTAGTATAGAAGCTGCTGGGCCCGAAAGCTCGCTGGTCTTCTTGAGGTGTCGTAAAACCGCAGGAACGGAGCCGGTGGCGCATTCAACGCTGGGAGTTGGGATGCTCTTTCGGGTTCACCAGTCGGAAAAAAATCGCATTCAACAAGAAAACAAAGCTCGGGTAGGACGAGGCTTCGGAAAGCGAAGTTCGAAGCGTTATAAAACGGAGGGGATTCGCCGCGGGGGACACAAAACGTGCTTCGTTGGGAAAGCAGGTTCGCGCTGCGCTGATGGTCTGAATTCTCGTGCGATTCAGATGACCCCTGATGAGCGCTGCGGCGGAGTAGAGTATCCGCACGTAGAGTGAGACAGCGAGAGGCGGAAGGGAGGAATCTTCTAACTTTGACTAGAAAAATGCCCGGAACACGGATTGGACGCAGGGGTCGTGGTGATTGCAGTTGCGCGTGAATGCTCTCTGAGGAAGGTCATTCCACTTCGATAAGACGGGATCTGTGGCCATTGGGCAATCCTAGGCTCCGAGATGAAGGGCGTTTCAAGATAATTTGAGGGTTTTGCTTTCCCGTTAGCACAATATTCCATCTAGAAGTTGGAGTGTGAGTGCCATCGTCTCCCCCGTTCCGTAAGATACTCAAAGAAAGGTCTTTTAAGCTCACCGCGTGGTTCTATCCTCTTGATGTGCCTTGAGGCGCTCTGCGTCACAAGTTCACGAGATTCAGACGCGAGAATCAAGAGGGATCTTCAATCAAGTGGCCCAAAGTCCTTGTGCTATATCCTCATGCATGATGAATCACCTTCCAGAATCAAGTTCATTTCCTATAACCCCGGAGTTCGCCAGCGTCATTTCCAGTCTTCACAAGCCAAGAGTCAGTTGAGTATAGTTAGGCAAGAAGCAGCCGAGGGTAGAGGCAGGAAGCAGGGCTGTGAGTCGAAGTGGAAGTGGATGAAGTGACGTCAAGCCGACCCTAAATCACAAAGTCGTCTTGCTCAGGCCCCGTGCCTCCTCTTCACCTTCCACCACCATGGGATCAGCCACGACCGCTCCCATTCCGCCTGGATTTTATTCTCCTGAGGCCAGGGGGATGGGGAGGATCTGCCAGAAGCGCTCGTATCACAAACCGGAATCGAATCCATGCCTCCTGGCCCTCCCACGGATCACCGCAAGAAGGCTTTGGAAACCTTCAGCCCACTATTCGTCCCCGAGTTCAGGGGGTGATAAGAGATAGCTAAGTGGGCACTTCGAACTCAGACGTTGTGTGAGAACGCTTATCCCACTTATGCCAGACAGCTGGATTTTCTCGAGCGATATGTCAGGCCTTCATCAGCGCTGCTTACATACGTACGGCAGAGGCGTCTATCTCCCAAAATGTCGAGCTCGAGGCGTCCGCGTCAGGAGCGGCCCTCCGCATCAGGTCCAAACGTTACTTTCATAAACTTGTTCTACGCCACCCGCAGTGCCATCACCGCCGTGCGATAGATGTCCTCACTTCCAAGAAGTCTGCTCGTCTTACCCCATGCGCATCGAACGGCTTTTGGTCTCCGTCATCACTGTGCAGTTCGAGGCGTCATCAGAGCTACATGCTTTACATCACGGAGATTCGTTCTACATTCGTGCTGTTGACGGTCTCCCTCCATCGTTCAAAAGTCTGGTCCAGTATCGTAAATTGCTCTCCGGAGGCAGTGACATCCTGGCGCGTTCGGGGATTACGCCTCGCCAAAGCTCCCACTCTAGATTTTACTTGATGCCACGTTTCGTCCGAAGCCGCCTTCTGTTGGCGCTCGACCGTCCCTCCGTGGCAGGGGTGGACACGTTATGTGCTCGTCGGAACATGGTCCGGTACTACCATCCAATAATTCGGTGGACCTGTGCACCGAATTGCAAATTGTCAAATGTCTTCGCGTTCGCATATGCTCGCCCTGCAGAATATTCGTATTCTTCGGTATTACTATTGGGTCTCGAACTCGCACACACCTCATCTACCATACGCTTAGATCCGTTCATACTCGGAAAGCTGACGAACACCATCGATGTCCACCTCCTTCTATCCCCGCTGCTCAAGGGCTAAGTTCCAACTGCCCATCCTTCCTTCTGGAAACAGGGGACCGCAGATTGGAAGCCTCCAAGCTGTTATGATTCATGAAAAGGCCGCAGATCTTTCCAACTCAGAAGGTTCTGCGACAAGGATGGAACCTCCAAATGCACATGTATGCATCATTCAACGTGGAATACGTGTCGTTCTTTCATGAATCCGTAATGCTGTGAGCCTTTCATTAAGCTGAAGAGCTTCTAGCTTCTGCGATGACGCTTACTCGCTCGACTCCGATGTTGGGCAGGCTCGGATGCGGGGTTGTACTTGTCAGCCTATGTCGACGTCGGACGGAGGACCAGTGGGACTTGTGTTGTGGACCTTTGTCCTAGACCATCGCTCGGGGACCATGGCAGTGACAATTATGGTGTTCCATTCGACTGTACCCTACACAGAAATGACACTTTCCCAACTTGTGCTCTTTCAGACGGCTTTGCTATTACTAATTAGCATTCGTGTGGGCGCTCATTTCGTCGCTTTGGTTCTCCAACCAAGCTCTAATCCTCCTTATCATCCCTCACGCACCGACGCAACAACGTCTTATGATTGTTTCTGTGGGGCGGCGTTATAGACTTCCGACCCCTTAATATTAATAAAATAACCTCCGACTCGTTCGCCATACATGACTTCTTTCATCGCCGCCCACTTTCCGGAGGTGCGTATCTCGAGCTCACAGTGAGATCAAGAGGGGTACGTACTTCTACTGGGTTTATTCCGAGATCAGAGGGAAACCATCAGTCCTACGTCCGACGAGGTGCGTTCCTTCTCGCGGCGATTATTGCGAAGGCGAAGTCGCCGATGGATGAAGTATTACGAAATGGGCATCATGGCGGTTTTCTCGGACACTGAAGGCGCTGGAACGTGCGCTCGTTACCTACACCTATTAGAAAAGTATGAGAGGAATAACCCCTTCGTCTATTATTCCCGTTGGTCTGCCTGCAATGATTGTGGGTCATAACGGATAGCTTTATCATATACCGAAATCTAACAAAGTAATACACGGCTTTATATACAATCGAGGTCGGAGCATTATCGCCTCCTAATTACCAGAGGGTCGAACGGGTGCCGCCACAGGCTTCTCGTCGATGTGTGCAGTGAGTTGGAGGACGGTACTGGCTTGAGAACCATCACCCTTTAGGCGCCCAATTAGTTTCGCACGCACGCGTTAAAGATAAGCAAGACTCACAATCATGGAATGCGGGAAGCCGAGATCGAAGTCGACGATGCTGTCCAAGAATTTAATCTGCTCGTCGCTGAGCGTAATATCGAGGGCTTCGACGTTGGCGAGGAGCTGTTCGACTTTGCGACCTCCAATGATGGGGAAGACGTAGGTCGTTTTCTGCATCACGTACGCGATGGCGACTGAAAGAGGACTCCAAGTGAGTGAATGTAACAGTGCGGTTGTGTATGCCACGTACCTGAGGTAATGTGCTTTGCCCCTACCTCTCCTGCGACTTTTTCAAGAGCCGCACTGATTTTCTTCTCGGTGTCGCTCCTCTCCCAGACTGGGTCCATGATAACGCGCCCGTTCTCTCCAGTTTGGCGGCGCCGCTCCTCTTCTGCGTCGGTCCTAAACTTTCCACCTGCGAGTACGTTCCACGGTGCAAGGGCCATTCCTGTGCAAAAGGATTCAGACTGAGAAGTAAACATTTGTTAAGTAGTATACCTTCAGATCTTGCCATTGGAATGATATCGCGCTCGAAAGAACGGTCCATGACATTCCATGCCCCTTGGTAGATAACGAACGGAGTCAAGCCGTGGTCGCGCGCGTACTGGTTCGCTCTAGCGACGACCCAAGCAGGGGTGTCAGAAATACCCAAATATAAAACCTTGCGCTGCAGAATGAGGGTATGAAGCGATCTCATCACCTCCTCGACGCTAGTATCGTAATCCCACCAGTGGACGTAGAGAAGGTCGATGTAGGTCGTCCGAAGTTTCTTGAGTGACTCCTCGACGGAAATATGCAATGCCTTGTTGCTGTTTCCGACGTAGAACATCTGCTGGGCTACTGGTTGACGGCTCTTATAGTTGGTAGTGTACTATCTTCTACGTGAGTGGTTGTGAACGTGAAGAAGAGAACTGAACTTACCTTGGTCGCTATGAAGAGCTGGTCCCGGATGCCACGCTTCTCAGCCCATTCACCGATGAACATCTCGGACGTCTCTTCCTGACTATCAAGAAAAGTCAGTCATTAATCGGAATAGCGAGAAAGAAAATAACACCCACTAGAGGTTTGCCGTGTCGATAAAATTGCCTCCGTTGTCGTAGTATGCGTCGAGAAGCCTGAAGCTCGACTCCTTGTCCATGCTGCCCATTCCCAGTGCTGCCCACTTGTCGCCAATGTTCCCGCCCCCGAGCTGGAGAGGAGAGACATGGACTCCCGCGGTGGGCGACAAAAGGCGGTAGCGACCTAGCTTGGTCTTGGGTGTAGGCGGTTTGACCCAGAAAGTCATTTCGATGAGGTTGGAGGGAGGTAATGAGATAGTTAACCCTCGACGTCGCAGGTACTTATACGAGCTCGGGCCTCTGAAATCCAACATTATTCTCCCTTTTCGACAGTGTCGATGCGGTTTCATGAACAAACCAATGCTTGCTCAGCTCATGCAGGTGGTGTATACAATACTGCGCGTCGTTTCTCCGATATTCGAGGTCTTGGTAAGCGATATCATCGACCAAGTGGAGATGCATACCCCTTCAAGGAGAACGTGGCTTCTAAGGTATGCTATCAATACCGTTTCAGCTAAAAATTGCGCTTCGAATGCCAACTTTGGGAGCTTACAAAGTGTAAGACGAGAGTTGATCTGGTCCGCCGGATGAAATTCTCCGTTAACTGTCGTATTAGTGAGCAATGCTAATCTGACAAATCATTCATACAGCGCAGCGTATTGCTATTGGTAATCCTGAATATTGATGGGTTAGGCGCCCGGAGGAGTACTTGAGAAGAGCTCATTGAATCAAGAAAACCCAGGGCCCTATTTTTCGTAGACGGGGAAGAGTCGGTCGTCAGGAAAGATAAGACATTAGACGAGCAATCTCCTACCCAGAGACTTAGCACACAATAAATTCCTATCTGAGAAGATAAGAAATTTCGAGCAGCTTACCATCGCTGCACGGGAACATCTTGGAGTTGGAAGCAGCCAGGGGTTCAAAACAAGTGTTCATGAGCGCTTACAACACTGGATCGATGGTTCTTGTGATATCCGCGTCGAGATATCAACTTTAATTACGAATTCATACATTTAAATGTTATCCCAACTGGAACTCACGCTCTTCGTCCACCCAGCTCTAGCCCAAATGTGTGGCGCCGCCTGAGATCCAATGCTGCTCAACATGCTTTCGAGACCCACGCGGTACCGTGCGCCACAACGTCAGATGGTATGTCTTGATACCGCCGGGCACAGTTGAACGCCCCATAAGAAGCTGGACTATATTTGGACCAGGAGGAGCGGATGTCCGGAAGGTGAACATAAGCTCAGCCTCAGCAATGGAAGTGATGAAAAATTTAAAAGAGAAGGAGAGACGAGCCCGTCGAGCCCGCGGTAGCATTGCAGCTTTCGACCTCGTACAGAAGGGGGAATCAATCAAGGGAGACGATTTCAGCAACTTATCAAGTATATTCGCGGCTTCGCCAGCTGCAAATTCTGTGGCGCCACTCACCATGAACGTCCAATCCCGTTCGGTGCCGCATGCTCGTCTTGCGTTTATCTTCTCCCACTACGTCTTATGTCTTGTAAGTTATCCCTTAGCAGATTAACCACGATATTCCCATCTTTTTCCGTCGTGTCCGTAATATCAGGTAACTGCTAGGGTATCCTTGTGGGCGTTCCGCCAAGACTGCGGCGTGGGGTGGGTTATTCCTGCATATGTCCGATTGGGGGTACTCACCTGGCCGGCTGCCCTCTCTGATAGATTAGATTACAGATAGATTCAGGTCGACAGATGGACTATCAGGAATATTTCATGGTGGACCTATGGCAAACCTCGATTTACTCGCACGACCGGCGCCTAGACTCCACCATAGGTGCTAGACTCCAAAATCATAATCGGCGAAAGGCCTTCGGAAGGCCGTTCCTGACGTGGGAGGTGCCTAAAACCCTGCTTAGACTGTTGGGCTCGTGAGTATCCATATACTCACGCGATCGGACGACCGTAGATGTTTGCACATGCCATCCTCTGCCCACCAATATTATTCGAAGTGCCAGCATGATTACCCAGTACCGCGCTATGCACACATGTGCACCATCAATGGCGTCCCAGTGATACTGCCTGAAGGTTCGTCGCAAAAGCCTCTAGAAGACTCCCTTGGCAATAGATGGACGAGGTCCTATAGGCTATAATCACTCTCGCGGGAGCAGAGCATTGATAACTGAATAAATCGTGTATAATTGCAAGCTTTGAAGGGTCCCTCGACCTTCAATTCATCCCGCCAAGTTACATCAGTCCTAGTCCCCCCCGATGCTCGCGGGTAGGCAAGTACATAAAGTCCGAGTCCACAACGATCACGATCACACGACCAGTCGATATGAACTTTGAACTTCTTCTGCTTTCAATTCCTTCTAATCCTTCTAGTTACAAAAGCTAAACGAGACAAAAAACAGTAAAAAAAAAAACCGGGGGACAACAGGACCTCGACGAAAGTATTGTGTAATGCGCCGAATTATGGGAAGCAAATTCGAAGAGACAAAAAAAAATAGAGCACAAAAGGGAGGGAAAAAAAAGAAAAAACGAGTTCCTATTCATACAATAAATAGCTGGTGTGTATCCTACGAATAGAGGAATTTGGGATAATCGCCGAAGGGGATGGAGTGGCTAAACACGTCGGCATGCGAGTAGTGTAAGGGTAGCGATTAGTAGGATGCCGAAGGTATTATGATGATACACCGATGGAGGGAGGGAGAAAACAACCATTGATACACGCAGGAAAGTACGCACGAGAAATCCGATGATGATGATGTTGGGAAGTAGGATTAATTGATACACCAGAACCGACCGAGCCGAATGAGTTGCAAAAAAAAAGAGACGGAGAATGAGTGTGATGCAGATTTGTTTGTTTTGAGTTGAGTTGAATGAATGGCGGCAGGCGAGAAATGCGATAGAGGAAACCGAGGTAATGAGTGTGCAGATGACGATGATGAATGAGACTCCAGACGATAGTGAGTGTAGTAGGTTGTGGTGTGCGACGAAGAAGACCGTCGAGTGCGAATGAACGTGGCGGCTGCGATGCCGTGGTGTGGTTTGGTTTATTGTCTGGGAGGTCCTGCTGTTTCCAGAGGGCGCTCGAGCTTCGAGCGCCGGGCAATGAGTGTGATGTGTGGTCGGTATCGGATGGGCGTGCGTGTGTGCGTGTGTAGGGTGTACGGTATGCATAGTGGATGATAGGAGGTGGGGGGTAGGGGTAGGGGGTAGGAGGAAAGAGGGTAGGAGGGAGGGACGGCGAGGAGGATACACGAAGGGTGAAAGAAGAAAGCTAAAGAAAACGAGAAAAAATGAGACGAAGCAGAAGTAGATATATATACAATATAAAGAAAAAATAGGAGCAGCGAAGACGAAAGACGAAAAAGAGGTAACGAGAGCAATCGACAAATGATGCTGGTACAGCGGATGAACGATGGACAATGCGCGAATGCGAATGCTTTTAGCCTCGCGCTCCGTATCCCTTCAGTGAAAGGAACGAAAGGCGCAGGCGAATAAAACACAGGAATAACATAGTCGACGACGACGAAGAAAAGCCCGAATGACGAATGGGATGCCAATGGATTGGATGGTAATGCTTTTTGTGTTGAATGATGGATGCGGTAGGTTAGAATAGTCTATAATGCGGTAAAGTTCTATGCTTGATGAGGTTGTTTGCAGTTGCTCGTCAATTTGACTAGCTTTTGTGTGTTTCGAGTTTCGAATACGAGTCTAAGTGAGACGTTCTATAGCGGCTTCTTCTTGGTGTACCACGAGAGCGTGACGCTGCCCGCGCCTTTGATGTACACCTGAGCCTGAAGGCGGCAGACCTGTTGCATCAACGAAAGAAAGAAAGAGTGTATCAGCCATCTATCACATCGAGAAAGAGGCCATCAACGAAACGGAGTTAATTCTTGAGGACGCAAAATCGCTTCGGAGCATCTTCGACGACCCACAACCTCCTCCGACACTCAGCAGAGTGCAGAGCACAGGGTGTAGAAGCAACGGAGCAAATCGACAACGGCACAACCAACACCGAGAACGCCAAATAGGTGTCGAGCGCGAGAGGGCAGACAGAAGAGTGATGCAGGGAAAAGTGTGTGATGGGTATGGGTATGGGTGCGAAGGCGACGCCAGGCTCGCAGTTTGCGCTGTTCCTTCCTTCCCAACCACGACCACGACCACGACCACGTATAAACCACCGGCCGGTATGACGAGACGAGGGCAAGACGTGCCAGCTCATCAAGAACGACGACGAAAACCGACAATGAAGCGAAGATGAAAGAGAAAAGCAACGAGCATGAAAATTCCGATGGAAAGCGAAGGAGAAACGACACGACACGAAAGAGCAAGCGCAAGAGAAGGGACAGCACAGCAGAAAAGGAAACTCACCGTCTCAGCAACGCTCGCCTTCTTAAAATCAACATACAGGCTCCCATTCGGGGCCCTCGTCATCTCTCTCAGCTCGCCGAACGACTGTAACACACAACGCAAAACTATTATCAGCGAACCCATCCTCAACCCAACCCAACACAAAACGAAAAAACACATACCTCACACCAGCTCTTAACAGCCTCGTACCCCTCCGTATCGCCCACGTCTACCCCACTAATGACGAGC